TAATTTCCATTGAGAGTCTCCAATGAAATGATCTTAGAAGAAATTATATAGGATGACATCATCGAATTCTAAACCTTTCGCCTCGTAAATGGTAAGTACCAAGGCATGCTATAAGATGGTAGGGATATTCTTCTTTGATTCTTGATCCTTTACTAAAACCACCTGATTGCAACCGAATTCAATAGGCAATCTATCTCCCACTTGTTACTTTTGATCTGCAGCTTCTCCTGACAACAAGTAGAACAATTCCTCCTTGTCTCCATTGACTATGATTGGCTTTGGACCTGATATGTTCGATCTCTCCTTCTTCAATTTATCAATTGTATTTGGGAAGAAGATTTCCAATAAGGAAACGAGACAATTGGCTAATTATAAGATGTTGTTGTGAGATCTAAAATTGATTGTAAGCTAATGAATTGTCAAATCATTTTATTTAGCATTGTATGAGATTTCAGGTTTTTTAAAAAGGGATTTCAAATCTTAGAATCTGAATCCAACTCCCTTTGCTATGTTTTGAGCTGTGTCTCCACTAAAGAACAAACCTTATTCAGTTATTTTACACAACAAGAGCAAGACTGCATGGGGTAAATCTTAGCATTCATCAATCATAAGATAATGAATGGGTATAAGATTGCACCTTCCGTAGACCAATTAAACAAGAATATGATTAACTACATCCATAAAATCGTAATAGCCTTGTTGAATCTTCCATCTCTCATAAAGAATGTAACATTCGAAGATGTCATCAAAAAGTTGATCATTTTTATTTAATCTCAAATATACTCTCTTGGGCATATAATGTCCAGGGTAGGTGTGACAAGCAGCAGCACCTTTGATATGAGAGTAAATTTGAGTCCAGACAAATGATGGGTTTAAGTTACTGTTTTAGAATTTGTTATTTTTGCTATACCAGAATTTATCAATGAAAAAGTCGAAATCCACTTCTTAAGAGAGTTTGGACTTACTGCTTTCAACTTTCGCTTACAATTAAGGTTTGTTCATCAAATAGAGTTGTCTCTAATATTCTTCCTCGAGTTATTGTTCATCCATATTATCAACATTTAGTTCATCATCTTCAAATAAAGCCTCATAATCTTCGTCATCATATTCAACGTCCTGCTCCTCATCCTATTTGTAAGTGTTTATAAATATGACTCCTGTTTTTTCAGTACTCCATTAAGCATGAGTGTCAGAGCTAACAACTTTGTTATCTTAAGTTCGAGAGAAGAAGGGTTTAGCTAGTGACCCGTCAACTAATAAGACTAACTTTTTGATTGTTAGGAAAGCTGGAAAATCAGAATCTTTCATATCAGCAAATGAATGAAATGCATTTAATTCTTATTTTAATTTCTCTTCCTCCTAATCCCAATCCTCTTCATTTAAGTCCTCCTAAAATGCTCCCTACTCCTTTTATAATTAGATTCCTCCAATTTATTATTCAAAATAATTTTCTTCATCTTATTTAGCATCCAAAAATTAAACAGTACTTTAATTGAATTAATTTTCAATTTGTTACTTCTAAGCCTCTTATTATTCTTATTAGCGTTTTAATCTGTCTTTCTATTTCTTCTTTTCTAATTCAGCCTTAATCTAAGCTGTCAATTTCCCATAATATCTTTTCACTTCCGTTGTCAACACAGGACTGGCAGTTGCAAATACACAATGTAATCCTACATTATTATTGACTTCCTAGTCATCATATTTATAATTCTAAAGAACATTTTCATGTTTCTATTTATACAAATCCAATCTTAATTTAAATAGAGTCTCCATAGCAAATAATCTCAAAATTGAACATGTTGTCTTTCCTGTACCACTTCTACCAATAACCATTACATTTCCATCAGATCCCACGACCTTTTATTCCTCATCTGTTAACTTTATTTTAAAGTTAGGCACTCTCTACAACAAATCAACAAGCTTAGCAGCTGATGAAAAATCAGCGTATCTTCTCAACAAATCTTTATTGATCTTAGCTTAATATTCTCTCATTTGTTTAGCCTATTGGATAGCCTCATAATCCTTGCTCACCCATCTTTAAAGAGAATCATCATAAACAAAGGACTTTTATTCTTACTTGGTTAAATAAACTGTAGGAAATGTATGGGGTAACCATTTAACAATTTCATTTTATCTTGTTCTATATTACAATTCTCCATGCATACTTCCCAAGTCATTAGCTTCAATGATAAACAAGTGATCTGAATGATGGTTTTTCTTTATTTGATAATGGTTGGTAGATGTGATTACCGATTAGTAATCTTATCTATGGATGGCATGCTATATATCCTAATAATAAGGAGTAATGATCTTCCCTGCATTATTATCTATATTGGCATCGTATCTACAATCGATGAATGTAATGGTATGGACGTAATCATATCCTAACAATTCCGATTAAGAACTCTTAGTATAACGATTAATCTTTGGAATTTTATCGATTCCCACTTCCCAAAACAATGTTATATTTCTATCAGTTTTTGTATAGAAAAATGCCTAAAGAGGTCCTAGATGTTCGAAATGTATGACTTTTGTAATCATGCTCTAATCTGCTTAAGAGAAATAGCCCTACAATATTGTCAGCATATAAGCCAACAAATGCATTGTATCTCCATCCTTTGACAAAGCGTTTGCTGAGAATTTGGCTAATCATTAATTGTATATAATTACTCATGATCTTATAATCCCATCGATTCCCATTTAATAATTGAGTATTGGCTATGTGATAATAAGGATTTGACTTTGACATCTCTGCTCCCTAACTCCAACTGAAATCATTGACTCCAGCCAAAATATTATTTGTTCGAGTTGATGAATTATGATTTAACCATTTTCGTGCAAATTAATTTGGACTAATATCTTAGCCTTGGTTGATGCATAGAGTCAATTTCTAGTATATGGTATCTTGTATGTGTTATCTATTAGAATTCACAATCGAGCGGATTCCATTCTCCTCCGCTTGAATATTTTTCTTACCTTATCCCTTTCTCATTATTAAACTAATTAAATTAATTTTATTCCACGATGATAACTTTTATTCCACTTAATAATTCTTTAAGATTATCACAATAGGCACTGATAATTTCTGATTTTTTAGTACTATTTATTATATTTTTGTTTAATTCGTTAATAATGAAACCCTCAAGACCGCCTATTTGTACAATCCCAAACTAAATTGTCGTCTATGATCAAAGACTACCAAGACCAAACTCTACAAAGAATGCAACAGATGCGCGATAAGTTATTAGATGCCTATCATCCAATCATGAAACTCAACCACTGACCTATGCATACATCCCCACTCAACCAAGGCATATTATATTATTACCTTAGAGCCTCAAGTCCAACCGCAATCAAGAGAGTCCCTAATCCAGAACATATTTTTGTGAATCAATTTCAAAATTTACCTACTGATGGTGATCTCATCCAGCATAAAAAGGCAACGAGCTTTGAATATAATCCTATACCATAGGAGTAGCATTAGAAATATACCGAAGAAATTAATTAAAAAAAATAAGCCATTATTGATCTGTAAGAATAGATATCTGAATTACAAAATAAGCTATCTGATAAAGTTCACGATTATGATGTGTTAAAGGAAAAATTTGATGTGGAATTCAAAAAGTTTCAAGAGGAAATTTAAATTCAACTAAAAGGAATAGACTTAAATATTTAACTCAATGACTACACTACTTATTTTATGCAAGAAATTGATAGGAAGGTACTTAACTTATAAAGTAATATCAATTCCTAAATTGATGAAATGAAATCAGATATGGAAAATAAATTATAATAAAGTGAACACTTATCAAAAAATCTACTATCAAATACAACAATTAGATTACATTAGGATGAATAACATTTTCAACAAGAACTTTAATTTTTATAAAATAAACTAGAACAAAAAGTTGACAGGAATAGAGCTGAACAAATTGTTGCTTCATCGGTTGCCATCCTGTAACAATAATACCAGACTTAATTATCATAAGCTCATTAATTAATTGCTAAAATCAATTCAGATAAAAGTGATGAAATCAATAAAATTAAGGCAGTTATTAATAATTCATTACTTTAAGTAAATCAATAGGCGTAAAATTCGATCTAGGCAATGTTAGAAACGCTAAAAGAACACTCTCAAAGTCAGTAATCTGGCAAAGAGATCTACTAATAACTCTAACAATAATACCACTCTCTGGTTTCTAAATTCTCTTAAATTCAGTAGTAATTCACTTTAAAGGTTTAAGAGAAGGATGAAAAAATAAAGTCACTCTAAAAACAAAATGGAGAACTTAAAAAGGAGATTTAAGAGTCGTAATTAATTATTTAAAAATAATAATAAGAGTTGTATAAAATATCCTTAAACAATAAAATGTTAAAATCTCCTTAAGTGCAATAAATAATGTCTCCTAAAAATGTGAAATCGAATAGTTTTTACACTAATTCAACAAGTGCTGGATTAAATTTCACCAAAAATAGACCGTAGAGTGTATCCAAAAAACAAAAAAAATAACCAAATCCAAATCTTTTTGAAATTAGTATTGATGATTTTGCTAATTTTAATGAAAACTCAATTTTAGATTCTAATGATAGCATTGAGTTCCTCGCTCGAGATCCAAAATCAAGTAGTATTAAATCTCCTAAAGATCCTTTTAAATCCTCTTAATCGATGAATATTAATAGATTTTTGAATGAAAACAATTCAAAAGTTCTTCAAATCGAAAGTACAATAAAGAAATAATAAGAAAACTTACCTCCTTTACATTAAGCAATTAAACGAAGTAATAAAATTATATTCAACCATAGGATTGCTATACTTGGGAAAGCAATAGAAGACTCTTCTTTGCACATATTCTGGAGAGTAATTATGTGATGCTGAGATGGGCTTGCAACTCCTTGATGATAATGGAAAACCATTCATTATCAATGAAGCTGAAAAAGATGAACTAATAGCAAGATAACTTATATAACTAATTTGATTATTTATTATATTATTACACGTAATGTTTTCCTTATTTGCAATTCTTTTTTATGGAGCATTAGGCATACAATTTACATTCCCTTTAAAAGCAAAGGAATTGAAATGCTTTGGGGAAATTATTGGATAAAATAGTCTGGTTGTTGGTTCTATTTAGGCTAATTCAAGTGAATATTCATTGAAAATACATGTATGACCAATAATCCTTAACACTAAGGTGCCATAAAAAAAGTTTGATAGCATTTTACAGTATGCTCATAGTTTGGAATTGCAAAAGTTTTCATTCACTACTAATAGCACCTAAGAAAATTATTAATTTTGCATACATAACTTAGCAAATTTTGGACTTAATGTTAACTTTAATTTAGCCACAGGAATGGATGCTTAAGATTTTTCATTAGTGGCTTAGAAGGAAGATTTAAAACCAATTGAGATACATCTGAAGAAATTGAATGGTTTAATAAATTCAGTCGAAGTAAAGATATGATTGATATCAATTGTAGCAAGAATAAAAAGAGATTGAAGAAAGATAAGCCACAAGATATTCTAACGTTAGCAATATTTCATATAAAATTATAATTTTTAGTGTGGTCACTTTGATACTGATGGTCTTAACAAATTTTGTTTAAGCTCGTAAATTGAAGAGTTTCTTCAAATCAAAAAAGTTCATTTGACATAATTTCATATTTCTTGTTAATATTTAATATTCTTAATTATATGTACTTTTTGAAGTGAATAAATATTTCAAGATTAGATTAAGTATTTAATTCAGTATCAAATAATTGATAATAATTAGTATTTATTTATAATTGAATATGAAATTAGCTATGAGTATGATTATTAAATATCAAAATTAAAAAAAATACTTTAATTTTATAAATTCATGCTTCACTTTCTATCTGTTTATTGGGATAATAATCGATCATCCTTAGATTTTACAAAAAATAATGGTTTAGTTATTTAAAAGAAATTTCGAAATTAAGCACAACTTTTTGTATCTTCATTTTAATGAGGTTCAAAGTCTATTTAAGATTATCTTGCACTAAAAATTTAAGTGGTTGTTGATTTATTGTTTGAATTATTTTCAAAACATCTTGATTGTAGTCTTTTTCTTAGGGTAGCATTGTCTAATGGCATCGGAGAGACTGGTTGAGAGTTTGGATCTTCACAATTAAGTTTAGAAACCTAAATCTAAGGCGAGAAAAGGAACTTTTTTTGGGAATTGAACTTTTTGGAGTATATTTTTTTTTTAATTTTATCTAAGCAGTTTTGAAATTATAAAGGATTTTTAATTTGAGCATTTTAATTCTATGATCCATTGGATAAAAACCTTAACATAATTTCAAAGTGTTCTTAATTTTCGATTGGATAAATAGTATTAGCCAAATTTTATTATGATTTTGACATCTATTAATTTTCTTTGACAATCTCTTTCAAGTTTAAAGCTCCTTTAATAGAGGATCTTATCTTATCTTAAGTGATTTTTCTTGGAGTACAATAATAATTTTCAATGCAATTATTTTCAGCAGGGTTTGGTTGAGAATTTGTATTCTATAGAGATAATCTTCTACTATTTTCTAAGGGAGTATTTTTATAGATTTCCCTCTTTCTTTCTGTAGTTAATTAGATGTTTTTGGATAATAGTACGTTCATTTGACGAAAGATCTCATAAAACTTCTATGTGAGAATTGCTAGTTATTCCTTTCTAATAAGAAATGCCTCAGTTTTACTAATGCATTGGCAGCTATATTCGCGAGTTTGTGATTTTTAAATAATTTCCTCTGCTCCAACCAAACACCCGGTTGATTATGTTCTGATTGAGATTTTGGATCTTCTTATTAAAGATTTGCCTATGTTGATGTTTTCATGGTGATAGGTTTCAACTAGACCGTCAATTACAAAAATCATAAATTTTGGTTCATCTCCTTTTTGCCATAATTGATATTTTGGTTCAAAGGAAATTTATTTTGTAAAATTAATAAATTACAACAATTTGTTTTCACTAACATTATGAAATAAATTTTTAAAGAAATCTAAATTTTTTCTTGTTTAAGCCAATTCTCTTCCAAATAATAACTTATAGTCTGACTTTTTCATTGAAATGCATAATAGTTAGCTACTGGCAATTACAGTCTCCTTAGCATTTTCTTCATTTGATAGGTCTCCAAAATGCTAGCCTACTTTATAAATTTCATTCTAGGATGAGGATTAATAGAATTACTTGTTGGAACTGAACTTATCCACCTTTCCAATAAAGAGGATTATGATATTACATGCGCATAACAAGTTCCCATATTTCGATCTAACGGGCAGGTCTTTTGCTTTTTTAGTTGACTGGTGTGCTACACTACTAAACAACCAGATGCTCTTTTTTGATAGGAACAAATTCCATAGCTGATCCTTCCAACACAATGAACAATTTTTATTTTTCATCTCCTATGTTATATAGGATTTCTCCAAAGGAATACTCCTCATATCTGAAGTAAGGAATAGCTTTACGGATGAAATCTTCGAGTGAAATTTCCTAAGGCCTGTGTTTCTCAAAAAAGTCAATTTTCTTAAAAGAAGGGAGTACAACTTTGATTAGATTTTCAGTAATCAACCTCTCATGGGTCTAATATAAACTAATAACTGTATCAATATCATCAATATCATGATCTAAAGTCTCAGTGTATTTTATTAAAAACATGCAATATTCGATAAAAATTTAATCATAAATATATTATTTCATTCACTTATAATAATTTAAATCAACACTCACACCGCAAACTGTTGCTGTACCTGAATATTACTTGATGCTGGGTGTAGTCCATCCACCAAATTTATATTTAGGGAAATCGTCAAAGGTTGGTGTTTGATCATAATGAGGGTACCATAATGGCAGGGAAGTAAAGTGAGAACATGCTGATGCACTTCCAAAAATGGATGTCCACATATATTATGAAGCATATATTCCAACCGATTTACTACTTCCTTTCAGTTCGTTTACAATTTCCTAAAGAAAATTGCAATTGCTTGCATAATCAGTGGTCCACCCGCAATCAGTGCTGGGATTGCTCTCAACATCAACCCAAACAGTTCCGTAGACTTAACTTTGTTGATTGCCAAAAACCTACGCAAATTCCTAAACCTAAGCCTTTGCAGTTTTTTCTAAATGTTTATGTGTATATTAATACTTCCTTTGCAGGGGAAGAAATAGACATCTCCTAATAATCCTGCTGCCTTTGCTTTTTCCAAATTTTAATATCCATCTAGATCCACTGCTCCAAAACTTCTGTATGCTCTGGTAATAGCAAATTAGTATCCATTCTTTACGAAGCATTGGAAATCATCATGTTTAGCACTCAAATCAAATCCAAGAACTGCCAACGAAGAATAGATTTACAAAGCTACAATTAATAATGATGTCATTTTCATTATTGATAAATAATAAATTAAATAATATGAATTTAATTATATTTTACTTACTATTTAAATATGCATGCTAAAGAACAGAGAAGGGACATTCATTTTTATTATATTTAGATTGAGCAAATGTCCTAATAGGGGCTGTTTTTATAATTGATATTATTCTAGGTTGCAATACTAAGTGTTAGGAATAAAATGTAATAAAAAATAAAGATAAGAATTTCAATCATATTAACTTTTGACCTATTAATGTAAGTAATCCAATAATGAAGTTGCTTTTTTCAAATCGATTTCTTCTAAGAGTATGTTGATGTCAATATTTGGTTTCGATTCAGTTGAGAGTCGTAAAAATCCATTGATTGGTTCCGATATTTCTACAATTTCTTTTGTAATGATCTCTTAGACAAGTGTCATGTTCTCCAACACTAAAATATATTAATATGACAATATTAGAATTTTCGAAGTGTTCTTAAAGCATTCATGAATCGATTTAGTAGCTGATAATATTTGTCTTTACATATTGTTAAGTTATGTTTCTGATTCCTTCAGATAAAAACATGAAATAAGTTCAATGTCTTTATATTTTCCATTCATAAATCCAACTAGAAAATTGACAACTTGAGCATCTAAAGCAATATACTTGGAAAAGTATTTGGATTTCTCATAGAAAACTCTTGGATACCTAATTCTTGTGTCATTAGGTTTATCGTCGAAATGTGTAGCAGTTGAAACCACTCCCTCAGCTGCTTTAGCACTTGCATCCAGTACTCCGGCTATAGGCTTAACAATCAATCCAGATAACCCTTTGAGTGTTCCTTTAACGAATCCTTTAAACCCGTTCTATTGAGTTTCTTAGTATGGTTATGTGACTACTCCAGTTATTCCATTCGAAAATCCATCATAGAGACAATGTCCTGCTTACGATAGTCCATCCAAAACATGATCAGGTCTTTTCAACATAAATATTCGGCGTTTTTCCAAATAATCGTCATCCATAGATAATAGCGAAACGCTTGCACTAATAGATCCAGTGACTTTGTTAACAGAATAAAATGCACCAGCTACAGTGTTTTTTAAGAGAGATCCCGTACCCTTGCATAATCCAACTCCAAATTCAAGTGGACCATGTCTTAAGCCTTGAATTGGCATCTCAACAAAGTCAACAACTCCATTTGTGATCTATTGAACAAATTTGACTGGATTACCTATGATTTCAATAGAGCCGATAATTTTTAGAATGGCTCTTATGATCTCACTCTTATAATGATCTTAAATAGATTGGAGTACTATTTCCTTAGAATCATACACTGATCTTAATCTGAAACAGTCAAGGATGATTTCAGCATCATTAAAATTTTGGACTGTTGCTCCAATGGCTGTAGAAAACAGATTGAAAACATTCTCATCATATTGAATATTGGTTCTGAATCTTTTATGAAATGAGAATCTTAAATCTATTTTAGAGAGAACAAACTCCTTGATGTAAACCTATTTTTTAGATCTATTGATTTCAAGAGATTTCCATACGATACAAGGATTGGATTAGTTTTGCTAAGACATAGACTCTAAATAATAATGTCGTTATTGAGGAGTTTAGAAACATAACGATTTAATTGAGTGTGGTGAACCGTTATATTCAAATTCAAATTAATTCTATAGATTTTACTTGATCTACTTGATGGTTTCAAGAACAACCTGAATATACTCTTCATCAAACTGCAATTAGAAGGGTTATATGTAAATTTTGATGGAATTGTACAATAGAATTGCCTTGACTTAATGTTCAAAGGAACAGCTAGCATCTAAAAAGTAATAATTTCTATCATGAGTGACTTAGTAGTATCTCCTTAAAGTCAACATGACAGGTGTGGTTGTGTCTAAAGATGTGTTATTATCAATGTGGAAAAACTTAACTCGCAATTACGCCGTCGTCTAATTTTCTGTCTGCATGATGCCTAATTCAATGTCATTCATATATATATAATTAGCCTCGAGAAGCATGTTCTATCTTTTTGTGATTATGGAAATACCCAATTGAGATATGTGCAATTTAATTAATTTGTGAATGTCTTCAACTTCTCGTTTATGAGATGTAGTCATATTCCTCATTGATTCATTAACCTATTGAAATGTGATGACTCTGGTTTACCCCTAGAATTCAGACTTGATCCAAATAAAATAATTTGAAAACTTGATCTCCTATAGACTTTCCTATTATTAAAAGTCTATGATTTCAACATGTTCAATCTTTTGATTGTGGACGAATTTCACTCTAAGTTTGAAAGAATGACTTGGTTGCTCCCAAGAAAACGGCACTGTTTAATCGCAATCCAGTATCCATTCTTAAAAGCTATTGTAGCTGTCTTATCCGTAATGTATCTTAAAGGGACGACACTTGTTTACTAATTTGTAGAGCTGATTTTCCTCATTTTGCTATTCCAATAAAATGAAATTAGTTGCTTTGACCTTTGTTATTTCAGCTGTCAGGAACAAACAATCTTTAAAGTACTCCTGACTTGATGAACAAATCATTGAGCTTTATAAAGGCAAGGATTCTTTATACTGTAGAAATTCCTAAGGATCATATTTCTTTAGATTGAACTACTTATAAATGCCTGATTTTTCAAACATTCGACTCTTCTCCTATTCGACAGAGAGATTGCACATCTGTTGACTATTTTCATTAATAGCAGAAGAAAAGAAATTTGTACTTCTGATTTCATTAATGAATAAGTCTCCACTCCAGTTGTATTTGCCATACTTTTAAATTCGTATTGATTTTTCTAACCTACAATCAGGCCAAATTAAATGATATCTCTTATTAGGATTCATTTTTTTTGGTTATGATTCATACCCAGATTAGCATATATTAATTTGCACCCCTGTATTGTTGATTATAACGAATCTCGGCATGATTTCAATGACCTTAGTATAAACCCCCTTTCTTATCACATTATTCGCCAGAGAAATGTGGATACCAAACTCATTTAATGAAACCATACCTCCATTCTTTTCCTTCAATTACAGGCCCAATGACCCTAAAATACCTACATTGACTTCGTTGGAAATACAATCATCCACTCCAATCATTAGATACTTAATTGTATCTGTAATTTATATCTTCTCGTAATTGCTTTCAAAGCTTTCCTTGTCTGGTTTTGGCTCCTTATTTTGTCCAGATAAAAGTATGGGCTTATTATCTTATAGGGTGTAATATTTTAATCTCCGACTTGTAGTGTTTATGATACACGTTTGGACTGAAAAATAAATTAATTTCGTTTATTTGACCTGCTCTTTTTCTACTCTGATGTGGCAACTTTGACTATTGCAAGTGTCCTTCAATGCAAATTCAGTAACTTATATGATATCTTATTATTGACTTATTTCGAATCCGCTGACGTGTAAATTGATTCCCAAGTGATCACCAGTCTTCAGCCAATGCAATTATAATTCCCCTTAAGGAACTACTTCAATTAAGCCAGCTTCAACTTTGATTGTTGCTGTTTAATTGATTTCTGTGACTGTGACAGATCTTGCAAGGAGTTCATTATAATCATTTTATAAATGAGATAGAGAATTCCCTCTAGAAAATCCTGATTATTGTTTATCGTATGGGATGGCAGTACCTGGTTTTTTATAATGATTAATCATGAGTTTCTGTAGTTCTGGATTTTCATTTGAATGAAACAAAAATTAAAGTGGGACGGGTAACAAATTGTATAAAATAAAGGCAGGTTTGAATTCAATATATTTGACATTCTAAACGAGGGTTGTATTGAGAGTGGCCAGTGTGTAGCATGGATAATGGAGTATTTATATTGTGATGTCATGGAATATCCTTTTAATAAATATGGGTTCGTTTGGTTAGGTTAATTTTGTGTATTTGGAATCTAAGAAGTGAATCACAATAAAGCTATCATCTTTATACAATTCTTATGGCATAGCTGCTTACTCACCTGGCTTGAGTACAAAGTTTTTAGTTATTTTGATACATGATAATTTGATTGACAAATCACAATCAGTCTGATTAACAAACATGTAAGGAGAATAAAGGGTGATCGTTTTCTACAACTTTTCAATTTAGGTGCTGAGCACATAATATTGAGTCTAATCATTCCATTACAACTTTTTAACTCCAGCATAATTGATGGGAACATTGTTTATCGTATTTTAAACCATATTAGAATCAAGAAATTTAATTATGAGTCTTGTATCACTCTCAAAGGTCTTAGCATAATCCTCATCATGAGATTGTACTTCATAATTTTTCGAATCATTATTAGAGATTTCAATTAATCCCTCATTCCCATTCTTCTACACTTTCAGAGTATACCCACTCTTGTTAATAAATGAAAAGAGAGTCACATTATCTTAGTTCTCCTTAAATGATATCCCTTTCATACTGGACAACCTAGTCATTTTTTTGGATTCATTTCTTCTGAAGGTTTCTTCTTCGTCATCCTATTCCAATTATTGCCATTAAGTCAATATTTTGTATAGGTTGAGTATCATGTCAGTGGATAGATTCATGTCCAAGATTGGTGTCAGTCCATTAATATGAATAGTTTGCATGGATTGACTTTATTAAACTATGAATAATTCTGATAGATATGGTTCTATAATTGGTTCCATCTTACTGGCAACTGGATTGAAATACATCAATTCAATTTAGAATAGGCATTTGAGTGCTTTGCTAATTTCATTCTGATCAAACATAAATTTCTTGACATTAAATCTAAACAGTAATAATGGAGCAAATGATTTATTAATGTCATTAACCAAAACCATCTCCAAAAGATCCAACTTTATTTTCATCTTGCTCATTTTAATTTTAGGTCTAACTGGTTCAAATTGCTACTCCTACTCAGATAACACCTCCTCTTCCTTTACCATCTCCATCTCTTAATCTCCTGCCGCGTAAAACACTTAAACTACTTCATCCTTTTACTATGATGCTTGTAATAGACTCGATTTCAGTCTAACTAATTGAGATTTCCCTGGCAAGAAACTTTTCTTTTTCGTTTCATTTCTACTAAGGATTGTTTCTTCAATTCCTAGAGTTGGTTTAATAGGCAATTGACGAGCTATAGTTTCATTTAGTGACGATTCCTCATCATCACAGAAAAATTAGTCGCATAATTTAATTGAATCTTATTGAAACTTTATTGTCTGTAGTATGAGAGCAGAATCATTATGTGAAATATTAATTCTGATCTTATCAAATCTTAACTAATCCTATACGATTATATTTGATATTAATTCATTCTGTCCATCAGTCTTATAGTTTGAATAATTGACATCACAATCGCAAACAAATTGATTTCTATTGAATTCTATTTTAATTGGATATAAAATCATCTTTTTCTTATTTTACTTTGATATCTTTTGTAGTGCTGCGAAGTTTGTATTGAATAATGACACCGTTAGACTTAGTTCAAATCTTCTATTCTTAATTGAAGACTGATTTGTATATTATTCTTTGTTCTTCTAGTGATAGTTACTATGAGCTTCATTATTTAATTCGTCGTTCAATTTCATGAAGGAATCTAATTGCAAAACCAAACAATTTTTTAATTTCTCGTTATGAGTTATAATCAAAGTCTTTAATAAAATGACATTCACATTCAACAATGGTTATTTTTGTTTATAATTCGTTTGAACTGGCTATTAGGATGATGGAGATTATTAACTTTACATCTCCTCTTCATATTTAGGTATTTCAAAAAACAAAGCAATGGTCTTCAGATAATAAGCATTGATCAAGTATTTCGATTCTCCAATTGAAATATTGACATCTGTAGAGTCTTCTCCAAATATGGCTTTCACAATCAACTTGTCATCTAAATCAAATCTACTCACTGTTAACTCATTATAAAATTCCATTTTCATCTCATTAATCAACTCCTTCGCTTCCTTCGCTTTATGCTCCAATATGTCTTCATCTAAAAACTCCTCTAACTTCCTCCTCTCCAATACTGTATTATTGATAACATGTTATATTCTCACTATCAGATTATGATCATCCTTTTACGGATACTAATAATATGTGCTTTTAAAATCTGAGACTTACAACGATAAATTAGTTTTGAATTGAAATACAATATCCAATAAGCTTAAATCGATCAAGGGCCTTAGAAACGTCCCTTATGACTGAAATTAATTACATTCATCCATTAGTCTAATAGTTATTTTTGACAGTTTGAATATCAATGCAGCTTGGTTCTGTTTTTTCGGCTATTGTTGTTGTCGTCTCTTTCTCTGAGTCTTTTGACTCTGAATCTCATATTGCGTTTGCATAACTTGTAATAAAAATAGATAGTGATTTCTAAGGATGTTGAGTTGAATATCAGTCACTTTGATTCTTATATCTTAATTCTTATTAAGTACGATGTTTGGATATAACGTTTCGCATTCACTCACAAACATAGGAGTCTGTATTCTCAGGGCAGCAGAAAAAGGATTTGATATGTATTGCAAATCTGAAGTGCTTCTTATCAATATTCTCATCGTATCTGCAGAAACCACTATGATTTATGACCATAAGAAGAAATCTTATTGCTGAGCTGATAGGCTTTATTTCTTATTCTACTTAACATACATTTCAATAGCCTTATTCTTTTCCTTGCATGCATCCAACTCAAAGCACACTGACTTTATCTGCAGTTCAAATGATTAACTGATATTTCCAGCAGGCTTAATAAGTATCTTAGGATTCTCAAGTAGGATTTTAATCTTAATCAAAGATGGAGCATACAGTCTTTATTTAATCAATTCTAAATCCTATTCATTCTATTCGTTATTTGCCTATTTCTTCTTCTAAGAAATCTCCAATAAGCTTAACACCTTTATAATTGTGGCATGTAAGTAATCTATAAAACAATCCCTTACGATTAGGTATAGATCGTTAGAAATATTATCATTATTGCTTGGTATTTTGAATTTCGAATATTTAAATTAAACCATCTATTTTTCAACTTAATGGCTATTTGAAAATATGGTTAAGCCTATACTTTTCTTTTTCTTTTCCTCTTTGGTTCTCTTCCTCTCTTTCTACTCCTTTTTTCCTAAAAACATGTGTCTATTTCCTTGTATTGACTTTAAATCGATAATTTCTATTTTCTATATGTTGCCTTCAATAAAGTACTCGTCATCATCAATTTTCAACACTGCGCTTATTAAATTCACTTGTATTTATAGGAATTCATTTGACTTTTCTTTCTCCTTCTCATTTTCTTAAACCATTACAATCAACTTAATATCCTGAGACAAAATGGAAACCTTAATGATACTTTCAGGCAGCTTATCATTCCCTTCAACTAATTAACCGTCATGCACTTCAGAGTCTGAGACAGATGACTTCTGTAAAGTAAATGATCGCACACTCTTAATATTTCCTTTAGTTAAATCCTATCTTGTCTACATAAATTTAGTCTCACTAGTTTGATTTGGTGCGTATTATTTCATAGCCGTATTTTATGGTGTATAATCTGTATATTCACTTAGATCAGTTGTGCTCTCCTTTGTTTTCTGTAGAGAAGGTCGGACCATAAACAAGTTGATTTTAGAAAGAAATGATTCTAAATAATGAGCTTCCAAAGAGGAAAGCTATGCCACGATGTATGATTAGGGTTCATTAGGCTAATGAGTGTCTGTGTTGCACATTCGAACTCTAATTGCTCCTTGGATTTGATCCTCTTCCCTAAAATCAATAACCTATCTAATTTTCCTTTATAATTAATTCTCGTCCATACTAGCTCTGACCTTGAAGAGATTGGGAGTGTTAGGTTAAGAGTAATGGATGGATCTCAAAATGGATTGCCCATGGTCTTCAATAGAAATAGAATTGATAGTAAATTCTTAATAATTGTCAGCTATTCCTGAAAGACTCAACAGTTTAATTTGATCAAATGTGATTAGGATTTCAGATTATTGATTGTATTTCAATTCAATTTAAAACCTTTTAATTTGAAATCTATATTTAGTCAGCAATTCGTCATTCTACTTAGGTACTTATTTGACTGTTTATTCAAATTCTCGCCTACTCTTATCATTTTATTGTGGCACTGTATTTTCTGATCCAATCCTGAGATTTCCAGTTTTGGTTTTGATATCGTGAATCTTCTATTGGATGAATTTGAACCACCTGTTCTTCTCCTAGACTGTTTTGGCCTAAAAGTAGATGATCTCCTTCTTGGATTTGATCTTGAAGGAATTCTATACTCCGATATCTTATTATGCTTCAGACACAACTACATCTCGCAGTCCAACGTATTGATTGTAATCTAAGTCACTTTCATTCTGATACAAGTAGATATACCATCCAGATAATACAGCAAAGTAGGACGACCATGATCTTAAAAACTTACCTCTTTTTCTCAGGATTCCTTTGCAAGAACTATATTTAATCAATTTAGATTTCTCCTATTGTAAAATACTACTTAGGGATTGATCAGCACTCAAATCATTTATTGTTTACATCAACTTTTAAAATGTATAAGGGACTTCTGGATTGATTGAGGCTGTTAATGAAGGCAATTCAAAGTTGATCTTTGTTTAAGGGAGATTTGCTTGGCTACTCTTTTTGAAATAGAGATTCAATTCCATAGAGAAGTCTTCTAAAACATCATATTTTTTAGATCTGACTCTCAATGGATTATTCAAGATGTCCATGCCTCTTTAGGTTTAACTCAATTTCTGGTAATTGTAAAAGTAATGAATCGATGAAAAATATTGCAATTAAACTGACTTTAACTTCATGATGTAATTTTCATAATTCTAAGCTTTATTCTACTTCTTTTATTTTGCCGCTTATGGATTGGACAATTATGGTTGTTACAAATTTTGGATTGAAGTTGACTTCTCCAAAGGGTTGATTGAATTTACATTATTAAAATTAAATTAATTAACCAACTAATTTTTTTCGTTGTGGATTTTCAATATGGACTACTCAGCTCCCTTTTGTTTTCCAATGCTTTCTCCACTTAAGCCCAATCTTCTGTAATGATCTGACCCGAACTTGATAAACCCTGGTACTTGTCTATCGTCAACAGTGATTATTTCAAAGTCTCCTAATTTCAACACCCAGCAATCTGAATGTAAATCATTAATCTATTGATTGGGAATGATAACAATAGGGGATTGAATGGTAATGTTGATGTAGTTTTTGGTTTAAGTTTCTATTTTCTTGTCTGCATCTGGATCATCCTTTTTGTCCTTCTGCTCCTTCTTATTCTTGTTTGCATTTTCTTTCACCTTACTCTCCTACTGTCTGTCATCTTGAGGAGGCATTCTAAAATAGGCAATCACTCTTTATAAAGAGGCTACAAAGACCATGAATTCAATCTTTTGTACATCCAAATATATGCTACTAAAATAATTTGGTTTAGATAAGGGATGCTTTTCTAATTTAAAGTAAATGAGAGGTTTCTCTTAAATATCATAGCTTTTTATCTTCCTCACAATAGGTACAATAATATCATTCTTCTCTTCAACACTAAACATCTAAACCTCCATGTCTTGTATAATTTATTCCAGTTCAAAATTATTTCTCCTCTTTTACAAAAAGTAATCAAAATTCTTCCACAATATCGTGAATCCTTCCTCCAGGTTCTTATGCTTCCTCAATAATTTCAAACTGCCTTTAACAATTGACAATCTAAATTCCAAATACACATAAGTTTCTTCGTCCATTAAAGCTGATGGTTTGTATGCTTTTTCAATTTCCTTCTTGAATGCCTACTCAATTTGATGGTGTTCTTTGGCTCTTTCAAATATTTCTAAGGCTTATTTGGCCCACATCTGTAATGTAGTTATTGAGGTCTTTATCACAATTTATTGATACTGTCTTAATTCTCGATGTGATGATTTCAAGAGAGCAGATGGAGTGGTTTTTCTTTGTAGAGCATTCATTTCGAATTCTAGAAATCTTTTTCGTCTTATTTCAAGGATCTAAGTCTTGACAAGATACTGAAATAAGGATCTGAGGTAGAGAGAGTTGTTGTCCGTTTTCAGAAAATCTTATTGGTAAGGTCTCATTACAGATGTAAGATATTAGTCCATCTGCTATTTGGCTCTGTATTAGTAGAGATTAAATATGGATGCAAGTTTTAATATCTCCTTATATTGGGTATGCTTGATTTTAAAATCCATTTCTTGTAATTCCACCTTAATTTTGTATTTAGGGACTTTGCGAAAGTGCTAATATGTTTGTACCACATTAGCCACAGCATTGAGACAAAAGATGTATTTAGAGGATTTGGATGTTTTGATTCCCATCGTCAAATTATCTGGTTCATAGACCAATTCCTATTATAGTCTGGACTGTATTCTGGCCTGCATTTTTTCATCAATCTGATAGACTGTGCGTTGATGAAGATCGAGATCAACTTTGTACGGGTCCATTTTGCTGACCACCTTTTGGAGATCAACATTCTTGTATTGTTATGGTTTAATGATGCTACTCAAAATGAGATAATGGTCGTCGGAATTCCAATACATTGCCAATTTGGACAATTGCATTTGTTTGTTCACAAAGGTAGAGTCCTTGCGTTCGTGAATGTAGGGACTAGATGCTTATGAAATTTTCCATTCCGAATCTACTGTCTATTAAGTTATATGATTTATGGTGATGCCCCATGAAAAAGAATGCTTGCTAATACAATGTTCATAACGAAAATGCACATCGGAAATTGATACGTAAAGATTATCAACTATTCTGGTTATTTGTTTTTGAAAAAACCCAGCCTCCTTTTGATCGGACTCTTAGTTATCAGTCGTGGGCTCTTGTTTTCTGACTTCTTCATCCATCACCTTCTTAATGTAGGCTCTAACTTGGGCTGCCTTTGGCTTGTAATAATTTATCTCTTCCAATCCCCACATCTCTTCGGAAATAGTAGTGACCAACAAGAATACACTATGGATCTTTATTTCTGTTCTTTGAGTCGTCAAGTTGTTCCACGGAAGATTTATCTCGATCCTCTGTATTGAACTGTACACCAATTCAATCGGCAATTACAAGGCTTCCAGAGCTTCCTTCTTTATTGAGACATTCTCTATAACCAAATTCCCCTTCAAAAAAGACAAATTAATTTGTTTCTTGTCCAGTCCATCGATAAACCGTCCGAAGATGGCTAACAACACTTTCTATATAAGACCTTCAAACATTTAATATATATTAATTCACAAACAACTTACTACTTACCGAATCATCTTAATTCCAAAACTCAATCTCATCATCTCCATAGATCATCATCAGTTATAAATATTCAATTAGTAAATTTCAATTGCACACTTTATGGTTCATTTATTTTGTACTACTGTCCCTTCCGTACTTCCTAGTTCTTCAATTAAATTTGCACTCCTTAAATTGCAAAGAAGATACTGCAGTACTCAATTAAATCTCCTTAATAATGATGAATATATATATATAATATCAAAAACTCAACGCCTTATTTTCTTAGATATGGATCTTTTTGCCTTATCCATCTCTTGTAACACTCTCTGCATGTTTTCACGATGCTCCAATTTATCTATATTCACAATCTCCATTACATGCACCTGGAATCTATTATTGGTTTCTGCTATCAACTCTACTTCATTCGACAAGTTGTTCAGTCTGTCATCCAAAGTCTTGAGCAACTATTGGACTGCCCCGAGATCACCCTCTGAACACTCACTGCTCTTCTTTTTTTAATTCCTTTTATTGATCTATTCACTCTTCTCCAAATTAATTGTGAGTTGTGATAGCACCTTCTCACTTTGTTAAAGAACATTGGTTAATTAGTTATTAAGTTGAGTATTCTACTCAATCAAAGGTCTTATTGCTTTTTCTTGATCGTTTATGACATTTTAGAAGTCATTGAATTTGACTACCATCATTTGTTGCAATTGCTCTAAAATTCTATACACTTCCGATATTTGAGGCACTTGTTGTTCCTAATAGAAAGACTCATTCAGATTCTGTCTCTTAGTCGAACCAAGAAATTGGCTAATGTTCTCCTTCTCATATTGGGTTTAAGAAAAGGATTTTGTTTGTTGGGCTTGCAATTAACTAAATAACTGAAGTTCTGTACTTGTGGAACGAAATATTCATGGGTTGTTGCTACTATTGTAAAGGTTGTTGACCTCTTCTGAAAGCTTACGAAAACATTTTACTTCAAAAATTAAATTAAAAATAATTTCTATTTGAACTTTAATAATTAATACCGAGTTCATACCTAACTTAGATATTCAGTCATAAATTAAGGTCGAAATTAGTTGACGAATTCTCAATCACTTCTTACCCAATTATTTGATTGCAATAAAACTATCAAGGAAACTACGAAATTCGGATATCCCAACACACACAAATTTTAATTTTGCTTTAAATTATATTGGATTCCAATTGGAGATTCAATCAAGAATGTGGGATGCCTATTTAATTTGCATAAATATTTTTATTTAATATTAAAGAAAATTAATTCATGGAAACCTTTATAAGAGGACCTCTACGTTTGACAGACAAGGAAGTTGATGATTTGATGAAACGATAACCACATCTCTTGAAACAAAGTTATGAACAAATACCAAATCTAACTCCCAATTCTCAAGAAGTAATTAGTAGATAGGCTACAATCAACGTGGGTACAATCGGACATGTGGCTCATGGAAAGTCAACTCTAGTGAGATCTGTCTCAACTATTAAGTATTTTTGACATCCTAACACTTTAAAGCACTGTGCGTTTCAGATAAGAGAGAGTCAGAAACATCACAATTAGATTGGGCTATGCCAATGCCAAAATCTTTAAATGTCCAAAATGTCCTGAACCTCAATGCTATTAATCATTCTCAAGCGAGAAGGAAAGCAATGCTCAATGCGAATTATGCAAGGAAGTGATGACTTTGGTCAGACACATATCCTTTGTCGATTGTCCAGGACATGATATTCTGATGTCAACAATGTTGACTGGTGCTGCTGTCATGGATTGCGCATTACTCATTGTAGCTGCCAACATGCCTTGTCCTCAACCTCAAACTCAAGAGCATCTGGTTGCCCTAGTCATCACTAAATTGAAATATGTCATCGTCATCCAAAACAAAGTAGATATCATCTTTAGAGATCAACAGGTAATTGCATTAATAGTGAAGCAAGGCTGCCCTCAGAAATTATGAAGAAATCACAAGGTTTATCAAAGGAACCATCGCAGAAGACTCACCCATCATCCCAGTGTCCGCTCAATTGAAGTACAATATCGATTGTGTTCTCTAATAAATTTGCAACTTCTTCCCCATCCCAGATAGACAATTACAAGTCCCACCCAAAATGATCATTATTAGGTAATACACACATATAAGTATAATTATAGATCCTTTGATGTTAATAAACCTGGTGAAAAACCTGAAAATTTACATGGAGGTGTTGTAGGAGGCTCAATCCTTTAGGGAATCCTCTCAGTTGGAGATGAAGTTGAAATCAGACCAGGAAGACAATCTAAGAATGGAAATCAAACTACTTGGCATCCTATTACTACCAGAGTGGTTTCACTCTACGCTGAATAAAATGAATTAGTCTATGCTGTCCCAGGAGGACTTATTGGAGTTGGATTATTGATTGATCCATCCTTGACTCGTAACGACAATCTTGTCGGATGTGTTTTGGGATTCCCTAAATAATTGCCTGAACTCTATAGAGAATTAGAAGTAAGATAGTTTATGCCAATTTATTTAGATCAATTATTATCTGATGGTCTCAGTCGTTGGTGCTCAATAACAAGATGGAAAAACCCAAAAGATCGCTAAAATTTAATAAGATGAAATGTTGAAATTCAATGTCTTGTCAAATGAAACACCAGGAAGAGTCATTGAAGTCAGAGAAGATGTATAATTACTGTTCATTTTATTAGAAAATAATGAGAGTGGCTCTCAATAATCCAGTATGCACTGGTTTGTAAGAGAAAGTAGCATTCAGCAGAAGATTAAGTAATAAATTTAGATTGATTGGTTGGGGAATTATAACAGATGGAAAAACAATCACATTATGAAATGTAAAATATAAAAAATATATTAACAATCGAATCAAACTCCTCTTATGATATAATATTTGTCCTTAACATTCCCGTTAAACTGAGAATTCCCTATTTTTAAATACATGTTTTTGACAATAGAACAAAGGTTAGATTTAACTCTTTTTTAGGATTTTTAAATGATATTAGATATTGATCTATTTTATAATTTTGTAAATTATAACTAAGCATTATTTATTCTAGTAGCAATATATTGTCATATTATATTCTAAATTATTATTTTGGTTGTGATTTAGTTTAAGTATTTCATCCTTTTATTTAGGAATAACTAGGAATAGGTAATTTATTGTATTGTGCCTTTTATCAAATACTGTTAATTGGACCTATGAATAGAATTCAATTTTATTTAGTTAACCCTTTAAATTAGTTATCTTTATAATAATCACTTGATAATATTTTATTAATTTGTCTTGAAGGGATGAAATTTATTTAAAAAGAGGGAACAATTGATTTTATTAATTATGACACTTATCCATTTTCTTAATTAAATAATTAATAGGAATATTTAATGGAAAATTATCAATTCGAAAGCCAAGATACTCTTAGCCAAAGTGAACAATCAACATTCGAATATAAATATGAATTATTGCAATAGTTTTAGTTTGTTTAAAATGAAACTCTTATGTTTATAAATATTGAAGAATCCGACTAAGAAGTAGACATAACTAAATAGAAATAAGTCAAAACATAATTATTCTTCAGAAGAACTTCCATCAAAGAATCTTAAGATAGGTCATCATAAATAAATGAAATCAATCCCAATCAACCTAAAATCAAAAAACCAGAACAGTAAATTTAAGAAAGCAAATAAATGATCACTTAACAAATAAAAAGATCAATGAAAAGAAGTCAGACTGCTTTTAAAAAAGAATTTGGATCATTTGCGAAACAAAATGGGTCAAAAATATTTTTAAAACGAGCCAATTAAGCAATAGTTAATAATTTTGAACAAATAAGAAAATAAAAATCAATTATTACCAATAATATAAATCAATTTGGAAAATCACATCTTCGAACTATTTAAGTCAAATACTTTAGAACGAATCTCACAAAAGTCCTATTTATTGAAAAAGAAATGACTGCAATAGAATTTATTGTACTTGCATTAAAAGAGTACACTCTTGAAAGGAAGTTTGATTAAAATTTATTTGAATACAAGAATTACACTCTAGCTTATCAATTGGAAACTTTGGAGGATCAATTCGAAATAGACGAAGATCGCTTCAGAAGACCTATATAACGAGCAAAAAGTGTTATTCAAAAGGAAGAAGATAATATTGCTGTTAGAAGAGCCAGCTGTAATGAAGTATGATAAGAATATTAACTATAAAGAGAGCAATTGCATTCTTGGTTGAACATTCTTTCTCAGATTATGAAGATAAAACCATCACTATTGATTTCCCAGTTGTTTTGAGTTGTAAATAAGTAGATATTGTCGTCAATTAAACTTGTTAGCAAACCTTTGGGGTAGATCTATAGACTCTTAAAAAAACATATGAATAATTTCCTGAATATATCATATTATTAATAGAAGATGCTTAAACTCAGTCTAAACTATAAATTAAGTGTCTCAATAATTCAAGACTTGAGGATGTACTTGATTCATTCAATAATGGATTCAAGAGCAAAAGATCTCTCAAAGATTACTTTTTAAGATTAAAATACCCATGTATCCATACTGGTATTGGCCCATTAAGTTTGAGTACTCCAGTTAATTAATTACCGATTCATTGGTTAGTTTTGGAAAAAAAATATATAATCGAATATTAAACACCAAATCTAATAGATTTAGGTAGGAAATTTGAAAATTTCAAATAAACGAATTATTATGAAGATGGATTTATCTCTTGTAGTCAACAAGATTCGCAAATGAAAATGGAATCAATAAATTATTTAAGTTCATTATATTCTTATCAAGAGTTTTAATTGATGTAATTAAAAAAGGGATAGCAATAACAAGTATTAATTGGAATTGATTATTTTGACATTAGAATCTTCTACATTAATCATTAGAATAATATATTCTCTCATTCTTCTTTATTATAGTATATACCAAATTATATTGTAGATATGTTTAAGTGTAAAAAAAAAGAAGAGAAAATTATTAAAATAAAGTCAATCAAATTATGTTCATTAGATCAAAAATAAAATAAATTCTATTTCACTTATAAAAATTCAGTTAGTAAATTTAAACAATTATGCTTTATTCCAGAATAAAGTAATGATAAAAGATCTTAAACGAAATTAAATAACTAATTTTTGGAAAGTTATTAAAAATTAGATAACTTAGTAGGGTTGAGAAAAAATCATATTCAAATAGATGAAAATTTAAAATGATTATAATTATATAAGTATTTTATGGATAAATTTATATTTTCAAATATTTTTAATAAATTTAAATGAATTAACAAAGAGAGTTCTAATATTTTAATTCTGCATATTTGAAAACTTGTTATTTTTGTTATAAAATTCAAAATTTAAAATTTGTCTATTTGCTAAATTATTATCTTTTGAAAATTATTCTTCCAGGTAGAGAAGGATTCTATTTGAACAAATTAATTAAATATAGATCTTTATATGATCAAAAATAAAGAGAGATTAGATATTCATGAAATTATTTGTAATTTGAGTCAAAATAAATAATTATATTCGTTTCTCAAAAATAATTGTTAGTAGGTATCCAAACCTTTTTTTCTTTTATTTTTGGTAGACTTATTTCTTTACTTAGTTGTCTGCAAGTTATTGAAGTCTCAGAAATTAGAGAGATATTCTTATCAAAATATCTTAAACATTGATCAGTAGGTTTGAATACTTTCACTTCCCTTTATTCTAAGAGTTGCTTTTTAATTTTGCCAATTAAGAGACTACTTTTCTATTTATTTATCTAATTTCTTTACTTCTTTCTATTCTATTTCTTGTAATTGACTGAAATTCTTATCCCAAAATTCGATACGCTCAACCTCCTTTTAACTTAAGAATCTCCTCCTTATAGGAGGAAATTCGCTTTTTTATTTATTTGCTGGTCTCTCTAATTAATGTATTACTACTATTATTAAATTTAATACTATATGACGGATTCTAGTTTCTCTCAGGAGAAATCAATTACGACTTTTAGAGATTTGTTAATTGTGGAATCTCGTTATTAATAAAAACTGATTTATTATCAAATAATTTATTCTCCTTGATCTAAATAATGAATGAGGGACGATGCATTGAATTAGTAAAGCTTGAAAACCTATTTTGATGATGTTTCTTTGCTAATTCATTTCGTATATTTTATATCTTTTTTTTCTCTTGTTCCTTCTCACATTCAACAAATTATTATGCTAACTGATGTGATAATTCTTTGATCTTTTTCTTTGTTTCTTAGATCTACTAACGGGACTAGTCAATTTTCAAAAATAAAAGTTACAGTCTCTCTGATTGAAATGGGATCCTCCATTTTTATTATTTTATAATTATAACATTTCTAAATAATTGGGTTTAATAATATTAATTTATATATATTTATTAAACAATGGGGATTCCTACAGTCAAGGGTTTACTGGATAAAATGGTTTAGAATTCAAATTTAATTTTCTAAAATTTAATTAGATAAACAATTACTTTCGTTATCTTGGTTATCCATCAGTATTTTGAAACGGTTAATTGAATTGATCAATATTGAAATCATTTCCACTTTTCACTTCATTACTCTTTTTTGTTTAAGGAATGAATTTATCAGGTTCTTATAAATATGAATCTGGATGCTAGACTTATGATAGATTAGGGAAATTTTGATTAGAGAACACCTAAATGGGAGTTGGCATTTATAGCATTCCATCATTTGGCATCCAATTCTAATCAAAATCATCATCATATTGCATCATTGGAGGCATTCCCAAAATTGGTCCAGAGTTCATTAAATTTGGAGGGAATTACTATCCCAAAGGCATTGTTGGTGGAAAGTCTGAAAAATGATTTCCCATAGGTGGAGGCATCATCGGAGGACAATACAATTGACCTTCAAATTAATTTGGAGGAGGTTGCATCATCATATGATTTTTATTAGATTACTTTTTCATTGAAGGAGGAGGAGCCATTTACATAGGCATCGGCATCTAAGGCATGTTAGGCATTTGTGGCATGTTAGGTATTTGAGCCATATTAGGCATTTGATTAAATTTAGGAGGCATCATTTGATTCATTCTCATAGATCCAATATTAGGTCCCATGGGGAAAGTAGGTTCTAAAGGTTCCATTCCCAAGTTAGGACCAGGAGGAAATCCAAGAGATTATGGAGCTCCTAAGAGATTTGAATTGAATGGTGCAATTTGAGGACCCAAACCCATCATTCCAGGTGGAGCAAATCCTAATGGGGCTGAGAAGGTTGGCCCTGAAATATTGAGAGGATCTGGTAAATTGTTTCGACCCATTTATTATTATGGAAATGAAAATGGTGCAACTTTGAAAGGATCAAAGATTTCAGCAGAATTTTAGTTCATAAAGTCAGGTTAATTGTTGATCATAGCCATATCTTGTTAATTTTTATTGCTTTTGGGCTTTTTCTTCTTATTTTTTTTCTTTTTTTCTTTGTTTTTCTAATCATTTGAATTATTTGGAAAATTTTGGTTATTATTAGGGAGTAATTTTTAATTATTAAATTAATTTAGTGGTTAGGTCTAAATAGGGAAGGCTCCTCTAGTGAGAACTGATGATGAAAAGTGCTGATCATAATTCATTTAACCATCCGAGTCATTATCTTATAATTGATTTAAGATGTCCACAAAATCAGAAGATTTGTCTTTATCTATTAAGCCAGGAGGAGGTGCTACTATTGGCTAATTTTGGATAGGTAATGGCTTATTAAAATCAGGAGGCAAAACTAACTCTTAATCATAGTTCTCTTAATTTTAAGTGATAGAAATGCCACAATTTATCAGATGCTATTGTAGTTTTTCTAACTCGCCTAATTATTAAATAGATATTTCTTTTCTATTTTATTACAATAAATTTGTACTATTATTGAGATGATGGTTACTACTTATTCCCTTTCTTTTCAGGTTTCTTTTTTGGTTGTTAATCTTTTTTAGGTTGGTATTCTTTCTTTTATTATTAAGGGGGCTATTATTTTTTAGGCTCATAGATGTACTACTTTTTGGGTTCGTCTAATTTAAAAATAGGTATATTATACTTTTGGTTTTTGTGAAAACGAAGCCACCAAATTTATCAGATTAATTCTCGTCATCATCTTCTTAAGGATCTTCAATTTGATCATCTCGATTACGTTTGATTTTAGGCTATTATACATACGCTTACAAATCATTTCTTTTTACACATGATTTTATACCTTTAAATTTTATTATATTTATTTTCTTATCTTTAAGCAATGTCCTAGTCACCTTCTTAAGGTGAATATCTTCTTCTTTATTTCACCTAAAGATTATCTGACATCACAATTTAAAATAAAATAGATAATAATTTATATATTGATTATTTATATTAAATTTATATTTTTTGATATATTTATGTTGATTAAATAAAAGTCAACAAATATGTCAAATGTTCAATTTCACTGCAAATCCAAAAGGATAATCCTTGTTACTGAAAGGTATCCTACTAGCCATTCGAAATTCTAACCTAAAGTCTCCAAAATTATTACATTTTGCTATACTTCTAAATTAATCCAACTGCAAGACTCTTTTTGTTAAAGTTATAAACACCACAAAATGATAGGTTTCTAATCTATTTTTATAAACCTATCAGATAATGAAAATGCTTATGAGAATCGAGTGAGATCTGAAAACCAGCACTCAAATTCTTATTAATAAATTTTTAATATTCCAATTCGCAATTCCTTCCTTTCAAAAATGAACTTCTAAATGATATCAATTTTTTTTTGTCATTGAATTTATAATTAAAGTGCAATGTCTAAAATTTGAATGACTTTTTAAGAAAATCGAATTCCGTATCTCCAGAAAAATCAAAATGTTAATTTTCAATTTTCCTTGAGAGTTTTTATTGAAAATGGAGACTCTGATTATCTATTCTTGAGGCTATGAATTATTTAGTATTTAGGTTTACATAAAGAGACTTCATTATCGGATATTCTAAATGATTTATGAATGTAAAATCTTAATTTGTCTCCATAATTACTAAAATTAAGTTCGAAATCTAAGGTTTTGCTGAAATTATAATAAAATGTAGAGGTAGTGCTCTTATATTTTTCTATTAAGTACTTCCTCTTTTCCTTAAAATGAATAATTTAATTTTGTTTATGGTTTTTTTTCACCTTCAATTATTTCTTGCAGTATTGGGACAGAAAATGAAGTGGATTATTTAAGATTCTTTTTTGATGAATTGATTGTATGAGACACCTAACCATTTCCTTTCACTCGAATTTTGAACTTCCTCGATAAACTGAAGTCTGTATCAAATATGTTGTTAGACATAATTAAATAAATTATTTTATATTATGAATGATTAGAAACCGTATTTAATCTTGGAGCATCCTCATGCACAAAATCCTGTCTTAAGTTTTAAACACAAAACCTTGTCTAACAATGACAAAATATGGATTTCTCATATTAAGATTAAGAATCCTGCTGAGAATAATCAGTAATTGTGTAATACATGCATCTTAGGAGTTTGGCATTCAAGGTCATGTCCACAGCTGCAGAACAAATTAAATCCTATCCCTTCGTTGGAATACTAAAGATAGGTGAGAGCAAAACAATCAAATTGATAACCAAGGAACCTATTTTTGATAGTATGTGCTGTTTGTAATTTTAGAGGCTGTTAAAGTCAGAATAGTCTCAATGAATATTGACAAGCCTCAGGAAATAAAGGACTAATACGAAATAATGGATTAATTTAAATTGCTCAAGGATTAGATCAAAGACCTTCCCTCAATCATTCTCCAAGTATCAGACTTTATTCAATCTGAAACAGTCTCTTATGTATTATCTTCAAAGTACTAATAGTGATTTTGCAGATTACTTTACCAAGCGACAGAAGAATCCCCATGTTTACTTCGCATATTTCATAAATCTAAAATGGAGAAAGCACTCCTGCTTCGGCAGTTTTGAAATCTATGATTAGTTAACGAAAACAGAAGGATTCTATGCAGATATCCTAGAACTTTCAAATGGAATAAACTATAGTGAATCTGTAGGATCAACAATAAGCCCTTATAAATGAGACCAGAGAATTGAACAAACAGATAGTTCTTTTTAAGGCAAAATAGAACATCCCATTTGAAGAGGAGAAGGATGATCAAGTCAAATTTACTATGTTTCAATTAATTGTAATAGCCTTCATTAGTCTATTGATAGGGTTTTATATGCCCGAATTTTGAACAAACTATTTTATATTAAATTCATTAATATGCAATTAACGATTTTAAAAAAATGTTTATTAAAAATTATGAGAATTGTCAAGGATTTATTTAAATTAATAATAAGGAATTAATTATTAAGTTCAACTGAAATATCATTTATTCTTTCACTCTGTATTCAAATAGGTTTTAAAGTTTCCTTTTCCCTTGATCAAAACTATTTGTTTTAACTACGTTTTTTAATTAGATTTGGCTTCGAGAAAGCTCGGTTTCATTAAAAGATTGTATCATAATTTTTATACCAAGTATTCCTTGAATATAACTTAAATTGTAGTTATATAAAGTAAACATATAAAATTTAATCAACTTTCAGAGGAGAATTCAAGCTTAGATTGAAATGAATTCTTCAAAATTGATCGAGAAGGTTTATTAGATCTTTCACTAAGAGAAGGGTTGATCCATCTGATATCATCGTAAACTTTTAATTTTTGGATAGTTTTTTGAAATTAGTTAATGTTTTGCCAAGGCTTGTAACTACAAACAATCATTCTTTCGTTAAACTGAATTTTCGTGTTTTGATTCTCAAATATTTCATCATTAGGTTCATCCTCAATAAGATATTTCTAATGTAAACTAAGAGGAATCATTGATTTCATCTTGAAATTAGGTGATTGAACTTGCATTGAATAATTTTATTTTTATAGATTTAACATAAATGAATTTTCTCTATTTAAATAAAAAACACAATAATGCGTATTAATCACAATCTATACATTAGTTCGTATTGTTTTTATATGATTGAAAATAAATATGCTTAATCCTGATATTATTAAAATATAAAATGTAGATTTATTCATTACAACTGGAAAATAATAAAAATTAATTAGATGTTGGTAATTTTAACTCCTTAGGTTCACGATCCCAAGGCCTAAATTTCAATGATTTATAGGTTTTAACCATAAATAGAAAGATTACTTTAATTAAACAGGTAAAATGAATTATCATAAGAGACATCATTATTCACTTAATCCCCAGATTTCAAGTATTTATATACTAAAATCGTTGGATGTTGATAAGATTTCGTTTTTATAGGTCTCACATGAATTGGTGTTCCCATGCATCAGAGAATGATTGACATACAAACCAAACTTTTCTCCGCATCCAACTGCCAATCCATCGGACTCACAAAATATAAAATAATTATTTGCTTCTGTCCAATTATAAGTTTTGAAATCATTCTACTAATTTAGGCATGCATGAAAATACCTTAAAAGTCCAAAGAAAAGTTTCCCCATTCCCAAAGAATTTCCCAAAGATCAATTGTGGTGACTCATTTAAAAAGGCTCCGAACTTGCATTCATTGAAATCCTTGATTGCTAAAATTAATGGAGAATGGTTTTCACAATTATTTAGCAATGTCAAATAAGATGAACCATGTATAACATTTGAAAAGATTAATTTCCAATTAGATGTCTTATAAATCGATGGAACACATGCAATTATCTATTATAAAATAAATTATATGATTACTTAAATCATTTCATCACTATCCAAGATCTAAGATTCAGAAACCATTTAGGGAATGAAATCCTACCCTCCCCAGAGTTGATTAGTCCTCTCTATTAACTTCTCAGTTAAAGTTGCATCTTAAATATCATAAAAAGGAATAATCGTTAGATCTTGTTCCTTCTTCTTCTATTCATCCAGCATTCGTTCTGATTTTGTTTTGACAACGTCAGCCAAGGTCTCGCACAAATCAATGCTTTGAACCTTAAACTCTTTTTAATCATCATCATTTTGTATCTATCTTTTATTGAAAATACATACTCTGAATGTCAGAATCGGCAACACTTCAAGCAATTTTTTACAGGATACATTTGCACTTATATGCACCATCACTAAATAGTCTTTAAAGCATTTAGAATTTGATTTTGCTATTCTCATAGGTAGTTCATTTAAATCAACTGATATCACATCTTCAGTCATAAGACATGCCTAAAAATTGAGGATACTTTATTCTAAAATATATTATTTAGCTTTGTACTATGACATTTTTATACTAATTCTTTATTTCTATCAACAAAACTGGGATCGAATAATATGACATCACTATTCACAGTCAAAACTCCTTCTATGCAACCATAATTAGTCACATAATACACATTGACTTTCAATTAAAATTAAATATACATTTTTTAGTTTAACCTCTTGACATGATTTCATCCATCAAGTTTCTCCCATAAAATGATGACTAATTTAATTACAAATCATTAGTTTCACTTTCCTAAATGAATCCCTAATTTTGTTCTTATTGCACCACAGGAATTTTTATCTTCATGCCAGGAACAAAGCACTCTGGGGAAATGTCATTTATTTTTAAAATTCTGTTCTAACTTTATTATTAACTTCTTCATTACTTAATATTAAATTTCAATTCCAATCCGAATAGAGTATCATCTTCTTATACAATATAATCTACTAAGTTTGTATCCTCCTATTAAAATTTCAACTGCTAGTCATAGTTATTTAAATAAATGTCCTCTATGTCTTACAACTTGAAATCTAAAATCATGAATAACTATAGACCTATGTATTCTTGTTCTTCACCTTTTGTCCATTTCTCATATAAAGGGAAATATTCATTCGAAGTAAATTCAAAGAGAAATGTTTCGAATTGTTAATCAAGCTTCGGATCTTTAACCTCATTAGTTTTGCTATCCTATCATATATAAGAGCTGATTACAGATGATCCGTAGAAATAACTAAAAATATTTTTCATTAATATTAATAATAAGTTTTAGTAAATAATAATAAAAGCAGTATTTCTTAGTTATCAATATCATGTACTTAGACAATTATAATTCAATTGATGAATTTGAAAAAGCAAATCCTTCTTTCCATGATTCAAATGCAAAAGATTTCAACTCTCTTAAAACTAATAACAATTTTGATTATCATTATTATTTATGTATAAATGCTATATCAATGATGATGATGTCCATGAGCTTTTGGTGTAGGATTTCCAGATTTAACGTATCCCAAGACTTGAGCTGCTTTCAAATAAGATGCACCTTGACATTTCTTGTCTAAACAGAATTAAACATAGTCCTTTTCTTAGATTTTGAAGCATGTTCTGTAACATAGTTCTAATCATAATAAAATTGCTTTACTATCTTCCCAATTATTATCATGGAGATATTGATGTCTCAGCTTATCTTAAATTGTTTATTATTAAACTGGATAGTCGGGCTAATCCTCCAAACCGTGAAATGATGATAACAAATCAAAGAAATGGATGTGTCCTTTGTGAAAGACTTCGGGATTTTATGGTGTATAAGCTGACGAATTTGATCTCATAATTATTTTAATTATTAATAAATGTATATTTATTTTAAAATTTTATTTTCAAGTAATTTTTTGAAAGCATTTGCCTATTTCAATCAGCCTTATAAAATCTTGATCCCTCCTAATGCTATCTCCTTTCAAGAGCACTTAACTGTTAATATTAGAAATAAATTCATATTAAATTCTAAAACTAAGATTGTAATATTATATCTATTAAAATCGCACCTAATTCTATTAGTAAAATTCTGTCAATGATGTGAAAATGATATTGAATTATAGATCTAATTTGAAAGGTTAGAGTTAGAACCTAAAATTAAATATTTATGAGTTTGTAAAATGTGTATTTTTAACTAATATGTTCAAAAAATTGATCAAACTACTAAGGAGTTTGAGATGTTTGGAAGTTCTTTGTTTTAAAAACCACTAAATAGTATGATAATCAAATAAATATTATTATCAATTAATCTAATGGTCTTTAAAATGCTTTTCAGTTTCAAATTAATAATTGATTATCAAGAATACGTCGAGTAGAAAATTAATGAGAAGTGCAATACTACATTTGAAATGATTAATTGTTATTACCTAATTTATTCGTAAAATATTGTATTAATAAATAAATAAATGAAAACAATTTCTCTGATTCCTTCGACAGAATAAGTTGTGACAGGGTAAACTTGGATTGGCGGTCCTACATATGAATTATAAAAGCAACACGTACCCGGGTATGCTGGACATGTGAGAGGATTAAAAGCTGGTGCTCATTTAATTATATTTTAGAATCATAATATGGAAAACCTTTTGCAAAGATAACAGCTGAATGTATGGAAGAAAGATTAGCTAGATGCACAAATTCTGAAGAGAGAGAAAGATTGTAAACAAGTTACAAGATTGAGTTTGGAGTATCAAATTAACAGTTATCTAGGAACCCAATCTAAGAAAACCATAACTTTAAACTGCAGCTGAAAGAATTTTGGAAGATGCTCATCGATAAGAGAAGGCTGTAAATGAGAGAAATTATCGAACATACTAGTAATGCTTGTATTTGATGTTGTTAGATCTATGCCTAAAACAATTAATGATATCCCCCCCATCGATAGATTACCAGTCGTTGGGTATCAAGGATTCCGACCAGTGTTTAGACATCCACTAAAATAAGTTGTTCCACCTGAAAAACCATAACCCTATGTACACCCTTTAAATCAAATGGACGAAGGAATGGCAAAGACTATGCTTGAAACTAATGATAAATTTAGATAAACTGTATTAGATATTTATAATCTAGTATGAACAACAAAAGCCTCCCATTGTTGGATATACTGGATTCATGACTGGCATCAAAGCAGAGAATATGTATGGTGAATCCTACAAGGATATCAGTCATTAAGTTTTATAAAGGAAGTAAAGATGAATATTATAAACCTATTTGATATAATTCATTCTAAATACTGATTTCTGAAATTTAATTACACATTCTCAAAATGAGCATCAAAATCTATAATTTTCCAATGAAGCCCAGCCTTTAAGCAATCCTAAATAACCCACCATTCCAAGGTACTTGAGGAATTAATCACATATTTAACATTTTCATTTTATGAAACAATCTTATTTAATACAAACGAGTACTTTAGCATTCAAAAGAGGAATATCATCCACCTCAATTTATGAAATTCTCATCACAATTGCTTATTTTTAATTAATATTGTTTAAGATTTCCTAAGCTATATTACTCATAATTCCTCTAGCATTAGCTCTTGCTTCGTATACTCCAATAATCTTTCTATCGCTTTATAATTCACTTGATATCTAATGATATGAATTGGAAATTAAATTACAATATCTAAGGAAACTTCCAATGTATTTAGACTAACTCTGGAATGGAATAAAGGATAGGCGTCCACAATATTAACATGTGTATCATTAATTTAACCAATCAGAATTCCTATATCATTAGATTAATCAATACCAATTACGTCTTCAGTGGCATATTTGCAAGCATGTAACATTGCCTTTTTGTAAACAATTTTCTAAATATCCACGCTTACTTATTCTAATTGTGAATCCATAAATAATATTTTATTAAATTTATTTAATAATTATACAAATTGTTAACTTTATTTTCCTGTCGATGTACTCCTATTTTCAAGTGTAATCTTAAGAAATATGATTGTTACCAGCCCTTAAAATGGACATAATTGAATAAATAATTATCAATAAAGAATTATAGCTTTCATTTATAGGGTAAGAGCACATCATATAATGGGAAGGAAAGTAATACTTAGACAATCAAAGCAATGAACTTTCATGTCAGTTGAAACATAATCATTTGTTTTAGAATTATTGTTATTACTTTTATAAAATTCGTTTTATAATCACTATGAATTAAAATCACTAACAAAAATTATAATAGATTTTAAGCTGTTAATTATTATTTTTAACTTAATAATAATTTATAAAATTTTTTCTATTATTTTTTATTAATATTATCGAAATAGAACTATCTTATAATAAATTTTGAATAAATATAAATTCAAAACTTATGGGGGTATCTGTTATTATTTCCTCTTAATGGTTTCAATCTATTCGATAAATAATAATTATTGGAATTTTCTCTATGTGACTTTTGTGAATGTCCACCAAGAGCTTAAATGCTATCCAGAGACTTATCACATTTGCCACAAATGAACGTAACTTTTTTAGAATTTTTTGTTCTTTTTGTTACGATTTTGTTTTTCCTTTTAGTTTCTATTTCATCCTAGACTGAGTATTCTTGTTCATATAAATGTTCCAAGTTGAGGTATATCTCTTCAATTGGCAGTCCATGAGCACTTTTCTATTTTTTATTTTGATTTCTTTTTTTTTTTGTCATTCTTATCATATTTTTATATATGAAAAAAAAAAGTTCCTTATATAGTAATTTTAGGGAGAAAGTATCTTTTTTACAAACATCATTTCCAATAAATGTACCTTCTAGAAGTATTCAGTTTTTTTCATTATTTTGTTGTAACCCTATAAGGATCTATGATACTACAAGGCATGTTTGAGAGCCATAGTATATATATTTGGATCCTGAAATCCTCACACCTGAATATTTAATGATATTTTGAGAACTTCAAATTGGCTCTAATCAATTCCACCTAAATTCTAGCTTTGCTCTTGTTACTAATATCTTTATAGTGAGCAAAGCTTTTTTGGTGAGAAATGACAATAACTGAGAAATTATAAATAAAAAGGAACAATTAACTCGTTCTTAGTAATAAGTTTATAAGGAATTATTTACAATAGTCTAAAATCAAATTTTGATGAATGGGTCTGATGATCAATCTCATTAGTGGATGATTTCGATAAAAATATTATTTTAATTCTTAGACTCATTAAATTTCTCTATTATTCTTTGTGGCTTGCTGAACCCAACCTTTCTTTAGAGAATGAAGAGATGCATAATTTTAAGAATTTATTTTTATGTTAAATTTTTTCGTTATAGAAAAGTATTTTGTTAATAAGAAAAGTGATGTCGTTCCCTTGGCAAATCTGAGCATAAGACATGGAGAGAGTACGTACTGTTGAATATTTCTTAATTTCAATAATGAAATATGGAATTTAGTAGAAGCCTGAAATTTGAATTAATTAAATTGAAGAGAGATTCAGGCATTCTTTGAATTCACCTTAATTCTATGATTTATGTGTTTATTGATGTAGAAAGTATCAAAGATCAGAAGCAAAAGCTAAGATCTTCAGAATTTTTTAGAATGAGTCCCTCTAATTATTATTTATATATATTGATAAACTAATATATATATATAATGATGCAAAAATTTGAAACTAAATTTGATCATATTATCTTCTTTTTTTCAAAGATATGCAATCTTTCGCTTAAGTGACGGCTATGTTTTGTTGATGAACCAGAAGATTATTCAGTGGAAATAGAATGATTTCCTTATTGAAATTCATATCCTTAAAATTGATCTATAATAAATTTGAAAACGATTACCTTAGATAGTTTGATCTCTTAGGACTAAAATATTTTATTAGATTAATTCCTAATTTTCTTCATCCTCATCTATAATTTACTTTTAATCAAAGTTATCTTCAGTTTACTTTAAAGATTATGAAGAATCATACATTTGGAATGAAAGAAGGAACTAATGTTTAATTTTACAATTTATCCCATGCAAAATTAGCAAACCATGGATGTTCTTTGATTTCCTAAATCCCATTAGAACCTAATCTATTTTAAGGTTTTCGTTGGAGCAACTAATTAACTTTGATTTTTATGAATACCCTATTAATAAAATCCACTGCTTCAAGCGACCAACCATTAGGAATCTCTGTTCTTTTAATTGAAGCTTATTTAGCTAAAATCGAGTCTCTAATTTCTTGTCTAGATCTTCCAAAATATGGTCTCTAAATTAGAAGATAATGATTACTCTCCCTATCATAAATTCATAGCCAATAACTCCAACAGCAAAATAATCAACAGCATAAGAGTGATTTTACTTACACATAACCTCAGGTGCTAAAATTTAATCTATATCATTTACCCATATATCCAGGAGTTCCACTAGTATCGCAACTGTTTTCAAGTTTCATAATTCTAGCAATCCCAAAATCTGTGATATGAACATATCCTTTTTCATCAAGTACCAAGTTTTCAGGTTTGATATCTCTATGAATTATTTTATTTGAATGTATGTATTCTAACCCTTAGACAATACAGGCTATAAAAAACTCTTAAAGTTATTTTTGCATCGATACTTGTTGAGTTTTCATCGAATCTCCTCATCCTTCCTATGTGATATCTGAGATCCCCTCCCTTCATATAATCCATCAATAAGTATAGATTTTCTCTATCTTAGTATGCATAGTTCATATTGACTAATAATGGGTGCTTCAATTGACTTAATAATGTCCGCTCATTCATGACAGAATGTACACTTTTTTTTGTCACAATTCTAATTAATACAGAATTTGTACAATGCTTTTGACATTTCTTTCATTGCGAATATTTACCCTGTTTTTTTGTGCTCAACTTTCCAAACTTTACCGAATCCACCTATTCCAATGACAAACTCAAAATTAAATGAATTTCTGCAGAATATGATCTCTTATTGGATCTTGGTTGAAGTAGAATTATGAAGTAAGTCTTTGAAGTTGACAAATTATTAACTCTGCAATTTAATATGCTTTTTTTGTGCTTATGATTTAGAGTCTGTCGTTACTTTTGCTATTTCTCTAGCTTTTGCAAGCAAGGCTTATATCTATTGACTGTTTACTGACTATACGATATAAGCTATATTACCTCATTAATCTTGGTTGATTTTATTAATCGAGTGAGACTAGTGACATCAATCTGAGATCCTTTGGGACTATGTAGATTTTTCAAACTATTCAGTCCTGATGCTAAAGGAGAAACTTATTAACTCGATGGAACTATTATTGGACTTCTAAAAGTAGACACACTATTTTGTTTGAGTTTTCGTTATCCTGTTGAGTTTAGTAGCATTTTACAACAATTAATATATTTATTTACAACCCAAATTTATTATTAATAGCAAACATTGATAGAAAATACAGCAAGATAGCATAAATTACATAGTAATTAATAATATGCGTTCTGAACACAGTTGTGAGACTGCTCGCTCTAATTGAAAGATACTTAAAAGACTGTATTAGAATAAATATCTTCAATTAAAGAAGTATTAAATTAAAATAGAAATATATATAAACAACTTCTAAATAATAAATAATAGTTTATAATTGTGAACAGTTTAATTAATTTAAGTTATATACGTAAATGGTTACATCATGTAATAACAGTTTAAAAAATCTTCGAAATAAATGAGAATACTTATTATATAATATGATCAACTAATCAGAACACTAAGACAAGAGTACGAAACCTCATAAACTACATGAAAGTTCAAGAGCAATGTCAAAACTCTCTTTCGCTCAAGAAGGTTAAAAGCAATCTTCTCTTTCAACAATTTTTGGCATTACTAATTCAATGGTTGGTTCCCTTTGTTTAGTCATTCCCCAAGTATTCCAGCAATGCGGAATAATTACATGCTTAATAGTGATGGCCATTTTGTGCTTGGTTCAATACAAAACATGCTAGATCATGATTATTCATTAGAAAGAGGAAGAATTAGACAGTGAACACATGATCAAGAGATTATTAGGGAAATCTTGGGTATAATTAAATACAATAATCATAGACCTAAGCTTTCAGAGTTACATCAGGAACTTTATTATTTATTGTTGGAATTATTTATTTTCAATTAATAAATCTAACACTCTACCCCATATTAGTCCTTATATTCGAAAAAAGCAATTATACTAATTATGCCGTGCCTTCAGATGGTATAACTTTTGATAAGTTTTCAATTCAATGGTAAGCAATAATTATTTTCTTGCCATTGGCCTCAATGCTATTATTAAAAGACATCACTAAAATAATCAAGTTTGCACATTACGGGGTTGTTGCTATCATATGCTATTGCATATTTATAATATATATCTTCTCAGCAAATATGTTAAACATAAATGAATTTAAAGGGGATATCACTTGGTTCACTTGGAATTTCATATAGCCAGCAGGATAATTTGCATTTGGTTTCATGGTACATAATTCAGTTGGATAATTGATTAAAAATAATGCAAATAAGTCAAACAACTCAAGGGACTTACTTATATCTTATGGGATTGCAGCTGTTATCTATGGAATCATAGGAACATTCGGAGCAATAGGGATTATGGGTAAGACAGCAATCAATCCTTCAACAATATTGGATTTCTTTTCATCAACCGATTATGCAGTTTTGTTTATTGAAGGGCTATTTTTAGTACATTTAGTGGCTGCATTCCCAATATTTCCATACATCAGCATTTACTAGATATTGGAAACTTTCTATCATAAGGAATACCCATAGAAATTCTAATGGGGATTGAAGGCAGTATTCATTTGTTCATGTCTAATTGTGTAATTATTCAACATAAATGTGGGAATTGTCATTTCATTTGATGGAGCCGTATGTGGATTTTTATTGGTGTATATTATCCCAATTTACATGCATTTTAAATGCTATTATGGTAATAGAACTAATGTTGGGGATGCATTTTTAGATCACGATAGTGATTGTGTCAAGCACAAAAACATAAATTATTTGTCTCTTCCTTTGAGAGTCGTTATTTATTTAATAATACTCTCCGTGGGTATATTTAACATGATAATTTTCTTTTATGACTTTTTCAAGTGAATTATAATTTGTATATTTGTTACTATAATTAAATTATAAGAACTTTGACATAGAAAGTAAATAAATATGGTTTTAAATAATTGCGAGTCAAAATAATTATTTTGGATGCACAAAGTTTAGATAATCTATTTTTTCTTTCTTTTCTTCAATATTATCATTCATTCGTAAATTTTTTAACAATGAATCTTGCGATTTAAACCTAGGCTTTAATTAGAGTTTTTCTTTTGATTCCAAATGTTTTCTCACATTCCTAAAGGAGGCTTGGATAACTTATTGGATTTGCCTTGCTCTTTTGTCAGGATTATTGGATTTGTAAGCTTATTAATACATCAAAGAAATAACAAGATTATCAGGTGGAACCTTAGGAAGTTTGGTGATGGAATCCAGAATCTAATCTAAATTCATTTAAGGCAAGACTTTATTGGGACTAATGGCAGGTAATTTAACATGAAATGAAAATTTCCCATGTACAATATTCTTTGGGGATTAATAGTCTTCAGTAGTGAAGGTTCTACAATATGAGATTGTAATTACTTATCTCTAATTTACTTGGTAGCTGATTCTAATTGGGAGGCACGATTTCCTTATTTTTTTAATTTTGCCTAATATTATTGCAAGGCATTGCTGTAACCTCGCTTTGAGCCTTGATCATCGGAGGCAAATTAGTGTTGGTCATCTGAAAGCATTCCTGCATCAGTCAGATGTTAAAAGACTTGGACTTAGCTGAGACTTTAATTTGTGCTGTCATGCTTAGATAATTTAGATTGGAGTTTCCTGCGATGTGAACTTAAGTAAGGCTTTAGGAGAATGATAAATGATTACCTCAGAATCTTTGTTGATCTAGGATTGAGCAGAATTGTATATGAGTTTCCAATGTTTAAAGATGAGAACTGATTTCCTCTTCATATTTTCATAGACCAGAAAGTTACCCAAATTATTAAAGAATTTGGTCTTCCTTATTTTGTAGACAATCAATCTGGGTGTAATTACTCTGGCTTTAGTAAATCTTTCAACTTTATTGAGTATTTCCACTTCCCCAAATTGTTGGTATTCTCCATATGATGATAATACCAAATGGGTATCAGCAACCTTCTTGGACAATTCGACTTCGCCACTTATAATAAAGTATATGTAATTAGATTTATTGGCTTCATCATAAATGGTTTCTCCTGCTTTATATGTGATTTTGTGACATTCAAGTAAAATGCCCATGATTTCATTGATATCAGTTTCAACTGATGTGAAGATCATATTCTTTTTGAAGTATTGGATCTTCTCTTCGAGGATTTAACTCAAGTAGGGATCCAACAGTTGTATGTAGGCTGCCTCACTCATGTACAGCAAATGAGTATTCTCAACTGCAAAGACTGTGGATGCACGCGAACTCTCTAATTTGATTGCCACCTCTCCAAATGAGCTAAGGATGTATGAATGCAGAATTACTCTCCTGAAAACATCACTTTGACTACCAGGTAATCGGGAAACAGATTTTTTAAGCCGTATGGATCTTGGGGTACTTTGCTATCAGTGGTTTAATTGTCAATATCAAATTCTACTTTTTGGATTCCAACCATTTTCTCTTTGGGTTTCATGACCACACATCTGCCATCTAGGACTATGTAATAACGCTTGTTTTGATCTCCTTGTCTGTAAATCACATTGAATGCTGAAACATACTAATATCTATGTGGAATGAGTTGGGTACCTTAATTATGTGTAGACTTTGTGCATCACCTCTGGAGGAACTTGCTCTTTCATCATTTTAAAGGCTCGAATATTGCCCAGTTATTCAATCAGCAATGAGGAGGTTGGAATAAACAGATTTGGTAATTGTCTCATACTCGCTTTTTGTATTTTCTTACCGAATTTCTATGGTTATTAATCCATTTCAAGTGCTGGTCGACTATTAAGTTCAGTCTTGATGCTTTCAATATCAAATAGTTTCTTTGATTTTTTCGAATCCTTGTTATTCAATATTAGCAGTTATAAGCGCATTTCCTCTTCCTCTGAATCAGAACACTCTTGGGGTTTTTGAAAGTCAAAGATTTGTTTGTCTGAAACTGCAAATTGCGATTGTATATAAGAGCTCATACTAATAACTTTAATCTCAAATTAAATTCAATTATAACCAATTTATATATTTATTTCATCTAGTTCTACACAAACCCTTATTAATCATATCACTTGTGTTTCTCGAGTTTTAATTTGCATTCCTCAATGCAATAATACATTATTATTATTTTATATTAAATAATTTAATATATGTCTAAAATTAAGCAAAAGAAAAAAGCCATCATCAAACATTCAATCGACCCTGAAAACGATCACGAAGACCAACTCAGTTACGACTCCATCGATGATGAACAATATTTGAATCTTTTATAAGGTCATGTCCCCAAATCCCATAAAGTTGACATCAATTTGGGATCCAAGTACCAGGGCAAAAAATCAAACAATCAGTAACAACACTCTCAAAGTGAAGATGATCTCCAAAATGAATCAATAAACAGTGATGAAATCCCAGAGTTTATTGAAAGTGAATAAGAGGAATCTGAAGAACAAGAATAAAGAAAGACTGTCTAACAAAAACCAAAAAAGAAATAGAATTTAAGTACATTTTAGAAAGAATTGTAATAAATTGAAAAGGAAGATTTGGAAATGGTTGAGAAGCAAAAGGAAAATAAAAAAGAATTGAAAGAAGTAGCAGATCAAATCAAAGAATAATAGCAAATTTGGGGGAATCTAGTTGAAATTAGAGAATGTATTTATTTCTTATTATTATTTACTCTCTTTAGAAATGCAAAAATCATTAGACGCAGCCAAAAGACTACCTATTCTGAAGGATTCCTTTGTTACAGAACTATAAAAGTCCAAAGATTCGAAACTAAATGATTTGAATTGCCAACTCTTAAACAATATCACAAACCTATTGAATTTGTACTCTTCCCTTTATTAAATTGATCACATCAATTTGAATGATGATGGATACGATCTGAATTCATTAAAGAAAGTCAATGATAATCTTGAGGATTCCATTAAAGTTGTCGAAGATGATATCATAAGATGGAGTTCAAAATCGGCACTGCTGTCATCAATAAACAAAGATAGCAAATCATAAATGGGGTTCTTGCTTCTAACTCCTATTGGATAATCCAAAAAGGCCTTACAAAATATAGATAAATTAAGATAGAAGACTTAGTTGAAGAGACAGATATTCAGAATCTTGGGTGAGGAAGGCTCGGATTTAAGTGAAACCACGAATAAGCATATTTTTGATGACACTGACTTTTACTTAGATTTATTAAAGGAAACCATCTCGTTTAACAATCAAAACCCTTCGGAAGAGGCTCTCAAAAAGGAGACTGAATAGTTTATATTGAAAAGACAGGCTTAAAGACAAGAGAAGGAGAATAAGGTTGTTGATAGGAAGGCATCAAAAAATAGGAAAATAAGATTTGAACCACATCAAAAAATCATAAACTTCACTTCCAGAATTGAACCTCCAGTTGAAACCATATCCAGGGAAGAAATTATTAAAAACCTATTTGGTTTGACTTCAACGAATATTGAACCTCAGGTTTAGAAGAAGAGAAAGCAAAGTATTCATGATGTTAATTTGATATGATGCTGTGTTTATAAGTTTAGGCCTTTTTATAAATAAAATATCTCTAAAATATATATATATCTATGAGCCAATTCGAAACCAATTCACAATCTTAGATGCCATTTTAAGAGAGAAGCAAACTCAACTCAAATCGTTAATTGGGGACTACTAACATGTTCAATGGCTAAAATCCAAAAATCATGGAGTAAAACGAGTAATGATGATATTTTCTAATATTATAGATCATTTCCTTAGAGATCTACACAACCTAATAAGTAAGAGCTGCACTTAATTTAAGCTATGGGAATCAATAAACAAGTTCCTAATTGTCCCAATATCCCCAATTTAACTACCCAATTATGGGCTAATAAACATTGAAAGATCAGGATCAATTGGAGCAAATACAAAAACTGACCAAAGAAAATGACACCTTGAAGTAAGAGAGACAATCTAATTAGGTATTAGTGGAGAGCACTTGAATAGGAGAATCAAAAATTGAAGAGTGACAAGTATTTTAATCTCATGTATAATGTAGTATTCAATTAAACACAAGAGACAAATCAAACACGAATGAAATCCAAGAATTATAGTAAAATAATATACTATCTAGCTAGAGATCAAATATTGATGTTGAAAAATGAAAATAAAAGATTAACAAATACCATTTAAGAAGATCAATATTTGTTGATAGATTTATAGAAAATGAGGAAATAAGCAGATTTTAATAGGGGACTGGAAAATTAGATCAATGATTTAGAGTAGTAATACGCAAGTGTTAGCAAATAACTTCAGGAATAAAAAAGATAAAATGCCTTTTAAGAATCCGAACTTCAAAATCAAAAAGAAATACTTGAAAAGTACAAAGCATAAGTTAGGGATCAAACTTTGGGGTATGAATAGTAAGTGTAGAAAAATGAGCAATTGTTGAGCGATAATCGAAAAATGAAAATGGCGTTAGATTCAATTAACAAAGACTTAAAACAAGAACAAGAGTAAAACTAAATCTTGAATCAAAAGTTAACCCAGATCTCTTCAGGAGCTAAGGATTAAATAACTAATCTGCAAAAGAACTTGTCTAATCTTAATTTTTAAAATGAATAACTGAAAAATCAAGTCACTTAATTATAGCAAAAGGAGAAGGAATTGTAAATATCTCAAAATTAGAATATTCAGTAGGAAAATAAAATCAGATAGATGAATCAACAATTAGGTGAATGTAATTTTATTATATCTAATATTTAGAATAGAAACAAATTGAATAGAATAATGCCATGATTTCAAGCGGAAAAGTGGAATATACCAAATTAGCAACCAAATGCCAATCATAGGATCAAGAAATTTGGAAATTGAAAGAGCAACTTAATACTATGACTTAATAAAATTCTTTGATATCCAATAAATGTACTTAGTTGGAAAGGAGTATGGAAGATAGTCTCTAGAAATCCTCAATGTTGTCATCAGATCTCAAAGGATAATTGGAAAAGTGGAAAAACTATGGAACTACATTGGAATAGGAAGTAAAGAAAAGAGAAACTGCCATTGTGAATTTAGAGAATGACATAATGAAGACAGAAGCTTAATTAAAGTAGGCGTAGGAAATGCAGACTCAATTAAAGAATGAAAGAACTGTGTAAATAGGAAAATTAAAAGAAATGCATGCTGACTTATTGGTTTATGAGAAAAAGTGTGATCAATTGGAAAGGGGTATTCAATTAGTATTAGCCTAGATATTATGACTCTTTAAGCTCAAATCAAAGGATCATAATAAAATTAAGACAGATTGGAACAGGAAAAAGCGATCCTAACTCAAGAGGTTAAATAATTGATGGAGGATTTGCGTAGAATCCAGAACTAATATGATATAAAAACAAGGGATTTTGAGTCTTTGCTTTAAAAACATGAATAGGAGAGTAATTTGAGAGATCGAGACATATAGAGTCTGAGATCTTAAAATTCTGCTTTGAATGAGAGGAATATGGCTTTGGAACATGAATTGGCAAGAGAAAGAGTAACAATATTTGTCATTTGCATTAGGAAAAATAATTACAATTAGATTCTAAGATAAGGTCATTAGAGAATGAGATACATAATCTCAATTTTTAATAAACTCTTAAGTAGTAGTACTCCTGGAATACTGAACCTTAGATGAGCATAGGAAATCAGAAGCCACTATTCACAGAAATAAGCCAAGGCTATCAATCTCCATAGGCAAATTATCAGACACTCAAGTCTCCAGTTTACAATTAATCTGGAGTTTAAGTTTAATCCAATTAAAAACCTACAGAAGTTTCGAATTCCGGGCTTGAACATTAACGTAACAATTCATCGCACCAGATAAAAAGCAAAAATTACGATTTGAGATTCCAAAATGAACCTTAAAATTAATTACATTGATAGATGGTTCATTATAAAATAATTTAATTGTTTTTCATGATTTCAAACATCAAATCTTAAAGGGGATCTAGGGAAAAATATAATTAGGAGCTCCCATTTATATCTCACAAGAAATCTTTCACATTTTTGAAAAATGGTGAGCTACAATCCTCCTAACAATCTATTCATAAAAAAGGGATTAAATCTCAATTTGCCTTAGATACACTCTTCAACTATAAGTTGGTTCAAGATTCAAATACTAGTCCTGTCCCTACAAGTCAAAAATCTTATAGATATGATAGAGCCTCTTTTTGCACTTTTTTCCCCAATAAGAAAGCCTTGCCCATAAGTAATGAAATCTCCTTATCTTTAAAATCTATGTCTTACAAAGAAAATAGTTTAATGTAAATGTTGAATTAAATTGCATTCATTATAAATGAATTACGATAATTTAAAAGTGAAAAAGGATTAATCTCTATAATAGAAAAGGAAATAAATTAGAACTCTAGATTTTAAGAACTTTCATTTCTTTTCTTGAATGCTAAAATGACAGATTTAGTGTAATCGGAATTGATGTTCAAAAGGATTTATAAAAAGTTCACTTACATCTAAGATAACCGAGTAACAATTAAACGGAATAAACTGGATTAATCTTTTCTTCAAATTTTAAATGATTTCTTAAACAAATTAGAAGAACAATACAGAAAAATCAACGAGCTTTAATTTTTAGGTTTATAAGAATCTATGAAAAGTTCAAGGATCAAGCTGCAAAGTATAAAATTAATTGTATATTTTTAGATAAAGAGTTAGAAATGCAAACTTAATTTACCTCCCAAGAGAAAAGAGAGGCATGTGAATAATTATAGTAATTCTTCAAATACAAATTCTCTCTTAATAAAAGAATTTTGGAAAGTAAATTATCTTAAGACATAAATTAACTTGAAGAAAGAAATGGTATTTTCAAACACATCAATAAAAATAATAGATTTATTTCTAATTAAATAGATGATATTTTGAAAAATATTATATGACTAAAACATTTAATGTGAAAAAAACAAATAGTTGTTATTATAAAATAATAAAATTTATTGTCATATTAAAATGTTATCATAAAAAACTCTTTAATTGTTAAGAAAATACCTGGATGAGTTTGTGAAACTTGAAAATGAAATTGAGAATAAGAGAGAATAATTAGCTCATAATTTATATTTCGAACCTTACACAATTTTTTGCAGATTAGATTATAAAAAGTATTATAATGTCTCATTATTAGAATCCTTCATATTGATATCAATGACCTAAAGGTTTATTTTTCAGATCATGATATATTAGATTGTGACGATGACTTATAATTGCTGGTTAGAAAGATAGACATCGATAAGGATCAATATATATCATTTAGCGAGTTATATTATAAAATAAAGTAGGTTCTCGCGATATATTTTGCCCCATAGAGATCAAGACTTACATTAATTAGCGAATAGTAGATAATCGTATCATCTATTGGAGAATAAGTTGCCAACTTTGGTTGAGAAATAATTAATGTAAGTATTTTTAGCAGAGATTGAACTGAATAAAACAATGTTAAAATAGATGCAATAATTGAAGGCATTACCAGATTGGGACAAAATAACTGCATGGGAATCAGTGAATTCTGGCAGGAGATGGGATTAAAAAGGGTAAAATAGATTAATTATGTAAGACTAGAGTAATACTTTGATGAAACTAAGATGCTGTGTAATTCTAAGGATATCGAAAACTTTATCTATAGAAATAGCAAAGAAAGGGACTATAGAATAAATTATTCTGATTTTTTATATTTGGTTTTTGCTCATGAGGATTAGAATGTAAATTATAAATTTTTCACTCCTCAAAAAAATTAAAAGTAGATATCAGATAAAAAGTCTAATTTGTTACCTAAGACAAATTTTAGGACTAATGAATCTACTAATTTAAAGAGTGAAAAATTTAATAGAAATCTGCAATCTTAGAGTCACCATCATTAGAAACAAAATCATGATGATGTTGAAGTTAGTGAATTTAGAATTAATGAATATGAAGATTAGAATATTTTGGAGTTTTTAATAAATAAATTGAAAATTTAAAATCAACTAAAAGGGCATTTAATAAAATAGCTATTCTTTCGGATCGATGAGAATAAGAAAGGTGACAATAAATTTTATAAATAGGCTTTATAACTTTGGATGATCTGATGAATTATTTCGAGAAAGTATTGCATGCTCCATAATAAATTGAGAACCTTATAAAATTAGTGAAAATATTAGATAAAAATAAAGACGGTATAATTTCTGAGAAGGAGTTTTATGAACAGATTGTGAGACATGCTTACATTTAATAGTTTTGAGAATTTAATTATATATATATATATCAGCTATAAACATCCACTCAGTTTATGAAGACCAAGAGATCAGAATAAATCTTGACTATCCTATTGAAGGATCAATGCATCTAAAAATATGTTTTTTCTAATGGATCTAGTATCATTTCTGGATGAAATAGTTGTTCTATTGCTAATATATTTGGGAGAGATTCTCAAAACATCCTTTAGAATTGGTCTTGTAGTTTTTGGAGAGGTAAATGTACTTCTGTGTGTTGATTATGATCTAGGTCGTCTTCTGTCGATTGACATTTTCATTGGTTTGGAAAATGATTAGACAAATGATTTATCTTATGAAGAAATAGTTAGATTTATTTATTGAGCAACTTAATTACTTTTATATAGTCTTAGTATTTAATCATGTAATTCTAGTTTATCCTTTTTTTGGATTTTATTTAATTGCATCCTGTCTCTGTAAAATTGCTAAAATTTAACCTAAAATTAGTTATTGTTGGTATTTTATTTTTTGGCAATAATTTAATTAATGACATCGATTCTGGAGCATTGTTATTTATAGCAGTTTCCATTTGAGGTAATTGTTGTTGTATTATTAATTGATGATTACATATTTTATTATATAATTAATAAATCAACTCTTGATGATGATAACCTTCAAATGATGTTTGGCAGGGGGGAGTTCATTAACATGGATTCTAATGAAATCCAAATGCTTTTCATATCCACCAGAAACAGCTCCAAAGGTGTGTCCTGGGAATGAATAAACAAAGTGGACTCCATTCTTAACTCCGAATGATTCCTCCTTTCCTCTGTAAGTCTTGAATTTCAATTCGTTGATTCTAGCACCTGCATGTCCTGAAATTTCAAGGATTTCATCATCTAATTGATTATTATTGAACAATTACCATCATCGATCTTGAAGTGTTTCTTGTGCACTTTGCCTAACAAATGTCCAAATGGCTTGAATTTTTCAATATCATGACCTTCAATGGTGTGTCCCTTGGCATCAGCATACTTGAAGACTGTTCCGATGATATGTTCATCAGTGTATTGGACTATTCGATTAAATAAGGAATTAAACCTTCGATTTCCTTGATTCTGTAAGGTGCTGGATGTTTAGCCAACTCAGTCTTGTCATCGAAAGTGCTTAATCCTTCTCTTGGGAGTCCGATTGTGACGTGTTCAGGAACTGCGTGCATTTGTTAAATTATATTATTAAAGATAAGGACATCTAATAATGGAATTTAAAGGAGCCATATTGGGATATAGAAAGCGTAGTATCAATTTTCTTCAATAAATTTTATTTCTAGATTATTCTTCGGATATGCTAGTGCAATATTATTAAACATGAAGCATTAATCTATATTTTATTAATACTGATGACGGATTTAAAATTAATCAATTAAATTGAAATAACATAAATTATTAAAAATATAATGCTTAAAAAAATATATAATATGAATTCTTTTTAAATTTAATTAGTACTTTTACTTCTTTTTGTTGGTGTTCAAAGTATTGATTAATGCAAAGAGTATGACACCTATTAAGCTTGCATTAATAGTGATGTTGAATAATGCATGTGGCTCAACAACAGAAATCTTTGCTAAAGAACCAATGACTATTTATAAGGCTGCAGTATAACCATGAATAAGAGAGCATGCGTCAAACAAATCGGCAACGCCTAAGGTTAACCAGCTAAATGTACTTCATCCAATCTAACCAAGGTCGTTTTATCAATGTATGTGAAGTAATTCCAAATATCAAAACAGAGGAATGCTTAAACAATTTGTCAAAGTCCGCCTGCATAGCTATTCAAAACCCTGAGTAGATTTGCTATTGGAAGGATGATAAATGTTAAGTATTGTATCAAAATCAATGGAGTTAAGTTCAAAAAGATTTTGATTCAGTAGCATATAGTGCATCTGCTTGTTTTTTAATTGAGGGTTATTTGATAATACATAATACTCTCTTATGGGATTTAATATCATATACTCCTAATTTGTATGAGGAAGCAGACAAAATCTTGAAAAAGGAAATGGGTTTAGAGGTAGGTGGCGATATTGTTTTTGATAATCCAAATGCAGTATCTTTGCAAAACAACTATTAATTTTAAAATGGATCTTATGCATGGTACACAATTAGAGAGTCTAAAGAAATTAAATTAAGCAATCGTAACTATTGACATATATTGTATTTAGTGTATAAATCGTATCGTTATAGGGAAGGATGTATAGCAATAGAAATATAAAACGATACTGACTTTTTGAATCTTTTTAGGTTAACAGACTAGGTTAGAGGGATCAATCATATTTATTGCAAATATTTAAATAAAAATCCAAGCATAACAAGCCAATTTGTATATTCAGATAGAGTTTGCAAGATGTTTAACAAAGAAGATTTGAATAAGTAAAATAAAATTTTGGAATTGGATTTGGGTTGCAAGTCCATCGATTATTTTCAATGCATTTATTATTATTCAAATACAAATATTTGCAGATTGAGGGGATAAGAATACGAATATCCCTGTGTGAATCAAGAAACTGATTATGTAGCAGATTGTCTTAATACTTATTGTACAGTTAGATAATGTTCAAAATAAGCTGACTATTATATGGATACGTTGACCAATAGATGCAGTAAAAGTTGTTCCTTAGCTTTAATCAAAACATAATCCTCTTGTGAAGCAATAAAGGGCTGCAAATTTTTAGCAACATCTAACATATTTTTTGTTAAAGTTTGTGCTCCATAAAATGGGTGTGATTAGTAAGGTATGCAATAGTTGTATTGTTAATAAATTTTGGATCAATGTGGATGGGATCAGCAATATTAAAGGTGTTATCGAGTATCTGAGGAAGAATTTAAATTGAAGAAGTGTAGCGAAGCATTTAATGCAAAATCTTGTATGTTGGTGGAATTAAGTGATTAGGTGTGCTATTGGGATTATTCCAGAAGGATTTGTTTCAATATTTTAGATTATCCATTATTGATTTCTCATAGGGCAGTGTCAGATTATGAGTTGTATACATTCGAAAGATATCGTTAAACAATAAGTAATAGAAACTTCTGCAAATATCTATAAAACGTCTCTTCAGAATATTTAACAAACCTGGGAAAATGTACAATAGATTCAAGAACTTTTGTTAATGACTTTAAATAAATCAATAGTTATTCTTGCCTCAGGGCTTAATCTGGATATTGCAGATGGGATTCCTATGAGTAGATTTGTATAAGCATTTCTGAAACTGAAGTAAGGGAATTAAACTGTTTGGAACAAGAGCTTGTTAACGAGAAAGTATGTCAAAAAGCAAAAACAAATCCAGATATGATTTGTGTGTATGATTAAGAAAGCAATTCTTGTAAGGAAATAACAAAATCTGAATTTGAACTTTATGGATGTGAAGGATATGGTTTTACAAAGAATTTATGCGTAAGTAAGTAGAAGCTTGGAGAAATGTGTCAATTTTCAGCTGGAAAGTGCAGATTCATTTCTGAATCTTACATCAATTCGATTCTATGTTCCTCCCTTTAAAATGTAAATGCATAGGTTTGTTAATTATATTCATCTTCTTCTAAAGTGTGTTTATACGATGAAACTACTCATTCTTGTTACACTCCAAGTAGCTATGCTGTATTGAGTTACTCAGAAAACCTAAATCGTTACGGTTGTCAATAAGTCGAAGGATCTCCTACTTTTTTTAGTTCAGATTTGAAGAAATGTATTTAGCTAAGCAATCAGAATACATCTGCATTATCAAATTTGGAATGCACGTCAAATTTTGTTAATCAACAAACATGTTTGTCAATCATTAAACCTGATTAACATTGTTTTTGGGATGCTTCATCAAAGCAATGTAAAAAATATTCTGGATATTTTATCAATTGTGCAGAGTATGAAAAGTATAATCCCCGCGTATGCGCAGCACTTGTCTCTGATATGACTAAATAGTTTATGAAAGACAATTTTTGTGTTTTTGAAGATAACATTTGCAAAAGTAAATCAAATACTATTACTGATTGCGGAGAATCTGAATAAATGAATTTACATAGATGTAGTGGGTTAACTGGATTGAGTCAAACAGGAGAATATATTCAAATGTGTGCATTTGTAAATAGTAAATGCAAGACTTTAATCGATAATTCTTTGAATGCTTATATTTACTTAAATACAATATCTTGTCAATAAGCTAATTTGAAGGCATGTACAAGAGTAGAAACTAATGGATAATATTGCTAATTAATTGATTATGTCTCCTCAAATAATGTTGTAATTGATAAGAAATGCATATCCATAGTTACAACCACAGAAACTTGTTCGACTATCAAAACCAATTATTCTGTAAACGTGATTAATCCTCATCATTGTTCAAGGGCAAGTGATAGTTGTTAGTATGATACAACTAATGGATGTATATCCCCAACGAATACTAATTTAGAATGTAATACTTTAGGACTATCTTATACGGGATGTATACTGAATACACAAAATCATAGATGTGGTTTTATTAATAGCAAATGTCAATATTTAACACAAAATTTAGTTGTTTCCGATTGCAAATACTTAAATCAATTTTCTTGCTCTTACTATGCATTCATTAAATGCTATTGGAATGGTTCACTTTGTGCTGCTTCTACTAATGATACTACACAATATGGAAGCGAGTACAATTGTTATCTAAATACAAGTAGTACTTTTATAGTTTCGAATGGAGTAACATGTTAGACAATATAATTATCTAATTATGAATAATATTCCTGTGATAGTAAATTAAATCAATTTGCATGCGGATCAATACCAAATTAATATTGTTTATTTGTTTAAAATAAGTGTTAGTTTTATAGATCAACACTCTGTGAAGATTCCTCACAAACTTGTAGTGACAATAATACTGTAAATTTGAAATGTGTATATAAAGACAGTAAATGTTTTGATCATCCTCATACTTATTATAGTTGTGATTTCTTTGACAAAAGCAATTACTTATTTTGTTTGCAATACCCTGAATGTGCCTATTTTAATTAGAAATGTTAAAAAGTGAATTAAATATCTGTCTATTATTAATGTAGTTCATTGTCATCACTACAGAATTGTGTCCTTTAAAATAAATAGTTAACTTGCTCCTGGTAATCAGGATAGTGTGTTGTTTTTAAAGGCACATCTTGTCCTTCTCTCAACGGGTTCTATTCATTTAATGTATGTCAGAAATTCCAAAATTGTACATATGGATTCGCTAAGAGAGGATTAGGATTTTGTTATTCCGGCAACAATTTTGAGTCTCTAACATGTGAATAATTAAACTAAGACCTTTGTATAGAGGACTTAACTCATCTGAACTCTTCTCTTTAGTGCTATTGGGATTAATCATGCAAAAATGTCTAGAACAATCATATTACTTAATGTACAGATCTAAGTTCATTTAAATCCAGTTATGGAGCATGTAATTACTTTAATTAAGAATAATGTATGTATTCATTTATAGATTAAAAATGTAAATCAATTTCAGAATATATCTCCACTACTTGCTAAGGAACTACAGCTAAGTAATGTTCATCAATCCAGAATACTTGTTATTATGATGGATCCATTTGTTCAGCAGAAGGAGCCTAAAATTAATTAAATAAATATGGATGTATTCAATAATCAGGAACTTGGAAGTTTGATTATTTTAAATGTACTCAGATAACTGATGAAGTTTAGAAGAGTTGCACTAATCTCTCTAAGGATGCCTGTTTAAGCAATCTAACTAAAGAAATTAGTTGCTAATGGAAGGATAACAACTGTTAGAGAGTTCTCTAGACACAAAACAAATAACTGACTTCTTGTGCAAATCTAAATTAAAGAGCATGCTAAAACGTTGGTTTATCCAATGTTTTTTGTGTTTGGAATGAGACAACTAAAAATTGTGATTCTCTGACCATCTCAAATACTGATTGCGTTGCCTAGAATCTTGCAGTAACTACATCCTTGAGTGTATGCAGTGGATAAACAAATAAGAATTGTGCTAAACATTATGATAATACAAAATGCACTGAAATAAATGTACAACTTTCTAGTTGTAATCTTTACGGATTAAACCAAAAAGCTTGTATCTAATTTACAAGTGTGCCTTGTCAATGGAAATCAATTAATGATGGAGGATATTGTGATGATGCAAATTTATATTCAGCATTTTGCAGGGATTTAATTAATAAATACGCTTGTCTTAATGTTTAAACTGTTGGATAGGTTTGCAAATGGGATGAAATAACTTAATCATGTATTGATTAATAGATAAGTACCTGTGAATCTGCATCCAACCTTAATTCTTTTTATGCTTGCAATGCGGTGACAGATGAGCCTTGCTAATATGATCCAATATCTATGTTATGTAGTAAAATTCTTTATATTCCTAAATCTTGTTCCATCAATTTCAACAAACAAACTTGTGAAATGTGTTTAGATAATTGTGTCTGGTACTCTAATCGATGTATTACTACTCCTTATAAGAATTGTTAGCAATATGCTACCAAATCTAAGTGTCTTGAAAGTGAATCGATTAGTTGTCAATGGGTAAACAATATATGTGCCGATTTTAATGATCTGTCTAATAAAATATTTTGTAAAGATCTTCCTTTAAATATCAATACAGCTGCTTGCACGAACAATGCCCTTGATCCGTGCAGGTATGATAAAAATTCACCAGCTTGCTTACCAGATTAGAACATTTTGCAATATACATTATAGAAAATTTAAACCTTAATATTTATGCAACCTGCTGATTATAAATCTCCAATTTTAAGTGGTAAGTGTGAATAACTTCTCATAAAGGATTATTGTATGAAGTCTCGTATTCCAGATACGGCATGCATTTGGAAGGATTCTACTTGCCAAGTGGTTACAGATTTGAATGAAATTTCATGTACTGACCATCTTAATATTTGGGGATGTTTGAAAGTAAGTAAGGAAAATGAGTTGTGTTTTTGGAGAGGTTAAAAATGTCTAAGATGGTTCCCAACCATTACTTAAATGGAAAATGTAAATAAGAATGTATGCAAGTACCATAGCGTTAATCGTGTTTATGAAAGAAATTCTTGTATAAAGAAAGACATCTCAACTATCTAATGCACATCAGAAGGAATAAGCAAATAAACATGTTTATCGATTACAAATTAGCAATGTTAATGGACTGATTAATGTGTTGAATTCACTCTATCAAAAGAACATTAATGTTCAGACTTCAAAGATGTGTCATCATTTGTTTGCCAAATGATTCCTAATATGGCTTGTGTGTATGATGAAGAGAATAGAAGTTGCGTTGATTTTTCAAATGACTTTGTTGGCTTGGGAGTTTCTAAATAAGCATGTATTAAAAATAAGAGAATCCCTTCTCATTGGAATGGAAATGTTTGTTAGGAGGTGACTGACAAAATTGAATGCGATTCTTAATTAATTGTGAATGCATATACATGTAGCAATCAGGTTCATAATACGCCATGTATTTATGATACTATCAGCAATTAATGCACAAGTCTATTTAACGCTTGGTCATTGAAATGCAATACTGAGGGATTGAATTTCTTAGGCTGCGTTTAACTCAAACAAGAACCTTGTATATTTAAAGATAATAAGTGTCAGCTATTTCGTGAAATGTAAAGTAGTTGTATGTTCTTGAGTCAAGTCAATCCAAAAGCATGTGCATCCATCTAGGATCATTATTGTTCGTATGATCAAATCAATCACAAATGCTAAACTCCATAAGTCCCTTAAGTTAATTGTAACATTTAAGGAATAAACAAAAATGTTTGCATAGCTAATGCACTTTGTATGTGGAACCAAGATAATTTAGATTGCAAGTGCAAATCTGTATAAGAAACAGAGGCTTGTTAAGAAACCAATGTAGCTAAATGCAAATCATAAAGCAGATGCTATTTTGATTTAGATTAGTATAGGTGTGTGAAGAAATAATGCTATCATTTAAAGGATGACGAGTGTGATCAAATTATGGATAATAAAACTTGTTATAGAAGTGTTAAAAGAGGTTGTTAACCAGCGGTGATATGTGAGGATATCATCGATCCAAAAAATAATTGTACATCAATTTACATTAATTCACAGCCTTGTGTTTAGGTAGGAAAATTGTGCGTTACATCTACAAATTATAAATTATTATGTCCATATTCTGATTGTTCCAATACCAATTGTATTTTGTATTATGGAACTTGCAAAATGAGAACATGCGACGACTATAATGCTTAAGATTGTCAAAAAAATGAAGGATGTTATTTGGATTAAGAAAACAATTGTCTAGATTTACAGAGATGCAGTTAGATTACTGTAGATATTTATGGTGAGTAAGTCATTAATGTTTGTAACTAATCCTCTGTGGGTGGTTTTAAATGTAATTGGTAGAAGTATCATTTAATGGATGATACTGAAACGTGTACTAATAGGTCATGCGAGTATTAATTATTTATTTATATTTAGAATGTATGGTGCATCTTAGACTATTTGTTAAGGAAATGAGATCAATGGGTATTCTTGTGTGTATTTAAACGATTTGGTTTGCAAGTAATGTGAGTAAATCACTGAATCTTGTTTGTGCAATCAATAAAAAAATGTTTGCGTTTACAAGAATGGAAAGTGTAGATCTATTTTGTGTTCCTCCCTTTTGACTAAGGAGAACTGTGCTCAAGCTTCAGATCGCTGTTATTGGAGCACTTATGAGGATGCGAGCAATGTGCAATAAGAGGCTTGTTTAATAGAGTGTGAGAAAGTGTTGAATGCAGATGAATGCAACAGCAGAATAAATGAGTGTTACTTCGATAACCAGAATGGGTTATGTATAAAGGGGAAGAAACAAATTCCCGATTTGAGTTCTGAGATTTTCATTGAGGAGTTCTATTCTGTCATGCTTACAATATTCATATGTCTGAATATGATTATTTACGTATGAATAATTATTATTATTATTGAAATGTGAATAATGAATTGCGCAAATTGCATTCGTTGTTATTTAATTATTTTTCAAATTCAAAATGTAATTTCTACAATACCCTCCAGATAAGAAAATTCAGAATTATCAATTTAGTTTCAAAGCCAAATTAGGAAAGGGAGCCTATGGTACAGTTTATGCTGGCAGAAACATCGTCGATAGTATATTATGATCATTATCAATTACAGATAAGATTGTGGCATTAAAGGTTGTGGATAAGAAAATATTACAGACAGATTATGCAAGTTAACTCATCGCCTCAGAAATCGAGATTATGAAATTGATTGAAGACAAGAATATTGTTAGATTGATTGATGTTTTATAAAGTGTCAATAACACCTACATCGTTACTGAGTTTTGTAACGGTGGTGATCTCAGAGAATACCTCAAAAAGAGAAAGTATGACATAACCCACTATATTAGGTCCATCCCAGAAAATGATGCAATCAATGTTTTAAAGGACTTGCTCCATGGCATTAAAGCATTACTAAAAATAGGAATCATACACAGAGACATTAAACCTGCTAATATCATGATTCATGATGGCATATTCAAAATTACAGACTTCGGATTCGCCAAATAAGTCGATTCTCACATCGATACCATTATGAACTCATTAGTAGGTACACCACTTTACATGAGTCCTCAAATCCTAAAAAGACAATCCTACACATCTAAATGCGATATTTGGTCTCTAGGTCTCATATTTTACGAATTGATCTACGGAATCACTCCCTGGCATTCTCAAAACCTAGTTGAATTAATGGCCAAATTAGATACCAAAGTACATTTTCTATCCTATTCCACAAGCCCTTAGAATTTCCACCCTATCCCAAAGTCACCGAGTAGACCATCAAAATCATTAGAGGTTGTTTGCAAATCAATGAAGATAAAAGGATTTCATGGGATCAACTCTTCTCCTTGGCAGGAATGCAAGAATTTGCTACACTGCCTGAAATCACGCCAGTCTTGCCTCTGATCCAAAAAAATACACAATCATAATATCAAAGTCAATAATAGGAACCAACCTAAATCAAATAAAATCTAAGTTTCCTGGAAATCAAACCTCACTAAAGAGTCAAACAAAGAACTGAAAGTATGGGAACTTATCATTTTCCAAATAGACATAACAGAAGCATGAGCAACGCTACTCCTACTCATGATGTAGATAAATCAAGTGAAAGACAGAAAGGAAAATTTTACACCAAAACTAAAATCTCTTACTTACAACCTGATAATCGAAAGATTACTCCTTAAAGAAACATTACTGCCTATACATAAGAATCAGAAAGAGACAGAAATAGTTCCTTCGTTAAATTTACAACCCAAAGAATTGAACTTATCAAATTCTTAGAAAATGCCCATACTCCCCCTCTCCCCAATAAGAAATATTCCACCAACAATAACAACGATTCGTTTAGAACTCCAAGTAACTTGTAATCTAATTCAACAAATGCATCAAATAGAAATGTGCAAGAATAAGAAAACTCCTCAAAAATACCCAAAGTAAACGAATTCCAAATCGAAGAAAAATCCAGAGAACCTCTAAACTATATTATAGCAAATGGATATTTTAATACGAGCTCAAATTTAAGATTAAAAAGAACTTTTAGCAATCATTTCCAAGATAACGCCCTATCCCCTATAAGCCAATAAAAAAATAGTATTTTGCAATTTATGAAAATCATTCAAATTCAATTTGATCTCATTCCAAATCATATCACCATTAAAAAGGATATCGACTCCTTACTAAATCAACATAAGATTACTATGAATAATGTGAGAGAATAGCTCTACACTCCACAAGATATTAAGGAATTGAAGAATATTATCAATTGCCTTGTAGACTATCTAAATAATAACCCTTAAGATAATTTTGTAACCTAACTCTCAGTTATGCTACTTCTATTGCTCAACTATAATTAAATAATCCTTTACAATGTATAAACTAAGTCATTACAATTATCAAAGTCACTAATTGATTAAATCAACAAGAACTAAAAATTGCAATAATAGCAATTATTATTAAGTCCGGAAATTTTAAGAGAAGAAATCAAAAAATTACTTAAATGATTTTTGTGATTTTTAATTCATTTTTCTTTTTTTTTTATTCATTTAATAGTTGTTCAAATTATATTTACTGCTAATTTTATCCTAATACTAAAAATCTTTCTTACTCCTATTTTTTGAAAATTTTGTTATCCCAGTGTGTAAAATAATATTAACATGAAGGTATTTTAATTCTATAAGAGATTTCGAATATTCCGAGTAAATCAAAAGAGATTTAATTTTTTTCATTTAAAATATATAATAATCTGCTCAAGATAAAATGATTACAGATAAACGCTCCGTTATTGAACCGAATACTCTTGTGAGTACGAAGAGACAAATCTTTAGCTCTGAAAATGAATCTCATATTCATTTAACAAATAAATAAAATTCTTTGGCTGAACAAGATGACATTTCCAGTTAGGAAAAGTATGAATGTGTGTTAATTAATATAAAATAGTAGAAATCTGCATTTTGTCGAATTGATTCAATCCAGAAGCTCGGCCATCCCAACAGTTAAAATTATTTCCCCTGAAGATTATGGCACAATGAAACAGCACAGAGGAAGTCTCTGTTTTCATACAAGCCTACACAATGATGAAAAGTATGTATTCCCCTTAATCAAGAGTTTAAATCCCACTTGGAAAAAGGGAGGATTAAAAATAATAAAATATGTGGCCAGATTCATCTATTAATTGAAAACAAAGGCTGACAAACTGAAAATCAAGCTAATGAATTTTGAAATATTTGAAATGTTGGGGGACAAAAGTGGGGATTTTTCGAATTTCAAGAGAGGGAAACAGAGAGAAGAGGAGAATATTGTTTGCTCAATAGTTAATAAAATTGTAACTTTAATGGTTGCTATTTGGAATGTCATTTGCAAATATTTAAATCGAATAACCATTATATATCCAGAAAGCAGTTTCAAGATATTTTGGGATTCTATTGTCGTTTGTTTCATTGTTATCAACATTTTCTACATTCCCATGAGTTTGAGTTTTGAATTAGACAAATCTAATTAAATCTCAATACTATTCTTTGAAACTATTCCAAGTTACATTTTTATCGTGGAGATAATATTAAACTTTAACACTGCTTTTTACAATTAAGGGGTAATACACACTAATAGGAGTGAAATCTTTTTCCATTACATCTAAAACAACTTCTGTTGGGATCTATTAATCACGATTCCTTTTGTATTGGCTTAGTTTGATATTCCATATATACAATTTATTTTATTATTACGTATAGCTCGAGTGAGATCTATGATATAAAATGTTCAAGACTTATTAAACGCCAAGGAGGAAGTATAAGCAGTATTGGAAATGATTAAATTAGTCTATTTTTTAGTGTTGGTTGCCCATATGTGTAGTTGTGGGTGGCATTTACTGGGACGTATTGAATATGAAATATATAATGACGAGAAGAGTTGGTTAATTTATTATGACTACTATGATAAACAATGGTATGATAGATATTTAGTCTCTTTATATTGGAGTGTAATAACAACCTTGACTGTTGGATACGGTGATATAGTTCCTTAGACTACAATAGAGAGGCTTTTTGTTATTATAGTGGCTATGGTCTTATGTGGAGTTTTTGGATACATAATCTCAACTATTGGTGAAATTATCAAAACATTAGAAGAGAGAAAAGCTTTGTTAAAGAGGTCATTAAAAAAAGTAAATTAATATATTAAACAAAAATAATTGAATTTACAATTATCATTAAAAGTGAGAAAGTATTTTGAATTCAAACATTAGATAGATGAACAGTTATAGGAATAGGATGATTCTGTTTTAAATAAATTAAGTGGATAGTTAAAATAAGAGGTTCTAGTTGATATTTATAAGAGAGTCTTGTTAAAATCAAACTTTTTAAAAAATAACATTCCTGATGAATTGATTAACAATTTATGTTAGAAGACTAAATAAGCAACCTATGCACCTGGATGTGACATTGCAAGTGTTAATGATACAGCAACAAAATTAATTTTCATTTTGGAAGGTTAAGTTGATAGCTATTTTGTGTCAAAAGGATTGGAAGCACTTTGCAAAGGAGAGAAAGATAGTGCTAATGGCAAATTATAAAAAGTCTGCTAGAAAGGTGATGTAATAGGGGAATTGGAATTTATATTAAATTCTTCATATCAATATAATTTCCGATCATCTTCCTTATTATAAATAGCATTTATTGATCGAAATGACTTTCTTGTTGTAATTTCAGAAAATGAAGAATGCCGATAAAAGTTTCACCAAATAAGAGAAAAATTGACGTATTAAAAGACTTACGGTAAGACTTGTGATATTTGTAAATGGACTCACAAATACCAGGACTGTCCATTTGTTTTTTATTAATCAAATCTTGATAAGATTGCAAGGAATGCTAATTTCAACCTTTACTAACATAGAAAAAAGTTTGAAAGATAAAGAGATGTGAAAAGTAAAAAACAAGGTTCCTTTCGTAATATAATTGTGTCTTAGGGGTTAGATCTTATTCTTAATTTCGGATTTTTAAATGAAGAGTAAATTGTTAATTTAATATAGGCAAATCAATGACCAATACTTAGCCAAGCTAGGTTATGGAGTATTAGAAGATGAAAAGAGTAATTAATTATCTGATAGTCAAAACTCATAAGAATCATAAGAAGCTGATAACATTTCACAAGATTAAAGAAAAAGAGTTCAATCATTTGAAAAAATGAAAACCTCTTTTCTGGCTCAGAAATTGAAAACAAATTTTGGATTGAACTAGAATTACTAAAAAAATGTCATCACTGAGGATATATAGTAGTAAACTCTATCTTCAAATAGAAGAGTTGAGGCTAAATATTAACAAGAATAGGTAATGGCAGGAAATTCATAGAAAAATAATCAAAATATTTATTCTCAAAACCCTATGAGATAAAACAAATTATTAAAGATGGATACAATAATATAATAAAGTGTATCGTTAGGTTCATAATAACTTGATAGTAAAACTAAAAATGCTACAGACTATGAAACCAATTAATTATCATAATCTGGATATGATTTCATAATTGAGCTAGATTAAATGAAAGATTATGAATTTTATTTTCCAATCTTCAACGTTACAAATGTCGTTGAAGTTTTACGCAAATAACGATTAGGCTAACTCAAAATCAACAAACGGTAAGATTTATAAGAAAAACTGAGATCATTAAGAATGAATAAATCTTAAAATAAAATCCATAATCCATCATCCAAAAATTTAGAAGAGAAGATGTGATTAATTAAATTAGCCTCAATCTAATATATTTATATAATTCTATAGAATACTCTTAGAAATTCATTTAACTAATAATTAATCTCTTTTTTGAAATTCAGATGACATAATAACAATTTATTTTTATTTAATTTTCTTGCTGAATTAATGTTACCACTCTCTCAAGTAAAATAGAAGTCTAATTCATTTTAGCACATATACCATCGTCAGTCAAATTCCTTATTGCAAAAGCATTTTGAAACAAGAAAAAATTCTCCTGTTACTATCGTCAGAGCCCCCGCTCTACCTAAGAGGCAACCCTTGAGTGGTTCTACTCTGTGTTTAAGAACTCCCTATCCTGACGTTAAATTAAGAATATTTACATAAGTATTTGATGCCTGTATTTTAAGCAAACAGAAGAATCGAAGTTTGATTCTACAATGAAATATGATGATTCATAAAATTAATAATTGAGTTCTTTTGCAGATATAAAGACAGATAAATTAAGCTGTACAAAAACAACTGCTGCTGAAAGTGTAGAAGAGGAGAAACAATAAGTCAAAAGTACTTTGCCATCTTAATTAGCTCAAAGAAAATTTTGCAAAATAATCATATCTATAAATGTAAAAACAACTTCTTGATCGAGATTTAGAGATACTCCAGTTATAAAGAACCATCAAAATTCTCAAAGATTAAAATGTATTTGATAAATTTAACATAGAAAAAACTCACTAACGAAAATTCTGTCCTGAAAAAAGAAAACACTCATATCAAAACTAAGATTGATTCGCTTGAAAAAAGAATTGAAGGATCTCCAGCACATGCGAGAATATCAGAATATACATCTGCGTTAACTGAGGTTGATAAAGTTAAAATCGAGTCACTTTTAAACTGAATAAATTTATATAAATATTTTAATATAGTGAATTTTACATGTAAATGTTAAAAATGTATATAATTTAAATGAACAAAACTAAATATTAATATATTCTACTTATTCATTTATATTATTGTTTTAATGTTGAATTTCTTAGCAATATTAAACATAATCTTCAACTATTAAAATTAATTGAACTAAATCTATGAGTTATGCGTAGATCACTGTTGTTATTCTTTTTAGAATTATAAATATTGGATCAAATCATAATATTTCCAATAAGTTCTACTATAAATTAAGATGGATTTTAGTTATTCTCTAATGTAGATAAATTCTTATTTAATTTATATTTAAAGAATGCATTCTTAATTAATATTTTTCTATTATAATTAAGGAAAGTAATAACAGAAATTAGAGAATTGCTAATAAATCATCTAATCATAAACTATTTGTACAGAACACTATACAATATTATAATTAAATGTAATATTATAAAATAATTATTCTGAATAAATATATTTATCAACCTTGATCGGAAATAATCTTTATTTGAATGCATAAACATTAGATTTCCTTAGAATATGGAGAGAATCTATGAGGAGTAGAAGGAAATGTTTGGATCTATGAGGTGAAATTAGAAAATGAATAAATGGGAATATTAAAATGTGTTTATAAATTCTTAAAACCATAAATATCTTTATTTTATATTATGAGTCATCATCCCAAGGCCCATGACATAGCAAAGGTTGCAGCAGCTAGATTGAATGCAGCTGCAGCTACAAGGAATTATAATGTGACACCCAGAGTCGATTATAGAACAGTTGTGAAGGTGGATGGCCCATTAGTTATTTTGGACAATGTGAAATTCCCAAGATATGCAGAAATTGTTAATGTTTGTTTAGGAGATGGATCAGTGAGAAAAGGGTAATCGTAAATATGATTATTTTAGTTAAGTTTTGGAAATTGCAGGAAAGAAAGCTGTCGTCTAAATCTTTGAGGGAACATCAGGAATTGATAATTTATACACTCATTGTGAATTCACAGGTTCAACACTCTAGATGCCAATCTCCGAGGAGATGCTTGGAAGAGCATTCAATGGATCAGGAGTTCCAATCGATAAAGGTCCCCCTGTTTTGGCAGAAGAGTTTTTAGATATTCAAGGTCAACCTATCAATCCATTTTCCAGAGTCTATCCCTAAGAAATGATTCAAACAGGTATTTCAGCTATTGATTGCATGAACTCAATTGCTAGAGGATAAAAAATTCCTTTGTTTTCTGCTAATGGTTTGCCACACAACGAAATAGGAGCGTATGATTTCATAACCATAATTTTAGTTAAATTGTGCGTTAAGCTTCATTGGTAAAAGGAAAGGATGTTCTTGATCATTCTGATGAAAATTTTGCAGTTGTCTTTGGTGCTATGGGTGTCAATATGGAAACAGCTAGATTTTTCTAAACAGATTTTGAATAGAATGGTTCTATGGAAAGAGTCGTATTGTTCATGAACTTGGCCAATGATCCAACAATTGAAAGAATTATTACTCCTAGATTGGCATTAACAACTGCAGAATATTTGGCTTACGAGAAGGAATTACACGTGTTGGTTATCTTAACAGATATGTCAGCCTATGCAGATTCACTAAGAGAAGTCTCTGCAGCCAGAGAAGAAGTGCCAGGAAGACGTTCTTTCCCTGGTTATTTATATACAGATCTTTCAACCATTTATGAGAGAGCTGGTAGAGTGTAAGGCAAAAATGGATCAATCACTCAAATTCCTATTTTGACAATGCCTAATGACGATATTACACATCCCATCCCAGATCTTACAGGATATATTACAGAAGGACAAATTTTCATTGATAGATAATTGAATAACAAATAAGTTTACCCACCTATCAATGTGTTGCCATCCTTATCGAGATTGATGAAATCTGCTATTGGTAAGGGTATGACCAGAGAAGATCATCCTGAAGTCTCAAATCAAGTATTTTTATTATTATTAACATCAACTATAGTTGTATGCTAATTATGCCATTGGTAAGGATACTGCAGCCATGAAGGCAGTCGTAGGAGAGGAAGCCTTGTCTGCTGAAGATCTTTTGTATTTAGAATTTTTGAAGAAGTTTGAGAATAATTTCATCAGTTAAGGAGCCTATGAAGTCAGATCTATTTTCAAATCGTTGGATTTGGCTTGGAGATTGTTAAGAATCTTCCCTCCTGAAAAATTAAAGAAGGTATGTAGTTGTTAATATACTCTTATAGATCAACAAAAGAAATCTTGAAACATATTATTATAGAAGAAAGGAGGATGAAGATGACTTTGATGGACCTTAATAATAATAATAAGAAAAATGATTGTGATGTATCAAGTAAAATAAGCATTAATCATATAATACCAAATTATAGAAATTTTCTATTTTGTTTATTTAATATACTGATTTATTTATCAAATAATTTCTACAAAAGCCTTTGGGTGTTAGAAGGTTGTTTATTTTGGAATGACAACGACAGCTCCTCTTGGTTATACTGGTTATCTTTTGGTTGAAATGACTTATTTATTTTTCTTGGCTTCAGTCTTCTTTTTGTCATTCTCTTGAACTCTTTTAACAAATTCTTATCTGCATTTTGATGGTCTCAAATGATCAGCTCTAACATGGAATCGTTTCTCCACATATCTTCCTCTGACTCTTCTTTATAATGAGACACCAATTCCTCTTGGATTGACATTGAATACTCTTGCAGTTCTGCCATGATAATATTAAAATGGAACTCCCTTGTGTTAAGCACCATCAACCAAAATATCGACAAAATCACCTTGAATTTAATTGCATGTAATTCTTACCTCTTCTGAATGTTTGAAGGGTCTTACGAATTGAGATGTTTCCATGTCCTCTAAAAGGTTTTGCAAATTTGCTTCTTGTACCCTTCTTCAAACCATAACTATGAGTCATTTATTGATAATTTAATTTATAGATTTGTAATCACATTTAAATACTTAATATATAATCTATATCAATAATATTCTCATCCTATATTAATTTTCCTCACTTTAATAGTATCTTATTTGTCTGCCAATTCCTTTAACAAAGGTTTATTATGCATCAATTCTTCATTATTCATTTTAGTTTTTGGTCTCTATTGTTATTTTCTCTCATCCATTTGCTGCTTCAAGATTTCTTAATGTTTGACATTGACATCCTTTATATAATCATATTTGGATTTTTCATGTTATTGGAATGTCTGCAAATCCTGTTGCCAAACTTAAGCTTGTTTCTTATTCAATTCTTCCTCTTCCTTAAGCCTCTATCTAAAGTCATCATAATAAAAATACTTCTTATCCTCCATCTGCTTTATTAAATATTTTCTCATCTCTTACTACTGCGATTTGATTTGCCTTTTTTTCATCTCTTCATCTTACTATTCGATTTCATTTTACATTAATATAGCTTTCATCATTTTATCATCCTCAGCCCTATTATTAATACATCTACTTACTTTATCTAATCTTTTTGATTCTTTACAACTGTCTATGAAAAATCACTCATTATCTTCTTAATTTTGTCTTCTCTTTCTTTTTTCTCCATCTCTCGTTCTTCCTCCAATTTTTATTGCAACTAGATGTATTTCCTTTGCATATCAATTTCCAACTGTTTGTCTGTTATTTCATCATTAATTTATTTTTATCTATTTTTTTCATTTTCTTCCATCATTTCCACAAATTTCCTCTTCTCCATATCCTTTTTTTATAAGGCCTCTCTCTATTCTTATTTCAATTCTTCTTGAATCCTTTAAACTAAAATTGCATCCAGCTCCTATTACTTCTTTTTTTCTAAGAACTTCCTTTTTTCCTCTTCTCTTACTTATCGATCCCTTTGTTCTTTTTCCAATTATTATTTTTTTGCTGTCTCCCTCTTCTTTTGCTCTTCCCTTTAATCATAAACATCCATCTAAAAATCTCTTAGTTTGACATAAGCATCCTCTTGTCTTTTCTCTATTTCTATTCTTCTTTTCTTTTCCTCTAACTGTCTATCTAATTCTGCCTTCATTTTTTTCTTAAACTCCAACTGCCTCTGTTACTCAAGCTGCTACTCCTTAGAATGAAGTTCTGTGTCGAATTTAACTAATGCAGCCCATTCATCTTCTTCATCGACTACATATACAGATTTTGGTTGTTTTTCAAATTGCGAAGACGTTACAGAATATTAATCTTGATCAAGTTCGGATTTTACTGAATTTTTGACGGATTATGGTCTAGGAATTTATGATCTCTATTCGCTTTTATTGTCTAATTGAGAATTATTATTATTTTAGGCTACATGCTATGTTTGACTTAGACCTTTTTGTTTTTACACTGCTTCAATTACTCTTGCTTTCAACTACTTTAAAGAGGTTTCAGTAACCTAATTTAGAAATTGCCATTTACTTATTCATTTGTAAAGTATTCATTAACTATTTATTATATCAGAGCCTCTTTGCTTTTATTTCCTTAAGCATAATCTTTGCTGAATTTGCTGATTAACGTCTCGCGTAATTACTCTCTTTGCTGAAGCAGCCCAGCTCTTTCAATTGCCGATCTCACTCTTGCCGAACCAGATCGAACAGACTTACTTTTTTAAGAATTATTCATTTAATATTTATATTTATAATTTAAAAAAAATCATTTTAATTTCACACATGATGCATATTCAATTTACCTAATTGAATTTTCAATCCTATTTAACTGAAATCAATTAAATTTTCTAATGTTTCATCAAATAGAGTTTCCTTTTTTATTTTCGTTATAAAATAACAGAAATATGCTAATTTGCTCAGATTATTAGTTCATTAAAAAGAACTTAATTAGCAGAAATTAAAATTATTAATTCCTGTATATATTTAATAAATTTATATTGTTAATTATTATTAAATTTGTTTTCCTTTAATAAATGAGTAAGAACAAATGTTAACAATAGTTGAAATATGTAAAATTTAATACTCAGAACTCATTATATTTTATAAGTACTTTGATTAGAACAAGTTTTGTTAATGCTTTATATTAAGCTAATTAAATATTCATTAATTTAGAGATGCTCTGCAGGAAGGACAAATTTTTTCAACTTGAAGCCATAAATTGAGACATGCCTTATGGAAGGGGTGATTACAAGGTGTTACTACCTTCAAGTAACATGGGATTGGCATTAAACAAATTGGGCATTAAGCCAGTTCTTACGTTTAGACGCAAAGAGATTCTATCTAAACCACTTATTATTAATAAGCAACTTCAGATTATTGTCTAACTTACGCTTATTTTTTTTGTTTCCATCTCAAATAGAGACATCTACTAATATATGCAAGAATTCCAATTATCAATAATCCTATGCACAAAGCTATAATTATGATTATTGCTTTGTGGGTGGGAGAATCATCGTCTTTATCGTCATGATCATCATCATACTCGTTTTCTCTCTCCTCTCTTAGAATTCTCGAAAATGTTTGTATGATTGGGGAGGCTATTTGAGATTGGTATTCCAATAATAAATTTGGTTTCATAATGTAAAGAGGGATTTACTAAAAGAATTATTAATGATATTTATTTTTTATTAGATCTAAATTTAGTTTCTAAAATAATATATTAAATTGCCACAATGTTATAGTCAATTTGATAATAATATTAATTAAAAAAAGTATGGTAATTAGGAAAAATGGATAAAGTAATTAAAAGATGAAATTATTTATTGTTTTTTATTTTTATTCAATTCAACAACATCCAGTCTTCTTTTTTTCTTCGGCTGCGGGATTAGTTGGTGTTAATTTTGTTGGTCCATTTTAGGGATTACTTGGATTAGGTGATTTTTCATTTTATAGATTAGCCTTGACTGCCCTGGCCATTTCAAAGAAGGCTTCTGACACATTTGTGCCATCCTTTGCTGAAGTTTCAAAAAATTGAACTCCAAATTACTTTGCTAATGCTTCCCCTTCCTCTTTTGAGACAACTCTATTTGGCACATCACTTTTATTACCTATTATAATGAATAAATATAAAATAGAAACCTATAAGCAATTTACAAACATTTTCACTTGCATGTTGCTTAATTTGATTCATCCAATTCGAAATATTACTAAAAGAGTCCTTATCATCTATGGAATATACAAGAATAATTCCCATAGCCCCTTTATAATATGTCTAAGTAATTGTCTTAAATCTCTCTTATCCTGCAGTATCCCAAATTTACATCTTGATTTTCTTACCCTCAACGTCAATTGATTTTATTTTAAAATCTATTCCGATTGTTGATAAGTATGTTGGCTGGAAATTATTTTCGCAAAATCTTAATAGCACATTCGTTTTTCCTACACCAGAATCCCCTATTAATAGAATTTTAATAAGCCAATCGAAATTGTCCTTCTTATTTGCGATAGAAGTGGCCATAATATTTCTAAAAGATAATTATTATAATCAGAATATAATAGTAAATTTTTATTTAAATACTCCCAGTTTCAACCTTGAAAATATAAAACAGGAGATAAAATCCTCAAATTAAGCATTTTTTAAATGAATAAACCCAAGTTTCGCAGCATAAATTATATAAAATTCTACTTTATTAAAATGCCTTATTATAGCATCTTTAAATGTAGAAATTGAAATCTTCAATCCCACTACGCTTATCTACCAGAAATATAGACTCTATTCATAATAAATTTATCAAATATTTGTAATACAAATTTGTGTAGAATAAATTCATAAAGCACCATTATATATGTGTTGAAAATAAATAACTGAATAAAAGTTAATTACAATATTCATAAAGCATCATTATTGCTCTGATAATTTCATAATTATATATTTGAATAATCCGATAAGTAAAGTTGTACTGATTCTATCTATTATCTCCCTTTTTAACAACCCTTCCTCAAAGAATCTATTCCAAGTACTCTTCTTTTGAATTAATCAAAAACATACCTGTAGATTAAATAGAATAGGATTGCTCCCACTGTCAAATGCAACTCAAATCCCAGATTTAAAAATAAATAAAATATGTAAAAATACATATTCATTTTTTCAGTAGGACAGTAGTTCTTATTGTTAGCATTGGTGTCAAAAAATCTAATATATTGTAGACATTTTCCGTACCTTATAATAAAATTGACTACCCAGGCCAATGAGTAAAGGAGCGGGAATAAGATTACTGATTGAATTCTTAAGGCAGGATACTTCAATCCCTTTCTGTTCTTGAGTTGATTCCAATAACAGAAATTCTAGTTTAAATATATAGATTTTCTTTACAAACACAGAAAGTATAATTGAAAGCACAAATATGGATGAGACAGGGATAATCCAAAATCCTACTAAATGTTTATTAATAACTTAATTTAAAGTAGAAATATACATCCACAAAAGATGAAGTTGAACTCACCATTCTATAGATACCATCCTGAAGGACCAAATCCACCATCGTAATATACATAAAATAAAAGTCCATATGGAATCAAATATAATAAAGAGATGAAGAAGTACAGATAATTCATTATGTAGTTGAATAACAATTCTGACTATTGGTAAATTCATAGTTTACCTTAATCAAGCAAAAGTAGATGAAGCATTAGAATAACATAAAATTTAATGATGCCAACCAATTAGAGTGCATAATATAGGCAATAATTTTGCAAACATTTGGTTAACATGAACTATTAATCGTAAATGACAAGGCCAATATGAGATCAATCAGCTCGGATAATACCTGCATAAAGATTAACTGAAAAGGCCAAAATTAGGTTTTTTTACTCTTCTTGATTATTATTAGCACAAATAAACTTGACAGAATGGAAATTAACAAAATTATTATCCTCAAAATAAAGTTGACTAGTTTGTCTCCGCTATTTAGATTTTATTCACAATGCTCCTAGTAGACCTCATCCAAATTTTAATTTTGACATTAGAACATCTTTATAATATAAAAATAATATAAAAATCAAGCTTATGAATTATTTAATAATCTCATATATTTAAACAAGTTACTTTAAATATTCCATTGAAAAAAAATTCTGTAATTATTTAAAAAAAATATTTTGAACATATAAAATATATATAAATACCTTAAAAATTATTGGAGGGAGCGAATACGAAATCGCCTTTTATGCTTTATCTGCTATTGATTTTAGTATGAATAATTTTGCCAATTGAATATTGAATTATCCGTTATCAATTGTTTTCCATTTTCAAAATAAATAAATCCAAAGATACATCTCTTTCAATATCTAGATTTACCCTTAGAAATTACAGAATAACTTGTGGTTTTCCTTATTAACACATTGTCTATGTCTTTGAAAATAGTTTGATAACTATTTATGGAAGTTGTTAGATTTTTCATTTCTCATAGTCCTTATGATAGCTTTAAAAATAACCAGAATAACATAAAATGAAATAAACAAAATTGTCTGACTAAGCCCTACAAAACTATGGGTAGAACAACACTTCTCATTAGAAGTGCTACTTTTTAAGTTGTGATATAATTAGAGGATTAAGCATAAAAATGAGAAAAAATAATTGAATATGTTCTAATTTTGAATATTCAGTGTAAAAAGGATGCATAGGCAAACTTGTAACTATTTGAACTTGATAGCATTTACCATTTTAATAGAAGTTGATGAACAAGAAATATAATTTATTTTTTTTTGTTTAAATGGAAAAATGAGTTTATAATCAAGAGAGAGAGAGGTGTATTTGGTTAGAATTCAGTCTTCTTAATCTGAATTACAAATTAGTATCGTTTTTTCTAAGTCATCATCTATCTTAATTTTTTTTCTGTTTATTTTTTTTTCTGAAATAACTAAGTGATCTTTTAAGTATTCTAGGTTTCTTAAAACAACAAATAAGTCAAGAGACTTGCTTTCTTTTTTTTCAATTAATTTGTTCATATATTTATATTAATATATTTCAATGAAATCACATTAATTAAATTACATTAATAATCGGTTAAACAGTTTTTTTTCTCTACGAATGACAGGGTATTATGTTAGTATTGATGAATTATATTAAAATTTATAAAAAAATAATACCAAATCAAAGTTGCCATTTCTACCTAAAATTGATTGGCATTAAGATAACAGATGTTCAAATCATCCAGTAGGTGTACATGCCCATTAAATAGTTACTTTATAAATATCTAAGATGATGCAATGGATGATTGAGATTAGATTAAGAAATATTTAGTATAATAGATACTCAAAAGAGAAATATAATTTGAAATAATAATATATAAAACTAAAGTATGATAAGATTGGCTTTGCTATTTTTGTTGATTAATTTAACTGCGAGCATATCTATTAATGAATAATGTAATTGTGAATAACTAAAGTCTAAGGCGGATTGTGTTTTAAGTAGTTGTATATGGAAAGATGAAAAGTGTTTAAAAAATGAGGGTGAATAAAGTGATCTATCTGTAAGTGTACATTGTGATTCTTTGGGTAAGACTAGTTGCCAATCTCAGAAAGGTTGTGCATTTAATAATGAGGTTTGTGAGTAATTTAGTGGATGTTCTGCATACACTTAAAGTTCAAATGATCTTTGCTAATAAATATCTCAATACTGCACTTCTGACGGAACTTAATGCATAGAGCCTTTGGATTGTAGTGATTATATTGATTAAATACTTTGCAATTCTAATATTAACGCACAAGGTAGGAAATGTAAATGGGAATAAAAGAAATGTCGAGATTTTAATTGCACAGAAGCTAGTTCAACTCTAAATAGTGATAATTAATGTAACCTTTTTTATCCTGGATGTGTAACCAATGGAAAAGGGTGTGTAGATAAAAGATAGGAATGTTCAACCTATGGGGAGTCATGCATAGGAATGATAGGAAGTGATGGTTATTGTGAGAAAACAGGTAGTGGATGCAGTCCAGTGCTTTGTTCAGCAGCATCAGTAGAGTTAACGACAAATGAATAATGTGCGAAATTTCAATTTGGGTGTGTTACTACAGGAAGAGGATGTTCAAATGATCCTTTGAATAGTTGCAGTACTTATACAGGTGAAGCTTTTGTTTGTTAGTAGATGATTGGATCAGAGGGTAGATGTGATGGGGGTGTATCTAATTAATGTTAGGAAAGAAAATGTGAGAATGCTAGTACAATTTATAATACAGATGAATTGTGTTAGTATTATTTAAGTAGTTGTATTACTAACGGGAGAGGATGTGTAACTCAGTTGAAACTATGTAATACTTATACAGGAACTGCTGATGAATGTAATCATTACATTGGTAGTGATGGAAAGTGCACTATAGGATTAAGTGGATGTAAAGTTAGAGTTTGTAATGAAGCACCAGATACTTTTAAATCAGATACTGACTGCAATGATTACTAATATGGATGTGTGACAACTGGTTTAGGTTGTATTAATAACAGAATGCCTTGTAGTACTTACAGTGGAACAGCAAGCAGTTGTTAGAAATTTATAGGAGTAGAGGGAAATTGTTATGGTGTTGGAGATAAATTAGATGCTTGTAAAGCTCAGAGTTGTTCTGATGCTCCTGCCACATACATTAGTCACGATTAATGTTCTGGGTTTTAAAGTATTTGTTTAACAAATGGGAAGGGTTGTGTTGAGAAGACAGAGTGCACATCAACAATAGCATAGAAAAGTTGTTTAGGCACAACTTCATGTTAATGGAATTAGATATGTGTAACATAAACGGATTGCAAATATTATAATACTATTAGTTTATGCAGTAATAATTAAGTGAATGGGATATAATGTTAATGGGCAAATGGAATATGTAGATATAGACTTTGTAGTGATGCTCCTAAATCATATAATACAGATGAGAATTGCAAAGCCTTCTTAGAGAATTGTGTAACAAATTCATTTGGATGTATATCAGTATTTGCCTAATGTAATTAATATACTGGGAATTAAGATACTTGCATCAATTTTAGAGGGAATGGAATCAAATGTACAAGTACAAGTCTCATTGATGCTGCATGCATAGATGTGACATGTGTGAGTAATACAACAGCAACGAATCAAATTCAATGTGATGATCATATGACTGGATGCTAATTCTAAGGAAATAGTGGGTGTGTTGATAGATCAGCTGAGTGTAGCAAATATTATGGAAACTAATAAAGTTGTCATACTTACAAGGGTGTTTATGGGACAATAAAATGTTATTAGGACTTTGGAGTGATATCTAATTGTAGAAATCTGTAATGTAGCGACTACACTACAGAAACTGCGGATATCCAATGTAATCAATTTTTGAGTACATGTGTAAATAAGGGAGTAGGGTGCATTAGCATAAGTGAACCATGCACATCATATTCAGGGTATAATATTTCAGAGTGTTAAAGATTTAAGGGAAATAATGTAAAATGTTGGTGGATTGGCGGTTCAAGTTGTGTTAATAAATAGTGTTCATAAGATAGCACTTCTACTACTGATGAGGCTTGCAACATATTTCTGGCTGGTTGTGTAACCAAAGGTAATGGATGCATTGAGAGAACTTAATTATGCACAGCATATGAGGGAAATGAAAGTCAATGTTAATAATTTAAGGGGAATGAGTAACCCTGTGTTCGTAAAAATTATTGTATGAATAGAAGATGTTCTGATGTAATTAATCCAATAAATAATGACATTTGCATCAACTATTTATCAACATGTAGATTTAATGGTAATGCATGCATAGATGCAGAATTGTAATGTTAATCTTATTCTAATTTAAATTATGCAAGATGCCAATAGATTACTACCTTATCAGGGGGATTATGTTATTTAGCTAGTGGAAGTGGTAATTGTTTGACAAGGACTTGTGCATAACTGGGATTAGCAAATAATCAAGCTGATTGCGACCAATTTTTACCTGGCTGTATTTTTACAGGAGTCAATTGTGTTGAGAAATAGGCAACTTGTGATTTATATATTAATTTTACATCCATAGCATGTAGGAATGCAATTACTATCACTTCTATGATGTGCTGGAATAAATCAATTACTAATGATAACTGTTAAGCTAGATCATGTTCAGCCATCACAACTTAGTTGATTGATCCTAATGCGTTTTCATCAGAATTTTGTGAAAGCTTTTTAGAATCATGCATATATGATGGAACCTAATGTGTCAATAAACTTGGTGCCTGTGCTTCATATACAAATTTTAGTGTGTAAGCTTGTAAAGCAGCTACCACAATTTCATCTGAGAAATGTTGGTAAGAAAATGCAAATTCGACTACTTGTCAAATTAGACAATGCAATGATAGTGTGACTGCACCAAGTTTAGATAACTGTACTTTACATAAAGCTACATGTAGATACAATGGAACATCATGTACAGACGCATAGGGTGCTTGCAATTTATATACATTATTTACTTAAAATGCATGCAGAGAAACTACGTTATCCGATGGGATCACTAGATGCTGGAGAACCTCAAGTGATGTTGGAACTTGTGAAAGCAGATTATGCTCCAATGTATTATTATCTTATTCAACTTCTGAATGCATAGAACATATGTAAACTTGTAGATTCAATGGAAACTAATGCGTTGATTAAATGAATGATTGCACTCTATACACCGGATTCTCATCTGATGCTTGTAAATCAGTAACCACAACATCAGGTGTACTTTGTTGGTTTTCACTTAGTGTACCAGATTAATGTGCAGCAAGAACATGTAATGATGCAGTAGAAAATGCTAGTGCTTAGACTTGTGTATCTCATCTTTCCAGTTGTAGATTCAATGGATTAATCTGTGTAGATAGTTAACCTTTTTGCACTTCATACGCTGATTTCACTCAAAATGCTTGTTAAAATACTACAACTTCATCTGGAGTAAAATGTTGGAAATCTACACCTTCTGTTGGAACTTGTGAAACTAGAAGTTGTGACAATAGTATTCTTAATCCTAACTACACTACTTGTTCTAGCCATTTATCTATCTGCACATATGATGGCTCTGGTTGTTACACTATTAAAGATACCTGTTCCAAATACACCAAAGTATCTGCCTCCTAATGTTAAAATCTAAGAACAATCTCTGGAGGTAGATGTTGGTTATCTAATAGCTATGGAACTTGCGTTATGAGATAATGTGTTCACAATACTACTGCAATGACAGATTAAGAATGCGATGCATTTCTAACTGGATGCAAAACTACAGGAAGAGGATGTGTCACTTCTACAACCTCTTGTTCATTATATATTGGAACCACCTCAAGTTGTCTTTCCTTTGTTGGAAATTCCATAAAATGCAAAGGTGCGAATTCAACTGGATCTTGTGAACCCAAAAACTGTTATGATGATATGGATAGTATTACTGATATTTAGTGTGATTAATTTATGCCTGGATGTGTGACCAGAGGTAAAGGATGCATTGCAAAAATAGAACCCTGTACAAGTTATATTGGTAATTAATCTACATGCTCTTAATTCAAGGGTAATTCTAAAAAGTGTTGGAATAATACAGATGCCACATCTACTCAATTATGCCGAGACAGATTGTGTTCAGATGATACTACATCCAATACTGATGATTTATGTTAAGAATTTCTAATCGGCTGTGTGACCAAAGGTAGTGGGTGTATTGATGCAACAGCCAAATGTTCATAGTATACAGGAACACAAACTGAATGCAGTTAATTTAAGGGAGAAAATGGAACTAGATATTGTTGGAACTCTGACACAGCTACACATTTGGTTGTTTGTGTCAATAGAATATGCACTCACAATTCAAGTTCAACTACTGATCAAGAATGTGATGCTTTTCTTTAAGGATGTGTAACTAAAGGATAAGGCTGTGTATCACCATAACCATGTTCCTCCTTTTCAGGTACTATCACATCATGTGCAATGTTTACTGCCACTGATAAACCATGTAAAGGCACAAGTTCAACAACTACCTCATCCTGCGTTTCTATTTAATGTAACGAAGCTCCTAACAATTATGATACTGATGAATTATGTAACAAGTTCAAAGAAGGATGTGTTACCAATGGGTTTGGTTGTGCTGCAAATGTTTAATGCGAAGAGGTCTAAACAGAGAATGTTTGTACAAGTAAACCTTCTTGTGCTTATGTTGGTAATTGCAGAGATTTATAAACTGAATGCAGTAATCTTAAATCTTAATCTATTTGTGTTAATACTCCTGTTAGTACTGCTGTTGGATTTTGTGCATGGGAGGTTGATAAAGTAACTAAGGTTGGATTTTGTAGAGATTGGAAGTGTGAAGATGCAAGTGAAAGTTTGACTACTCATAAAGGTTGCAACGATCTATATAAATAGTGTACAACCAAAAGAAATGGGTGTATCCCTATTAGTTCATGCTCATCCTATACGACAGCTGCGATTTGCTTTGTGGCTAAAACAACAGATTAAGGAGGAGTTTGTAAATGGAATAAAACCTATTGCAGAGAGTTGGATTGTTCTGATGCTAGTTAATATTTAACAACAGACAAAAAATGCTAAGAATTTCTTAGCAAATGTGTTACTAATGGTAAAGGATGTATTAATGCAGAATACAAATGTGAAGAAATCTTGATAAAAGAAAAATGCACTATTGATTACAAGGGTAGAACTTGCTTATGGTTTTAATCTCAGTGTATTTAATTCACTAGATGCACTGATATAAATGGAGAATCATATGCTTAATGTAAAAAATATTCCAAAAATTGTACAAGCAATGGGTAGAATTGTATTGCTATTGCTCCATGTGAAAAGTATATAAATCCAACTAGTTGTCAAATTGGTACAAATGGTTAATGTGGATGGATAGCTGCTACTTAAGATAAGGCTGCCCATTGTACACTATTTATTAAATGCATTAATAGCACTGGAACAACAAAAGAAATTTGCTAATAATATTCAACATCCTGTGTTTCTGATGGAACTGGTTGCATTGAATAAACTACATGTTCATCCTACACTACAGAAATAAGTTGTGCTTCTGTTGGCACTGACGGAGTATGTTTTATGGACAATGGAAAATGTAGACTACGGTAATGTACAGATGCTACAGTAGCAACAGCTATTGAAATTACAAGTCATTCTAAGTGCAACGCATTCTAAGCTGCTACTAAGTGTACAACAAATGGAACAAATTGCGTCAAAATGGGCTTCTGCAATTCGTACAAAGAGTAGGGATGTTACTATGGAACAGATGGAGAGTGCATTTACTCATTCCCATCTGGATAAATTTAAGGTACAAAGTCTTGTAGAGTCAAGGTTTGCTCTGACTTCAGTGATGGGACATCAGAAATTTGTAAATTGAGAAATTCTAAATGTATATCTAATGGAACGTATTGTATAAACAAAAGTTAATGTGTCTCATACAAAACTAGAGTGGCTTGTAATTCAGGAGGACTCGATGGAGTCTGTGTTTTCACTTCCTCTAACAATGATCCAAACCATGGAAGTTGTGCTTAAATGAAGTCATGTGAATAAGCTAATTCTGATATGGTGGCATGTAAATCAAAATATAATGCGTGCCAGTTCTTAGTTTCCTCAGAGAGTGGAATGAATGTCACATCTTGTATTAGTCATACATGTGCAACTGTGGCAAATGGATCAATTTGTAAACCATTGTATGGATTTGATGAAAAATAAATTACTATTTGTGTACCCTCTGCTTCTGGGTGTATCATAGGTGATTAAACTTAGTTGACAGCATCAACTTGTTACGATTATAGTCTCAAAACATACACTTGGAATGGTGCGACAAATCTCTGTGAAATTTGTAATTCTGAATTAATCCAACCTAACAACACTAACAAAACAAATAGTACTGGGATAGATACTTTTGCAAAGATTCTATACGTATTTCCATTGATTATGTTCTAATTTTGATTAATTCTAAGAAACAAATTTAAAATTTTATTATTTATATAAACATGATCGAAGAAGAATTTATTAAGCTCTTTCAGAATAATGAAGTTGAATTACAAACGATTGATTAAAAATAGATGTATACTTATTTTCATTGTATTTAGTGACTAGGAGAGCATTTAAGAGGCAGCTTTAAGGAAAATTAGAATGAAGGAATTGTCAATTATGCTGAAGGTAAAACCACAGCTTTTAAAAGTGAAAAATAGGATCTAAGTTGGGATGATCGTTATGAGTGGCTACTGTACTAAAAGAATAAAGGAAATAAGTTGTTTTATCAGCAATAATATGATCGAGCAATTTAAGTGTATCAAGAAATGTCTTAAGGGTTGGATTTATAGAACACATAAGAAAGGAACGAAATAATGAAATAGGATTTCTAATACCCTATCATTTTTAATCTGGCACTCTGTTATAAGAAAAAAAAAGATTATGGGAAAGCATCTTAATTTTATGATATGGTAACTAGATTCATCAATGTATAAAGGTTATTAAAATGCATCCTAGTCCAAGGTACATTTTGAGGAGAGGATATTTCCATTTCGATATTCAAGAATATGATAAAGTATAGTCTGATTTAAGTCTTGTAACCAATATAAACGAGTATCCAGAACTGCGGGAGGATTATTTTGAACTCAAATAAAAATTGAGTGATGTTCTAAGAAAGGACAGAGAATTATATTAAAGAATGTTTTAATAAAATTCATAATCTGATGACGAATAATAAATAAAACTCTCCAGACTAGATTAGTTGTACGAATGGTGTAAAAATCAGTTCTCTCGCATCTTTGGTTGTAGAAAAATGTTCGAAGATGACGAATCAGAAGATGATGACGAGTCAGATCCTAAGAAATTTATGGAGAAATGATAGTATTCACAAAATTCAAATCTTTACACGTTTTATTGTTTGACCTCTCTTCTGACTCTCATATATATTCCCGTCTTCATCATCCTCAATTAATCTATTTTCTAAATTTAAGTATGGATGTTGTAGGCATTCACTTGCACTTGGACGATTGCGAGGAACTTTCTAGAGCATCTTAATAAGTAGATCATATCCAAGAGGATTATTTATTTTCACATTCACCAAATGAGTTTCATCATATTATCCACTGATGTTTCTTTTGATGATATCTTAAACATTCTTCGAATTACCGAAAGGGTTTTTTCTGGTCAACCTAAATATATATAAGCCAAATTATATACATATTGTAGAGAATGATTCCAGCACTGTAGATATCTACTTTCTCATCATAAGTACACTATTGGTCAAATACTTCTGGAGCAGTGTACCCAGGAGTTCCACATCTATTGAATTATTATTCCAAATATTACCTAGGGTTATAGTATGGGATTTGTTATTTAAAACAAGAAAGACCAAAATCAGCAATTTTTAAGCTATTGCCATTTTGAGTATCTAGAAACAATATGTTTTGAAGTTTGATATCTCGATGTACTATGTTTAGTTCGTGAAGATGTTTTAAACCTATTTAATTATTAAGACAATCTAGTACCTGAGAGTAGGTTTTTCATAAAGAGAGGAACATCTATCTTGTTGGCTTTTTTATTTAATAACTTAAGTAGATCACCTCCTTAGCAATTCTCTAGAGTTATAGATACACATTCGTTGTCAGTCACGATTTCTTCCAATTTAATTATATTTTAATGTTCATGCTCTTTCAATAGACTGAGGATATCTGCTTCCTGCTTCAATTATCCCTTATAATTAAACTAAATATGTTACCAGTCTGCTTATTGAGGCTGAATCTTACAACGTCTTAGGAAAAGGAGCCATTTTCTCAATCATTACATTGTTTTGAGTTTAAATCAGTTCTAATATAAGTATCTTTTTTTACAAATCCCTGGTGCTACCTAAGCCAATATTCGAGGGTTTTCAGAGCGAAAGAAAACTTGCTTTCCTCTTAATTGGTTTTGAAGTTCATAATTATCTTCCTGATTCAAGAGAAAAGACACTTTTATTTGTGTTTCTGGATTTTCCAAATCCAGTGTATACAATTCTTCACCTAGGATTATAGAGTAATATACCTTCATTGATTTATTTACCAAAGTGTAGTATTGTGTCCATAGACCCGGCTGGCAAGAACACCATTTACTAGTCATTTTGTGATGTCTTTTTAAATTCTAAATTCAATATGTACTTTTATTAACAACGAGCCACTTTTTGAGATAATCGTTACTTATTGACGACCTCCATCAACATCCAAATAAAATGCTTAACAAGAGAATTGATGCATTCAAATTTTGAGAGCAGAAAAAAAACTTAAAAAAATATATTCCTTTTAACCAGACATTATGAATCTTATGAATTCACGTAACAAAAGGCACCCCCATTATTTAATCTTGGATAATTTTATTGAAAATGAATCAATATAGTTGCAAGAATAACACATTTCATAATTTTAATGGATATTTTTATTTAGAAATCAAAATAAAGATTTATTTTGTTCTAATATATGCATTAATTAAAATCTTAGTTTCGTTATAACGAAATAAAAATTTTGCATAGCCATTTTGATATAATAAATTAGACTTATGGAAACAATATTAATATCTGTAAGTTAATCTGCCATATTATTTCAGCAATTTACAATAATTTCTAATCCCATTCATACATCAAATACTCCAATAATATAATTTATTATGGGCCATACAACTTTGTAAATAACTTAGGATAAAGTATCTAATCTGTGCCAACAACATAATTTACATTTTAACCTTAATAAAGCTTATGTTATTTCATATTTAAAATCAATTGATTTTAGATTATTGTGTAGAACTTATCACACTATTAAAATAAATTATATTTTCAAACCAATATTTCCTAATTGTCCTATTGAATTTGCTTGCTTTAATATTTTAAAAATCTCACAAAAACCAGGTTGTGAATTTTATCCAAGAAAATTCAGAGATCTTACTTAAATCCTTTCAGTTTATTTTCCTTTTGTTTCAAAAATGCTAATTTGCTTCTTTCTACTCTTAAATAGAATTAAATTATGAAGCTTTACCCATCCAAGCCTACGCGGATCTACTCCAAACTAAATTCAGATAACAAAAATATCAAAGATTAAATCAGAATGGTAATGTTAAATTTGAATATAATATATTTATATTTCTACAAATTTCATTTGAACCATATATAATCTCTTCTTTAATTATCCATATAATATTACATCTAGAATCAACATATATGTTTCGATTTTCAAGAGACTTCTAGCCTATTTTAGTTAACTAAATTTATATATGAGGACGGCAATCAATTTTTTGATAATATGAAAAATTCTATCATTCCCCATAATTTTTAGCTATGTTATTTCTTTTTATTAATATGAATAGGAGAATATGATCCAGAAAAAAGAATGAGATCTTTAAAAATCTAAAATGAGATAATAATATTATTTAATTTATATATTTCAAATGGATAAATTATTGAATTATAAAGAGTTTATTCTTGAAATAAACTTCAGCAACCAATCAAGTTTGAGTTGAATGACTATATCACAATTTTGAATCCAGCACCAATATTCTCAAAATTACAAGTTTTTACAATGCTTTCAATACTAAAAGAATAAAGGCAAAAACTTTAATTGATGTCTTCGTTAAAGATGATCAACAATTATTTATAGTCAGTCTGATATCATTGAGAGGGAACATGTAATAAAAAGAGTATTAAAGTGATTTACCATTCATTTGTATAATGATTTATTCGGAATATCATATTTTGATTTAGAGAATTTATATATTTATTTGAATCACATGTTTGGAATAGTGCCTAAGTTATAGCAATATGTTTGTGCTTGGAATTTTTGGCCTGCCTTCATGAAGAGATTCTTTATGAGTGAGAAAGGCCCTTTCACAATCTTTTTCTGGACTCCATTAGCCAAATGGGGGATCTCAATTGCTAACATAGGTGACATGCGTAAACCGGTTGAATAAGTTAACACACTTTAACAATGCGTTATAGCTTGGACGGGATTGTTATTCACAAGGTAAATGACATATTATTAATAACTAGGTGGTGTTTCATTATTACACCAAGAGTCTATAGTTTAGTCATTTGCAATTTCTGCATGGCTCAAACAGGGTTGTATCAGCTCTACAGAAAACAGTATATAGTTAATTTAATTGTAGTCAATAAGGAAAACTGTTTACAAGATGAAATAAATAAAAATACATTATATATTTTTTAGTAATCATACAAAATAATGAGAATTTTAGTATCAGATCACAATTTCTTTAAATTTAAAATTTCCCCAAAAAGTTGATGGGCATCCAAATGCTAACATCCTACAATCATTTTATACAAATAATAATAGGTAATAAATAATTAATCCTTGGATTTTGGAATAATCAATTGTGTCTTAAAGAAAATTAAAAAAATTTCATTAATCTTAATTAAAAAATAAACTCTTGATTTTGAATTATGTTCAATTCTATTTAAGTAAACTAACAGAAGTTGAGCATTTCGAATAAGTGATTTAACAGATTTAAAAACGATAATGTGCCTTGACTTAGAACAATATTATTATTAATGAGAACAGTTCTATTGGTGGTTTTACTCTTAAGTGTTGCCTCTGCTGCTACATATAAGAAAAGATTGGATTACTCCAATAAGAGATCCTTAATATCAGTAATGGCTGAAGTGGAAGCTAAGATTTCAACAAAATCTCCATTGGATGCCATTTTGAATGTTTTGAGAGATTTCAGAGATTCAGTAAATTTTGAATAAGTGAATCATGACGAAATCTATTAAATTGAAGTCAGAGAATGTGAATCTGAAGATGAATTCAGAAGCAAGGAAGTCTAAGAAGCTAAAAACATCCTTAGAGATTCTACTGCTTAATTAAATGTGTGTCAGACATCAAAAATCAGAGCCACCAATTAATAAGAAGTCAATTAACAATAAACATTCACAGCAGAGAAGCATTTGAATATGGTACTGACAGCTGCTGAATAAGAAGCAAGCTATTTCAAGAAGAGAGGAAGAGATTATGAAGACGCTCTTCATGCTATTGACGAGGCTTCAGACATCTTGGCTGCTATCTACAGTGGATCAGGAAGTTTTGCTGAGATCAGCAGGGTTTCAAAGGTTATGCTTTAAACAGCTTTCAGTATTAAGGAAACCACTAGATTTGCTCCAGTCCTTTATGCATTATCTTAATTGGCTTCATCAAAAGATTTCGATGAGACTTCTCTTGAGAGAGTCGCTTAATTATTGGACACTTTGAGATAAAATATTCATGAAGCTTACAACGATTATGCTGAATCAAATGGATAATCTATTGCTGCTTTCAATGATTAGAAGGAAAGAATAGGATAAACTCTTGAAAGACTTACTGCTTAAGCTGAAAGATTATAAGATAAATTGGATCATTTGGTTTAATGTATTGGAACTAATTCAGCCATTGCTTAGACTGCTTCAGGAAAACTCTAAAGAAATCAATAACTTTGGGATTAGGCTATTGCATTATGTGCCACCTTCTAAAATGAATATGACTTTGCCACTTAAGCCAGAAGAAACGAACTTTAATTGGTCAGTCAATTGGAAGATATGGTTGAAGACAGATTCAATTAAGTTGAAGATGAGAATCACGAAAGAAAACTCAGATTAAGTCAAAACTGATATATAAAAGTTTTACATAAAATCATTTCCAAAATATGTTCTAATAAAATATAATACAATAATTTTTATTACTATGATTTAGACATCAACTAATAATCAAAAGAAAACTAAACCCAAATTGTAGTTAAATGTCAACATCACTGATGTCTAACCTGAGAGTACACATTCTTCAGATGGATGGAAGTAATAAACAGACATATTTTTCCATGAACCTATGTATTATTGAATTTATTAATAGTAAGTGATTAGTCCTTATAATTTTCTCATAATGGGAAGACAGTTGCTGATGTGGCTCAACTTAAGTGTGGTAGAAAGTATCAAGAAGATAGAGTATTACATCCTCTTAATTTAAGTTTGTTGCTATTCCCAATCTAAATCAGAACAAAGAAGCCTAATTCTTTTATGCAATTTATGATGGTCATGCAGGTCATTCTGTATCAGCAATTCTCGAAAATAATTTACATAAATATTTATAAGAGGAAAACAACTTTTGTGATGATCTAGAGAAAGCAATTATTAATAGTTTTGAGAAAATGAATAAATACATACTTGATTGTCAAGATGAAAATCAATTGCTTGGTGGTTCTACTGCAATATGTGTTATCAATAGACATAAAGATCTCTATATTGTCAATTTGGGGGATTCTGCGTGTGTATTAATCACAGAAGAATGCGAAATTTAGAAATTGAATCTTGAACATAAATTAAATAGAGAAGATGAATTCAAACGGGTCGAATAGATGGCAACTATTCTAGATAGACAGTATTTCAATATACTATTCTAGTTCTATCCCAAGAATCAATGGAGAATTGGCAGTAACTAGAGCATTTGGGGATAAAAAACATAGACAATCAGGTCTGATTGCCATCCCAGAAATTAAGATACATTAAGTTGATCAAAAGGATAAATACCTAATTTTGGCATCTGATGGCTTTTGGGATGTAAAATAATATATCAATATATAGATTATTAGAAATGAGGAATTAAAAAAATTGATTGAAAATTGGAATAGAAAAGAAATAGATTAATTAGCATAATATCTTCTGGATAAAGCAGCATCCAAAAATACTAATTATAAAAAAGACAATATGACTTTAATAGTTGTAGATATCTAATCTTATTGGAAATGAATGTAAACTAAATTTTTATTGCTAATTTTATATAAAAATTAAAAATGAAATGTTTGGCGTTGATATGTATATATGAATTGCTAACAAATATTATCACTTTTCGTTGAAATAAACATGAATTAATTTAAGTAGACTACAAATTCATACACAAATACTATTTACTAAAATTTTGAATTCTTTATTTATGTGATTAGAAGAATCTATCTTCAAATTATATCAACACTTTAATGAAATTGTGAAATTAAGATACTTAATGTAATATATATTCATAATTATTAATATTTTTGATTATGCATTCTAATCAATTTGATGAAGATGGCGATCCTTAAGAATAATTTCTAGAAGTAATCGTTTAACATTCAAACCTTAGGCATTTAAAGAATTGCTTGAAATTTAGAATTAGAGAATGCAAAATGGAAATGACTTAATAAATTAATATTGTCCTCAATTACTCTACCCACTCATTATTCCCACTTAAATACCAAACACTTTTATTGTACTTTCTTATTTTACATTAGATCAACATGGGCCCATATTATCCTCATATATAACAACCATAATTGCATCCATAAATGAGCCAATAATAAAGAACACCACAATAACCTTAGTAAACTCTATTCTAAAATCGATAAAATATCAAAGAAGAAGAGCAAGACGATAACAAATAATCAAAAAGTAATTGGCTGCAATAAAAAAAATAATGAACTATTTCTGAATGCTAAATTTATATCAAATAATTGAATATTTCATTTCCTTATTTTAAATTATTAATTTAATTTTTATCATTTTAGAAAATGAACTATATACTGGATTAGTTACATTGATTTTAAGATTATGTATATGGTGCCTATCAACTACCTTTCTACTTTTAAGATATACTCCAGTACTTTTGAATTACAATAAAACCATAAAGAGTGGCTTTATAATGCTTTTCACAACCTTATCAAACAGTATGATTGAGCATATAGGATCTGGTAATTAAGTCGTGATTATAATTAGAAATCATAATTATATTACAAAACTTTCGACTTATTTTAATTCAGAGTTTTTTCTTACTTCCGCTGTAAAGATTAATCATAATGACTTTCAAAGGTTAGATTCTTCACTATATAAACCTTTTGAGATTAAAAGTCTTGAAATTAACTCGACCCATTTTAAATAACTAAATAATAAAGGACCTTATTAATCCAGAATTTAACTTGCTTACATTTGAAAGTTCCATTTAACAGGTTTCAACAAGGACTTATTATTAAACTTCTGATTTTTTTGATTTCCTTAAACCTAAAAGAAAAGAAAGAACACTTGCTTGATAAGCGGATTAAATTTTACAATTTAAATAAAGTTAGTTAAAAAAAATATTTGATATTAAATTTATTGAAATTCTGACTTAACTAAAGGTTAGTTACATATAATAGATTAAACAAAACTAAAGTAATACTCATCCTTTATAAAATAGTATTTAAAATTTAAAAAAAATAAAGAGCTAATGAGATTATTTTAAATTTTAACTATTTTAAGTTTTGGCTTGAAAAGAGGACTCAACCGATAAAATGTATTATTTATACTAACGCTTATGCTATTATGATTTGAAATGAATATTCATTATTTAACTATTAAATGATTTAAAATTTGAAAATCTTTCTCTCAAATAGTGCTTAATGGTAAATATTTTTTGATTTATTAATATATATATGTTTTTATAATAACAATTTCAATATTGATAGATAGAATCGGATTAATGGCTTTTAGACTCTATATGTTTATGAATCAATAAAGAAATATCAATCCCACTATTACTCAACCCCAAAGATTCAAATTATTGAACAACAATTTGACCTTGAAGTCATCAGTTTACTATGTCGAAATCTTAGTAATTATAAAATTCGTAACTGTTCAGGCAATATAAATTACTTCATAATATCTAGACTAATGATTATTAAATTCTATAAATCATTTATCATTTATAAAAATTTTGAATTTTAGATCTTAAAATTATGGGCTCAATCTGCCAATGTCAAACTTTTGATCTTAAATCTTGCTAAAATGAAATCACAATTGCTTCCAAAAATACAAAGAAACAAGAATAAAGGACAGTAAAAAAAAAAATTTCTACCCCTTATTAGGATTAAAATCTGAAGGTCTTTTATATTATTTACCCAAAAAATGAACATGATTTCGTTTAATTAGTCAAATAATTGGAAGTTATCAATAAAAATGAACAATATGAAATAGAAGAATATTGTTAAGTGAGTCAAGGGAGTTAGATTGAAGAAATTGAAAGTTATTTTAATTTAAATGGCCTATCAGTTGGATCGTTTAAGTAAATGCACATTACAAGTGACAAAGAATAAAAGTGAACCAAAATTTTGGTTTTTGGATTAACAAAATTGAACAATATATTAACAAATTTTTATATGAATCTGTTTGTCAATAATTTTCACAACTCATAACAAAATCAAATCAATAGTCTATGTAGAATTATTATTATTAAGAAATGAGTAAAAATAATATAGATCTCAAATCAGATAAATTATCTCGCTTACGGATAGATTTAAATCATGAGAATATTAAAACACCTTTTTTCAAAATAAATTAGCAGTTTTATCAATAACCCATTCATGAATAGCGAATAACAAATTAAAAGTTTTAAACTCATACTATTCTCATCAGATTGTATCCTAATTCAAAAATAAGAATAAGACAAGATTACAAAATCAAAATACAACTCAATAAATGAGAAAGCCAGTTTATTTAATTCTGACTTATTTATCATAGTCATTAAAATTTCAGTTTTTTATTGAATGGATTAACAATATTTTTATTTTGGTTTGGTCACATCTTAAAAATATCTTTATAATAGCGATAATGACAGAATTTTTCTTTACTTTGTGCAACTTTTGCTAGTATATTTTTCAATAAGATTTAGTTTATTTGTTGATATGATCGAAAGTTACCAGTGATTATCTTCACTAAAAATCTTCTATTCTAAATTTACACATTCCTCTTAAGTAAGAAACTTCCAGTCATTAGATATTTATGAAGATCTTATAATTTTCAGTATTTTTGATAAGATTTTCTTTATATTCAATCAATTCTATGAATGGAAAAGATTAATTAAAAAAATAGATTTTGTTAATGATAGTTAATTTAAGAAAATTAAATATCTTAAAATTATGTATAAACAAATTAATAATTCATGCCCAATCATTAATAGCAATTATACTATTAACAAATGAAATAAATCTTTAACTATAGAATTAAGGATCAACACATGAAATTTATTAGCCTTTTCTTTTCACATGAAACTTGTAAAAGTATTCCAATTTCTTTTTGAATGTGAATTTTTAGGTATAATCAATCAAACCAATACAAAAACTCTTGCTACTATTGCAATATACACGTTTTCCCTTACTAAAGTTATCGTAACATACAGCTATGAGCAATGAATAATCCATAATGTTATTTTTAAGAAGAAAATCGATATCATCTTTAAGAATATTAAATAGATTATCTCTATCCTATTATTTCAATTGAATAAAAATATCTGTTGATTTGATGAAGTTTTGATCCTTTAAAACACCTTCCTAAGGTAAATATTATGCAAAAGAACTTGTGAGATCAACAACTTAACTGTGTTTAACATTTTGTTTTCTATTCACAAGACTTCCTTTCAAATCATAAACTATCCTTTCTTTGGGAATTTTCTCGAAGATGTTCTCCATAAGTAACAAATGAATTTAGGAGAACCCTTCTATACTTATCGAATACAGACCATAGAATTTAGCCAAAAATGTTTATTCTCTATTGATATATTTGTAATAGTCTTCCAAAACTATAAAATTAAATAACGAAAATACATTCTTAAATTAACTTAATTTCAGACTATGTGATGGTCTTCAAGACAAAAAGATTATCATAAGTATAGAAGAAGAATGATCCACTTTTCCCCAAAGATTCTTGAGTTTTTTTAATTTAATTTTAATTCTAATCTAACCTCAAGGAATTTTAAAATTGTTTATAATCTATCCCATTTTTTTCTCTGATATCTTGAAATACTGCTGGAGCATATTCTTTAATTTAGAATGGCAATGTTAATTCTAATGAGTAATTGATTGAATGTATCAAAGGAGATTATGATTCATTTTAAAGTTGATCACATTTGTTCGACGAAAATCTGAATTGCTTTTTGTATTTACATTATTTGTGTAAATCAGTAATTTTTTCATCGTAAGTAACAATTTTAAGTATTGAACTTAGAATATTAGATACTGTCTCTTAATTAGTTTATTCTTATACTAACTTACTGAGAGGCAGTTAGCATTGTTCCATAATACTATCATCAACATTTTTGCTAAATGCTATAAAGGTTATTTTTACTCTTTATTTTCTTTCCACCTTCTTTTACAAAAGATTGTTGCAATTAATAGCTATGTTCTACTCTTAAAATAAGGTTCGCGAAGTCGGATCCATAGTAAAATTGTTGCTACATATGGATATAAAACTATACGATGTAAAAGCATAATGGCAAAGTATATTTTATTAATTAATTTGTGGGCTTTACTCTGTTCACTCAATGTTGTCATTATGAGAGGGAGACTCCACATTATAGACAAAGTCAGAAATAAGTACTAATTTAGGTTTAATGACAGTATACTAGATGATTGTAAAAAAATTTTTTTCTGTTTTCTTTCACCACAATATTGATTTTCTTCATTTTTTTTAAGTCCTTGATTCCAACATAAATTGAGATGGCTAATAGTACAGTTATCACCAACATCTGAAGTTTAAAAACCTAAGAGACTTGTCTTGCACCTATTCCCTTACAGGTAACTTCAAGTGAATCTTTCTCCAAATAAAACATTATCAAAGTAACAAAGGATGCTCCCAAATTATATGAAAGCTGCTTCATTTTAGTATTCAAGAAGGGTTTAGTTAAAGTTAGTATAAAATCTAATGTCAGAATTGCATAATAATTTAATTGTGCTAAGAATCCGAAAAACACAAGAGATTGATTTATTTAACATAATGTTTCATCGGAAATCGAACCTTAACCAAATACATAATATTCCCTCATTTTATTGTAGCCAATAACATTGTCTAAGAATTAAATCAGTTCTTAAAAATTAACACTGTCTAGAAATAGTTAATAGCAGGTTATCATTTCCAATATACCTAAAATATAAATTATTCTACATAATATCAGAACAATTTATGCTGGATGATGTCTACACTTCGGGGAGTAAGTATAAATTATAGGTATGACTGAAGCTGAGCATAACGAGAAAAACAGCAACGATACATAAATATATTTCCAATAATTTTCTACTGAATATTCTGAAGAACCTAAACTCATAGAATACACAAAGTATTATTATTAATATTTAATAAATTAATTATAAACTTTATTATTATTCTTGCATTTCAATTGATCAAATCTAGACAACAAATACATTCTTTTAGTTGAAATCTTATTTAAAAAAATATCTAAAGAGACCAAAACAGAATTTCAAGATTTGCATATCAGAATCAATTAGTTGCATGAATAATAAACAATATTTCTAAGAATCGAATTTGAATTCAAATGTCAGCCAATTTTTCAGTTGTTCTTTCAATATTTCAATTGATAATTATGTTATATGTGATAATTTAGGGTTTTAGATACTTAACTATATAAAAATATATATCTTCATTCTGAATAATATTATCAAATAAAATATTAAAAATTAATATTTATATAATTACACACGTAAATGAATAAAGAAAGAAAAGAGTTTGAAAAATAGTTTTATCCTCTTTACCAACATTATCATTAATAGCATAGTGGCTTTAAACTTAGAGAGGCAAACCTCAATTATCAAAGAAAGATACAATACTTTAAAGGAGAGGATTTCATTAAATTCACAACCGCAAATTTTGAGGAAATTAAGGGTTTAGTTCCATTAACTGATAAAAAGAAGGACGCAACATAAATTGCAAAATATTTGATAGATTGCAAAATCATTTGGAGAATCGATAGACACAGTAATGACCCAAAGAAAAAGTGGCCAAAATTGGTGACCTTAGTTAGAGTTTTAATATTTCAATATGTGATAGGATTAAACTTTTGTAGATGATGGATTCTACACTTGGAGTATAGATGTCAAGAACAAAATGAACTCATTAAAGTTGGCTGCCATTTTGATTGGTGTTTTTTTAATCTGTCTCTTCCCAATATGGCCTTTTTCATTTAAATATGGTATTTTTAAGTTTACAATATATCTGCTTATATTGTTAATTGGGCTCTAAGTTGCTAGATTGTTGTTATATTCAATAATAAGATTATTTGGATATGAATTCTGGATTTTGCCAAATATCAATGATGATGTAAATTCATTCTCTATAAATATAGTCTTATGGAATATTAGGCTCATTTCTACCTATTTATTCGATTTCGAAATATTCAGATGGAAAATTGGAAATAGTACTTCGATTGATAGGATTAGTGGCATTTTTTATGTTGATTTTTATAATAGTCTAAGAGCCCCATCATCTCACTAATATAACAGATGCCACTGGATAAACATTAGATGATGTTTTCTTATGGGGAAAAGAAAAAATGGAAGGAAAATAAGTAAAATTATTAGATAGAAATTAGGAACCTTTGCATAGAAGAGCAATCCCAGATTTAAATGAATTGCTTAAGTAAGCAGAGGAGGATTCAAATAATGCTCAAAGTGTACTTTAAGATGAAAATTTGGAAAAACCTGAAGTTTAAAATGATTTGTGAATATATAAATTTTAGTATTTTTGATAATAGGTTATGTAAAATATAGGGCAATCCATTTATTTACAAATTTGAATAAAATTATAAACCAAAATAATATTAGTCTCCGAGATTAATAATAAAATAAGAAAGTATATAAATAAATTTTATTGATAAAAAGACCATTGAATTAAAGTTGCTAAATTGATTGAGTCTATTTTCTAAAAGCATTTAAATTACAATATGAGAATTCCAGCTAGGGAAAATACAATATAAGATGATACAATAATGTTTATTTATATTTATTTAATAAATAAATTAACAGATTCATGCCATAAGAAGACATAGTGTAGAAATTATTGCAAAGAATTTAAATTCTTGTAGACGAAGTTGAAACTTTGACTGCATTGGTGGATAGCAATGCATTGGAATAATAAGAGATGAATTAAAAATATTAAAATTTAATGGAGCTTTACCGATAAAAGGAACTCGAATGTTCAGAATTGTAGAATAAACTAAATTAGCAATTTAGTATTGTATTTAGATTCATATAGGACTAAATGTGAAAGACCATTTGTAGTAAATTAGTGAAGAGAGATAACACATAACTTCTTTATTAGTACATCAAAGAAATGATGTACCTGAGACATAAAATCAAGCATTGTATCAATTATGCTAATAGAAAACTGCGGAGAATCAATTGTTGAGAAATCGACAAGATCAATTGGAATAAGAGAATGCATTTTTACATTCAGAAAATATAAGATTGAGAACTTATATACAACATGAAAAGATGTTCAGATAATTGGAATATTTTAATGGAAATTACAACCCTCAAACAGTGGCACCAGGATAGAATGTGGAAATTCCTAATATAGTTTTGGATCCTATGTATGAGTAGAAATACTTACAAGAATATTTGCAGTCTAGACAAGTAGTTTAGTGAGAATATTTTTGTAAAAATTTTATATTAATAATAATCATATGTTCTTGCAAGCAATGAAGTTGAAAGATAATAGGTATGGTGCATTATAATAAAGATTGGAGCCTATTCAATTAAAGTACAGTCCAAAAGAGCCTAGATAGCATACTCCAGAAGGTTTGGCGAAGATTGGTATGTTCAACAGCACTCAATTTCAGAGGAAATAATCAGTTGAAAAGCGCAAGCTAAGCAGTCAGGCAGAAGGAAAAAGACCTTAGTCATCAGTGCAAAGAATACCAAGAACTGCGTTTTTGAAAAATACATTTTAAGCATAATATGTTGTAATGATGATTATAAAAACAGGTAGTTCTTTTGTGAAAATGGAAATAATGGAGCTCTTGTTAGGAGAATACTATAAGGAAGAGGTTGGTTTGCTGAATAGTAAACAAGTTTTAAGTAAGTTATGGATTATTAATTGAAGTGTAAACTTTATATGGAAGCAATCAAATAGGGGATTCAACTATTCTACTCTTACATAGAAGAAAGTTTGTATTAATCATCTGGAACATCATCATGAGATATCAAATAAAAATAAATTACACGATAATCTCAAAATGCATTATTAGAGGATTAGCAAAAATATGGATGATTTTGTACCTATAACATTCTCAATAAACTTGGATTCTATGACACTCTAATGGGATCTCAAGAAATTTGTGGACTTTTTCATCTCAATAAAGAAGGAAGGCAACTAGAAGAATCTTTGGTTATTGAAACCACCAGATCTCAATAGAGGAAGAGGAATTTAATTATTTTCTGATCTTAGGGTCTTAATTAATTAAGTAGAGGAATTCTGTAAAATTAGAAGTTTGAATTCTAAAACTAAGGGTTCATCAAAAGGCGCTAGAGGAGTTACAATTACTTATCCAGACGCTAATGAAAGTAATTTTTATTTAATATCATTGATAAAGAATCCGGCTAAGCTTAAATTAGTTTTACAATAGATTAGTCTACTAGTAATGACCGCATTATAGTTTTATAAAAATATTTAGAAACGCCACTTTTGTATAATGGCAGAAAATTCGATTTTCGAGTTTGGGTACTTATTGATCATACTTCAAAATATTATTTCTTCAAAGAAGGGTAGTTTACTTATTTTATTTATAGATATCTACGTTTAGCTAGTGAGTAATTTGATGTAAATAATCTGAAATCTTTATACATTCATTTAACTAATAATGCAGTGTAAAAGAATCATCCCAGCTACGGAAAGTATGAATTGGGAAATCAACTGAGTCTATAGGATTTACAGCATTATTTAAATTAATAGAGAAATACTAAAGTATCTTCAGCAGGAATTATCCTAAAAATGAAGGAACTAATTCATTAAACGATATATTGTGCTGGATCTAAATTGCGTGACAGTTGATATATGTACCTTAATTTTTAGATCGCAAGGATTTCTAGTTTGAAATATTTGGTTACGATTTTATGGTAGATAAAAATGGGCACATTTGGTTGATTGAGATTAATACTAATCCTTGTATTGAGGAGAGCAGTCCACTTTTATAAAAATTGATACCTAGAATGTTAAGTAACTAATTGAATCAGTTGTAGATGACGCATTTAGATTGACGATTGATAAAATATTTCCTCCTTTCAAAACAACGCAAGAGAACTTTCTTTCAAATTTACATGAATATGCTATTCCGGGATATAGTGATAAAGATATTCTGTGGGATTACATGGGATAAATTTGATTTATAAGTCATTAAATAATATCATTACTATATAAAATGGGATTTGCATGCTCTAAACAAAAAGAAAATCATACGGAGATGAGAGTTGAAATAAAAAAGCAAGAGGACATTCGACAAAGTTTGAGCACTACTAAAGAGGCGATTGACTTTGTAGAAAGCAATTCTTTGGCGAATGTAATGAGAACTAAGCCTATAAAATCTTATTTGACTGAGCAAATTGAGAAATAGTAAATTCAGATGGATTCATGTGAAATCTTGGCAGAGAGAATAGAGGCTAAATCTTAATTAATAATTCGAAGCTATAATCACTTTACTGAGAAAGCTTTGAAAATAAAGTCGAAAGTACTAGAGTATTATCGAAATGAATACCTGAATTATATAAATTCCAATCTTGATACAATTACAAATATAGAATTTATATAAAAAGAAACAATTTAAGTAAATTTATTGTGATTTTATCTAATAGTTACTAGTAGAAACAACAATCATTTTGAATTGTTTAATGGATAAGAACTTTGACGATGAAATCGAACTTTGGTGGGGAAACAATTACTTTAGTGATCGAATCTAACATTTAGCTCTTACTGCTACTGATTGTTCAGATAACACAGACCCCATTACTAATCCAATAATACAGTACATAAATGCATTGAGAAACAAAATACTTCAAGTGATACCAGTGCAAACAAATCAACCTAAGTCCATTGCAAATAGTGTTGCTATAGCTAATGTTCACTTAACTCAATTCTATCAAGATCTTAAGTTGGAATTTGCAAAAAAGGTTGATGAAGAAGATGAAAACTATTGAATATAAAGGTTAACAAAGTCTTAATAACATAATTCATATAATTAATTCATTGTGGTTATTAGTGATTGTGGTCATCATGCTGATCCGAACAAAGAATCACTTCTATATTACAGACTGGACATTTTTTGTGATTTAAGAGCCATGCTTTTATACACTTTGAATGATATATGTGATTGCATGGAAGTTATCTATATACATTACCAGTTAAGATTTGATCATAACAAATAGTGCAACTATTCGTATATAGAATTAATAATGTACATTTCTTCAACGTTGTCATTTTCTTATTTTGTTCTTTTAGGAATCTCTTTAATTACTTCTTTCGATAATCCAACATTTTGATTTCTTATAATAATAGTGAGTATACAATTACCCGATTCTCTCTTAAAGATTCAAGATTTATTCGTATGTCATATTGTCAATATTTACATTCGATTAATTTTGAGCTTATTGATTTAAATATTGCATTTCTTAGACGATAGATTCATGCATTCCTAATTGTAGTAATATTTATCTTAGTTCTTCCAATTATAAAAATGGAGCATTCTATTCTATTTTCATAATTTCATATACATTAGGCATCTGTGTATCGACCATAAAAATAATTCAAAGCATCTATTATTCTTCTCTTATACATCTTTTTCTTGTCTCTGCTGCTTTTAAATTTGTTTGAAACCTGTTGAAGTTTGGTTTATGTATCTTTAACTTTTATCCAATAATCAGAAACAGTCTAAAATTAATTTAAGAATTACCGAATTCGCCTTCCTCAATCTTTACTCCAATAACTCATTTTACTTCTTTAACTCTGCTATTTGATTTTAAAGTAATTTTATTTCTGAAGTTTGATCGGCTAGTCGTTACTCCAATGCTAAAATGAACTAATCAATTACTATCTTAGTTTGAAGGCATTTAACTTAGATTATTCTTGAAGTTTGGACTTAATTTAAATGTCTAGACTATTATTATTAGTATAAATTGAATACTTCTAAAAACTTGTCTATTATTTCCTTTCGCATTTTTAGGTTGTTACTATTCTTTGGCAAATTAGGGAGTTTACACCTTATGACATGAAGGTGGTCTAAAAATATTACTATTATTGTTCATATATTATAAAAAATATTTTAAAAGCAATTAAATTATCATTACTTCTACACATCCTAAAACACACCCACAACTTCCATCAAACTTTCCCGATTCTCAACTCCTTAAACTATTAATGCATGAGTCACAGGTTTCCTGCACAATAAACACAAATCACTTTTTGTCAACAATTATTACGAACATTCCTAACAAAATCCTCCATGACCACAAGGCTGATTAATCATATTACTTTCTTTTTCATAGCAAATTAAACATAATTAAATCTATTTAGGTTATCCTCTACTTGATAGTTCTGCACCAATACTTTCGCTAACTTCTAGTTTTAATCGAGGAGATGATAATAACTGATCAAACCTCTTTGTAAGTTCCTCATCATAAATTTATGACGACTGCTTTTTAACTTATTTATTTTATTTCTTCTCTGAGAAACTTATTGATTGAAATTTCTTATCTTTATTTAATATTGATCCAATTGGTTTCGTTATTATACTTGTTTATTCCTATCTTTTAAAATAAGTAGCAGATAGTTTAATCATAAATTAAGGCATCTTACTTATACTTATTCTGTGAATTTATTTTATTCTTTCCTTTATGCCAGCTTGTTCATTGCTCCTTTCTTAACTCTATTCTTATGTTTAATTTTCTTAGCTGTTTAGATATGATCTAAATATACTTTACAATTTTACATTATGTCTTTCTTATTCCTGATATAGTAGCCAATTTCAAATATATAATAAAGTATTGTTAGTATTAATCCAGCTAGATTTATTGATGGTATCTGATAATCTAGTAATAATCCCAAACCCAAAAATGTTAGTAAGGATATTGAAATAAAACCAATGAATACTATGTTAAACCACATACTACCATAAACTTATATGATGAGACTCTTACTTATCTGCTTTTTATTTTCTAATTTATTATTGTAACACTTCATCAATAGATCAACAAATAAGCTTATTTCGATCAATATCATTGTACCAATACTGAACCAAATAATAATAAACGTTTGCATCCAACACCAGTTTATTTGATCACTCAATTTCAAACTTAAAAACACAATTTATAAGGATCCAATACTTTTAACGGCTGAGACTAACTACACTCATATCATAAATACTATATCTTGTATTTGCTTTGACTAATCATGACCATCACTCTCTATGTTCTGTCTGCCCAATATAATTGTAATTGCTAATATTATAAATTAGATTATCAGAAGAGTGTAGCTAATCAAGTTAATATTTATTGGAGAAACTTCTTTGTTGTATATAAAACTCAAAAGGTAAGTAATTAATAATGTACTTTCCAATATGGCAAAACAACAGTAAGAATTAATCCTAATTTAAATTATGCTGCTACATACCCTTAACTCGAGAGAAGTTTGGAAATCAAAAAGCCGAATTGTGCTGTGCATGCATATATAATAATTATTTTGTAATCCCATCCGAAACATATATTTGTATTAAATAGAAAGCAAAATCCATTAAATAAAGTAACTAATAAAAATATCTTATTCAAGCCAAATATGTTACAGATTATAAATCCTATTTTGCTTTCATCTTCTAATAATCTAATTCTGCCTATTGCATATAATAATAATTTAATCAATTATAATATAATATAAATTCTCCATCACTCAAATTTTTAATATAAAATTTTGAAATAACTTTAAATCTCTAATTATTTTTATTATTTTTTCATTAATTCAAAGGAATTTTCATGAGGTGAAAATTTGTATATTGTTTCAATCTATTAGAATAATTCCGAATAAAAAAGAAATATGATGTAAAGAAATAATTTATATTGTGCATCACATAAACATCATTCTAAATCATCGTCATCATTATCAATTTCTTGAAGTTCTTCAACATCGAATTATTTCAGGTTTACAAAATGATTGAGTATAACATCAAAAGGAGCATTTTATTTAATCAGATCTAGAAAATCCAAAAAGCTTTATTTAATTTTATTGAATACATTTTTGTAAATCTTTTCATCCTTTAATTCTTTGATTAAACTACAATATGATTAAATAATTACAATTAACCAAAACTCAACAATTTAGTGCATAATTCTATGTAATAGGCTTATTAGAATTCTGGATCATTGAAGTAAGGAAACTTTTAGCACTCAGAGATAAACTTTTTCAAACAAGCCTTATTGTCAATTTTCTTATAAACCAACGACTTCAATTTTTCTCTTATTTTTCTAATAATTCGATCTTTTTATTAAGATAATAAATACATTCAATTGTTTTTAATTTTGCTAAGGATAAACATTCATCATTCTCTGCGTTGCAAAAATATAATACTGATCCTTCCCCCATCTCCTTTAAACTCATTTAAGATATTTCGTTTGACAATTGAAGCATTTTCATTTTTAATTCCTCAATTCCATTAGCAACGATTTCTCTAAATTTTACTGTCTTTAATTGAAAATTATCAAAGATTTACTACGAAAACTTAGGTGATAAACATGTTTCAATTCCATTTTTTTTCACAATAGAGAAAAATCTAATTTAGACTTCATCATATCTGATTAAGTGTTAAAGTTAAGAATGGCCACAAAATTCCCCAATAAATGTATGATCCTACAATATATTTTTTAATCCTTCTATTGGTTAATTTAACTATTTTAAATCTTTGAACCATTATTTTGCAATCATTAATGCCACTTGATATGAATACTTCTAATAACATTAAGCCTCCAGATCATTTTCATTTCTAATTACAAGAGTTTTGTTCTTTGATGAGATGCTCCAACCATCGATATCCTTGCAATATGAGATCTAACAATTTTCTCCATTTGCTTTTTCTGAAACATAGATTTTTAATTATTTATTTTGCGAAGCTAACTCTTAAGCTCTGCCAATATTGTAATAATTAATCTTGTTACAAAAATCACCACCTTTTCCTTAAATATCTTCAAAGTATAAATCAAAGAACTTTTTTTACCCTTTTCTTAATAATTTCCACCCTTACCCATAGTTTACATAAGCCAAACCCCTTCTAAAATTTTAATGTATTTGTTTATTTAATGCAAATAATGTGTCCTCTTCATAATGAATTTTTAATTTTATGTCTCTAATCTAAAGATCTAAATCTTTCAGATTACATTCAATAACTTAAGAACTTGTCAATTTATTAAAGGTTTGCAAAAAGTTTTCTAATTCTTCATATGTTAATTATGTTTCTGGTTACTAGATAGAAAATTAAATATACGTCTGCTCTAAATTCTTTTAATTCTTATATCAGTGGCTCTAAATTCTTGGTTATTCTTAATTTCTTTCTTTTCTATTGTAACATTAAATAAATTAGATTTATATTAGTATATTTATTAAAATAATTCTTATATAACATACAATAAAAATTCTTTCATTATTTATTATCACCTTATTCTATCAATTATTTAAACACATTCATTTCTTCTTTTCCTTTGTTCTATATTCTATCCTTGATGTCTAAATAGCTTTTATCAATTAGACTGAAAAGTAGTTATTAAATTTATTTTATGTTTGCATCTTGCTGACCTTTAAGAAAACTAATCGCATATATTTGAATGCATACTTTGAAGCTTCTTGGAGTAAATTAGAAGCAAATTGCAAGTATTATTTCCTCTTGCCTTAATCAATAGCTGTAAACTATTGTACGCTTTGTTACAAAGCCTAATAAGTTTTAACTGGGTTTCCTTTTTAGTGAATGCAATCTTTCAATGCCTCTCTAATTTACCTATGTATTTTGTCTATATAGAATATAAATATCAATTACATTCAATAGTTTTTAATTTCCCGAGTGAAAGGCATTAATCTTAATCATTTAAAAGATATAAAACTGCTCCTTCTCCCTCCTCCTCTATGCTCTTTATTTTGATTATGTCTTTTAGTTTTTTTAGTTCAATAATCAAGTTCTCTTTGGAATCTACTTGAACTTCCAATCTACAAGAAACAGTTGGAAGTTAATATTTTTAAAACAACAATCTAGATTCGCTTAAGAGTTCACAAGTTTCTAAACTATCATGTTTAACTCTTGAGAAAAATTTTAGAGAAATATTATCATATTTCACTAGATGCTGAAATTTTGGATGTCCACAATATTCCCCAACTAAAGTGGAATTTGCTAATTCTTATTTAATCTCTACTAGTTGAGGATTTTAATCTATCATTTTAAACCATTATTTTGCAATTTATACTGCAAGATTATATTTTTGATCGGAATAAATTTTCAAATCATCAACTCCATTACATAAAATAGCAGTATTTTTGGAACAAATCACCCACACATTCAAAGGTGAAAAATAACTTATTTATGCATTTTCCCCATTGGCTTTTTCTTAAACTTATATCTAGATGTTATTAAATGTTCTTACTTTAATAGGCCTTCCATTTTCTAATTCTTTGTATATTCTATGTAATGTGTAAAATGATATTTGGTTATTTAAATCATTTTTTTCCTTAGACTTTGCTTTTTCTTGATCAATAATTTTTCTAATTTCTATATACCATTTACATATCAAAAAATTTCATCATCCCTTTTCGAAGTAACCCAAATTAATTTTAAAAGCCAATTAAACTTAATCCTCTCCTAAATGTTTGGTGTATAATAAAACTTGATGTTAGAATTTTATCTTCAATCTCAGGATCAACATTTAATTTTAGATCTATAATCTCAACCATTTAATTTTAGATAGTATGGATTTCTCTTTTCAGAAGAAATATATCAGAGAATTCTTCGCAAATCTTTATAATTTCTATTGGTTCTAATAATACATTATCCTTCATCATATTTATTAAGAGCTACTTATTATTCAAATTTCTTGCGTAATTATTCAATAGTTGTTTTGATTTCCTCCTTTTTTTATGCTTTGATTTCCCTGCCATGTTATTTTATCACATATTTTTTATTATCCATTTAAATATAAAATATAAATTAACATCTCATTAATCAACTGTTTAAATGTAGATTCACACTATTTCTCTTGAGAAATATAATAAAAGAATAATAATTTTTTTAAATGAACAAAAATATGATGTCGTTCCTATTGAGATGATGCAATTAAAATATTCTATAGATTAAAAATGACTCATTTAATTCCACATTAATTTAATAATGAATCTATTTCATCGAAATCTTTGTCGAGATCATTCAACTCCTATTGAATATGCTAATTAAACTCTTATTTTTCTTATTATTCTTTTGAAATCGTCTTCTCATATTTTTAAAATTAATCTAATTCTTATTAGACTTTTTATTTCATATTTGCTGTTACTTATCCATTTGAATCACTCTGAGTATCTTATTATGTAGATTCTTATTCTTAAGAAATCTAATCAAGTTCTGCAAGTTATGCTTTCCATTAAGTTAACTTTAGCAAGATATCATCATCCATTTTATTAAGATTAAGTTAATTAGTTGGATAGTTTTCTAAATTTTCCAATCTTTAGGAACTTTCTTATAATTTTTGTGTCACTTCTTAAGTTTTTTATTCACTAGCCATATATTTAGTAATTTAAAGATATTCTTTCATATATTCCTGTCTAATCTTTTGCAATTTATTATTGAGATCAGTTTATTATTATAATAATTCTTCTTATCTGGTGTCCTCTTCTTCTTCGTCTATTTCATATCCACTTTTATAGATGATTTTCTTAGTTTGTTAGTTTTCTATAAGTTGTTTTTTCAATTCAAGATTTTCATTTTTTTTCCATTCTCTCAATTCCTAAATTGCAGAATCGATCTCTTCCATTAGAAGTTTATTTTATGTAGAACGTTGTGATGATGCACTCATAGTCCTTAAGGTCTTGATTGAGTTTGGATTGAACATATAATTTATAAAGTAATGTTAATAATCAAATGAAATAATAAAATTACGGATGTCTTGGGGCAGGTCCTTTTTTCATAGTGACATATCTATCAATATAAGATTCAAGTTCTTTTTTGATTTTTTTATCGTTCTCTTTTTCCTCAGGAACATACTCTAAAAGATTGGCAAATTTATTATCATCTTAAAATCGTTATTTCGTTAATATCAATGCTTGTTGGATCTTGAATGTGTTCATCCTAGAAAGATAAGGAGTTGCAGACATACTTTTCAAGAAAAAGATCGTATTACTCATTTGCTTTAATGGCTTCCTGAAAGTAATTATCTTCTTTGCTTCTGGGCAATTATCTAATATGCTTGATGACCTAGATTAAGTATAAAAGTTGTACTTTCTATTGTTTCTCAGCTATTATCTTCTTGGTGCCAATTCTATGACCGAAGATCATGTCGTTGTTGGGTTGGTTGGTTTAACATTAATGTAGTTTCATTTTTTTATTTATTAAATTAGTTTATGGACTAAGATTATATAATACTCTTATTAATTGTGTTAGTTTCCATAATTCTACTCATGATATTATACTTTATAGTAAGAAAATAACAGAAATAAATCCCCAAGACTCAACTTGATAGTTCAACTCATATAGAAATTACTTAAATGGAATAAAAACCTTAAAAAAGTTATTAGAGAATGATCAAAAAGCAATTGAAAATAAACATACCCAATAGCTCATTTGACCCTTGATCAATTTTTTATAATATTATAAATATATATTTAACGAATACATGTCTTTTACTTATCTGCCATTTCATAATCTTGCTTACTGTCCAAAGTAAGTCATAGAATTTGTACAAAATCCAAATCTCAATCTCCAAGATTTGAATCATATGATAGAATAATTGAGGATGCCCAAAAATCATCTAAAAGCAATTTAGAAAATGCAAATATTAGCATCACGGTAAGAACAATTCTTGTAGGATGAAAATACAATGCAAAATTAGGAGGAGGAAATCCATTCTCCAAAACAACTCTTAGGTTAAATTCCATACTGAAAACTTATATATATATATTTATAATAAATTTAGACACACAACTTTAGATATTCTTGCTTGGTTCTCCATTAATTATTAAATATAATCATAAATTGTACTACTGCAATTTGATTTAGAAATTTGGATCAAATATAGGAACCCCATTAAATGATGACTTCTAATCTTAATAATTTTTTTCTATTCTCCTTCTATAAGATTTTGAGGCTGTTTATCGAATTTTCTTCTCCTGGGATCTGATATCCTAAAGTCATGTAAATGCCTGATGTACTTTCACTAAAGGTAGATGCTCAATTTCTTTTTTATCTTTTGTTTCTGCAGGTTTTAATTTTTTTATAATCCATTTTGGGCCTGTTCTTTAAGCAATTTGCTATAAATGAATGCCGAATTGTTTTTCCAATACCTTATTCGCCCAACCTGCTCCATAAGGATTTTTCTTTGTTTCTCTGAGTACTATAAACTAGATTATACAGCTAAAGCCTACTTTTGTTTGAAATCACTTGCTTTTCACTTTTATTTGAGATTTCTAAATTATCCAGATGACTTGATTCCCTCAAACTTTCGAGTTCATCGTTTTCCAGAAACTGTACGATAGTCAAAGGTTCATCCAAAAGAGCAACATATAATTAGGATTGCAAAAACAGACTATCCCTTTACTGTTTCATAATTAATAAATACTTAATATTTGATAAATCATATATCATTTTAGGATCAGGTGAAGAAATTAATTACTTAACTTAAGATCCAAACTCCAACCAAAAGGACCCAAAATTCAAATTTAAACAACGTATTTTAGAGTGATGACGGCTCCTATTATTACTGTTACTGTTCTAAGAAGGCCACATCCTCTTGAGTGATACTGCTTCCTTAGTTTGATTGCAATTCTTTAAACTTTGCAATAACATTGTCCCTCTATTGTGTGACATGATTTAATGATGTCTTCAAATCCTAAATTTCTTTTTATTGCTTTGATAAATTCTCTTATTAATTTGTATACTTATCTTTTTATTGCTATAATTGATTTTCTGTTTCTGTAAGTTTACTCTTCAGATTTTGGATTTTCTTATTAAATTCCTACTCTTTTTATTCAGTCTATTATTTTTGTTAAAATTGAGATTTGGCGAATTCAAGGGCTAATTCTTCTTTAAGCTTTTCCTTTTATAAATCTAATGTTTGTTAATTGAACTACTAATTTGGTTAGGATTACTAAACTCTTGACTATTCTAATCTCTTCTATTCTTCCAATAATTATTACTATTAGAGCGATTATTATTTTTATTATCTTTCTTCCTATTCTTTTTACTATTACTAATAAATATATATATCTATTCTTTACCACTCTTTATTGATACTCCAATTGTTATCTTTGTTCAGCTAATAATTTTGATTTCAACTCCTCTTCTCTTTGTTAAGCTTCCTCTCTCTCCTTTTATTATTTTCTTCTTTATTCCTCTTGCTATTATTTTAAAAATTCCTATTGTTATTGCAACAATTTCTATCTTTAATCTTCTTATTATTTTTTAGCTATTTCCAGGATCTTCTCTTATTCGAGTCTCTTTCTCTAGAGTTCCTCTTCACCATTTTAGGGAAATACAGCTTAAAATTTCTGAATGTCTTATGTACTCATTTCTGAACCAACTACATATTATAATGACGTGTAGGAGCTCGATAAGAACTCAACCTATCAAATCGAAATGTTATCATACACTATCATTTTCGACTTCATCCTCAAACACTATGTACCATACATTATTTTGTTATTTGCTTTAGATCACTTTTCCAATCAATTTAATTTTTGATAGCACGTCCTACTCAGGAGTTCCTTCAGGCAATCCCCAAATTTTAAGGTAATTAGATTTTTGATCCATAAAATAATTTAATAATGCATAGAGAAACTTTTAAATCAATCTGGTCTAATTTGGATTAAGCCTTGGGCGATTCTTCTTTCTCTTCTTATTATGCTTCGTATCAAAGGAGAAACACTCCAAACAAATACAAATCTTCGAAAAGTGAATTGTTGTCATTAACTGCCACAAGAATCAGATTCGTCTGTCCCATGAATAAAAGGGATAGATTTGTTGATCTGCTTTTGGAGGCTCGTGGTTAAGACAACGAACTTGATAAAATCACCATTGAAAACATAGAACGACACTTTGGAGTTGATTTCTTGCAATTAGAATCTATGCATTTGAAACTGAATGCAGCAAAGGTGATTGGATCTTAGTTAAAAAATGACGAGAAATACCTAAGTGTAAGCTTAGGGAACAATTAATTTGGAGACGAGGGTTTCAGAATTCTCACCACTAATCTTTTCTACAATAGATGCATCATCCATTTGGATATTAGCAAATCAGTAACTAAAACTCACAAACCATATAGTGTATAACTCCCAAAGGATTTCGTGATGCCCTACCCTACTTGAAACCGATCTACACACTTGTCTCCTTGAATTTGTCTGGAAATCGATTAAGCAGTATTGGAAGCGAGGCTCTCTAACAATTAGTAAATCAGCATGGCAATATTCAATTTTTGAATCTCTACTCAACATTCTCGGAGATCATAAAAGGAGATTTCGTAAGTTACAATCAAGGATTCAATTCATTAAAAAATACTAATGCTATATGTTCATCCTTGTGTCTAAACTTGTAAGAGAATGAACTTAGAGACTCTGGGATCGAAGGGATAAATGAGAAAATCAGTCAATGGAATATACAAGTGCTTAATTTAAGTGATTGCCAAATTACATCACACGGTTTAAGTAGATTAGTAGATCGAATAGTGAATCATAAATACTTGGAATCTTTGATTTTGTCAAAGAATAACTTTGGAGGATCAGTTAGTTGTCTATTCAAATTGTTATCTCAAAACAATTGGTTATAAAAGTTGAATATGAGTTATTGTTAAATTGCTGAATTCTAATAGATTAGTGAGGGTTTAAAGGAGAACAAGGGATTGAGATAGTTAGATCTCAGTGGTAATAAAGTAGGGGAACATGCTATAATATTAGGATTGTATATGTAAAGATTAACTCACATAAAACTCAATGATTGTGATTTAAGATAGAATGTTAATGATATCTTGAAGAGATTATATTATTCCAATCTTAAACACTTAGAAATCAATCAAAATAGAATTGAAGACTTGAAAGAATTGAAAACATTGCTTATGAAAAATAAGGAAATTGAAAAAATTTCTTATGGATTAAATATGATTAACTACAAACAACATTAAGAAATTTAAAAAATCTTTAATTTGAATATTAAATATTAACAAACTCAAATAATCCCAAAATTCAAATAAGAATTATCGAAAATGGGCCAGTTTGAATAAGAGCGAATAATGATTTCGAGGAAAATGCATGAACTAAATGAAAAGAAGAAGGAGAAGGAAGAAGAACTTGAAACACTCAAGCAAAGATTCAATAAGACAAAAGTTGAATAAGAATTATTAACAAGAGTAAAGGAAAACGAACTTGCTGAAAAATAAAATGAATTAATCTCTGTTAAATTATAATTTGAAAATATAACTAAACAAGCGTCAGAGTTAAATAATGATAAACAGGAATCAAAATAACTATTAATAAGTACCATTAAAGAATAGAACTTATGCAAACAGCTGATAGGTCCTATTGAAAAACTATAAGACAAACTTGATCAATTATTAATGAGAAAATAACATATTATTAAGGACTTAGAGCATAAATTGCACAAATAAAACATCATATATAGTAGGCAAGTGTAAGATTTTCAAAAATATCAAAAATGATCATGTATATGTGCACTAAACTAAGACTTTTTGTTATTATAAGAAATAAGTTAAAATAATTAAATTTAAATTCACAAATGAGACCTTCTTTTGGCAAAAAAGTAAAATAAGACGATTCTGATAATAAATTTAAGGAGAAAGTCTATCGCTCTATGTATCCATCACCTTGTTCTTCATAGTAAAATTTTATTTTTGAAATTCATAGCGATCCTAACAAATGGCTACAAAATAATGACATCTCATGGTTGTCCCATTCCTTAGAATAAGACATAGATAAAATCTTATAGATTGCTGTCCCTTAACCACTCAAACCTTAAAATAATAGACGAGCTAGTGCAAATGATATTAGGGAAGAAATTGATGATAAAATAGAAAAATAGAAGAGACACACTTGGTATGTTGACAAAAAGCATGAAGAATAACCAAAAAACAGTAAACTCAAGATAAACATGAGTTCCATTATTTGTGAATTTCCAATTTAAAAGGTTACGCGCTAATCAACATCTGATCAACCTAAAACACCCAATTGTTAGAAGTCTTTTATGGAAGCAATCATTTCAAGATATTAATAGAAAAATGAATAAGAGGATTAGTTAGAAAAAGAGAAAAAATATTTATTTTAAAGTGATAAAAAGTAAAAAATCATAGATCCTGACATTTATTAAAATGAAAAAAATGATAATGACTTAAATGATGACCAATAAAGCGTATCTACTAATGAAATTAATCCCATTAAATAAACTTAATCAAAACAAACTAGACCCAAGAAGGTTGGAAGAAAAAAGAAATCCTTTGTGAGAGTTCCTAAAAGAAAATATAGATAGACAAAAAAATAAGAAAGAATATAACCACTTCCTCCACCACCTTAGACTGAATTATTTCAAGAAAAAACTAAATATATTAGACCATCATAAACTATAGATCAACCTTTATTCAATACAAAATAGTGTTGGGCTAGAATGCAATTTCGTAAGGAAGCTAAAAAGTACGAGAAATATTAAACTTCAGAATTTTAAGATTTATTGCATTCTTTGCCAGGATGCTATATTCACAAATGTGAAGGAGATTTGAGGATAGATAAGATTAGACCCATGTAGAATGCAAAAGGAAAATACTTTTAATCTTTCGAAATGTGGATAAATCCATAAGTATTAATTGGACCAATAAAAATGAATAATTAAGTTAAATTGGTAAATATATAGTAATTAATTTTAGCATGTAAGATTTAAAAAGGGGTATGCAGGATAGGTCTTTTGTGATAGTTAATTATAGGAAACTCTTCCTATAAATTAAATTGATGGAAAGACATTTCACAAATAATAATTAATACTTGCTAATAATTCTGATCATGTGATTAAATTGGTCTGTTGTTTAGTTAATATATCAATTAAAGCTCCAACAAGAAAACGTAAATGAATAATTAGTATTATAATTTTTATGTTTTTTTTAAACATTATTTCAACATTTTCTTATGATTGATTTTATTACAAGAGGTGTATAGTTAGATTTAAATCTAACTAATAAGGCTAGATGAATTAAGGAAAAACTGCTTTATATTTGTAATCCCAATATTTCTATCGAACTCAAAAATAGTTCTCTTTTGTAATTATTTATTTTCTTAAAATTTTGAAGTCCATGAGTCTAAGATTAGAACTTTTGAGATGGGTCAATGAAAAATGTCCATCCATGAAAGCAAGCAATATTGAAAGCCTCTCTGACGGAAGACATTTCTTATGTTTATTGAGAAAATACTTTCCAGACATAGAAGTTCCTTAATTTAAAAAAAGCTCTTCAATTATATAAAGAATGGAATCTTTAAATCTTGTGGCCTTATATTGCCAAAAATTAGATGCTTCATTCAAAATAGATGTGCTTAAAATAGCAAACAAAGAAGCTAATACAATTCTAAATATGCTAAAATTTCTCAAATCAATTCTAGATAAAACACCTATTAAAAATTCAATTATTTAGGAAGAGTTTTAAACTATATCAAAAGTATTAGAAAAGGATAATCGCAAGATTTGTGAGGAAGTTCCTGCTCCATAGGTTCAAAAAACATAAGATGATGAAACTCAAACTCCTGAAATTAAAGAAGATTTGAATTCATTACATCAGTTTTAATTTTAGCTTAAAAGACTTATGTCCTTAAAATTGTAACATCCATTTTTGGAATTAGAACTTCTAAGAATGTTAGATTTTGATCAAGAAGTTGCTGACATGTTATAACATTATCAATTAGCAGTTTAAAAAAGAAGTAAAAATTCAAAACATACTGATTATCATTCTATTCATAGCAGTTAATTTTATTATAGAGGTGAAGCTAATTTACTTGATGTAGATTATTCATTTGATCAATAATAAGCTAGTAAAAGAAGCACAGAATTTGATAATTTATTTTAAGTGAGTGATGAAAAGTTTAATTTATGATTAATTAATTTATGTAAAGATTAGATTAAAAGAATTCCTCATTAGTTGAAAATTTATTTGATTAGACAATTGTTTAATAATAGATATATAATGGTTCATTTCTTTTTGATTCTCTATCCATCTCTTGCTTATGTATTTTTGTCTTCATCTGGTTTTATAAGTTATTTTATGAAGCCTAAAATCTAGTCTTATTATTCCTCTTTAAATAGCTTTTTACTTTGGGATCATTTTATGAATTATTCAATTCAAGAATTTGGAAATATATGACCATTCAAAAATTTTTGAATTACACCCATGTTAGTACCTTAAAGTTTATTTAATACTTTTTAGATGATAATTCAATTTATTAATTAACTTTATTTATCTTCATATTAGAGGGATTTTTTTATTATTTTCAAAAAACATTAATACCTATTGATTTGATTTTTGTGGCTAATTTTTCTTACTATGGAGTTGATCTGTTTTTTCTTTCTTATTTGAAATTTATGAACTCTCTCTATTTTTTACATTTTGATCTAGCGTGTGTTTATGAAATCTTTTAGCTGAAAGAAGAACTTATATTAAAATTATTTTATCAACTGGGTTTTGCTCTTTTTGTAGTACTGTAAGTTTTATGGAAGATAGGTATATATATGGGTATTTCTAATATTAAACTCAAAATAAAAGTATATTGAATCTTTTTTAGCTAGATAAATATAAAATAGGACATTAAATTTTTTTAATTTACTAAATTATCTTACATCATAGTCTTGAGGAATTGAATTGATTGGATATTCTTTTTAATCGCTTGAACAAACATTTCCAAAATATTATATTTCTAACTAATTGATATTCATTTAATGTTGTTAATTAATATCTATTGATTAGGTATTATTTTGTTGTTTTATCATAGGCTAATTAATTAGAAATAATATAGGCTAAAACTTTGTAAATTACCCGAAAAATAATTTGCAATAGAATTATACTCAATTTCAATTTGATTTTGAAATGTTTATAACAATTCAGAATTTTAACAACTTTCCTGGCTTTCATAGCATACTTTTTGGAAATCACTTAATTTCAAATTCTAAACCAGTAGATAATTCATTAGGATTTATTACAAAATATTAATGCTCTTTTTGCATTTTAATAAAAGCTTCACACACATTAGCATGAAATATTTTCTTAGATTGCGTTTCTCATTTAAATATTATGTCTTAGTAATCAGCTGAGTTAGTTTGGCTTATTTTAATTTATCCAAGGATTTGCTGTATAAATATTCAAGACAAACTGCCTTATGAAATAGCATTCCAAAAATGCTCAACTCTTTTAGACACCATAAAGATTTTACCATATTTTTATTAAAATTCTATTATTGCACAAGTATAATAAAATGAATAGGTCTTGAATTATTTTATCAAACTTGAAATTGATACAGCTAGAGAAATTGATTTCTGTGCAAATAGTAAATTAGTGACCCTTTAATGTACATAATAAAAATAATAAAATTCAAACAAAAGAAGAAATTTAAAGATTGTAAATTCTTTTTATATTTTAATAATATTATTTAGTAGTAGTAGTAAATTGATAATTGAGTAGGTTTGTAATGGTTTAAGAGTAAGGATGATAGATTAATAAGTGATTAAAGATAATGATTATACTCATTAATTCAATAATATTAGCATAGCAGTCATGTTGTCACAACCATATCCAGTAGAAGTGTCAGTAGCTAAGGAAGTATCAAGTAATTATTCCAAAACTATGGAGGGTTCTTGTTTCTCAGCCACGTGTGCGGAGATGAACTCCATCACTTTATAACTGTTTTAGGTTTCGAATACACCATCGCATCCCAAAAAGAGAAAACTATGCAATATAGATTGAATCAAGTTACCGATCATCTTTATTTAATTTAATTTTCCTGATTTCAGGTTCTGCTATAACCATTTACTAATTAGCTGGTAATGGTTCCTGCTTGAATTCAAAATCACCAAAAGCTCTGGAAACAGACAAGGTACCATTTAGACGACCTTATTCATCAACAAAGCCTCCAGCATATCTAATTCGTGCTAATTCATTGCTTGGAAGATGATCTTTAGTTAGTTCAATAGTTTCGTCATCTCTCATTAAGAGACATCGAGAGTCTCCCAAGTTGGCCACATAAAGCATTTTATCTGCTATCAAAGCTACGACTGCAGTAGAACCTATAAAAGTATCTTAATGTTTATTTTTAATATATACTTTTGATTTCATTATTTTTAATCATATCGTCCAGCTATATAAATGTGTCATGAAGTGACTGCATAAAATCCATTTTTTCAAATGCAGGTTAAGAGATCAATACATTCATGAAATTTTCAGCCAAAAATTACGAAATCCCAGAACCACCATGTCCATCAAATACAGCAAATAGAGAAATATTTTCAATAAAATTTGGTTTCATCAGATGGGCATCTTCCATTTACAATCGCCATCCTATTGTTCAATATTAGTGATATACCTTGCATGGCAGTAGTATAGCATGATAAATTGCCACTAAACTAATATTCATGGTATTTCTGGGTTATAGGTTGGGATAAAAAAGATCCCATATATATTATTTATAAATAATAATTAAGTGCTAACTTATTGAATTATGCATTTGAGTTGTATAATATCAAGTAATATTTAATTTGATATCATCTTTTATGACAATTTATTATATGAAATATTATGTATTTAATAATTGTCGTATTATTACACAATTGTATAAATTTATTAATTTCTAACTTCCATTTCTAATCCATAATTTTTCGTTTGAATTAAGTTTTCCAAAATTTGATTTTCAATAATTATTCGTTTTTCAATATTATAATTAAATTAATACTGAATGAAACAATTATTAATAAATAAATTTTTGAGTAATCTATTGTTTCTCCACTAGAATGAAACCCTTAATAACTAACCTAAGGTTAGGATCTAAGTTCCATTTGAATGTTGTCAAAATATATAATTAATTATAAAATCAATATATAATCATTTAACAACTACTTATTTAGATAAATAAGGTTATAATTTGATTAATAAATTTGGTCTTCTTTTTATCAAAGTTTTATCTGACCAAGATTAATTATTTACAATTTTTTCATGAACAGTGTGGGACTTTTTTTAAATCAACTAATTTAATGGTGTATATGAAAGTGATTAATGTTCTGAATTCAAAGTTACAGCCTTATTTGATATATAAGACGTGATGATACTATGTGATTGTTTTTTAATCATTTCTGATACAAAGCTCTTCTTTTTTTGCTAATGTATTTTTAAGGATTGTTTTCTATCAGTAAAGTTCACTCTTTTTTGATATGCTCGAATTTAATCCAAAGCAGGAGAAAATTCAACTTGGGTTTCAGATTCTTATTGTGATTTGACTAAATATTCAGAAATCTATTTTTAGTAATTTATTAATTTTTCTTTAGAAACTAATACACTTTTTTTAGGCATTTAAAAGCATGTATGTCTTCGCATTGCACTCTTTCTCAACATTACAAGAATGTCAATCTTTCTTTTTAATGATTCTTCCAAATTTAAAATAGGGCCTTGATGTTATTCTTCAGCCACTGTTTTGGCTCTTGTATGTCTCATTCTTATGAATGGAGCTAAAGGGAGTGTTTTACTTCTTAGCTTCCTATTTTTATTTTTTTGTAGTCTACTTATGAATTCTGTATTTAAATAAATATATACTATATTGCCATCTTAATCGATTAAGCTTCTTCTTTTTAGCTTTTTCTGCAGTTATATAATGTTATTTTATGGTAGTTTTAGGTGCCTTATTATTAAGACGTCTTTATTTTTCACTCATAGTTTCATAATAACTCCATCTTCTGGCAATTTTCATTAATGGAGCACTGCTTCTTCTTTGAGTGCTGGTAATTGATTTTTCGCTTTTGCCCAATGTGTCATATGGATTAGGTTTAGAAGGGAGTCTCTTTAGAGCATTCTTTTCGATTGGTGGTTTCAATAGCATAGGACTCTTAGTTGATCTATTTTTGGGTGTTGACAATAATAATGCATGTTGTTCAGTCTTGAAACTCGTTGATCGGAATAATTTCTTAGGTTTTATTTTTTTTTCATTTTTCTCTTGTGGAGATTTGAGTAATATTTTCTATTGTTTTACAAGCCTTTCCAATTGATTAGAAGTTATTAAATTACCAAAGGCTAGATTTTGATGAATCATTTAATTTTATATTGAAGTTAAATCAATTAAATAATAAACATCAATAAATATTTAAGTATCAGACTGCAAAAATAATCAATAATAAAATTATATAAATTTATCTCATTCACCTTGTTCATTGTTTTCTGCCTATTATTCAGATTGGCTGATTGATGAGGTAGTCTCAGGGTGATGTTTTTCTTAAGTTATTATAGAAACTTACAAGAGGCGCTAAATTTATTTGTTTTTAAAAATATAGGGGTTGTGACAATTTATTGCATTTAGTCAGCTGCACAAAACAATAGAATATTAGGTTATGCTTGGGTTTTGTTTTGAAAGTTAGGAGTCTGAGGTATGGCATTATGGTCAGAATGATTGGTTTGGTGTTCTTAATCGGGTTCTTGCTCTTAGGCTTATAATAATTCGTCATCTTAATCAAATTAGGCTGGTGATGGTTCGATTTTGACTTTTTTTCTGATTTAATCATTCTATTCTATTGGTCTTTTGATTTGAAATTGGATTTAATTTTATTGAAATGCCTTTTTGATATCAGGAGTTGAGGGCAAGAATTTCTTGGTTGCTTATTTCTATTATGGATTCTTATTCTACTTATTTTGGAAGAAGTTATTCATAATCATTTAAGATCCCACGAATCCTAATGTCATACCTAGAAAAGTGTAAATTATAGGGTCCATAATAATATTTTTATATATGTAAATAAATTAAATAATTGGTTGAACATAGAAAATAACTGAATAATCCGAATATTGTATACGTTTTATATTGTAAAATCATTTTTTGCCTTTATTGGTTTTAGCAGCACCTTTTTGAGCTTTTTATTGAGCTTTGACTTCTGCCTTTTATGCTACTTTTTGAGCTGCAGCAGGTTTCTTCTTTGAAGCTTCAATTTACTTTTGCTTTCTGTCCTTAATTTCTCTGGCTGCTTATTCAGCTTATGCCTTTCTAGTTTCTAGTAGTCATTAGATAAATGTATTACTGTCATCTTCCTTTCTTCTTCTTCTGATTTCTTCCAATGAAATACCAACAATGGCTCTTTGCACTTTAAGATTTCTGATTCTTCTCTTCTTGGCTCCTTCGTCTGTCTTAATTTTCTTATTCAATCTTCTCCAAGCCACAGTCCATTGAATTTCTTGTGATTTGATCTAAACATCGATGATTGAAATACTTTTCTTGCACTAAAAGCTCTACTCTTTTAATTCAAGTAGTAGAAGAGTCTGCCATCTTTGGCAACAAATCTTCTTCCATGTCCGGGATAGATTCTCCATTCACTAAAGGAGCACAAATCTGTCTTGATAACCATTATTTAAAAAATATTTAAATCTTAATTTTCATTCCATTACCGAGTGTTTCAATGTTTTATCTTCAGGATCTTCAATCTCTCCAGCCCATTTCTAAGTTTTCAATTTCCCTTGTAATTCATTAACCACATCCTATCTCTCTTCCTAAGGCTCATTCAACTTTTCTAACTCCCCCAATTTCTCTTCAATTTCTTCTAATTTAGCAAGTTCGATCATCTATTTAACCTACTTGTCTTCATCCGCTTCTTGAGGTTCTTCCTTATGCTCTATCTGTTCTGTCAACTTGTCAATGAGTTCATTCTACTTGAGTAGTGCATTCAAATCCTCCACCAAATCTAATTCTTCAATTTCATTATCCTACAACCCAACATAAGTTAATCCAATGTCCTCCCTCTCAAGCACATTAATAAATTCATAGATGGCCTTATCGGTTAAATGATTATTCCACAATTGCAATTTCTTGAGATATTTCAGACTGGGCCATAAAACTGATGCAGCACTATCTGAAAATCCTGTGTTCCCCAAATTTAAATCTTCGAGCGTTTTGTTTTTCTTCAGACAAACTGCCAATTATTTGATAGTAGCCAATTCCATCCCGATGTCATTTAGATAGAGAATTTTAATGGTCTTGTTTTTCTTTAATGCCTAAAAGAATGGGACCAGAGATTTCGATGTCAATGGATTGTTTCCAAAATGAACAACCGTAAGATTGGGTAGACTATTGGTTGCCATCAATGTGGAGAAACAGACCAGTCCTATTAAAATAGTCATCTCATTACCATAATCTGATATATTGTTTGCAGGCAATTGCAATTGCTATAGATTCTTTAATTCTGGCAATGCATAACACAGTTATATGAAGGTTGCATCATCAATAGAACAAGAACTCATACTCAAGATTTTCAATTATTTGAAGCAGCTTGAAATCTCAATCAATCCTTATATGCCAATCTAAGGATATAGATCAAACATTTGATACTTCGGTAATTTCGTTATTCCCAATGTAGATTTCCTTTAGTTTGTCATGCCATTGCAATCCTGTCAACATGTCAATAAATCCTCTGTCTGTTATTGAATTGGCGCCAATGTGAAAGACTGCTAATTCTGTTTGACATTCATGAAGATAGAGTGCTATCTTTGAATATTTGAATAGATCATTACAGTCAAAGCATCTAGATCATCTAATTTCTTTGCACTTACATCTAAAAACTTTCCACAACTCTTCAACTCTTCCAAGAGCCATTACTTACGTTTATCGACCCTCTCTTCGAATTCCTTTTTAAACTATTCCTCATCTATTTCCTTGTCATTTTGATCCATTTTAAATATATATATATAATATTGTTTTGTAACTTAAATACAGCAATTATATGATTGATTCAATTTGTATCTAGTTTTACCAAGATCGAACAAATCAATTATTATTGAAATGAATCAAATATATAAATATAATGACATCTTTTGCTTAAATAAACATAAATATTTTTAAAAATGTAAGGACATGAAGATATTACGAAAGTTTATACTTTTGAAAAGACTCTAGGAGAGTAAGCCATGATATTTAATAAATTAGAGGTGCCTTTGGAGTTGTTAAGAGAGCAAAAAAGAAGTCTAATGGAGATATGTATGCTGTGAAAATCATCAATAAGTATTTGTTGATGTGACTAACAATTAGAGACAACTTATAAAATGAGGACTTATAAGCTTTGCAAACAGAAGTGGAAATTTTGACTTAAGTACAATATTATGCTTACTACTAGATTGACCATCCAAATGTAGTCAAGCTTTATGAAATTTACGAAGATGACACCAATTTTTATATGGTCTTGGAATTGATGACAGGAGGTGAAGTAAGGATTTATGCTTAAATTCTAAGCTTTTTGAAAGAATAGTGGAGAAAGATCACTTTAGTGAAAAAGAAGCTGCTGCCACATTGAGACCAATCATAGATGCATTGTCTTATTGTCACAAAATGGGAATTGCTCATAGAGATCTCAAACCTGAAAATCTTTTATTTTCAAGTAGAGAACCAGGCGCTTTATTAAAGGTAAGTGATTTTGGACTGGCACGTTTTGTTACTAATGATGAAGTCATGATGACTCAATGTGGTACACCTGGATATGTGGCACCTGAAATTCTTTCTGGACACGGATATTCAGAAGCTATTGACTTTTGGTCAGTTGGTGTTATACTCTATATTATGTAAGTGATTTATCTAATTCAATAGGTTATGTGGATTTCCACCATTCTATGATGAGGATAATGATAAGCTCTTCAAAATCATCAAAACTGGGCAGTTCTCCTTCCCCTCTCCTTATTGGGATAGCATCAGCAATGAAGGTAAATCTGATTAATTCATATCCTTATAGCTAAGGATCTCATTAAAGGTCTATTAACAGTTGATCCAGCAAAAAGGTTTGGAACTGAAAAAATCTTGAAACATCCTTGGTTAGTGAACAATACAGTTAAATCAATTCCTAACATTTAAAATAAGATGAAGGAATTTTATGGAAGCGCAACCATGAAAGTATTATTAATCTCATAATTTCAATTAGAAAATGGGTAACTTTGTTAAGCTAGCATAAAGATGGGGTAAATTATCATAGATTAAAAAGAAATGATTTAATTATATCATCAACATAATTATCAATAATTTAATATATAAATTTCTGATCAACCCTGGCCACTTTTTATTATATTAAACAAAGCAAATTGAGAATAACAATAATTATATTAATGATTTCAGCAAAGGCATTCTAACTATTACCAGTTGCTCTAAACAAAACAGAGGAAGCATTTTCAGGATTTCTTTATACATCAAAGAACACATTTACTTAATTAAAACAAAAATATAATGTTTAAGGAGATTTATTCATACAGATAAATGGCTATGTATTTTAATTGCAAGGAGTAAGTTAATAAGTAGATAAGTTAGGAAAATGGATACAAAGATGATTCCATTGCAGGGAGCAAATACGTAAGATAATTATTGAGAATGTCATTCACAGACAAGATTGAAGTGGCAGTGTTTGCACTTCCAAAGGATAAGGAATACAGATTGGGAGTTCTTGATATTGAACTAGATATAGTCCAATAATAAGGAAGTCTTGATAGAATTGAATTGAATTCTGAAGATTTAGCACCATTCTTGAAAAGAGCATATAGTGGATAATTCTTTAGAGCAGGTTAAATTCAGCTGTTTTTATATGAAGGGAACACGTACTTATTTAAAGTACCTTATTCCAATTTATAACATAGGTTACTCGAACTGATGTTTTGAGTGTAGGAGTAGAATCATAATAAGTCAAATTTATGGGAGGAGGTATGTTGGTTGATGAAACTGAAATTGAATTCAGTATTAGACAAGGAGTAAACCAACTAAAAATGAAGAATGCTTCAACATAAACAGCTAGTATATTTAGAGAGGATTTTTCATTTGATAAATTGGGAGTTGGAGGTTTAGATAAGGAATTAGCAAACATCTTTAGAAGAGCATTCTCATCAAGAAGATTCCCTTAAGCATTCCTTGAAAAATATGGAATCAAGCATGTTAAAGGTCTTTTATTGTATGGTCCTCCAGGAACTGGTAAAACTTTGATTGCAAGACAATTGGCTAAAGTATTGAAGGCCAAGCCACCTAAGATTGTCAATGGACCAGAGATTTTCAGTAAATTTGTTGGAGAGGCTGAAGAAAATATCAGAAAACTATTTGCAGAAGCTATTGCAGATTAGGAGACAAAGGGTGATTAAAGTGATTTGCATATCATTGTTTTTGATGAAATGGATGCTATCTGTAAATAAAGAGGATCAATTAACTCTGGATCTGGAGCCTATGATAATGTTGTCAATCAATTGCTCTCTATGATAGATGGAGTCAACTCCCTCAATAACATATTGGTCATTGGTATGACTAATAGAAAAGACTTAATTGACGAGGCTGTTCTTAGACCAGGAAGATTTGAAGTACATATTGAAGTAGGATTACCAGATGAAGGAGGAAGATAATAGATTTTGAATATTCATACTGAAAATCTTAGAAAGACTGAAGCATTGGATTAAGATGTAAATTTAGAAGAATTAGCATAAATCACCAAAAATTACACTGGAGCTGAAATTGAGGCAGTAGTCAAATCTGCATCCTCATTTGCCTTCCAAAGAATGTAAAACATATTTGATTTCCAAAAAAAGTTAAATAAATAAGATGAACTCAAAGTGAAAAGAAGTGATTTCATGAATGCATTAGATGAAGTTAAACCTTAATTTGGTATTGATTCAAACAAATTTGATTTATTACTCAAAAGTAGATTGATTGATTTCGGAGATGAATTCAGAAAACTACAGAAAATCCTAAAGAATACTATTGATTAAACTAGATTTGGTAAAAACTCATAGTTGAATTCTGTATTATTGGAAGGAGAGTAAGGTTCAGGCAAAACCAGTGTTGCAGCTTGGCTTGCGGTGGAATGTGGTTTCCCTTATGTTAAATTGATATCTCCTGAAACCTTCATTGGATTAACTGAAGGAGCCATAATCAATTAAATGGTTCGAATATTCAATGATGCTTACAAATCATCATTGTCCTGCATTCTGATTGACAATATTGAAAGACTTATTGAATACGTAGATATTGGTCCTAGATTCTCAAATGCTATCTTATAGGCCTTGTTAGTATTGATCAAGAGATTACCAGATAAAGTATATATATCATATTAACCATTTTAGTCTTAATGCAGGCTTCTTATTATAGGTACAACTTCGCAATATCATATAATGAAACAATTAGAAGTGGTTTCATGTTTCAATGTATCGTTCAAAGTGCCAAATCTTATTAAGCCAGACGAAATTAAATTAGTCATTACTGATTATTTGACAACTTCTCCTTAATCTTAAAACAAACTTTAATTAACCTAATAGTAAGAATAGCAAGTCAACTTGATTGCTTCCTAAATCAAAGATGTTCCAATCAAGAGATTATTGATGTTGCTTGATATGGTTGGGGCCTAAGAAAAGGGTTTGATAATTGACGAATTCATGATTTGTTATACAACAGTTATGATGAATCACCTTTGAGATTAATTTATTTTTTATTATAATAGTTAACTAAATAAATTACTAATAATTACAATTCATTTTTAAATTTTGATTAAGAATTATATATTTATCATTATTCAACAAAATCACTTACTAACACTTATGGAGTTTACTTTTTTTTTAACTCATGCTATATTTATAACAACTTTATCAAGTTTGGATCCATCAAGGAAATAAGCTTATTAGTAATAGGATCATCCAAATTCTCAAGTAGCTAATCCAATACTTATTAGGCTTCTAATGATTTTTCTTTCAATCCTTTGAAAGGTTTTAGTAATGAAGAGTACTGTTGATTTTCACCGTATTATTAATTTGTAGGATCAAGAGTGATTAAAGGTTTAGGGAGAAACTCAAATAACTAAACTTATTCCTTTGAAAGTAAGATCATTTTTAATTTGTCTATTTCTTATAACTTGTCGATAATAAAGAGTATATCAAGACACTTATCTAATTTTGAGATTGAATAATTTAATTGCTTGTACTTTCCTTCTTTCTTTCTTTAATAATATGAATATACTATTACCCACACTTCAAATATTTCAAATAATCGAATAGGCTAAATTTTAATTTTAGTGTTGCAATACTAAAGAATTTTCTAAAGGCAGAATTAATTCCTTTTTACAGCATTTTATCACTCTCAGGAGAGTTGGCAAAAATTTATGAAGATTTTTCAGTTTGAATAGAGTTGACTGCATCTGCTTTTTGTGTTTTTGCTTTGATTCTCCCTCTTGGAAATCGTGCACTTGTTTTAGATTTCATTTAATTCAACATTATTGAAACATCATTTTCATTGGTTTAAATATTCTCTTAACCAGCATTTAATTTCTCAAAAACCTTATTTTTATTTTCTTCTTAATCGACTTATTTTTGGCCTTCAAAATTAAATAAACTATTTATGATTTCCATTTTGAATGACATTTAAGAAAATGGCCTTACAATGATTGAAAACGCGAGCATCAATAATTCCCATAAACCCCCTGCTTAAGCCAAGATGTCTTACAATTTTGGATAGATTCTATAACTAATGTTCTCAGTATTTGATAACCGAATATAAACCGTTGCAAGAGCTTCATCACTATTAAAATCAATTATCTCCTGACTTTTTTAATACCTTATAGTAGAATCTTTTCTAACCAATTCATCCAATAATCCTTCCTCTGTCAATGTGGTGATAGGTTGCATAAACAAAGTAATATCTTTCAATACTTAACTTGAAATCGTGGTTTAAATTTCTTCTACTTTGGGAACATTTGGCTATTAATAATTCCTCAAGTCTATATTATAAGAGGAAATCTAAAATTATATATAGTTCCTTCTTAATTGTTCTTAAATTTCTTCCTTTGACTTACATATCACACTCCCATCTATTTAAATAATAAAAACTACCATTGGTTGTATCATTCACACATGATTAGAAATTAATATACATATAAGTGTAATTTTATTACTCTGGAGTGCCTGTCAAACTCAACTCCGAAATGTTATTCCAATCAATGCAATACGTATTATTGGAATCAATATTGTCCAATTGCTCCTCTATTTCTTCAAAAGTTATTCCAATCCTTGCGCATTTAGTAAGTGGAATCTCCGTTTTTGTAAAATTTTAAATTGTTTTATTATCGACTCTGCTATTGAAAAATAAATTTTACATTGATTGAACCTTATTAACTATAAAGGCATTGACTTGATAAACTGACTCATCTATGTAATTTTTCTAATTTTCTTTTTGGAAGGCAAATTATAAAGTGAAGTTATCAGAATATAATGGATATATAGGAACTTCCTCATAATAAACCTCTGAATAGAGCGTCTGAAATTCTTTTCTTCTTCCTAATTATACAAATTTGTTAACGATATATGTTATAATGCAACCAAACATCAATACCGTCATCATTGCTCCAAACAAAGATTGATGCTAGCGTTTCTTTTATATCATTAGTTCGACAGGTGATGCAAAAATATCAATTTTTTTGATTTAACGCTGGATTTGCTTTAATTTATTTTGTTTCATCTATAAATTTTAAATTAATTTATATACACTTATTAAGAAAAATATGGTTGATTGGATTTGATTGGAATGTTATCAGCTTTTTTAAATCCAATTTCGAGATTCAAATTTTCTATAGTTTTTTTTAATTCGCATTGATAATAGCAAATACTATATGTTTATTATCATATTTATAGAATAGAAATTGAAATTAATTAAAAATTTTGAAAAAAAACTATTATTTCTTTCATTTATAAATATTTGACATCAAACCATAAAATGATAAAATATATCTGAATATAATGGTATTAAAATTCTAATTCTAATAAAGTTATAATGAAATATAAATTTAATCTTATAACTAAACTTAGTAAGGTTGCTTTTCAGACATCTTCTTGAGATAAGAATTCATATGATAGACAATAATTTTTTTTGGATTGGAAAAATTAAAGATATAAAAGAATATAGAAAATCAAATGTTATTAAGTAAAAATGAAAGTATATAATAATTAAGCAGTTTGATTTCTGATAACTCAATAAATTGTTATGCAGTTTAGAATGATTGAAAATATCAATTAGAATTTTCATAATTATTTAAATTTATATCACAATTTAACTTTTTTCACAGACTCTGAACCATCTTGGATTTCATCTTCTTCATTTTTTGTTTTCTTTTTTTATGAGTCCTATTACACTTTAGGTTTTTCAACGTATGTGTTTTTGACAGGAGAACGACCCATAGAATTATTTTCTTTTTCTTTATCGAGTACTTTAACTAGGGAAATAACTCTATTTTTTAGTTCGTTTTCACTCTTGCATTTGAAGGCATGATCAAATCTGAACATTGGTTCTTTTCTTATGGATTGTTTGAGTAAGGTCCAATTTCCATAACCAACCTCATTGGTCATATATATAAGATATTTATCATTTTCTAGACTAAAGTACTTGCTTTTGAACTTATTATAGAGTTGTGGAGTAAATACAAGTTCATATTTTGGTTAATGAAAATGTTTGCATTTTTCTTCAATTAATTTTTACCCATTAGTTTTCTATTCAATCAATTTTTGGCCTCTTTCGATCTGTTTAACAATTTTATCTTTTTCACTCAAACCATCTATTCTTTTCCAAAAAGCTTAGGCATATTCTTTGACTTCATCAACAGTTTTAGTTTTAATAAATTCTTATATCTTTTCATAAGCATCCTTGCCATACTTCTCATTAGCAGTGATGAAATCAGAAAACTCCTGTTTATTCCAATTCTTAAATCCAGTTTCAAGTAATTATTTCTATTCTTGTCTCTCTTCCTAAGTGAGTCCTCCACAATCCACATTTTCTTCACTGTCCATCCCTTTCTTTTGAGTCTTCTATTAAGCTATGAAATCTTCTTCTTTTTACAATAGAAATTATAATCTATCTTTATTTTCATATAAATGATGTTCTGACAATTTGATTTATTTTCCTTAAATTTTCTTAGAATTGGCTCCAAGCATCATAGCTCGTTTATCTCTATTTCTAGTTTTGTTCTCATTAAAGAGATGATTAGCTAAAGCATCTTCAAGAGCATCCTCATCCATTTTATTCTGTTTTTCCTCATTGAAGTATTCAAAGATATTAATTTATCCCAAACCTAGATCAAGAGATTACATTTTATCTTTGAAACTCTCAAACTTCTTTTCGATTCTCTCATTCATCTATTGTGTTAATTATTCACCTCTTTTTAAAAGGATATCAATGTCTTCATCTTTGATATCATCTCCATCTAATTTGAAAATCTGAGAGGCCCCATGAGTGGTTAACTCCTTTAAATCTTCTTTCGATAGTAATTTTCCACTTTGCTTCTATGACAAACGACCTTATTGAATCATCAGAGAATCCCAGCGCAATTTAATCTGTTATCTTTCTATGATTTTCTCTTCAATAGTATGTTCACATGCCATTCTATAAACCATCACTCTATTCTTTTGACCTATTCTATGTGCTCTATCCATAGCTTACATGTCCATTTAAGGATTGAAGTCAGAATCATAAATAATAACAGTGTCTGCAGTAGCCAAGTTGATTCCTAAACCACCAGCTCTAGTAGAAAGAAGGAAAATGAACTTTTTACTATCAGGTTTAGTGAATTCAGCAATTTGATCATCTCTTTATTGGATTTCTGTTTCTCCATCTATTCTGCAATACTCATATTTCCTGTAATTACAATAGTCTTCAAGAATATTGAGCATCATTGTAAATTACGAGAATATTAGAACCTGATGTGTGCCATCACTTAGCTTCTTTAAAAAGATATCCAGCACTCTCATTTTACCAGCAACTTCAATTAAGTGTTCTCCCAAAGGAGGTAAGGATTTATCCTCAACTTCAGGGAACAAATAAGGATGAAGACAGATTTTACGTAATTACATTAGTTTATTCATGTAGAAGCCTTTGTCATCGCCTTCGTGGGGGTTGTTGTGTAAAAGAATGTTCTAATACATTTATTTTTGGAGATTTGTCATTTTGATGAAAAGGTGGATTTCTTATTTAGGAGGGAGGATTCTTTCAACTTCTGCTTTGGTTCTTCTTAACATGAAGGGTCTCAAGATTTTTTGAAATTTTTAGCACATCTCAAGATTTCTTTGGTCCAATTCCTCTTGCTTGATAATTTCATTTCCTTCCTTCAATTTGGCTTCAGTATTGACTTCAAACCATTTATCAAAGACTTCAGAGGAATCGAATAGGTCTGGCAAGAGATAGTTCAATAAACTCCATAATTCATGGGGTGTATTTTATAGTGGAGTACCAGTCAATAACAATTTGTAATTGGTTCTGATTTTACGCAGATTTTAACTAATGATGGCATCTTCATTTTTAATTTTATGAGCTTCGTCAATTATGATGTATTTGTATGAAAATCTTCGGATATGTTTTAAGCAGATGTTGACTCCTTCATAACTGGTTAAACAAACATCGAATTTGCCAGGTTGGAAAAACTTGTTGATGATATCCTCTCTTTCTTCTTTGACAGCTATCAACTTAACTACTCTTGCACATGGCAACCATTTCTTGAATTCTCTCATCCAATTACCTAGGGTTGATTTGGGAGCCACAATTAAATGAGGTCCACTGATCTTAGTGTATTCTTTTAGAAATGCTATGAATCCTATAGTTTATATTGTTTTGCCCAATCCCATTTCATCCGCCAAAATACCATTGATTCCTTCTTCAAATAATGAAATCATCCAATTAACACCTGTCATTTGATATTGCTTCAATTATCCTCCTCTCAAAATGGTTGGTTGTTTATCAAGTACAGTTGGTGCATCATCAAGATCCTCCTCCTCACTTGCATCATCAATCACTTGTCTATGTTTACCTCTCTGTTAAGTTAAGGCCTTCTATTTGGACTCTTAAGTACGCTTGTGACGATGCAATAGGAACATGGCATACTTCTCTGCATTTTCAAGTAATGTATTTATCTTAGACTCAATGTTATCAAATTTGATCTATTGAATGTAATATTCATTTTAATACATTTGCATTCAATTTGGTTGTCTGTTTGATTGAACTCATGAATGTTTTCTTATCTTATTCTAATTTCTTTATTCTTTCCTCCTCCTATTGTATTTTTTAATCTTCATCACTTCCCTCCTCTACTTGCATGACTTCATTTTCATCCTCACTTGAATTACTCATTTAATTAAATTATGATTTTAAGAGGCATCAATTAACCATTTAATTCATCAATATATTTGATCCTTCATTTAATGAAAAAATATAAAAAACTACTTAAATCCTTTCGATCCCTTGATCTCTTCACTAAACCAGTCTCCCTACTAATCAAAGATCAAGAGCGTCACAAAACCTACTGCGGTGCCTTTCTCACCTTGATTATAATATCTATGATGAGTGTCCTTTTATTCATGAATTTCATTAATTTGGATAAAAATCCTCGTTCCTATCAATATTAGATCTACCACTAAGCTTTAAGCCGCACTCAATTGATGAATTTTTCAATTTCGATCACTGGGTCGGAAGAACAAAACTTAAATGTCAGCACATTGGATGGGCCACTTTAGCTGAGAGAGAATCTCTATCAGTATAATAAATAAGTCAGTCTATACGAGTCAGATCTAAGTGGTTAGTATGTTATTGTGGAGATCTATCTCAAGAATGCTACTTAACTACATAATTAAGAGGAAAGTCTTAATTTCTAATTGTCAATACCAACATTTTACTACGATTTGAACGATGTTCAGGATCCCATAAAAACTAGAATTGAGAGAATAGAAACTACTCTAACTAGATACATTTAAAAAAGAATTGATATATTCATGAGTCCATTCACAGTAATTTCAGATGGAGGAATGGTATTTAAGGATGAGATACGAGAAAGTGTGTTAGCATATCAGTACCATCAAGAAACCTACGACGTTAGTGATGGATACAAACTACTTCAGTTCAGAATACGCTTAAACAAAACCGAATTTGTACAATATCGATCTTATCCGAAACTCTAATAAATCCTTGGAGAAGCTGGAGGGTTGTGGAATGTGATCTTCACTTTGGCTATGTTCTTATAATTGCCATTCAGCAATCTCTCCTATCGATTGCAAATTGTAAATTCCCTATTTAATTTTTCGAACGATGAAGATGCAACGGCTGAAAATGATAGAATTTAAATTGCTAATGACAACATTAGGGAAAAAGCAATTAGTCCCGAATAAATAGATAAGAAAATCCCACTATGCTAGAGCGAAGTCAACTTCCCTATAGTACCTACATTCAAGAAATAAAAATCTTTCAGTTAACTCAATTAATTGAACATCAAGAAAAGATTGTATAGTATACAAAGAAAAAGTTAAATGATCACAGAAGCCGATAGTGAAAATTAAAAGGCACACATTACAAATGAAATCTCAGCATCCATTAAAAGGTTTTTCAGAGTTGTAACCAAGAAACTGAATTTGAATGTCTTAGAATATGTAACCTTTTAATTTCCAAGAGGGAAGGACAATAGTAACATAAAGTATTAGTAATTCGAATTTGCCATTAATCGAATCTAAAAATCACTTGACATTCTCTATATTATCAATAAATTACATGAAATTGACAAATTGAAATTCATACTACTCAATAATGCCTAAATCAAGATGTTTGATTACTTGCCAAAACCATTTATAGGAGCAGATCCCCAAGATGTCTCGGATAACAACTTCTGTTCACTTTTGAAACCTGCCAAGACTCCATATCAGAAGGCATTGGAGGCTCAACAAGCATTTAAAGAGATTATAACAAATTATTAGGATCCAATTAATCAGAAATTGATAAATAGCATGGATGAACCTATCATAGACTTAATGAAACTACAATTGAATCAGGATATTCAGATATTAGACACGTCAGTGATTAATTAGTTAGTGCAGAGTGCAGAATATAAGCTAGACACTGCAAGATAATGATTATACAGAGTGAATATATTTATATCTATCAATTTTGATTTCCTAGATTAATTTCTACTTCTGCGTACTTCTAGTTCATTTTGGCAGTTACAAGTTTCTCATACAATATAATTGAAATTCCAACTATTATGTTTACAATTAGTATATAAATTTTGAAATCTGTCGGGAATTCAACCTCTAAACTTAAGAATCCAATTAAATTTGGGAAGAATATTAATATGATTTATCCGGCTATCCCAAAACATATCACTATCATATAATAGATATTCTTGAGAATGGACTATCTAAATGGGGGTCCCTAAGTGTATGCTATGGCCACAGCCAAGATTTCAGTGCTGGAAGTTATAAGAAGTATCGAATTGATATAATTGGGCTGCATGTAATAGTCTTTATTAACCAGTTCTATTTTGATCTATTGATAGAATTCTTAATTTTTCAGTATTTGATGCATAATGATTTAAGCAAGGAAGGACATGAAAACAATGACACAGACAGAAGATAGGACTGGCAACGAGATCAAATTGCTTATTGGTCTATAATTGGCCAATTTGTGATATGATTTAGTTAAATCCATCGTAAATGCTAGTGGGATTATCAACCAGAGATCTTAATAAAGATATTAGACTTAAGTGAAGTCGGTATCATAAAAATAGCATTACAATACAGCAACAGATTAAATGCATGAGTACAAAGTCATAAATTTGAAACATTCTACACACGTAACTAAGCAAGCTCTTCCTTCCTTAATTAAATTGATAATGTTTGAAATGTTGAAAATAGTGCTTGTAAATGGTGATGCCAAAGAAGCATCCTCCAATGACAAAGCTAAACCAACATCTGCCTATCTCAAAGCACAAGTGTCATTAGTGCCATCTCCACAAAAAGCAATAAAGTTCAAAATGTCTTGTCTCAAAAGCAGCATAAGGTCTCCTTTGTTGTTAGGCTTCATTCTTGAGTAAATGTACGTTTTTTATAATAGATTCAATATCAATTGTTGATTATCCAATAATGCAGCATATTAGTATTACAAATGTTCAAAAACTTACCCAGTTATTGCTAATTAAAAGTGACAACTCAACTTCATAATTTCATTGGTTTCTATATTCTGTACTTGTTGTGAATCTAAACTATAACAACTTCTATTCTCATCAGCTTTATCTGTTTTCAATTACATAATCTCATTCCATTATAGCACTCCGTCATTTAGGGATCCCAAAAAGATTCTACTATTTTGATCTAAAATATTGCACTATAACCCTATGTTAATGGCAGTGTATGGATTATCACCTGTCACCATAATAGACCTGATGTTGCACTGCTTTAAACTCAGTATTGTAGCCTGAGTTTCTGCTTTTAATTTGTTTTCAAAAATCAGAAATCCTAAGAACATCATATTCTGTTCATAGATCTCTCTCTTATGCAACTATTGCATATTCAAATGTGAAACATCTCTAAAGCAACAAGCGATTATTCTGAATCCCTAACTACTGTACCTTTACAACATAATATTGTAATTAGTAGGAACATTGGCACAGATGGTCTTAATCTATTCAGGCGATCCTTTACAATATAATATATTTTGATTTGTTATGACTGACATTCTTTATAACTCTGCTTAGAAATCAAATCTCTTTAACGCTGATACCTCTTTCCCTCCTTTCCTTATTTTACTCTCCTCCACTAACTCCCATCCTGTCTCTTAAAACATACAGAGATCAATTGGATCTCCCATAATCTCATTATTTATTATTGATAATGAATGGCAAATGCCCATGCACTCATTAAACTGTTCGCTCACATCTTTAATCATCTATAGTTTATTGAACCCAATGTCCTTAATTTCTCTACATCCTAAAACATCAAGTCCTAATTCAGTAAGTGTGCCTGTTTTATCAAAGGCTACTAAATTAACTTTGCTAGCCACATTGATCTTGTCAGGTTTTACGCACTAAATACATTTGTCCTCCAACCTCTTCAAAGCAAGACTGATACCAGCTCCTAAAGCAGTGGGTAATGTGGCAGGAACTATTATAGTTATGATTTCTAATGCATTTATTATGCTCTCTCCAAGAGCAACCCCTTGAGCACCACTTATCATAATTGTAATATTTGCTTATATCAATCCTAAAGTGGCTAATACAAATAGATATCTTAAGGAGTCTCTATAAAAGCTAAAGGTTTGAGTTCTATTGAACATTATTGATCTAGCCAGACTGCCTTTTAATGTTTGGAATCCAGTTTGATAAACAATAGCTTTAGCAAGTTCACCGTTTTGTGAATAACTTCTTAGACAAGTAGTACCACAAAATAACATTTTATTTTCATTTCCTTTCTATTAAAATATTAATTCATTCTTTTCCAAACTAGACTTGTTAATTGGCACACTCTCCCCTGTCAAGACAGCCTCATTCATGACACAATTTCCTTCAATTAGGATACAATCACAACTAAGTTTAGTATGACCTTCAATTATTAATAGATCACCTGGGATCAATTATTTTGATTGAATGGTTACTTAAGTATTATTTCTAATTACTTTAACATCTACGTTGTATCTAATCATTTTTTAGATTTTTAATAAATTTTATCTTACATCTCTCAGTTCGATTCCAATTTAAATGATTGTAATTGCTAAAATGAAGAGAGAGTAATTTAAATAGTCATCGTAAGCCCACAATGCCAAAGCACTAAATTAAAAGATATTGAAGGGTGTTAATATTTCATCAAGTAGGAGGAGTGGAATTGGTTTGATTGGTATTTCCATAATATTGTCTCCATAAACAGTGGTCAACTCTGAGAGGCCTTTCATATTGCAGATCCGTTCTTGTGTGTACTGAGAGAATGAGTTTCTCATCTAAACCAATGCTTTTGTATATGTATCAATGTAGTAATCGCTAAGTTCATAATTGAAGACTCTAGCATTTTTAGAGAAGGGATGATCCTACACAACGGTAACTTCACACAATTGATCATCTGCAATTGGAATTATGTTTTTGGTCTTGATCACTAAAACATGTGTCATTGTACCAAATTCACATTTTTCAAATCTTTTTACATGATTTAAGCTTACAATAGAAACAATCTCAAATTTATAAACCATCTTTGAAATAAATACAATAATCCAAGAGTTAGAATTAGCAAAACATAATAAATGATCTATTTGCATTTGTTGATCCTATAATAGATTGCTGTTAGTTTATATTGATCATCATACTCACCCTAATATTCCAAGGTGGATTATCTATCAAATAGTGATGCAATCCTTACCCAAAATCGATTTCCTCTTTTGGATTAGTCTCTTGCAATTCAATCATAATTAATTAATAACTAGCATTTATACTTCAACCAAAATCTCGCAATGAAATAAATAAATAATACACATTATGTATAATAATTGTTAAGCCTTCTATGATGGGAGCAGTTATATTAATAAGAGAGAACACAAAGAATAAGAAACTCTTAGAATGCCAATTATTGATATTCCTTGTTATTATTGATAATATCTTATCAAGAGTCTTGTTCATCCTTTGGAAATCCCTTCCACTTAAAATTGTCAGCATACTTTCTCTTAGAAGTGTAACGAAAGTGGGGATATTGAACAATATATCCATACCCATCTTATTGGCAAAATTCTAGTGCAGCTTCCAAACTGACGAACTTATAAACTTCTCTGCTTTTCTAATCCTTTGAAAATGTCCAACCACTCCAAGGCATCCTGTGAATGGGTCCTCTCTCAATTTAAACATTCCAGTGATATCCTTATCTCATAGTGGGAGCTAAACATATTCTAACACCAATTACTTTGATGCATGCGATTATCGTCCATAATATAAACACGAGCAATTTTGGACTCTGGAGCTGGCAATGGGTTCATGTCATAGTATCTATGATCTGATCTGTTGTCAAGACGAGATGCTAAAATTTGGTATAAAATATAATTACATCTGAAAAATCCAAATTTGCTTTTGCTTGCATCGACAGGTACAACTTAATTGTAGACTGATATTCCATGTGCCAAGACCTCTTGGTTTTTACTCTCGATCTCCTTGCGAATCACAATCAAAGAATTAAAAGCCTTTTTGGCTATTTCTTGAATTCCAACAAATTGTCTAATGGACATTTATATTAAAATAATAATTTAAGTCATCCCAATCGATATTTGGTTATACTTTCAATCGTATCTGTATGCATTCGCAAACCTCTCTTTTAAGAAGACTTCTAGATGACCATTTATGAAGACTACACTTTATTTTACTTGGGTCTAACATTACGTACCTAATTCATTAGAAAGAATCTTTATGAATTAAGTTTTGCTTTTGTGACCATGAACTAATCTACTTTAATGGGAGATAGAGTGCTTATCTTGTTTTCTTTTGATTTTCCTTTTTGAAATGCAACTTAAGATAGAACTCTACGATGAATGCGTCTTAATTGACTGTTGAGGTCGTAAACATCTCCTTATAAGGAACTATATGATCTATCCGGAGAATATTCGAATTGATCAGCCCCTCTAGGGAAATTGTACTATTGTGGATGCTTGCTTTCAAGTGTTTGTGTGAGTTTTCTGAGTCTTAGTCCCATGTAAATTAAATTAAAACTATTTTTGCAATTTTATTATTATGAAAGATCAATAGAAAATTAAACTACTTTCCAATTAACTCGAAGAACTCAACACTAATTGATACTATAATCTTAAGAAATGGGGTGGCATTGCTGAAAATAATTAACTATCAGAAGGCCAGTAATTTAAATTAAATATAACAAGTTTATGTGAACTGAGTAGTGAAATAGGAATGATTTCAATATGATATCATCTAATATATCATAATAATAGAATTCTTGGCTTTCAAAAATCAGTTCTAATTTTCATTTAACATTCTTCTTCACTTCATCCAAACGATAACAAAAAAAAATTGAACAATATGATATTGATATCAATATAAATAATAACGTTGCACTTAATCATAAAAAGCCTTTGTATTATTTTAGCATTGCGAATAGATCTTTTCAGCAGTTGTGTTCTTTAACAACTCTGCAAATCCTGAAATACCAGTTTCATAGTCTATCATCAAATTGAATTTAATTGGAATCACTTTATATATTTCATCCAAAGTAACAAATGCTGTCAACACTGGATTGAAAGAATTTTTATCTAATACATGAATTTGCACTCCTCCACAAATTGCATCTTTATGCTTTGAAAAGGTTGGAGAGAAATAAACAGGTCTAAAAAGGACAGAAGTCAGCTTTCTAGCATTCAATGTCTTTGCCAATTCTTCAGGTTTTGTAATTAATGGAGATCCAATAATTTCAAATGGATGTCTACATATTAATCAATAGTTTACGTGGTTCCTCTTCCTTCACTTAAATCAGTTCCTTCGAATATTCCAAAGCCAGGGTAAACAGTTGCTGTCTCAATGGTAGGCATATTGGGAGATGGTAAAATCTATTATTTTATTTTAATAGTATAACCCATTAAAATTGATTTGTAAGGTAAGGTATAATCTTCAAATTAACAGGATTTGTTAGCCATTCCTTATTAATGAAAGTTGCTAATTCTCCAACTGTCAATCCATATCTTTAAGGCAATCCTAAATTGGATCCAAACTTGCGTCCAACTAATCCAGCATCCATTTCATTTCTACATCCTTCGATCTTTCTTCCAAGAGGATTTGGAACATCTACAACCACAAATTGAATCCCAGCTTTTTGAGCTGCTTCCATACAATACGTCATAGTCCATATGTAAGTGTAAAATCTAGTTCCAACATCTCTAATATAATAAACCAAAACATCAACATCCTCTAGATCTGTTAATGTGGGAGCCCTCTTGCTACCATATAAGGAAATCACTTATCTAAAATAATTAACACTTTCTACATTCCAGTAACTGGATCAATATAATCCTTTATTTAAACACCTGCCTATTGTTCTCCTCTCAATCCATGTTCAGGTGAGAAAAACTTCTTGATATCTGAGTATTTTGATATTTTATCAGTAACCATTACCAGATCATCATCCACTCCAGTTGGATTTGTAATCAATCCCAATCGTTTCCCTTTTGTTTCCATTAAAAGGTTGTTTAGTTATAAGGAAATGAATCCATATCCCAAAAGAGGTAATAAAAATATAAACATTTAATATTTATGATCAATTTTTAAAATATTATTCAATCAATTTAAAATGTAATAAATTAAGCAACAAATATTCAAATGATTAATAAATTAAAGAAATCTAATACTAAGATTATGAATTTTCATATTTGATATCCTGTTTAGAATCACGAAAGAGTATTTGATTTATTCATATATGCTTTTATGATATTATTAGAATAACCTAGATGTAATAATTTAATTCTTATTTAATAAATAAATATTTAATAAGAAGTTGGACTTTTATGCTATGTTTTCTTTAGATTTCAATTATTATTTTCATATATCTGAATTTAATTATAATATTTTTATTTATATACAACTAATAATAATATTATGATATCTCTGTGGAATGATTTAGAAACCAATCACTATTACTTAATCAATAATGAAACTGGAGAAAAATAAAAAGTATACAAAACTTCAGATTTTATCAAAGAATTCGATTCATCCCTAACTGGATCAGTTGGTTACAAGGATAGAATTAAACTAGCTAAAAAACCAAGTTATATGCCTTTAAAAGCTAAGTCACTTTAAAAAAATTTTGTTTCTTATACTCCATCAATTAATAAATTAGTTTGGTATTCACAGTTGCCTAGGCCAACGAAATTACCTAATTTAGAGTATTTTAAAACTGAAAAGAAATAAAAACAAATTCCTTAGACTCAACAATAGAAATCCTTATTGCAATCTTAAAGCTATTAAACCTTACCACATATTCCACAGTCTACTGTTGCATCCTAGTATTAAAGTTTATTGGATCCAAAGTAAGCAAGATCAATTTCAACTGTTTAACATTACGATCTTAATGATTAAGATCACTTTAAAGAAATGAGCCATTTATTTGAGTCAAAATCTTATGATTATAAAAGTTTTAATCTACCACCGAAAGAGAACTTAAATTGCAGATCAATAAAAGACTTTGAATAAGCATTAAAAGAAGAAAGATAATAATTGGAGATGTTCAAAGTACTCATTACTTGTTTATTAAGTTACCTGAATAAAAGCCTCAATTGGTCAATACGAAGGGCAGATTTCCAGGGTAGTTGAAAGCAGCCAAAGATTTCATGTCTGAAGATAAAACTATTGCTAAATTATGTTAGACCAAATAATAATATTTTTAGTGTATCCTGATCTTTTTAGGGAGAAAATTATAGATTAAAAGTAAGAAGAACTAAGAAGAAAAATAAACAAATTAAAAGAATAAGAAATGCTACAAAGAAATCTAAAGAATAAGGCCTGAATATTGTTTGATTCAATTTTATGTAATATAAATGAATACTTTTATTTTCAAGTTCCTCAATAGATTAAATTACTTCTTTATTGAAATCAAAATATCCTACTATACTTCTTCAAAACTATCAACATTTTGCAATATCACAATGCAATGGTGATTTAAATTAAGTTGATAATTTATTTTATTATTAAACAAAAATTATAGGCGAATTAAAATAGAAGCTGTTGCTAAACTTGAATCGATTCGACTCTAGCCGATATTGTTAGAAGAAAACCAAAAATTAAATAAAAATATGAAATTCGTTTTAATAATATTATTTACAACAGGACTTGCAATAAATGAATGTGAAGTGGATAATAAAGATAGTATAAAGTTGAGTGGGATGTCAAAACAAAAAGAAGATGAATTAATGGAATTGCATAACGAATATAGAAATTTAGTGGCTTATGGAAGGGTAAGAAATTGGTATGGTGAATTTTTGTCAGCTACAAATATGTTTTGTATTAAATGGGATGATCATTTGGCAAAGAATGCTTAAGATTGTGCTAATAAATGTCCGACTAATTTTCAACTTGATTGTTCCTTTCCTAGACAATATGGTTACTTGACGTATAAAGGTGAAGCTGAAAATGCAGGACCAGAATGGAGTGCAACAAGAATTTTTTAAAAGCTAATATCATAAGAAGATTTTGCAAGATAAATTGAATTGGCAACAGTGTAATTTTTTGGTTGCGGAAGAACATAAATCACTAGAAAGAATGGTAAGAGCCAAGAAATATTTGTATGTGTATACAATAAAGTAGTTCATATTTTCAATAATAGTAACCAAATTTGCATGGAGAAGTATACAAACATGGTATTCCTGGTTAAGATTGTATATATGGGCGTAAGGCTGAATTTTCAGGATTGTGCAAACAAAGTGCTAATGATATAGAAGCTTTGAAATTTAGACATAAAAGACATTAAGATGCGTACAAATATCATCATAAGGATGAAAAACATCATGTTCATCATAATCATCATCGTAAAGATGATGGATTTCACACAAGGGCTGATTGATAAAATAAATAATAATTTTAATTAATATAATTTAGATGCCAAACGAATTCATTCTACAATAAACTTCACACCCTGAAAAGAAATTCAATTCTAAAACATTAATAGGTAATTGGTATGAGGAAAGATGCGAACCAAAATCAAAATACTCAACCTTTTATTAAGAATAAAAATTTGAGAAAAACCAATATAATGTTAGCAAACTTACATAAGTATTGTTGTTCATTAGATTTAGGAATCATTTATGAAGTGTTCATAAAATTGGTTAAACTTCTAAAAAAATTAACAAAATCATTTCTAAACAACAAATTAGTAACCAAAACAGTTATATAATTTATAGATAGGAATTCAAGAATCCTAGAGACTAATTTAGAACTTCAGAACTCAAGAAATTTATAATTAAGAAAGGAGTCTTTGAAAAGAATCCATAATAAATGTCTGACTACCGTAGTAAATGGACATCAGCACCTCATTTCTTTGATAGAACTTACCTTGGGCAATAAAAATGATAATTATTATTATTATTCAAGTAAAATTATTTTAGAAATTAATATCTAAATGTTAATTAGTTATCAATTTCAAGTCAATAATTAAATAAATGTCTCTTGTGATGCATTCGATCCTCATTATTGCAAGAATTTATAAAGTGTTCATATCAATTTTTTGTCTTTTGAATTAACAAATTATTCTTAATTATAAAAGTGCCATTTCTATTCATTATAGGAATATGATATTTTTTTAATATCGTTTGAGAAGTCATAATTTGTGTATTAGGAGTTATTAAGAGATAATCAAAAGATTTTAGATAAAATGGAATTTATTTGATTAAGTTGAAAAATAATACATGATCGACGTGTATTAATATTAATAATAAATTATTCATAATGTATTTTCTGGATGACTCTAAAAGTAAATCATCTATTGTGATATTAGGAACACAGGAATTGGAATGGGTTTTCTCACTGTCAGTCTTTTGCTTTTTATCTTAGGTGTTATGTTTTTCCTTGACAGAGCCTTATTAGTGATGGGAAATTTATCATTTTTGATTGGACTCTGTTTATTGATAGGAGTCAAAAGCACGTTATCCTTCTTCCTGAAGAAAGGTATATCAAGTGTATTTAAATCATAGGCAAAATTAAGGGAAGTATTTTCTTTTTTTTGGGATTCTTCGTGATTGTTTTCCTTAGATTATCAATAGTTGGATTTCCATTGTAAATATATGGGCTTTTCCAGATGTTTAAGTCTTTCCTTCCATTCCTATATGATAGTGCAACCAAACTACCTTTTATTGGCAGATATCTAAGTATAATATTTAATTTCTATTATAGGAAATCCGCAATTAAAGAAAATGGTTGATGAAGTGTCAGCCAAAGGCCCATCCGTATGAGATAGATAAATTTATATTATTGTTATTTGATAATTTAAGAAATCTTCTTAAAATTTCACTTCCATCTAAAATCAAAATTATTAAATTAATGTAACTATTAGAAACTCCTAATATTTTAATGGAAACTAATCTTGGATAAATTAAAAAGCTAATTGATATATAGAACTTCAAAATGTTGAGAAGTGATATTAAAATTAATTTATCAGACATTGAGATTCTATTGAGATCAGTATTATTTATTTATTCTGATAAAAAGTGACCTAGAATATCAAAAGTTAGATATCATTTATTATATTAAATTGTAAGACAATTTAATTGTTAATCATCAAAAACATGCAAATTTATTGGTGATTAATATTATTTAAAGAAATAATTTACAAGTTAATTCAATAAAAAAGATAAATCATCTCCTTAATCTAATCTAATTGATTCTGTAAATTTTCAACAGCACTCAATTGCGAGAGATATTCTAAAAGTTTGAAATCTGAACATATCTGACAAAAACACTAATTAGGTTTAACACCAATTTTTGATATTTTTGTCTTATAATCCTTCTATTTCCTTATGCTTAAACACTTCTTTTTGATTTTCTTATTTTATATCTTTGGATATGTTATTTGGCAAGTTAGAGTACAAATGTTTTATAGTTTTTTACAAATAACATTGAGTAAAGCATGAGGATTTTAATTGTTTTCTCCCAAAGGGACTTTTTCTTTTGATTATTCCTTGTCAATCTGCATTAGTTACAATAAATGGATTTAAGAATCTATGAATTGAAATAATATTAATTATAATTGTCTGCAGATTACCCGTTTTATAAATTTACGCTTATTAATTACATTAAATGAATATTGAGAAATATAATTGCGATTGACGCAATCAAGATAATGTATGCTTAAAATATGTCAATTAATGACCAATCATGTTTGTTATAATGCATTCACTTTTATAATTATAAAGAATTATAATTAACATAATTCATCCAAATCATCTCCTAAGATACAAATAAAGAGAAAAAACCAGAATAAGGAAAATAGAGAAGAAAAGAAAGAGAAAATTTAAGACAAAAAAACATAATTTTGAGTTCAATGAATTTAGGCTATTATAAATTTAATGAAATTTAAGAAAGAGATTAGAAATTACTGAATATCAAAATACAAAAGATACTATTATTGAGACTAGAAATCTTCATTTGACATGTAATAAGAATATTTTTTCTGATAAAAAAAAAACTTATTATAAGATCATTTAGTTTAATGAATTAGTACTAGATGATAACATAAATTTAATAAAAAGTAAAAAATTCAATAAGAGAATACATAAATAAATTTATTATATCGTCATTACGTCATTATGTATTTCAAAATATCATTATGATTATTAAGAACTTGCTCTATTGCTTCTTTTACATCATTAGACATAGATGTTCTTCTTAGTTTACTCAAATCATTAATTAAACCCATAACCTTTGTAAACATAATGCTTCGCGCTTCTTATAACTTTACATTAAGATCAGATTCATTCTTATTCTGATGTGCCATTAAATTAACAGCCCTGTCTTCTGCTAATTCTAAATCTTGATATCTATTCTTCCAATATTCGGCTTCATCTAATGCCCTCTCTTTCTCTTATTTCAAATACAAAAGATCTTCCCTCAACTTTACAACATCATTATCTTGTTAAGGAGGATAAACAGGTACTTCTCTAGGAATTTCATAGCCAATTGGATGAACTATTTTTTCAACAATATGTGTTCCTCTCATTCTCTTAACTCTATCTAATTCAACTTCCAATTCTATTATTTCTCTATCTCTGGCTCCCAATTTATGTTCCAATCTATCCAAATCTTAGACTCTAACTAATAACCTTTCTCTTTCAAATTCTAAATCTTTAATTCTATTGCTCTTTTGATCCAATAATCTCTTAAATTCTGATTATCCTAATTTTTATTCATTTAATTCTCTTTAATAGAGAAGTACTTATTCGTTGAGATCACTATACTTTAGAGTATGTTTTTGATTAATTTATTAGATTTCATCTAACAATCTTTCTTTATCTTTTCTGAAATTGTCACATTCTCTCTTTAATTAATTGATTTCATTAACTAAGACCATGCATCTTTCCTAAGTTTTTTTATGTTATTCTTCTTCTTTTTTTAATCTATCCTCAATCCATTTAATCTTCTCCTCTCTTTCATTAACAACATCTTTATTAGCCTTTATTCTTGCTTCAGATTCTGCCGCAGATTTAACTAGATCATTATACTTGTCCTACCAAATTTTCATTTCTTATTTGACTTTTCTATTTTCCTTAACCATCGCATTTTTTTCATTTTCAATGTCATCCTTCTACTTTTACATAGTTGTGGCTTCACTTTTACTTTTAATAGCTTATTCCTTAAGTTAAACATTATCAGCTCTTATGGATTCCTTTAATTATTCAAATTAATTTTAGAGTGCTTTTTTTTCTTTTTCTAAAAATGCTATTTTTGATAGCATCTCTTTTTTCTCATTTTCAACTCTTTCAGCTTCCTTCATTTATGCCAAAGTAGAAGATGGTTATTATTATTATTGTCCTGTTTACTTTATTTTTGATCCTCCTTTTCCTTTTTTTGCATCTTGAGGCTATTGAATTTTTAAAATAGTGTTCTCCTGATCATCATTTTAATCTTATTTTTAATTTTACTTCATTTCTAATTCTCTCTATTTCAATTTGAGTTCCAATTCCAATTTTTTTTATTTCAATGTCATAAGTTCATCCTATTCAATAATAGCAAGGGGTTTGAGTTAAGGAATTCGTGGTGGTGAATACTCTTCGGCATAATACATTTTTCAATTATTAAATTATTTTTCTGTTAAAATAATAATAGATATTTGAAAATGAATTATTTTAAAATGGATAAAAAGAATCCAATATATAAATAATCACCCATTTGCAGCTGTTTATACTCTTTACTTTTTGATTTTACCTCCCTTTAATTTCTTAAACCCATAACGCTCTCTATATATTAAGTATTGTAGATTTACAGCATTTTACTCCAATTGTTATCGAGAGCATCAGGCTATACTAACTTCTTGATTTCATTATTGCTATCAATTATCCTCTAATAATCTATGCTATATATCTTAAGGTAGTACTTAATTTTCCATATTTTTATTATTGATATAATAAGTACTCAATCTCTCTGTCTATTTTTTATTCATCATAAGGTTCCTCTTTTTAAAGTTTCTTCACTATAAACCTATTTCAAATACCATGTTCTCCTTCTTCTGAATTTCAATCTAAGCAAAAATACTTCTTTGATACGCCTTATCCCTGCTAATTGTTCTCTGGAAATCAGGTGTATTATCATTCCTTTTCAGAAATTGGAAGTCATAGAAGTCCCTCTAACACATTGGAGATGGCGATTTGGTCGTTTGCGAGCTCTTATTAAACTCGATTGATTGACCAGGTTCAGTGATTAATAATTAATCTGAGTAGACTCCTGGTCCCGGAGTAGAAGTCTATGATAAGTCGAATGTTAATACATCCCTATAGAAATGTTCTCTTCTAGGTGTAAGGAAGGCTCTCGTTAATTGAGTTTTTGGAACGTATTATTTTTTGTATTCTCTAAACTGTTTAATGAAACCTTAATCAGCTTAGAGATTGATTTTAAAATTCCTCAACTTCTATCTCAAGGAGACTGCTTGATCCTTTGGGGTTATATCTCGTTTCTTAAGTCCTAATAGATGAGTGGTGCTCCATTTGAATGCATGGTTAGCTTAAGGTACAGCCTCTTTATCTTTTGCATGCAAAACCATCTATTAACTTTTTAGAAAATGAAATTTTGATGTGGTGTCATTACTTTTTGCTCTATGAATTAATTTACCAATTGAGTTTCTCTCATTTTAAAAGGGTTTGAAGTTGTTCTTCTGATCATCCTTACTCAAAAATGATTGAGTATCCTAATCCAAATCCAGTTAACTAGCGATTGGAGACATGTTGCCATCCAACAATTATTCCAAACCGCCTTATTCAATTGAAGTTCGCTTAATTTACATTATTTAAACAATAATAATTAATCTTTGTAATGCATCATCAAAATAGATTACCAACAATTAAGAACACTAACAAAGAATAAAGATCTGAATCTTTAGATTTACCTACAAATAGGTAATGGGTGAGAAAAGAAACCCCTTAAAGTTCCGAAAGAAATGTTTATACCACCGAAAACAATAGCGTAGCTCACTGTATTTATATATTATAACAGTAGAAAGGATTGAATAAAAGTATAATGCTTCTTCAAGAACACATAACTAAAACATTTTAGTTTAAGATGAGATGAATTCTCATTAATTACGATAGAAAACAGATATAAGTTCTCACAAATTTAAATTAAATCCAGTAACCAATCAATACCAATATTAAAAAAACCAACACTAAATCAAGTAGAATCAAAATTTTGATGAAGTTGGTTAAGATACTTAAGAAATTTAATAAAATATAAAATATTTAACTTTGGACAATTAAACTGAAAGAACTTAATTAGTCACAGTGAAAAGATAAGCCTCCTTATAACAACACAAAGATAAGTCAATAAAACCTGGAAGAAATATTAAAGGAATCAGAAATTTTGCTGGTCATGCTCAGAATTTGTTAACTAACTTTACTTTTTAAAATAAATGGTTAAAAAAATTAAAATCCATTTTTTAAGTGGCCAGAGCCTTATGTAGAATATAGATTTTAATGAGACCAAAAAGGGAATAATGGGATGTAGCAATATCAAAAGAAATTGATTGCAAACAGGAATTATCTTTCAATACAACAATTAATGCAATCAAAATTAAATAGTGGTGTTAAATGGTATTTACGAAGGCTTTTTCTATTATTCAATCAGAAACTCTTGATGATCACAAAATCAATTTCATAGTAAATTTATTGAATTACAATAGGAAAATCAATTAGGACCTTTACAATTAGATCATGCAATTAATGTAACAGCTCAAGTATTCTGGTATTTTATGACTTCATTCGAATTGTTTACCAATCAGAAATTATTCATTAGAGAATTTGGATTGATTATGTATAAAGACCTTTTTGAAGATTAAAGAAAGTTCTTTAGTAAATTTGTCACTAAACGTACAACTTACTTATCAAGCAAATATAAAATCATAGCAGATGAATAGAAAGTGATGATTTATTCAGAATCTGTAATTTACAATTTACTTTAAGGATTGATGCTATCCATAAATAATCCAAAAGTGATTAATATCAATAAACCCAATAGTATCTTTCTTATAAGAGTGCTGATTACTTTATTGCAGTATTTGTTTATGAAAACCTTTACAGAATTACCAACAGTGAATGATTTAAGTGACAACTATAAGTTAATTTAATTTAAATTTGCATAAGTAAATAAAAAAGATTACTCTCTATAAGAATGCGTTTAAGTAGAGAAAGAGGAGCTTATAATTGGTACTTATAGAATGGATGAATTGAGTCCATTGTTTACCAAAATCTCGTGGCATTCATCAATTAAGAAATGTTTTAAAAGAATACTTAATAATTTATTTCTTTATAAATTTTGATTATTATTGATCATATTGTGTATATAAAATCTAAAATAATATTTATATGATTTTTTCGGATGAATTCAAAGATTTAATAAAGCAACCAGTTCAGCTTAATACAAGCAGATCAAACTATTCCAAATACGAGAGTCTCACAACAATCAGGGAATCACCCAAAAAGGCTGCGTTGAATTATCCAAAAGAGCAATAGACTCTTTTTTATAATGCAAGCTATTTGTTGAAGTAATCCAATAGAATTGGAATAAAGAAAAGATTACGAATATTTTTGATCGTTATAAGGTTTCTCAGAAGATTATAAAAAGTAATAAATGAATCCCCATACTAACACGGTCTAGCAAATTTAAAAAAGGTTAAAAAAACCACTTTGAAGCTTCCTCAAACAATAAATGAGAAATTCAAGATCTGGTGTTTGGGAATTTTTTAAAAATCATTTTCAACAATTCCTCAAAATCTCTTTAATTACATTAAATCCCCTGGAAATAAGATCAAAGAAGATAATTCTCAATTAATCCTAATAAATGCAATCAAATTCTTCTTTGAAAACATGGCTTATTTTACTCATCCTGATATTGTGAGTATTGAAATAAAACACTTTTTGTTTTCGTAACTGTTTTTAAATGAGAAGACTCAGTTCACAGCTTTTGTATCTGTGAGAACCCCGTACATATCCCATTTAAATAACGAAATCACATTAGATCAATAATCAATGATTATTATGGAAGTTTTGCTCTTTTTCAGATTTGCATTTACTCTCTTTGAATTCACAAATACAAACTAATTTGCGATAGTTATGCTGATTAGTACTCTTCAACATTTATATTTGAAAAAATACACCTCTTTAAAGTCATAATACCAACCTCAACAAAATTTGATTCAATTAACGATAGAGGAAACCAAGAATCAAAAATATATTTTAAAAATAGAACCACAATAGACTTTATTTTCAAGCAATTAAATAATTTATGGAACTTATCCCCCAGATGAAATTGAAAAATTACTTAACTTAAGACCAAATTTTGATGAAAAAATAACATAGTATTTTAATAAAACCATAGAGCATTTATAGCTATTTCTCATAGACTTCTATCAATGATTATATATATATTTATACTTTACTCTAAATAGCATTTATACATTTTAAAAATAATATTCATTGCATTATTATAATAATAAATATTAATTTTACTATTATATTATTATACTTAAAGCAATAATATTCATTTATCAAATTTATCAATAATAATAGGGTTGATTAATTAAGTCCTTTAAATTTTGTATCTATATAAGTTACTGTTTGTCTGGGGGACTTAACCTAATCATTATAAAGGATTTTATAAAATGATTGGTATCATATTAATTATAATAAATCGATTAATGAAAACCGCATCTATATATCTGACTGATAATTAACAGTCTCAATTACAATTCTCGAATAGGTAAAATAAAAATCTCTTTATATCTGATTTTAATTTTGAGACAAGCCGATCAAAAAAATCAGGTAATTCACCATCTCCCAAAAAATAATGGATCAAAGTCTCTACAGCAACTGAAAGTCTGCAGCTAATTATGACTCCGAACTTGCTCTAAATATAAAATTTTAATTATCTGAAGAAAATTTTCAAAAGGTGTGTGACACTGATTAGAGCTTGTATAAGATTACAAAAATTATAACATCAAAAACAAAAGAAGCCCAACACTGTTCTACGAAAGCCTTTAAATGGAAAAGAATCATTAAGGGACACAGTCTTGAATGAAATAGTGTTCAAATGGTGTCGAGGAATATGCAAAAAATCGTTATCTTCGATAAAATCACCTGTCTTTGATTATTTAAAAAATCCTAATTTCAATACTAAAGCAGATACTTCAAAAATGTAGCTGATTAATGCTATTAAATTTATAGTTGAAAGTCTTGCTTATTATACACATCCTCATTATATACATTACGATTTAAAAGGTTTCTTATGTTCTTAATTGTACCAAGATTACAAATTATACTTCACTCAATATGTTTCAGAGAGAACTCAATACAAAGTAGCCATATTAGATGAGCTGTAAGAGAAAGAGGCAGCTCTAATTGGTATGGAAATTATAATATTTAATCTTGCCGAAGCAATAATTTAAGACCAACTATCTTGCAATTTCAGTAAGAGGATTGTCATTAGTGCTCTATAATTACTATTTAAATAATATTTTGATGAAATGAATTGTGCCATCTGCAATTATGATTGTATTCAAGGCGACATTAAGGTTACTAATAATAAACTATAACTTACATTTAAAACTCAACATTCTGGTTCTTTTAATTTAATTGATGGTCTTTACACCGATGAATAAATTTCAAGCCTATTGTAGTTCAATAGATCTTAATAAGGGAAAATTTAAGAATATTTTAAAATGACAGTAAAACATTTAGAAAAATAAATCGTATGATAATAGTATATGTTCATTGCAATATTTAAATTATTTCATTTATTAATATTATAAAATTGTATAAGTTGATTTTAATCAAATAATTTGGTCTCCCATTAAGATCGTATATTATAATTAATAGAGGATATTCTACTATTATATATAGAATTAAGTAGAAATTTTTAATTAAGGTATTTTAAAATTTATTTTCCATTTTTATTCAATGAATATTTTTTCTGAGAGATCATCCTCAAGGTATACTTAAAGATAGTTTGTTTCTGAATGTTAAACCCCATCAAAAGATTCATATGGATACATTTCAGTTTCTAAAGAATTAAATATACCCCTAATATCAGTTGGAAAGCAATCAACATCATGCTAACGAAAGTAAATGAAATTATTTGATTCCCCTTACCTCAATGATAACACCAATTCCACGTTAAGTAGTCACAATTCAAAAAATGAGGTGGATATTCTTTCAAAATTAATGAATTGGGAAAAAATGTAAGGAAATCCTAAGTTTATACCATTGAAACGACAGCACAATTTACTACCAAGGCCAGAACATTAAAAAAATCAAAACCTAATGTTCCAGGATAACAATTAGAAGGAACATGCAAAATATTTAAATTAACAAACAGTTTAACAACAAGCACCTAAATCCTATTTACTACATAAACCTCTTCAACTGGATGTAGAGATGAAGGAGTCGGAATATAATTAAATGGAGAGTTTGGGTCCGCACAATACCATACAGAATTAACATGAATTAAATCAATACATTATCTCTGTAGCGAAAACAAATAATAGAATTCTACCAAGTATATATTCTTAAATAAAGTTAGAGCTTTAATTACCTGAAAAGAATGAAAAACCTATTCTAAAGCAAAATTTCCATCGATAGAAAAGATTTTATAGTGTTATAGATAATTTACAAGCCCTAAAATTTGGTGATTAAGATGATTCCGTCATTGATGATAATGAATAATAATAATTTCGTAAGAGGAAGTCTTAATTTAAAAAGTACTAGCTCAGAAAACGAATTATTGTAGTCTTGGCAGTTATAAGAATTTCGGGATAGTATAGGTAAATATAAATTATATCATTAGATAAATATTAAAAGAAAGAGCATAATATTCTACAGGTTTGGATCAATAAAAGAGTGTATTTCAAAAGTATATAGATTAATTCAGGACTAAAAACTTATAATATCATTAGAAGGATTTTGCAGAAGGGATATTTAAAAAGTTAAATTCAAGCATACTGGAGAAAAAATACATTAAAGAATGCCAAGAAATTTCAATGTTGCAAGAGTCTGTTTAGAAAGATATAAAAAAGCAAAGGTTTTGCTAATTAGTTCTTTTGCTTTTGTAATCTTTAGAAATAGCAACAAAGTAGAATGTGTTACCACCAGTAATAGTACATCTATTGAATTTGAACTTCTTCAAATCTAGCACTTCTTAATCTTGTTTATTTGTTTCAAAAAGAGCTTGTTATTATACAACATTCGTTTGCAAAATCACTAGATAATAATAGTTAATAATAGCTACAGAGTATTTGATGTTCCAATCAATAATTCCTAATATTTTCTCAATTTTTAAAGATATGAAGATTAAGGATATAGAACATAATAATTAAACTTTAAGCTACCTGTCAGCTCTGGCTCAAATGGTTCAAATACTATTCGTAGATTATTTTAAAGATCTGCAGTTGGTAAAAAATAGAAATGTGAATCCTATCTAAAGAATTTTGAAGTTAAATATTGATGAGAATACAGGCTTTGGAGAATCTGAAATCATTATTAGTTAAAAAATTAATACAGATGAAAGCGTTATTATCGAGAATGGTTTCGATAAATCTAGTATTTTAGAATTGCAAGATTCCAAACCCTATTGGGATCAAAAGATAAAATCTAGATTTGCTAAAATAGTCTCTAATATTGAGAAACATATACTGATTTAAAATAATTGATTATATTATCTCCTCCTTTAAATTATACTTATAAATGTGTTTTATATATTGTCAAACATTCATATATGATTGGCATAAAAATTAATGAATTATGAACCATCATAATTTTCCTTGTCATTAAAAATAAAATGAATTAATAATTCTAAATTGATGACATTATACTTGCTCCTGGTTTATCGATAAAAATACGGAACACTATATAATTCAAGCATGGATAGGATGGATTCCATTTATGGGAAGTAATTTAAAAGATTTTACATTTTAAAAGGCGGGCATTGTATTGACGAGATACGTGTATTATAATATCATGCCATCAAAATAATTATTCATGGATTTAGGAACTGGAGTAGGTATTACAGGCATTCTTGTATCAAAATACACTCGAGTCATCATGACAGACTATAATTAAGATGTTTTGGACAATGCTTGGCTGAATGTGAAATTAAATCAGTCGCCATGTATTCTTATGCAATTAGATTGGAGAAATCATAACAAAATAAGTTTCTAAGTGGATACGATTGTTGGAAGTGATTTAGTTTATTCAGGTGCTCCCTTGTATGACTTATATTAAACAATAGTTAAATTATTAAGTAAGTTATAATTGTAATTTAGAATAAAATGGGATATTTTATTTGATAATTCCAAGTAGTAGAATGTGTACATCAGAATTTATAGATATTATGAATTCTGAAGGTTTATTTGAGATCAGAAAGGAATTGTTGGAAGACGAAAAGTATTACCAACCTTGTTTGTTAGACCGTGAATAATCTCACACGTTATACCCAGGTTTAAAGGAACTCAAATTTTATATGTATATATTTATAAAGAAGTGAATTTATAACCTTCCAATTATATATATATAAAATAAAGATAAATGGATGTAGAATAAATAGAACTCAACATGGCGCCTTAAATATCTGATTAGAATTAAGGGAATGATTAAGTCCAAAGTTCATAGCTTGTTCTTAATGCAGTGATGCAAGATGCTCGACAATCTTATTTATTAAAGAAAGGAAGGCTTTAATTTCTGACTTTAAAGAGATTGACACAAGCTATTCTAATTTACAGAATACTTTATGTTCTCCTTTGTTTTATCCCATTTTATAAGTGTCCTTTTGAATGCAATAACACTCTTTTAAATATTTTGTTGCTAATCTGTATTGGATTGGAATTGTAAATAATATATTTATGATTAGATTGAAGATAGCTGAAACCATATATTAATTAAGGAAGGTTTCATTTTATTTGATTCTCATCGACTTATATGATGCCTTATAAGTTATACCATTTACACTGAATGACTTTTAAACAATATTTGCTTTAAGATATGCCCTAGACTAACTTCACAAAAAGGCGTTCTATTTTAGAATCACCATAAACATGTATAAAACATAATATATTTTCAGAATTTGGGTCATTTACTACATAATTTATGTTGCCTTCTTTTTTAGCTTTGCTCATTATTATACAAGTATTAGATCTAATTATTTTAGGTGAATAAAATGTGATTGTGAGCTTTATGCTAATCATCATTTCCTTGGACTCAGTCTTTTTTATATTTCCATATGTATTTCACTGTATAGGATGGTTTTGCTATAAATGTTATGATGCAATAAAGAAACTAACATCAAAAAATAATGTAAGTATCTTCAACATACTTAGAAACTTCTCAGATCTTTGAAAAAAGAGAAATATGTTGAAGGGTAATAATTGACTGATGAAAATATATGTATCATTTGCTGGGATTCCTTCAAAAATGATGAATACTATACAAGATTAAAATGTAATAAAAACCACATATTTCACACTACATGTATTCAAGTTTGGATTAAAACCAATATAACTTGTCCAGTTTGTAGATCTTAGTTAGTTTGAAACATAATATATCTATATCTAATTAACTCTATTGATTCAATATTTGATTAGTATTTAGATTATTTTATAAACATGACTGAGCTATAGATTTCTTAAAGCATTGTAATTCATCAAACTTTTTAAATGTTTAATTTCCACTTGAAGCATTATCATTGCTTAGAATGTGTAAAATAAAGATATTAAATTACGCACTAGAATTAATTTAAATTTGTTAAGATGATTACTTAGGAGTACAAAAACAAATAAAATAATATTATCTAAATAACTGTATTTAAAGAGGATAAGGAAAAACAGTATAATCAGAGTGAATTCATACATGAATGATTGGATCACATAATTGTTATTCTTATTTTCATATTAATAATGATGGATTTTGAATAAAATATTAATTAATTATAATCAAATATTTTATTCTCTTTGATACTTTTTTATTATTTTTTATACTTATTTTGAAATCTTTATATATTTTACAAAATAATTCAGAGATGTATATATAATTAAATTTAATTATTAATAGAAAATAAATAAATTGTTTAAGTAAGTGTCATTTGAAGCAGTAAACATAACTTTTATCGGTTGATTCTTCTTCAAAAGAGATTTCCCCATCAGATTCTTAAGTTTCTGGATTGTAATCACAATGATCTCCAATATGTTTTTGAGTTTTAACTAAACGATGATGTAAATCAATGACTTATTCATTTAATGATTCATTAATTGTATCAAGTGATACTTATCCAGATTTAAATTCTAAATTTTATACTGATACTTATTGACTAGTTTTTCCACTGTTCTTCTTTAATCCATTAATTAAAGAACTCTATATTTGTGATTAAATTAATTACCCAATCAAATTCCAAATGTTTGTATCCCTTAAATACAGCTTTCAAAGCATCATAATTCACTGGTAATTCCATTGGGTTTAGGAATTTTATCTTATTAGCAAAGTCTGTAAAACAAGGGGGATAATTTTTAAGTACCTTTTCAGGTAGAAATGAATGCTTAATTGAAAAATACCATTATAACTTGTCAGCTCTCGTTTTAAATTTTTTTTAATAATCAAAGAATTCTCCATCTGTCAATAATTATATTACAATATAGAGAAGACTTTCTAAATCATCTTTGGGATAAACTTCTAATCATTTTATTAGTAATTTATTACATATTCCTAGATGCTATCCCAAACTTGAATACTTATTTAAATGTTGACATTTTTATACTATCTTTGAATTTGGTTTGAATACTATTGCTTATTATAGATTGCCTAATGAAAGTGTCCTCTAATTTTCCAGACTTGTTAACAGACTCTGCATATTTAAATTTGCATGAATAAAGTTTCCAGAATGCAATAACTACAGAGCATCGATCTAAAATATTAACATTATTACTGATTTTAGAATGATTAAAATTATGCATTCGAAGGAAAACCTTGATTTCCAAAAATTGAACCAAAATTTTAGGCTTGGGCCAGTTTTGTTGAGAACTTGATAATTATATTGATTCATGAAAACTCCATGATCCATCAATCTCACCAGACAATCTTAAGGGTTCTATGTTATTTTTCCACTTTAATATTTCTCCTCATACTGATTCTCAAATTAAGTTTTAAAGTACTAAAGTATTTTAGTGCTATTGTCACTCTTGGATAAAATAGTCATCCTAACAACACATGCCTATTGTAATTATAAATTGATTGCTTTTAAATTAGTAGTGTTAATACCTTCAAAGATTGTAGAAGTCTTTCCTTAATAGATTACATTAAGCAATATGTATTTATTATCAATAATGACGGGATTTTCTTTATTATTATATTTCATTTGAGATAATTTCTAATAATAAAAATAACTTACTCTTTACGAATCAGAGGATTTTGTATTACTGTGCTCGGTTGAGGTTTTTGGTGCGTTCACATTGTTAGCTTCATTAAAATCTATTTCTTAGTACATTAAGAGATAGATATATAATTTTAATAAAATTTATATTTTAAATGCTCATTTTTATAAACATTTTAAAAAGGTTCTAAAATGACTAAATTGTTTAATAAGTAAATTAATAAGCATAAAATATAATTAAGATAATCAGCATATATGAGTGACTCTATGTTGTTTCATATTCTTTTTTACAGAAAATTGTTGAAATCATTGGGACAATTGTGATTCTCACTAAACTGTAAATCATCTTGTAATTACTACTCAATTGGTCCAAAACTTTTACCAAGTAGATTTTTTGATTCAGCAACTGTTGAATTTATAGTTTTGTTTTTAACAGATTCGTGTTTATTTAATCTTTCTAATTTGATTGAAGGATCAAAAGAATTCTTTCTTGAAATATTATTAGATTTCTAATAGATAGAATCAACCAAACTGAATTTCAATAAATCATCCAAATAATTAGAATCTAGATTCTCTTTAAAGAAGTCTTATTCTAGACACTCCTTTAATGTGAATCTGTATTTAGGTTAAATTCGAGTCATTTAGATTAGAAGATTTTTTAATGATTAAGGCAATTTGATTTTATCATTGAAACTAAGACTACCAGAGTTAGATGATTTGAAAGGATGAACCCCATAGAATCTAAGATTAATTATTGAATTACATTTCATATATTATGATTCCCAAACTGTAAACATCGCATTAAGTAGTATACATTTTTTATTTTTCCTTATACTCCTAGACTTCAGGTGCTGCATAGCCAGGAGTTCCACAATTATATAATACATGTTCTTAATATTTATAGTTTGTTGAAAATCCGAAATCAATTATAGCTATGTCAGTGCTGAAAGGATCTTTGTCTTTATACATGATATTTTATGGTTTTAAATCTCGATGCATTATTTATTATGAATGGACATAATTCATAGTTTCTAGAATATCTCTTACTAATTATTATTTCTATTAAAGTGAAAAATTCTAGAGTTTTTCATATAGATGACCTCCTTCGTAATATGTCATTATTAATTCTACAGAATCTGAGTTTTAAATAATTAAAGATACCATCGTTTTCATAAACTTCATGCAATTTTGGGATGTTGGGATTGTCTAAACTTCGCATTATAAATATTTCTTCAGCCAAACTCTTGGCCTGTTTCTCTCTCATTTTGTGTCCCAAAGGAGCCTTTACCACTTTTTTAATTGCAAATTTTTAATTATTTTGATGATTTATCACAAACACCTAGGAAGAATAATAATATTAAATTACTTCTGAAGTTATGCCTTCTCCAATTTTTTATCTTGGAATTTGGAAAGATGCAGGAATTGATTCTTAAATGCAATTCTGTTTCAACTCATGAATAAAATTGTCAACTTCCTCGGTTTTATTTCCTGATTGTAGCACTATTTACTAAAAATCATGTGATAGAGTAACGAGAATAGTATTATCTTTGCTTCGAAAAGAACAATAAACATTTTTCAGAAGGAGAAAACCTCCAATTTCACCACTCTTTATAGAATCACTTATAAAATAAATTCCTTACCTTTCGAAAATAGAATAAGTGTTGTCTATAAATCTTGTATCTCCGAGGAGTTATTATCTTGAGTATTTGACCTTGTTTAAACAACACGATAGTCTTTTGATCTTCAGACAATTAATGAAAATCGTAATTGACCAGAGCACTTAAGTTTCTATTCCAAAAGGATTACTATTTGGAGGATACGAAATATAAAGAGTGTTTCATTAATAAATTATAATTAATAAAATCATACTCAATTTTGATGATATCCAAACACAAATTTGTGAATATTGTAAGTGCTTAATCATTTTGAGTTAAAACAAAAATAAAAATGACTAAATTGTAAATAAATTCATGCACAAACATTAATCAAAGAACTCAATTCCTTAATTAGGTAAACTTAAAATTTCATCAGTTTTAATTATTTTTTTTGCATTAATTGTAATTATTTATTTTCAATTTATATCATTGGAATTAATATTTAAATCATTTCATAATCCATTACATACTCAAGCATTTAATTTCCTATTAAGCTTTTCCAAAGCGGCCTTGTTTTCAGCGTCGTAATTGTGAGCTTCCTTCACAAAAAAGTCGATGGTTTTCTCCAATGCCGTCATCAAAGGAGTGAATTGAATACCCAATTCTTTGATTTTCTTATTACTGATGATTCCACAATCAACTGAAGGATAGAATTTGCTAGCCTCTACTACATGTTTAATATTCAGTTATTTATCTGATATCTTATTAAGCTAAAATTAGTATTAAAGTATTACAATCACCTAAGCTAATTCAATATATGAAATTGTCTCATCAAAACAAACATTATAAATTTAATTTTATTATGGAATATATTAAATGAAATATTTAATGCAATTCACAACATCTGTGCTAAATACAAGACTAATTTATTCTGATTGCACAGCTTAATCCTAACAAATTATTCATCACACTTACCACTTAAATTGGATGCTTATCATTTTATTTAAGCCATTTCACCAAAGCAAAAAATCTTCCAGAGTCATCAAAAGGTCCTATAACATCTGGCAGTCTCAAAATAACATATCTAAAAGAACCCTCGACTACATAATTTTAAAGAAACTCCTCGCATTTCAATTTATTCTTAATTTATTCATATTATTTATTACATGGCCATAACTCTCCCTTTTCTTTTATGATTCTTATAATTCCTTTCTCTAATCCTAATCCTCTGTAATTGGAATCTATCTGATTTTGCAAACATCATAAATTGAGTCTGTCGATATAAATATATATAAATTGCACAATCCTCTTAAAGCAACATATACAGATTTCACCTATTTACTATAAAAAGCAGAGAAATCGATAACAGCTTCCCAACATCTCCCATTGACTCCCACATTCAGTTTCTTGGATAGATACCTAATCAAAGTGGTGAAATCATTCGCATCTTCTCGATTTCCATAGGTATAATACACATTTGTAATCTGATTAACTGAGTTATTCCAATAATTCTTTCCTCTATTTATATAATGAACTTCATATGACTCATTTTAAGATAAATCCTGCAGTAATTCTTTACCCATAAAAGTAGAACCACCTAATACAAGTATTAATTTTTTCATGATACTATTTGTATTAAATAAATAATTAAAATGGAGATATGCGAATAGTTTAAAGAGACTGTAAAAATGTGATATTTAAACTTAGCTTCAAGAACAAGATGACAATAAAAGATAAACTATGTTGTTTAGTGTTTGTCGAAAATTGAGTAGAATATTGCCTTTTCCTTCTGTTATCTCAGTATTATAATAAAAACCTAATATTTTGAAATACTTATTGATCGCCAGTTAATTATTTGAAAATAGTGTATCAAAAATGTAATTTTAGGCCTTGTTATTATTTTATGCATTATAAGAGAGGTACTGGGAAGATTAGGATTATGTGAAACTGTATTTTGACTGTGTTATCAAATGTCTTATTAATCAGGAGAGTAATGTACTGATTATTGACATTTTTAGTTTATTGTCAAACTGTGATTAATAATGAAACAAAACTAAGATGGTTTTTGCTAGAAAATTCTAAAAATTTTATTAATAAAATCTAGATTCCCTTTTACAACGATGAAATTGTTTGTTCAAAGGTAAACAACTTCTTCAAGAGTTTCATTAAATACAACTCTAATTTTGATATGCTTAATTCTTGTTTCCAATTTGCTTTGGAAAAGAGGAATGTTTGGATCTTATTAAGACAATTGGATTAACAGTTTGAAATCGAAGTTGAAGATTGTATACATCTTAAATATTTAAGCGTTGGTTGCCTTAAGTTAAGTAATGAGTACAAAGAACTTAGATTTTATAAGTGAGAAAGTAGAATAAAAAAGAGAGGAAGCATCAAATTATGCATTAACAAAAAAAGAATTAAAACAGTAAATGTTAGAGGAATGGTTATTTCAACCTAGTGAAGTACCATTATTAGTAGCTAATCATGCCACTATAGATCAATTGAGTAGTGAAGTTTTTAAATCGAATATGCTTTTAGATTTGTTTTTATCTTTCATATTGTTTCCAACAAGAAACCCCTAGGTTGTTCCAAATGTAATTATACTATTTCTAATTTTAGAAATTATATAATATTTATGTAGATCTCAATCCTCCAGAACCTCCTTCATTTAGATAACTAAATGTTAATGTTTCATCAGAAAAAAGACCGTTAATCTAATTCAGAGCTTTCAGAACAATGCAAGTATTAACTGATAACAGAAACAATTTCCTCTTGACTAGAGTCAATAAGGAGTATTATCAAAGAGCATATTCAATGCTTTATGAATGTCTCAAATAGGACTTAGTGGCTATCACTATATGCCCAGAAATTATTGTATAATATCTGTCCTTCCTTTTATACTAAGAACCAGACATTTCAACTTTCTTTTTGATATTTTATAACATTCCCTATAGATTGATGCTATTTTTAGATATTCCAGAAATCTCATAATTGTTTACTCAACTGATGAATTTTCTCCATACTCCATATAACAAAGTGCATACTTAATCTAGTAATCTGATTTGGAAATATTTTGATGTATCTAATTTCTTTTCTGATCTACTTAAAATGACTATATTTGATTCTAAAACAATCGATGAGGTCATCACATAAAAATCAAATGAATTTTATAGACCTAAAAAACTAGAGGATGTTTTAAAAAGACCTGACTTCACTCCGTTACAAGTTGAAAAACAATTCCCATATCCAGAATAAAAGAAGGTTGCTGAAGAAATAGATGAATTGGATTAGGATCTTGATCTAATCTTCCCTTATCTACCTAGTAAATGTTAGAAGACTCTTAAAATCTTTGAAAGAATGCTTGATTAAGCAACAAAGAAGAAAGAAAGCAAAGCAAAATAAAGAATGACTCTAACAACCACTCCCCCTCAATTTTTATAAACCAAAAATCTTAAAACTGAAGAATAAACACCTGTAATATTTAGTCCTACCAGAAGGAGAACTATTTTAGCACCAAAACTTGCATCTATCCTTGATGGCAGTCTTAAAAGATCATTAGTAGTCAACCCTGTAGAATTTGATACTATACCTTAAACTACAACTACTAGTACCACAAGAAGCCAATTATAAGCTTTGACTAATCCAAATAATTTGTTTGGTGTGTTGACTGAATAAATACACTTAATCAGCAATAAGAATACTTCTGAAGTTATATAAAAACCGATGTATTAAAGAATGCTAGTTAAAAGACCAACTTAAATTATAATGCTTCATAGTAGATCAATATCTAACTAAAAAAGAATAAGTTAATAGTCTTCTCAAATTAATATTACTGAATCTCTTAATAAATCAAAAATACAAAATTCTATCATCTTAAATAAGTTCACTCATTTAGTTGGATCAATTAAAACTTATGATATCGATAAAGAGTTTTGTATCTATCCTCCAGAATTAAAGGATTAATAGATTGATGAATTTGAGAAATTGGCTTTCGATGATCAATTCCAGAAACTTACATAAAGAAACGAGAATTACACGAAAGGAGCATTATAATGCATTTATGATATTTTGCATATGATATTCGCTTAAAGAAAGTTCATTTTATCAAATAATCATCACTTTGAAAATCCTGATTACTATTTAAATATCTTATTGGGGGAAAATAAATCATAATTCATAAATATCATAGCCAAGAACTATTTATTGAAATAGAAATCAGAGGAAGATTTACTTTGTACTTTTATTATTGCTGGTAGAATATATAATTTGTTATTGACTTAGCAAAATACTCAACTATTTAATTTCAACTTCCAGGAGCATTTGATCTTAATAACCAAGATTCTTTTAACCTAACTTCTAACATCAAGGTTGTCTATCAGAGCGATTACATTATTGGAAAGTGTCACGTTGATATTAGAAAACACAAAATCTTAATTGCTCGCTCATATCCCAATTTCTTTTTGGCATTTATTGATTGAGTCTTATTCAATTCATAATACCAATTAGATTTTCATTAACTACTTTAGAAGAATATTGATTACTACTTTCATTTATGGGAACATTGTTATTTATAATAGAGTTTTACTAAAAATCAATTTTCTCTCCTATTTTAAAGAGAGTCCTGATCAAATTAAATAAGTTTTCCTTGTATTGTATATGATGTTCAAATTAAGACAGGATGGTTTGAAACAATTAAAGAAATAAATTACGATGTTATCTTCTTGGAATGCTCTAACAGATTAGTTCAAAAAGTAAGTATTATGATTAATTTTTTGCAGGGATTTACAATGTCTTGACTAATAAAAGTACAAGGAGTATACCAAGGGACTTAGAAAGGAAGATCTTGCTCAGATTTAAATATTGATTGAAAATAAAAATTCAACAAAGAATAAATTTTACAAACCTTGATTACATATGAAATATATATATATTAATAGCTTATTATGTATAGATAAAATGAAGATTGTATAATTATTACAAATTTGGATATTATTATTTTCTTTAAGCAAATTGAAATTCAAATGTAAACTTTTCATCTGAAATTAAATATTATTGATCATATATATAAAAATTCATTATTTGCCAACTTAAACTTTATGGATTATATTGATTATGCAGAGATAAGATTTTCATTTATAGGAGTACGAAAGCATTTTTTCTCAGATAAATAATATTATGTTTCTGTTTTTGATGATTGCTTTATTATGGGCGCAGTATTTTTATAATATTAAACACTAGACATCCAATACATAACAGCCAAAGTACACAATTAAGTTTGGTTTCGCTACAAAAATTAGATGGAACCTTAAAAAAACTAAATAAGGTCTCATAATAGATTCGTTTAGTTTTCCCTATAAGTAAGAGATGAAAGCACTTAGTGCAAATCACGATAATTTGATTAAGTATATAATAATACGAAAATGACTTAGGTTCAAAGAATTGATAAGTTTGAAAGTGACTTTTGATAACATAAATGACTTGTATCAACCTCTTACCCAAATAGGAAAGGGAATTTCAGCCAAAGTTTATAGTGCAACATACAAACTAGACTCAAAGATCTATGCAATAAAAGCAATCGAAAAAGCATTTTTAAAGCAGCAAAATGAGTCTGGCCAAGTACTAGTCAAAAGTATATTTTCATTAGGCAGCCTTCAAAATGGAAGTTTCCGTTTTAAAAACGTTGGCTAAATACCCTGAAAACTTTTTAACACTCAAAGAAATTTACGAAGGTGATTAAGTCCATTGTTTGGTCACTTCTTATTTAGAAGGATTAAGTTTAACTTAAGAATTCGATCGTTTAAAAGTAATGTAAAACATTTAAAATAGGCAGCAGATATGTATCGATTCCCTATTCATTATGCAAAAATTATAATGAAAAAATTGCTAACTAATTTAGCAGTACTGCATTAACATAAAGTATAATATTTAGTTTTATTAGATTATACACAGGGATTTGAAGCCTGATAATTTAATGTTCTCAAAAAAAAATGACTATTCGACATTAGTCTTAGTGGATTTTGGACTAGCAACTTCTGAATCCATGGAAAAGTAAAATTAAATATATAATTAATAGGTTTTTATTTCCAAAGTGTGGTACTCCTGGTTATGTTGCACCTGAAATTTTAGCTTTGAAACCTTTTAGCAAATACACAACAAAGGTTGATATATTTAGTTGTGGATGCATTTTTTATAAATTACTGACTGGGAAAAATTTATTTGGAGGTATCTCTTTCGATGAGGCACTCAAATAAAATAGAATGTGTCAAATAGAATTCAATATTCCACTTGATTAACAATACATTACAGAACAATCTATTGTAATTTTATTGATGAATAATTAGAATTTATTATAACAGATGCTGATGAAGAATCCTAAATTTAGGATCAGTGCTAAAGATGCTCTATCTCATCCTTTCTTTGATTAGAATCTTGACTAAAATATCTTTTAATAAGTCGGGGTGTTATCCCCAAAAAGGTCGACGAAGACTTTTTTAAATATCAAACAAGAAGAGCAACAGTCTGATGTGGATAGTTTCTAAGAGGATAAGATAAGCAATGAGAAACAAGTTGAAGAATCAAACTTTATTTAAATACCAAAGAGTAAGAGATGCTCTTTGATGGGGGATTTCTCTTAATTATCTTAATCCCCTTCAAAATTAATACTTGATATTCATTAATTTTACTAAAAAGATCCACTATCTGGGATTAGGTGCATAAAGGTCACTTAAAGCCCTTAAGTATCTTAAGTATTAGAATGATTTTATTGATAAAATTCTATTTTCCATAATAAAAATATTTATTAATTGATTATAAATGCAGAATTATGAAATTTTAGAGAAGATTTATGAATCAAAATCTACACTCATTCATAAAGTCAGAAATATAAGGGATAACAATATATATGCCATGAAAGAGTTTATTGGATTTTATAATTAAGGTATCAAATTTCCGATATTTCTAGCTCTAAGTGAAATATAAATTATGAAACAATGCTAAATACCCTTTGTTGTTAAACTGAAGGAAGTATTTAGACTGGATGATAATGTAGTAATCATAATGGAATATGCAGATTAAGGAAATCTAAAATAGTTTATAAATGAGCATCTTGGAAGTTTCATTTCTGAGAGAGTGATTTGTAAAATTCTTATACAAATCGTCTTTGTTTTAATCTATTTGAGAGAAAATAAGATATGTTATAAAGGTTTAAATCCTGAAAATATATTGATACATTAGGAATAAGTGAGGATTTGCGATTTCGGAATTGATAATTTAATCTAGCATCAAAAACCCAGTTACAGACCACCAGAATTGTTATTTCATAATAAATTTTCATACAAATCTATGATGTATTAATTTGGTCTTGTATTATACGAATTGACTACACAAAGACAATTATTTAAGTTCGAAGTTATCGAGCAAATCAAAGCAGTTATCCTTAATGGAGGAGCGTAATTGAAATTATCATTTAAGAATTGTAAAGATTCCATAGATATATTCCAAGTAGCTTCGATTCATAATCGCAACTTGTCTTGATCTCCAAGAAACAGATAGATTAGACATTCGTCAATTAGTACACAATGAAAACTTTAAAATCTTATTAAAACAAAAGCATTTCACCTTTACCTATGAACAAGAAGACACCTTTGAGTTTTGGAGTAATAATAAATAGCAAAAATAAAAAAGGAAGAGTGTTTGTACTGATAATTTTGATTTTGATTCCAAAGATTAAACACAAAAAGATTAACAAATTATATAAGAAGATAAATCAAACAACAATAAAACTATTAATCTAGGACCTAAAACTAATAGTAAACAACCTATTCCTAAATTGAATTTAAAGAAACCACACGATGACACACTAACCTTGAGACCCATTTCCTAATAAACTAAAGGAACATAATCTTATACTATTATTAAAAGTAACACTTTTTCTAGATAAAATTTTATTTCTTCAACTCATCGAAAATTGGTTTCCCCAATTCCTAAACCTCAATGGATTGATTTCTTGTAGAAACCTCAATATTTGGATGCTCCAATCAAACCATAAACAATTATAAATAATTTAATCAAACTAAAAATGGAATAATGTGTTGAAACTATTGGAATTGAAGAGACAAGATAAACTCTAAATAGATTAAGATAAGGCGGCTCAGTAAATGAATTTCTTTCTAAATATCAAGACTCTAAACATCATTGCATAGCCAGACATATGTAAGATATTATTTCATTTACATAATTATGATATATAAGAAGACATATTATTCATTATTATTTTCAATTTACATTTCATCTTGAATTTTATATTCTTCTTGAAATCTAATATCCAGTCTGTCTGGTACAATATTGGTAATCTTATATTTATGTTTTTAGAATATTTTATTATTTGAAGCAATTAAGTTAAAATAATAAAATTTTATTTTTATGCTCTCTTAAATTTGGAATTAATTCTGTTAATTTTTGGGCGGCTATTTTAAAATTGAATTAATCAATTACAAGTAAGGTTGGTTCTCATACTCATTTCATACTCAGCTAGTGTTTATTTACAATAATTTTAGGTTTAATCATAATATTAAACTTATCACCTCTATTTATATATAAATTAATCATTCAAGATCATCAATAATTCTAAAGATTTAAGATTTCTCATTTCATTTAATAATACATATCAAAATTTTATACATTAAACTAAAAAACTTTGATAATCATTATTTAAATAAAATTCAATCAGTTCGATTTATCATACAATAAAGAAATAATATGTTTTATACATCATCAAGCCATTTCTTGTTTTTTTAAGTTATTTTCAGATTCTTTTTAATGTAAATTAAACTACTTTTCATCAGGGGATTGATTCTAAGTAGATTTTAATATTTTTTCCTCATCATTTTATTTAGCTGTGAATTAATTTAAGTAACTTTTTAATATTATCTTACGATATTGGTTTTAGCTTTTGATTTAACCCTTGTATATTTTATTATGCTGTAATTTATCAAATTCCTCATTTTATTCTAATGCTTTCAAAAAGTGATTTTAGCAATATGATTTTTATGGCGGTTCTGTTTAATCTGATTCCCTACTTATGTTTTCTTCTTCTATACCTTATTGTTTAAGTAATTTAGATTATTTTTAACTTTATTTGGAACTCAATTATTGGACTTTACTAATATTTTGCGATTCATCTTTAGGTACTTTATCAATATTTTATATCTAATCTGTTTATGCTATAGAATCTATTTTTTCTTAATTAATCTTTAATTTTCTTTTTTTTTCTAGTTGATCATTTTATTTTACTTCATTTGTCACTACTTTCGATTCATTGCAAATAATAAAAGTTTCAATATAAGAATTTTAAACTTTATTAGTTTATTATTTGATATTCTTGAAAGCTTCCATAATATTTTTGGGTATAACCATTAATTTTTGTAAAAATTCCATTTATTTATTTATTCTTAATAAATATTAATAACAACTTAATCAAAGATTATTGGCTTATTTGATGTAGCTAGTATTTAATATTGCAATCTTAAAGGAAAGGTCAAACAAATGACTCTGAATTTAGTAATTCATACTTTTTTATAGATTTTATATTAGATAACCTCCTCAAACATCTTAAATCTAACTTATAGAAAATGAAATATTGTCATTTTTTTTAATAAATAGGCTAGATATTTAGATCTGAATAAATATTTTAATCTAAAATAATATTAATAATCACAAGGGAAGGATTCTGTTTACCAATTTTTCTTTAAATCTTTTTCCATATCTGTTAGGCTCTTAAGCTGAAGTATCTAATTGTAAATTCATTCTGATGATCTTTTTTGTTTTTCTTTCAAGAGATTTATTAACATTCCATTATTATAGATAATCTATTATGCCAATATGGTAGTATATCTAATAAATATTAGGTATTCTTACTCCTTATTCCTTTATTGAAGGAATGATATTGATTTATTAGTCACTTAATTACTTTGTTAATAATTATTATTGAGCCTTCCAATCAATTATCATTACTAACAAAGAATAATCAATAAGTTTTTAATTTTCTAAGAAATTTGAATCCTTGATTAAATTTTGGTTTAATTCTAGATTAAATTCAATTAAATTACTTTCGATAATAGTTTTTTCAACCCAAATTTGCTATTCAATTTTGAAGAAATCTAAATCTTTAAGAGTTAATTTTGACAAATCACTTTCAGATTTTTTGGCAAGAACTTCTCTATCATATTCAGACCCTTTTAGATCATATGTTCTTAATATCTAATTCCTCGGGATGCCTAAAGAAAGGTTTTTCATTATTAAAAAGTGAACCTTTGCTTCAACATTCTCAGACCTTTCAAAAGTATACATTCCATAAATCTTATTTAATAAAGATGAGGGATTGTTAGCTTAATAAGTAGCAAAGTTAAGCAATCGTTTCATGTAAGTGTTTACTTCAGATTATCGCATTGTTTTAAGAATCAATTGATTATTGTGAGTGAAAAAAAAAAATTCGCCACTTTTGCCACCATCAGGTCTAGTGAATTATTCAATTTTTAATAGATTCTTAGAAACATCAAAGGAATCTTCGATATCAACATTGTCTAAGGTAACAAAATAGTTAAAAATCTTTGGAGCATATAATATACATCTCATTTGAAAGACCTAGATATCTTGATTATCATAAAGTTAAGATTTGACAAGATCATTATTCAGATTAACAACCAAACACTCTTCCACCTCTTCAGGAATAAATGGTGATAAAGTAACATCCATTAATTCACTTAAATCCCCTTGACTAGACCCTTCTCCTTCATCTTATTCATCTATTATTGCTAAATCTTTGTAAAATATTATTTGTTCTTATTTCTACCTTTTTAATAGTTGAATGCCAGCCAACATTGAAATTACTTGTGTTTTTTTCATTTCTTTTTACAATTATTCTAAAATATTAAATTCTAAAAGAAATTTGAAAAAATATTACATTGCATTGAAATTTCTACAGGTTTTGTATCATTAGAGGAATCAAAATCCTATTGGCTATTTGAAGTTTGTGTATGTTTAAATTTAGGTAATAGTAAGGGATCTCTTGTGATGATGATAACTTAGCCTAATATGCAAAGGGATTGGGTCACATTTTAAAAGGTTTCTGTAAGTAATAGATAAGACTTATAAAAGTAATAGCAATTTAGTAAATTAACTGCACTGAAAATTCCTAGAAAAAATTTCATTATTAAACTAAATGTGATAAACTTTTAATAGTATCTCAGGTATTAACCTCTTAATTATCTTATTGAAGACATTTTAGGCACTAATTTTTTAAAAGCAAAGACATATATTAATGACATCGTTGCAAATAAGAGAAATACAAACAAATAAACTAGAGCAATGATAAAGTCCCATATTTTCTTTTTTGTAGCTGAAATTGCGCACATTCTAAGAAATATCAACTTATAATTAATACCCATTTAGTGTTATTGAGATTATATCATTATTTAAAATAAACCCTAACAATACTATTATTATTATTATGGCTGCGAAAGAATAGTTAAATATTCTTATACATTTGACTGTGGACTCCAATGAATTATATACTAAAGCAAGTGGATAAGCAGCGAAGATAAAGATGTTCAGATTTGAAATTACAAAAACTATTGAGGTTGCTATTCCTGTGATCTAATTTATTTTTATATTTACATCGCAAAATATATTTACTGGAGCTGAATCATTAATTTATACATACAATGCAGTTGAAAATTAAATGATTGATTGGATTCCATTAGTTGCTGTAATCACAAAGATAATATCTCCAGGTCCACCAAATAGTCTAAAGTCTTTAAGGAACTCCTAAATAATTCGGATGGAAATGCAAAATGTAACAGGTGCTTTGATTGCTCATTCAACTTATACATAGTAATAAAAAAATCCAACAATCGATTGGAAACAATTTAAGTTTTTAATAATTGATTTTTTCCTACACTTCATCAGTGATCTCATCTTTACAATCATATATTTAACTCTCATCGTACATCTTCGCTTATATTTAGATATTCATTAAGAAGAGAATTATAAGGTAGAATCCATTCTTCATCAAAATATAAATTTTATATTATAATATTATATTATAATTGCTCTCAATAATAACTATGCTACATGTTTGAAAGGCAAAATACTAAAGAAATTCTAAAATACATAAATTGTAATTATGATGATATTTAAATGAAAAATTCTATATATTATTATCAAAAGAAGAAATTACATTATTTTAATTAATTATAAATGTTATAAGCATTGTAATGATATATAGATTACAATTTAAAGAATTCTTATAATTGAAAGGTGATATTTAGGGGTTTGGATAAATAAATATTGTTTTTTATGGATTATTTTCATAAATTTTATAATGTATTTAATTAAATTTAATTAGTTTAAGTAAATAAATAATATATAATATTTGATTAGACATATTTTCTATAGCTTTTTCACCCTCATAAAGAAGGATCATCCTTTAAGTAAATAATCAGAAGTTATTTTAATTGTAATTTGGTTACTTTTCAAAATTGTTAAATCCCTCCAATTTAAAGACAAAATGAATTTGGTTAAATGTCAAAACATATTATCGTCATTCCATACATTTATTCCGGTGACTATTACTATCTCATTTATTATCACTAATAATTTCAGAAGAAAATTTAAAAGTATTCGCAAAATGATGAAACATCTCAAAAAATTATTTGATATAACTTTAATTAATTAATATATTTTCAGTTATATTTCAATATAATAATTACTTGATTTAATAACATATAAAATATTTTTACATAGAAATTCATATCCAGTATCAATCTAAAAATTAAATTTATTAGTAAAAAGCCATTTATAATTTATTAATGATTGTTTGCAAAAAGATTTGCATTGCAGAATTTAGAATTAAATAATTAAATATAAAATCTAGAAAATAATGATTAGCTTTCTAATCTTCATTATTAAATTAAAATTATTGAGATAAATATATATGTTTAAGCAAATTGAAGGAATTATAAATAAAAATATTCATTGATTATAATTTTCTATATTGATAATAATCTTAAATTAATATATAATGGTTATTTTCAGCATAATTCATATAATCCTATGTCTTTCTATGAGTCACTTAATAAATAAAATGAACTTCTATTTTTGAAAAATGTTTAAAGAACATTTTTGCCACTCCTAGCAGGACTTTCAAGCAGTTCACCAAACATATCAATTGGAATTATTTTACTCTCTTATATCATTATGGCTTTGATTTATTTCAAACTTTCAGCAAAGGCTACTAAGATAAAAAGCTTTTGTTATTTAACAATAATCATCTCCTGCACCTTAGAATTGAATAACTTAAGAATAGGAATCAATACCTTACCTAATATTCACCTATCAGGATGTTTTTAAGAACATTAAATAATTTTACTGATCCATCAGTGCATCCATAGCAGATGACTATGTCATTCAGATATTCTGTTGCAATACAAGTGCTGATATTTGAGATAGGAAGTGCTGATTGTATACATTCTAATTCACAATTGACTAATAACATTGCTCCTTACAAATTATTGTTCATTTTTAAACTATAAATTGAAACTATATTCCCTTGAGAAATGGTAGCAAACTTTTCATATTTACTTACATAAAGGAATTCTATAAGCTAAGTTTTAAAGTCAAAGGAATAAGCAATTCGATTATCATGATAATTGATAACTTATAGATTAGTATCACTTTAACAAAGAAGGTGAGATGAATCAGCAATATCCATAATTCTATTCAATTTAGATTTGAATCCTATGAGCTTTCTCTCTGGATAAGGCACATAATTTTCCCCTAATGTCCAAATAATAGCATAATTTTCATCACTTAAAGATGCCAATCTTGTACCCCTATTTTATTTCAAAATCAAAAGTTGACAAACAGGTTTGGTATGTTGTATGTAAGTATTTGGATAAAAACTAACTTTACTTGTACTCATGTCTAAAAGTTTAACTGTTCCATCAGCCAATCCCAAGGCTACCGATGCATTACTGACTAGAGCCAGAGATGTAACTTGGAATTCAATACTTAATTTCTTCTTAATTCTGAATCTTTAATTTGAATGTCCCTAGAGAGATATATAAGATGATTATTACTTTTGATTGATTAGAATCCTCAATGATTCTATTATCCAATATTTAAACATTAATATTTGGAATAATGGTTGGTTATAACTAACTTTGTAGAGAGATCTTAGTATCGACTGCAGAAACAACTGTTTTGTTATCATCCAACATAGTCACTTTGTCAGCATTTGATACATCCATGGATTTACTTTTAATTGGAGGAGAGGATATTGCTTGAATAGTAGTAAGTATGTTTGGTTATTGTTAAATTTCAATTGGAGTTTGATTTGGAATGCTGACATTTTTGATGTAGTAATCTTTGATTGAATTCATGGCATCAGTTAATAATTTAGTGAAATTCTCATTATTATATTGCAATTCTTAAGCCTTCTTAACTTTGTCCAGCACTTATTTTAATTATTCTGGCTTCTTTATAATGGACATCTACTTGATTGACACCTTAACTTGTGATCCTAAATCTGGTTTAGTATGCAATTTTTGCTATAATAGAGATAACACTTACTTTTAGGTTGTTTTCATTTGCATAGTATTTACACTTAGTCAGAAGGAAGTGTATTGGTTCTAACTGTTCTTTAAGTATAAAAAAATTGTTTTTGTATATTTTGAGATATTGATCTAGCTTATCCAATAGTTCTTTTTTATGCAATTGAAATAGCAATGTGATGGAATCTAAGGCTTAGTTGATGTCAGATTCAATTTATTGTTTCTAAGATCTCACATATCCTTCCATATTATTCAAATGTTCATCTGATAACAAAATTTGTTAGACCACTTGAGATTCTTTGTTAAAAAGATCAACATATTTGTTAGCATCATGAAGTTAGTCTTCGATTTATTTACTTACCATTGTTACGTATTACTGGTAGGGTATTAAACATTGATTGTGTTTAGTATGTTAAGAAATAGTTTTTTAATCTGCCATGCACACTTTACACATAAATGGGAACACAGAGCAATCTAAATCGATACAGGCTTGGATAACTTGTTATTTGTGCTAGGGACAGATTAAATTAACATTCATATTAAAAATATATATATATATTAATACACTCATCAATCTCTTTGCTCTTTTTATCCTTTAACATATCCAGTCGGATAGAATAATTTTTCTAACCTTTCTTATTGGATAAGTGGGTCATTATCCTCATAACCTATGTTTAATGTAGTATTTAAATATTTACCATATAATCTGTATGTGTTCACTTCTCCATGAGCATCTCCTGTAATTAAAATTGGACTATTTTGAGCGAATCGGACCATAGTCTTAGCTGGCCAAATTTATTAATCTTAAGGCATTAATGTAGCGAAGGGATCCAACATATTATTTTTGGTCAAATCCCATAATTCTAATCTTCCATCTTTACAAACTGAAGCGAATAAAGTGGAAGTATGAGGTGACCATTCAAAATCCAATACTTCATCTTGTAAGTTTTATTACTAAATATATATGATTTTAATACTTAGAAATTTGCCTTTGGTAATTCTTCTCTCCAATTCCATAATTTACATGACCAATCAGCACTACATGTTAAAAAGATGTCACTGAAAAATGGGTTACATCTCACCTTGTAAACAGGACCAGAATGACCAAAATAGTTATCCAAATATTATTCGGTGTATGACTTTGAACATCTATGTATAGTACCATCTTCAGTAGCTGCTAAATACATAGAAGATTCTCTAAAATTTTTGAGTTATAATATATACCCTTATAAAAAGTCAAATGAAAATCCTGCTGATAATCTAAAATTGACTCCTTCTTATAAATTCTCTTTTTAGGATGATTACACTACTCTTTTCAGATTCATTAAATTTGTATACTCTAATCCTTTTTTCATTGACCATTCTGCAATTCTACTATCACTGCTTATACTAACTAATGATTCCACTTTGTCTGTTCCTTTTGCTCCTTTGCCTATCCATTGCACTTCCCAAACTGAATCACTATGTTTTCCTGGCAATTCTTTATTTTCAGTAATTGGTTTATCTGATTTTCTTCTGATATCCCAGACAGCAACTATTCCATCGATTGTACCTGCAGCAATTAGATTGGGTTAACTATTTGAAAACTTGCAACAATTAATCTTTGAAGGGTATGTAATTATTCTTTCAGGATAAGTAGGATTCTTGAGAGTCCAAAACATAATGTGACCCTCTGATGTTTATTTATTTGAATAGGAAACTGCCAACAAATCTTTATTAACAGAATTCCAATCTGCTTGTGTGACTTTGCATTAATCACTTAAAGCACACTTATATTAGAACAATTACACAATAGGTTCATGTTTTTTCTTTTCAACAACTTCTTCATCCTCTTATTTATTTTGAAATGCTCTTTTAAAGGCTCCTCCTCTCTATTTTAGATCCTCGTCTAAAGTCATCTTTTCAAATTTGACTTCAGGGTAATTTCTATATTGAATATATTGTTTATGAAATAGATTCTGATTTAAAATTCTCTCAACATATTTCAAATTTGTCTAAACTTAATTGCTTTAAAAAATCACTTATTCTGAATCAGACATCTAAGTATTATTTCTTTTAACCAATTCTTTCATGTAATCTTCTTCTTTTAAATCCTATTCATCTTATTTCATCTCATATTATTTTTATTATTGTTCTGGCATTGGATTACTGGTCTTGCCATGACTTCGTGTGACTTATTATTAAATATTCACTTATTAAGATTACAAGTTCTTTGTACCTGTATGACTTGAACTTGAATCTTACATTTTATCATCTAACTATTAATTAGTATATCCTCCAGATAAACTATTGAGTGGTTAATTCTACTTATTTGTATTGATGCCAGTTTTTGTTTTATTCGTTTGCTTTTCAGAATAATCCTTTCCCAATACAGGTCTTTCAGTATGAATTTTAATAGCTTCCAATTCAGTTGGCAATAAGAAATATGGATTCTTGAGATGTTATTTATATTCTTTTTCAATGGAGCATTTAATATCTTCTTACAAAAGTTCAAATTCATTCAATTAATCTGTAATTGAGGCATCATAGAGATCCCAAATAGCAGCAAATGCACCATATTCATTTTTCTCTATCTTATTTGATTATTATATCTTATGTTTTTAATTATAATTGAAAGTCTATGCATGTCGTTTAGTATAGTTGTCACTTCCAATCTTCTCAACCATGTATTTCTCATAATCTTGAGTTTTTTAAATCACCCCAGTCTTTTTCCCTTGTTCACTGTTGATAAAAGAAGATGGGATAAATAACAATTACATTGTACAAGTTTCAGATAAATTAATGGGAATATTTTCATCTAAGTCCTCTTCTTTTAATCCCTTCTTTTACTTGGTCTTCTTCTCCTATAACTCAGACTGATCTCTCCTTGAATCTGAATCAGAATATGTACCCTCAGATTATTTAGACTCCATTAAACTGCTGCGTTCAGGATTATTAGATGATGAAATCTTCACATCTGAATTAGATGATTTATCCTAATTATAAAATTATTATTATACAGCACTTTAATAAAATGATTTCACATTGCTCTCGGCAACACTCTAACTAACCTTTGTTTCATTCTACTTCTGTAATACTTTCAATCGCTACTCCTCCTCTCGATTTTATTACTCTGCAAGTTATAAAAATTTCTTTGTCACAAGCCTTGCATTAAACATAATTCTTACTCTTTTGGAGTGACTATGGTATCTTTATACTTCACAATAATATTATCTGAGGCTGACTATTGAGTATCCATGTTGGTCTTTGGTGGTCCCAATTGAGTTTTGCCGCCTCCTAAATTATTGGGCCTACCTAAACAGATAATTAAAACCTCTTCTACATAGTAACATTGCTGCGGATGTTCGATTTAGTAACACCTGCTTTCAGTCCTTCAGACCCAATAGATTACATTTTATTTAATGAATTTAATATAAATATAGAAGTATTATTTGTCATGTTAATACAGAACCATCACACTCCCTGGATGTACTGATAATTATAATTAGTTCAATTCTAAATACTTTAGTATAGAAAATCAAATTTTGAGTCTTGATATAATATAAGATGTATAAAAATGTTTTTTGATCTTTTCAAACATTTCGATTCTGAATTTACTATTAAATAATCATTCAGTGATTATGGTGTAATTAATAAAAGCCTATTTATTAGAATATAGATTAATACCTCTCTGATTTATATAATCAATATTAAATGATTAATTTTCTTTAAGTAGAACAAAGAATTAATTGTTAATATAATTTTAACATTGTTATATCATAAAATGATTAATCATAAATGTTAATGTTTTGTAATTGGTACAAACTTAAAGCTCTTCAAACCTTGAATTGTGAATTGTCCATCAATAATAACATTATCATTACCCCATTCAAAATTAATCCATTTCAATTTGTCTAAAACTAGATTTTTAAATTCTTTTGGTAAGGGAACCTAACTAATTAGATCAATTGATTTACTCCGTATTTTTATAACATCTCAATATCTGACTATTATGGTATGATGATTTCAGAGATCATAAAAACTTGAGAGTCTAAAAACACTTCTTCAGCTATCTTATTAGGATCCATGGAGATTTCAAACCTAATAAATAGATTTGATTTTATACTTTTTGTTGCTTGTTTCAACATATAGACAATTAGTTTTTAGTCTATATGATGTACGACTAGGAATACCTTAAGCAGTTTGCCTGTCTAAAAATGTTAGTAGATTGTATTTTTAACTAGGTTCATTACACATGTCCCAAACAATCCAGCCTTCATTTAGTGGAGGTAGGTTATTAACTAATAAATTTTCTGGAAGACTGATTTAGGGAGGTTCATGTAAGAATACATTCAGATGGGTTTTTTTGGTTAATCTCCTATGCGGAGGCAAAGACATCTTTCTTGCCCAACTTATTAATTGTTCAGGAGATCCTAATTGGGGCAACCAATTTACTTTCTCAGGTTTTAGACAATGAGCACAAGGAATCTTGAGAGATCTTGAAAGTAAAGGCACTTTTAATTAACCATTTAATGTCTTTTTGCCTTTAATGACTTTACAAGACAAACTAATCCCTTAATAAAAGGTTCCTGTTAATTTAAGATCTCCCAAGGCTAAGAGACCTGCATGTATGCCAATACAAACTGCATCACTATGACTAGCATAGACACCATTGGATCCCCAAATTTATCGAAGTATCAAAGCTTGATTGTTTTTGTTGACGTACTCGCAGGCAATTCGAATTTCAATAGTCTAGTTGATGAAATTGGATAGATTAGGCAATTCCGCCCCAGGCTTGTATAGAAATGTAGTTGCCGCCGGAGTATAGACAGAATTTGGTTTTTTGAGTTTATTTTCTCTTTTGTTGAATCTACCAGGACCTAATAGTGGTTGCTGTTTATTTTTGAGTCTTGTGCCTAAAATGAATTGAATATAGATACCCTCATATTAGGATACATCTTCATCATCACTGTCGTATTCATCAGAGTTATTCTTCTTTCTTTTGTCTCTCTAAGGTCTTTTTGTATGACGCTTTTGTGAAGAACTTCTTGATGATTGGCTGCTACGAGATTAGTTTGACATTTTAATTGTTTAATATTTTATTTGTTTTATCACTCTTTATTGAAATTCAATAATTTAGCCAAATCAGTGCAGAATTGTTTCTAATCATATTTTTGTATTTTTGAATTGTTCGTGACTAAACTTTCCACTAATTTCTCTTGTCTTTTCTATTTAAGATCTTCTTCTAATAACAAGGAGACAACCACTCCTTCATCCTTTGCTCTTCCTGTTCTTCCTGAACGTTGATAATAACTAAATACATAAATGATATGAGTATACCTCTCTTCTTTAAATTCACCTGCTGGTGTAATTGGTAATCCATAATGAATAATGACTCTCACCTTTCTAAAATCCATTCCTCTTTATAAAACATCTGTGCATAGTAAGATCTTCTTTTTTCCATCTTTAAATTCTTTCCTCACTGTTTCTCTATCCACTTAATTGGTGTCTCCAGTGCATTCTCCAATCCAATTATTTTTAACTATGTATTCCAATTTCTAAGATTTCTTAAACAAATTTATCAATTCATTAACAATCGTTTTCTTGTTAAAGAATATCATCACTTGAGCCTCTGTAAATTTATCAAAAACATCCTTCAACAAATCTACTAAGATCTATTCAGGTTATTCTAGAGCCTCTTTATACATATGAACAATAGTATAAGGAGAAATCTGTTATTGAATAGATGGGATAACCTTTAAGTTACAAACAACTTCTTAGATATCATCCTCATCTTTATGTAAGAATCTAGAATCAACTTTCTTGTTTGCATCAATGTTATGTTGAACACACTCCTTGATGAGACTTTAAATTTCTTCAGGTTTCAAACTAGCACTCACAAAAACTATTTGATAACTTTAGTTATTGGTTTATCCAAGAATGAATTAGATCAATGACATGGTTTCAACTCTAGCTTAATTTTATTCATTCTTCTCCAATAATTAATCAGCCTCATCAATTATCAAATATCGAAGATTTGACACATTTATTATACGGTTTTTCAATCCCACCAACATTTTGCTAGGATGACATAGATAAACCTAACAATCAGCCTCTTCAATTCGATTCTCCTTTACTTATTGAAATTACTATACTAATTAATGAAATATTATACATTGTCTTTTGTAAATGCAAAGAAAGTTTAAAATTTTAAATTTTCATTTTTCAATCTCTCAGGTAAATGCTTTCTGAAATACTCCTCGTGTTATTTTAAGTATATAGTCTATCCCAATACTATTGTGTACGGGTATAACATTCTAACTTCCTTCATTGTATTGTCTTTCTACTTGATTTATTTCTGTTCACTAATTTTTTGATTTTTTTCCTTGAATTCCTAATAAATGAGAGATTGGAAGCACAAAGTCTTTCCACTTCCTGTTTGACTTCTTAGTGCAATCACAGGAGATTGTTAACTGACATCTTGTCCTAAACAATAATGTATGAATTCATATTGGTGAGAATAAACCTTTGGACCTACTTCTTTGAATTTATGAATGATGTCTTCAGCTAGTACACCTTTTAAATCATCCCAATCTCTATCTTATTCAGGGTTTTGATCCATAAATTAATTAATACAAATAATAATCGCAAAAACACAATTAATTATCTAAATGTTTTAGGAAGATTATGGAAATGATGTTTATATCTTTGATGAGCAAACCCTCTAAGAAGTCTACAATGTTAGTGAGTTTACAACACTAGAGGAATTCAAACAGTTGACAACCTTTGAGAAGATCTACTAATAGAAGGGTCTGTATCAAAACATCAAATCATTGAAAAATGATTACTTGAAGAATATCTCCATCAAAGAATTGGCTAACTCTCTGGTTGAAAATTGTGATGAACAACTACTAATTCAAGTCTACGATGATATTCTTGATACACCACTCCATGATTTACCTTTATAATTATTAAGTAAAAGCTCTTATGTTGCACCTTCTGATATCCCAGAAGCATTCCTATAGGAGTTTCCTCATCAAGTAAATAACAAATATGCATGGGTTGACAAAGGAGATCAGATGCAATATGGATTGGAAAAGCCAAGCATTCTAATCTATACAAATGTCATCTTAGGAATGTAGAAGACATTCAATAAAACTGATCTAAAGTGTTAGGCTGATCTAGTGTATTATAATAATCAATTGTATCATAATCAAACAGTCTATTTTGAATAGAAGGGAATTCGAATTATGGGACAATAATTTAGCAAACTCGAAAAACTGTATGTATTCTAAAAAAGCTCCAATATTGATAACACAAAAACTAAATTATGCAAGAAATTATCAAAAAAAGGGTTGATTCACTCCCTATTGATTTAATTAGCATAGGAGAAATTTGATAATAAATCAAGTGTCAATATGTTGTTGTACGAGTGTTTGTTATTTGAGAGTTAAGATTGGTGTTAAAGAATTCTAAGTTAGGATTGGCTCACTAATGTGATTAGCTTGAGTCTAGAAGACCCTAAGGACACATCGATATTTCATCAAGTGGTTTATGAGAACCTATTGCAATTGAACCTTAATACTTACACTGAATAATAAAACGATTAGTTGCTATTGAGATTGCATCAATACTACGAAGCCAATTCATTAGATTTGAAATAAAAGAAAGTAGAAAAGTAGCCACCAAAGAAAGTTGAAGAACCAGTTAAAGCAGCTCCGTAAACAAGTTCAAATAATAAACAGAAGGGGTCAAAACCTAAGGGTATTGGATATGGAGATATCAACTATTCCTCCACCTATCAAACATAATAGAAAAAGAAGGAAGTCCAGATTTTGGATTCTGATTTAATTTATTAATAAGCTGAAGGATATAGATGGAAGATATTGACTGAAATTTTTAAGAAATTACGAAACATAAATCTAGATTACATTCTTATGATAGAGGATTCATGTCTCATACCAGTTATTAAGAGCATCATTTCATCCTTAAGCAAGAGTCAAACAATATCAGAGAAATTTGAAGTCATTCAGATAGTCTTTGAGTTATTAAAAAAGTTTTTAACTGAAGAAACTATGCATCTCTTCACTTGTAAGGATTATGGAGATGTCTCATTATTTGAAGTTATTCAAAAAGTTAATAATGAGTCAGCTTTTATTCAAAGCAAAGAAGATCAAGAATTGAACTAGAAAATAATTAAGAGTTTTTCAAATCAAGATGCACAATTAAGTGAAGTGTTGAAGGAACTGCAAGAGTTCTTCAATAAATTAGTTATTGTTTTGGAACAAAATAAATACATCGACGTAAAATTCGAAGAGACTGAATCTTAATAAATATAGGATCCTGCATATCTCTATCCTATGATCATGAAACCCTTAGTTTTGAAAACAAGCGAGGTAATCAAACAAACAGGATGGAAAAAACAATTGGAAGAGGCTTATTCTCATTTGTCTTCATCTCCTCCAAATAAGAAGATGAATAGAATCATAAAGGAGTTGTCAGATATTGGTGAGAACTTACCACTTTAATTGACAAATTCGATATTCTTGAGATACGATAAAGACAGAATGGATGCTATGCAAGCAATGATTTTTGGTTCAAGTGGAACCCCTTATGCTCATGGAGCCTTTTTATACAACTTTTTATTTTGTGATGATTATCCTTCTAGGCCTCCTAAATGTTTATTAGAAACAACTGGACATGGAAAGGTTAGATTCAACCCTAATCTTTATAATTGTGGAAAAGTATGTCTAAGTTTGTTAGGTACTTGGGGAGATAATTGGAAAGCAAATGAGTCAACGTTGTGGCAGATCCTGGTTTCCATTCAAGCAATGGTTATGTCTGAATATGTATATTTCAATGAGCCAGGTTGGGAAAGTAGTATGGGGACAGTAGATGGTGAGAAGAATAATAGAGGTTATTGCAATATTGTGAAATTGGCTAACATTAGATATGCAATGATAGAATAATTGTAGAAACCCCCAGCAGGTTTTGAAGAAGTTATTTAAAAGAGTTTTTATTTGAGAAAAGATGTTATCATTAAAGAAGTGTAATAATGGATAGATGAAGCTGATTTGCCAGTCAATTATCATTGTACTCAGAATCATAACATCTCTGCTCCTTTTTAACAATAGCCATAGAAATTCAAGAGCATTTTAACAGCAGAATTCGAAGCATTAAAAAAAGAACTTGAAAAATTGAAAGTTTGCATAACTCATCAATCGGATAAAAAGATACTATCAATAATTTAAAGACAATCATATACTCAGATACAATAGGAGAAAAAGAAATAACATGACAAGAAGAAGGAAGAAATAAGTGAGTTTTTATAAAGCTAATTGCCAGAGATAGATGTAAGTGAGAGTAATGTTAGCAACAGATAATTTGATATCTAAAATGCAGAAGTTCAAAATTTGATGTCCAGATATATAGGTGTCATGGGTCTAGATTCTGTAAGTAAATAATCATAAGCGAGTGTAATCATTTATGGATTAGGAGCATTGGGTATTGAAACAGCCAAGAATCTTGTCTTATCAGGTCTGAAAAGATTGACTATAGTAGAAGACAAGAAACTCAATAACATAGGATAATTTTTTGTTTAAAATGAAGACTCAAGTAGATTAGAATAGAGTTTACTTCATTTATAAGGATTAAATCCTTATGTTTAGATTGACTATTCTACTGATATTATATCTTCTATTAAGAGTTAGAATTATCAAGTGGTATGTTTATGCGAAGTGGATTCACTTGAAGTTGTCAATACCATTTCAGCCATCTGCAGAGAATACAAAATTGGTATGATTGTATCATAATTGATCTCTGTTTATGGAAGGATTATGATTGATTTGGGAGATCAATTTACAGTGAATGATGCTGATGGAGAATAAGTTCAGGAATTCATTATTGAAAATATTGATTAAGAACAAGGCATTATAGAGATTAAAGGAAAACACAATTTGAGTCCAAATGATGTCATTGAACTAAAGGAAATTATTTAAGAGAATGGCAAATCACTCAATAATTAATAATTAACTGTTGTTAAAGTAATCAATAAATCAACCATAAATGTTGGGGATCTGAGTTAGTTTGGTAAGTATTTGAGAAATGGAAGAGGATAAACAATTAAATAAAAGATTGTTCTTTAAAATAAATAGATGAGTGCAATTATGTCAGATCCCATATTTGATCCAAATTTTATATTGGATGAATAGAAGTATACAGTAATTAATGAGCAAATGAATCGATTTTCTAATTAAAGTGGAGAAATCAATGAATTGTTCTAAAAGACTGGCAATCAAATATTCCCTCCACAAGCTGCTTACTTAGGGGGTGTGGTGTGTTAAGAAATCATCAAAGCAATTACTCATAAGTATATGCCAATAAGATAATGCTATTTCCATACATGCGAAGAATTATTGGATGGTAATCTAATATTGGGGAAGGAATTATAATAAGCAATCGAAAAATGCAAATTACTTTTGATTGGAGCTGGTGCAATCGGATGTGAATTGCTTAAGAATTATGCAATGATTGGACTAGGTATTAATGGGAATATCATTGTCACTGATCCTGATGTAATTGAGAAATCTAATCTTAGTAGACAGTTTCTATTTAGAGAAAAACACCTTAGACAACCAAAATCATACACTGCTGCCAGAGCATGTCTGAAGATGAATCCTTAAATGAAGATTGTTGCTAGACTAGATAAAATCTCTCCGTAAACTGAGCGTTTATATACTAATGTATTTTAATATGTAGATGTGATAACCAATGCACTTGACAATGTCTAAGCCAGATTATACGTTGATTCACAATGCATAGAACATATGAAACCCTTACTTGAGAGTGGAACTTTGGGACCCAAGGGACATGTTCAAGTCATATTACCAAAACTAACAGAGAGTTATGGTAGTAAATAGGATCCAGAAGAAAACAATGAAATACCTTATTGCACTCTCAAAATGTTTCCTGAAGATAGTAATCATTGTTTAGAATGGGCGAGAGATAAATTTGAAAAACTATTCACTACTAAAATACAATAAATTAGACAGACTTTGTTATTTAAGGATTTCACCATTGAAGGATTAGAGACTACTCTTAAATTCTGTAAGAATATGCCTAAAAAGTTTGACGATTGCATTTAATATGCTCTTAATAAATTCTATAAGTACTTTGTCTATGGAATTATGGATCTCTTGAAAGCATATCCTTTGGATCATGTTGTCAATGGAAAATTGTTCTGGTCATCTCCCAAAAGGCCTCCATAGATATTTGAATTTAAAGGAGAAGAAATGTAAATCAAATTTATTCAATCTGTCTCTTAATTATATGCTTCAGCCTTGGGCATTGAAATTCCTTAACAATTTGATTTTGAGCAAACACTCAAGAATATCAAACCTAAGGAATACAAAGAAAACAAAGAAAAATTATAGTAGATACAAGATTAAGTATAAAAGGATGCATAAGCTAAGGCTCAAGAAGAAGGTAATCAGGACACTTAGTAGTAAAGTCAATAGGAATTAATCAATTAAATAGTGGAATATTTTAAGGACTATTACGAAGTGACAGAATCAACCCCTAAATTACTAAAACCCTTAGACTTTTTGCCATAACCTATACAATTTGAGAAAGATGAAGATGACAACCATCATGTTGAATTTATATAAGCTGCCCTGAATTGCAGAGCTTAAAATTATGGATTAGAACCTTTGGATTGGTTGACCACAAAGTTAAAAGCAGGAAGAGTATATAATTTATATTACATTTTAGATTGTTCCTGCAATGGCTACAACAACTGCTTGTATCGCAGGTTTATAAACTATCGAATTAGTGAAAGTAATTAAAAAGTTGATGATTGATGAGAACTTAAAATTAGAGACGTTTAAGAACATGTTCTTAAATTTAGCTATTCCATATGCACTTCAATCAGAACCAGGAGAATGTCAATACGAATAAATTAATGGAAAAAATTTCTCATTCTGGTCTAGATGGGATGTACACTTTAGTCCTCAGGTCAATAATTTGGAAAGGTTTATAACTTATGCAGAACAAGTGTTTGGTGAGAAAGTCACTTGCATCAAATAAAAAGCTAAGTTGCTCTATTCTCCAATTATGTTCAATAGTAAGGAAGAGGAATAAAACTTATTACAAACACCAATCTATTTACTCTTTGAAATTTAAGACTTTGAAGAATATGTAGAGTTAGATATCACATTTTAGAAAAGGATAAAATGCAGATTTTATTATTGAAATATAATAATAAAAATATATATTATGATTTTAATCTTTTCCCTTTTAAGAATGGCCTTAAGTGATATTCGAGTAGTCCAAGATCAAGCAAGATAACCATATATTTTTTAATGGACTTCAACTGACCAAGTATCAGGAGTTCTCTCTTTATATTGTCCTTTGGGAATTAATAAATATCTTTATGAATAATCAAATGAAAACTATTATTACTTTTTGTAGGGTGGGTACTTTGGAGACAAATAGGAATTGAATTATATCATCTTTATGGAAATTCTATTTGATTAGAGGCTAATTGTATTTCATGTACAGGTTCAAATAGAAGGAAAGTGGGTAGAATGTACTTTCCAATTTCAACCTTTGGAAATTGAGGGCGTCAGGATTAGCACTGTTATCTATTACGAAGACTCAGGCTAGGTCTTTGTTGAATAATTTTGGGGAAAGAGTAATAGAACAACCTTCACATTTCCAAATACTATCAAACCAAATTTTATTGTAACATAAATCTCTGGAGGGATATATTCAGTAAGCAATTTTATTAAGTTAGGATATCAACCCAATGACTGGTAATAAAATCCTGTTAAAATAATTTCCAGGGAAAATGAATGCAGCAATAATATTAAAGCAAGAATTCAGATTTCTATGGAGTGGTTACCCTTCCTATTAGGGTAGTTATGCATTCTTGTTACAGGAGCAAATTATTGATTTGAAAGAAGGAGTGTCTAATTCATTTTATTCAATCTCGACCCAAACTCAAAAAGATTATAGAGTCTCCTTTTGGGCCAAAGCATAAGCATTATATGATAACAATTTCGATTAGATTATACACATGTTAAGAGTTGTTGCAAATAGATTTACATCAGACTTTATGGCCACTGGATCTAATTCTTTTATATTAGATTATGTTTACGATAAATAAACACATAAATGGATATTTAGAATCTAGTTTTATTCATAAATTATTCCAGTTCCTGTTCGTTCTATCCCAGATAATTCTTTACTCATAATTACTAAAGAGATTTTAATAGATAATTACTCGTATATCAATACTTGGCATTTTATTTTCATTGACTATTCGAATAATGTTATTTCTTTTTAATTTGAAAATCCTTAATTCAATTACAAAATTACTTAAAAATATGAAAATGTTTACTAATACTAATTAATTTACTATCGATTATTTTTTGGAGGAACTATCATAGAAACGAATTCATTAGCAAGATCATTTGCTCTTATATCCTTTTAAGATCATACTAAATCTATTACGAAATGTCATTAGTAATGCCAAACTTGTTTTGGTCCCTTTTCAAATAATTGTTTGAGTTGTCCACCTAATTCTAATCGAGTTTATGAACCCAGAGAATCCACCTGTTAATGTTAGTTATGGTATAAGGAATTCGATAATCACATTTGTAAATTATTTTCTAATGATTCCATTAAAATTAAGTTAGAAGAAAACACTGAAAAGGAAGACTTTAGGAAGCATTGTAATTTTGGAGATTTTGAATACAATGAAAATTGCTATAAATGGTAACTCATATGTATTAATGTAGTCCATCAGCTAGTCAGAATAATTAGATTATATGTTCCGCATGTTTAATGAGACCAACTGATTGGATCTACAATAATCCAGCATGTTATGATGTCTATTATCCATATGAAAACAATCCCAATTATCAATATGTGTAAATGAAGACAGATTAAGAACTAGCAAATCAATATTACATATTTGAAAATCAGGAGCTTTAACCATGTTACGGATGTAAATTATGCTAAGATAAATTGGATTCTACTTGTCAATTATCTTCATATTTTCATTTAGATAAGGAAACTTACATACAATGTTTAAAAGGATATTACTTTAGCAATGGAAAATGTTAGAAAACTAAGTAGAACTTAGATATCATAAAAATATCATGTAAAAATAACTGTCTAAAATGCAGTGATGGATAATGTTAACTATGTTAAAATAATATTAATTTTTTCTTAAATTATATGGGATAATGTTAGCTTTGCTCAATTAGCAATTGTAAATATTGTTTCTAATATAATTCCTAAAACCTAAATGAGAATTCAATCTTAAGAAATGGATTTTAAAAAACAGTACTATCTGACGATTTTGAAGTTGGTTGTGCTTAATGTTTAAAAGGATATGTTTATTCATTTCGATTAAAATAATGTCTCCCTTAATATAATGAAATTGACTGTTAAAGTTATATTAATGATTAAGATGAATTGTAATGTTATTCAACCTAATTTGATTAATTAATTACTAAATTTTAATAGATTTAAAATTGTTAAGAATAATTACCAAATTGTGAGTAATGTATCTATACAAAATTTAGTATATTAGTATGCATAAAATGCTCTTAAGGTTTTTATATAAATAGTGTTAATGGGTTATGTAATAAATGTGCTGATTATTAGGCTTCAGATTGTCAATTAGTTGACTAATATCATGGATCTTAAAAATTATTACTATATGGCTTTCTTTAACATTATACTTAAACTTTGAATGATTTATCAATCCTTTTTAAAGATTTTAATAATATTGATACTTTAGAATGCAACTAAAACTTTTTATTGGACACATTTTAAAATTAATGTATTGACCAATGTATAAATTGTGATAATTGCGCTATTATAAATGGATAACAATAGTGCCTCAAATGTACTTTAACATCCGGCTAATCTAGTTTTTATTCATAGAATAACGGTAAATGCTATCAATGTCCTTTATTTTGCAAATTTTGTTTAGAACTTGATTTAGATCTAATATCAGTAATATTTCTTCATAAATTAGTTATACAATCCTTACTTTTTAGTTACAGATTAAAGTAAAAAATAGGCTATGAAATGTCTGATTAATTCTGATTAAAACTTAACATACATTGATTACAGGAGTGGCTTAATTAAACCCTTAAATCAAGTTACAAAGGAGCGACTAACATTTGTAGCCTATGATGATAGAGCTATCATTAATATTTAAGATTTTGAAGATATCACTTTGAAAAGCATCAGTAAAATCTCTTAAAAGATTTTATAGGGGTAGATATAGTTATAGTCGCTTGTTAGTTATTATTATTCTGTGAATAATTATTACTTATAATTAATAGTAAATAATACTGGGGGGGCTGGATTAGCTAATATTTCTAATACATCTGAGATTAGAGGCTACTAATTAAACATAGCAAACAACAATTTTAATTACACAATAGTCTCGGATTTTGGAGTAAAATTTTATGCTGAAGATTGCTCAATTACAAAAAAAGTATCTAAATAGTTATTTAAAATAAACTAACCTCTTCTAACCAGTCTTACACTATTTAAAATACATGACATAACCTTAGAGGATTCTTAAATCTTCATTGTAAATAGCCATTTTTAAAATTCCACAATAATAGTCTAGCATTTTCTTTATACTAATACTATTTTTATAAATAGCATCTTTCTTTTGCATACCTCTGACTAACATGATAGTGTCGTTATCAGCAATCTCACTTTTATAAATTGTACATTTAAATCAAGTGCTTATTTGAGCCAAAAAACATTAGTGAGTATTAATATGATCTAAATGAACCTTATACTATTCATAAACTGCACCATTAAAGATAGCATTCTATTTTAATTAAGTGATAGCATAAATTCATTTTTCATTCAAGATTTAAAGGTAATAAATTGTTCATTTTACAATTCCTCACTATTATAAGGTTTATAAAATCTGAGGCTAGACTAGGTGTTATTTAATAACTTAACAGTGATGGACAGTAATTTATTCCTTTATTTATATTCTTAAAGTAACTATACAATTAGCATAACTCATTTAATATGTTAAGGATTGTTATTGAATACATCAAAATTTCTTCTAATTGAAAATTTATAGTAATTTGTTTAAATAGATGTTATCATATAAGATTGGAATTTAGAAAGGATCAATTTTATGGCGAGTGATGAAGGTATTTATGATAATTCCATTCTTAATTTTTAAAATGTTAATAGTTTGATAAAAAATCTTATAATAGAAAAAAGCATACTTTTTACTTTACTTATATTTTAGAATTGCCAAGAAGTAATTTTAAATAATATTTAAATTTCTTAAATGGAAAATTAAGTATATAAATTGGATTCTAGTGGTAAATTTAAATATTAAAGATCTGTAATATATATTTCTGAATTTACCTACTTAACAATTAGTTAATTATAAGTGTCACATTGGATTCAAACAAGTGATTCGTTTTTAATTATAAGATGCGATTCTTGTGTATCTAATTTCATTTAAATATCAGAATTAAAAATTGAAGATTATTCTAGTTATAATATACTCAATTATATAAATCCAGCAATATTCATTCAAATAGATGCTGAAGTTAATATCAATATAACGAATTGCAACTTTAAAAGATGCAACTTTTGGTCTCCATCACCAAATAATGAGATGATGGAAGCAGCATTAATGAGAATTAAATCACCTAAATCTAAAGTAATTTTTGATGAGTTAACATTTAAAATAGCAAATGTATATAACTCATCTAATTCAATTGTTGTTGTTGATGCCACGACTATTTTTATGTTCAACACTCAAGTAGATGATATAAATACTCAAAATGCTATTGGTTAATTGTATTCAACTTGTGGATTTGTAATTTTGATGGCAGAACAAATTAGAATTATTAATACAATTATGAGCAATATTAATAGTGCATAATATGGATTTTTTTATAATCAACTTAAGTAACAAGGAAAAATTTATGTATAAAATTGTATTTTCAATAACACAAAACTAGCAAACACGAATTTGTATATAACATAATTAGGAGGAATTTTTACAATTGATGGAAGATTATCTATGTTATAGCTTAGTTTTATAAATATTACAGCAGTAAATATATATGCAGAAAAAAAAGCAGCCTTTTTATATTTAATACCATCTTCAATTTCAAATTAGGTATATATGAAAAATTTAAGCTTTAAAAACTTAATATCAGCAGATAATTTGTTTTGCAGACTCAAATTTCCCTCTAATAGTTAAAATAATAAAATTGTAATAGATTAAATTTCGATTAATAATAATGAGAATAGCACTCTTTTATAATAGCTTATCGGAAATTTAAGAAAAGGGCAAATTGTAAGTAATTATGAAGGTCTTATTTCAACTTCTTTTAGGTATTTATAAAGTATAATCTAGTTCTGTTTTAATTAATGAATTTACATATGAAGGTTATTTAACTCAGCCAATTTTTATACTAAATGTAATTTATAGTCTAAAAATTAGCAATCTTAAATTTGTATCATTATCTATATTAAATCAACTTGAATAGTTGATTGATATAGATATTTAAAATGCAGATTTGGTCTTTATGCAAAATTTCTAATTTGAGAAAATGAATTTGTTGTATTAAATAGAATATTTCTTGAAACTTAATTGCACATCAGTTAAAAACCCAATCATATCAAATTCAATTTATTTCATAAATAACTTCTGTTCTTAATGCTAAAATGGATATATGGCTATTTTCAATAATCAAAATTAATCTAAAGTTATAATGACTGATTGCATATTTTATAACAATAATTGTGGTGTATATGGCTGTTTAATTTTCGAAAATCTTTAATTAAAAATATAAAATTCTGTTTTTATAAAAAACTAAGGCCAAAATAATGGAATTTTATAGGGAACTTAAAGTGTGTTATTAATTTAGAACAGTATCCTGAAAAATAACTAGATAATGAATAAAGCAGGGGCAATATTTTTAAATAGATCTATAATTGATGCTTAAAATTTGCTAATTGTTAATAATTCAGCTAACATTGGAGGAGCAATTTATTGTGAGAACTCTTAAATCAATAAGTAAACAAGAGGAAAAATCTTATTTAAAGAAAATTATGGATTATTTGGATTTAATAATATTCGAGAGTATGCTGATTTTTTAAAACTTAATATGTTTGGTTTTACAATAAATAATACAAGAGAAATCTAAAAGGATGAAATTTTTGATACTCCAACTTATATAGTAAATCATAATAAAATGAGAATTAACAAAACGTTTATTGAAGTAGCTAGTGGTTAAAAATTGAATGAGTTTTAAGTGTTCGATAAAATTTCAATGTAATATTCAAATTACACTATATCATTATAAATCGAATAATATACTTAATTAGGTGAGAAGATTATTTAAGATTATGGAGATAAATGTTTGATCACATAATATTAAATTAATTCTGAGCTAAATTAAACTAACTATGAAATAATATCATCATCTGCAAAAGAAAATATGACTTAATTATAGTTTGATCCAATCTGGGAATCATATAAACTGGATAATTTCACTTTTTATTTGGATCCCTATTCTAATTAATCAATATATTTGATGGTTTTAATAAAATGTGAACAAATGTCTCAAAATTACAATTTCATCTTCAAAATAAAAACACTACCTTGTGGAATTGGAGAATATTATAGTAACAAATAGTGTTTAAAATGTGATTATGACAAAGGGTATTTTTCAGTAACAAAAAACTCTTAAGAATGTTAAAGATTAGATCCAACTAAAATGAAGTCAGTGACTTCTTATTAAATAGAATTACTCTCAGGATTTTGGAGGCTTTCTTATTACTCTAATTATATTGAGTAATGTGAGAACCCTAGTTCGTGTTTAGGAGGTTGGAATGTGAACTATGAATCATGTTCTGTAGGATAAATCGGAGCTATTTGCAATGAATGTGATATTTACAATATTAGAGGATAATCTTCTTATATAAAATCTTTATCAGGAGTGTGCTAGAAGAATGAAAAATAAAAAGAAATCTATTTAATCACCTTTGTTTTAATGTTATTGTAATTAATAATTTGATATTAGCACTTTTATTGTGACATATGTGATATCCTTTCTTAAATCTGAGATGCACATAATGTATAAAAGAATGAAATACATGACAATACATCACAGGATATTATTTCAATGTGAAATAGGTACATATTTAATGATTCTGAAGATTAATTGAATACAAGTTTAAAATTGTTAATAAATTTCATGTAAATTTTATATCCAATACTGCCGCACTTAAAATTTAATGAGGATTTTGCAGACCTAGCTTGGCCAATTGGAAAGTCATCAAAAACATTATTATTTTTAATTAATTTTGTGGCTGATAGCTTCGAGATAGAAATTCCGTACTTAAAAATGGTTTGGGCAATGCTTATTCCAATATTTTAGATGAGTATTCTGTTGTTCTTTTATGCTTCCATTTAGAGGATTAACAACAACTCTCATATATAACTAATGTTTATTTAATCATCATTTATCTTTTTGGTTTTCTATTCGATTCCAAATATAATGGAAGAGTATTAAGATTTATACATATATATAGATTAACTATTGTTCTTTAGAGAAGAAACATTGCTAATATCGATTGGATTGGAGCTAATTTAGCATATTAATACTAAACAGAAGAACATTAAAATTGGATATGGTAGTTTATAGTGCCATCTATGATTCTGATATTTTTAGTAATACCTATACTGTTTTTCACATTCATATACAAAAAGAGCAAGTAAACAACAAATGTTGATATTTCTTATGGAATTTATGGGTATCTATGTAGTGATTATAAACAACATTTATACTTTTGGGAGTTAGTAACCTTGGAGATGAAATTAACATTAATCTTTATTCTATTCTTTCTTGATAATGATAAGACCATCCTGAAAAATCTTATATCAATTTTAATTTTATTAGGATATTATGCATCAATAAACTCCTTAAAACCTTTTTCAAAGTCAAACTTAAATAAACTTGAGAAATCTGGAATCATCTTATGTTGCGTATTTATTTCATTAAATATTTTAACATTGGCATCTTAGAAATATTCTTATATCGAAGTACAATATCTAACTTAAATTTTGATGTTGTTGATATTATTATTTATTCTCCTATACACATTATTCAAAATATTGATAGCCTTTGTTAAAAAATACTAGGATTTAATTGATATAATAAGAATAGCAATAAACCTAAGATTTCCTAATTTAACACATTATTGCCCCTTTTTCAAAAAACACTTAAAGGTTAGATGTGAAACTAGGAAAAATATTATTAATAAATTTAAGAGAATCAAATCATAACTGAAACTTATGAAGCAAAATAATATTAGAATTATTAGAAATCCTATAATCATTCACGATGAATTAGTGTCTAACATTATACGTTCGGATCAGAGGCAATTGATACAACAATACTCAATACAAAACTCGTTTATGTTTTGAAGTAATTCATATATTATTAAAGATTAATAAATCTATATAAATTTATTACCTTATTCATAATATAGTATAAAATAATTATATCATAATTATCTTTTGAGCTTTAGGAGAATAGAGTAAATCTCATATGAGAATAGAAACTATAAAGTAATGTTGATAATAACTATTGAGCACAGAGAATTCATTATTGTAAATGTTATCAAATACCAATTATATCGAAAGTATTATGAAATTATATTATTTTTGAATATCTAAACATCAATATGTAACCAATAGCAAACAGAATGTTAAATTACTTGTAACCTCAAATGTATGCCAAGTTTACAATGTTGGCAAACTAAAAGGGATGCATAAATTTAGGCCAAGGATTCCCAAATTTCCCATCCCCATAAATGATGAGAGATGCCCTTTCTGAAGAAGCATAAACAGAATCTCTTCAATACACTATGACATCTGGACATCCAAAATTGTTACATTCAGCTTCTAAGTTCTTTGAATAACAAATTGGATGCAAGATTAATGTGGACAAAGAGATTATGGCCAGTTCAGGTGCATAGGCAGTCTTGAGCTGTGTAATGCAAGGAGTGTTAAATCCAGGAGATGAAGTGATTTTATTTGATCCTGCCTTCGGTATCTAGAATATCCTAAAATAGATTTATACAGACCTATGATAGAATTCTAAGGTGCTAGACATATTGGGGTTCCAATCATCCCCAAAAAATTGAATAACAAATAGGAAATCATTAAAAGATACAAAGATGGCAAATTCTAATACTCTTAAGATGATGATTGGGAATTAGATTTCAATTATTTAGAGAGAGTTATCAATAAAAAGACTAAGTTATTGTTGTTGAATTCACCAATGAATCCAATTGGAAAGTAATAATCTAGATTATCGTAGAGTATTCAGTACAGAAGAATACAATTAGTTAGCTGATATTCTTGATAGACATCCTCAAGTAGTGGTTTGTGAAGATGCAGCCTATCATCATATTACTTTTGGGAAATATCAACCTTTCAATTATCCTAGATGCATTACTCATCCAAGATTAAAGGATAGAACTGTTTGTGTAACAAGTGCAGGAAAGATGTATTCATCCACAGGATTAAGAGTTGGATTTGCTGTAGGAAATGAAGAGATTATCAAAGGAATAAAGGCAGCTTAAACTTATCATATATTTTGTTTGAATCCTGTGATACAGACTGCAACAGCAAAATGCTTAGACTAAACTCTGGATGGAAAGTACTTTTAATCTGTTAAGAACTTATATGAAGAATAAGCAAACATGTTATTGAAAGGGTTGGTTGATAGTAGATTGAATATGAACTATTGGGTTCCATAGGGAGGGTATTTCGTAGTAACTGATATTTCACAAATCTAAATCCCTGAGAAATATTTCGATGACAATGGAAATAGATTAACCAGAGACTTTGCTTTCGCATACTACATGATTAATGAATTTGGAGTTGTTTGCATTCCTTGTTCCCCATATTATGAAAATAAATAACTAGGTCAGAACTATGTCAGATGGGCCTTCTGCAAAACAACCGAAACCATCTAAGAGGCCATCAATCGTCTTAAGTGATAATATCAATTATTTATATAATTTAATGAATGAGCTCACTGATGGTATTCTTATTTCTATTTTAGGGGAACTCTTAAAACGAAAAGATTCCATCAAAATTGTATTCTTCATTGAATTTTCATAGCTGTTCTACGCTTTTCTGAAACTAATTGCTGTAATAAGTATCTTAACCAACACTTCGGAATGCGAGCTATTTTATTATTTTCTTCTGTTACTAATAACTGACATTATGTGTTCGATTGTGAATTTAATTGCTCTTGGGAATCTCTACTATTGTGACTATTAATCAATTGATAGAACTTTGGAAAACATTGAAAATCAACGAATATCATTGTAATATAATAATGATGCTTATATTGATTTTATGACTTTGTTAGAAGCTATTTCGAATAGATATCAGTTGCTCTATAATATAATAGCATTAAGTTATTTAGGCCTGTCGATTTATGGAATCTATAGCATAATAAATCAAAAATGCCACTACGAAGATGGCAGTGCAGCAACTGCAATTACATTTATAATACTGAGCTTGTTCTACTTTCTTAGAAAACTGTTCTTGCTCATAAGATAATACAAAAAATATTAAATTTACAATATAATTGTATAAATATGTTATTAGATTCTAGAGTGTAAATGCTTAATAAGAGGATGACTGTTGCATATGTTTATAATAATTATCATAAAAAGTGGCTTAGTTGTAATGCAAACACAAGTTTCATCTGGGTTGTATTTAAGAATGGTTTAAAACGAAAAGCAATTGTCCTATTTGTAAAAGAGAATACGAAGTAATGTATTCACATAATTGATGATAATTGTCATATGAAATGTGAAATCTCATTTATTAATACTAATTATAATATAAATGTAATAAAAGTAATCTAAAAAATCTAAAGAGGAAGAACCAATTTTCAATGGAACATTCAAAGACAACAGTGATGATGAAAATGATGATAAAAGAAAGAAGTAAACTCTGATTATTAATGTGTCTGGTAAATTATGAATGTAAAAAGAGATACAAAATATGATGTTGTGAAATTTGTTGGGAAAAAGATATTCAAATGGATACTGTAATATGAACCAGAAGGAGTCAATTGGGATATGTTTTGGACTGATGCAGCTGTTTAACCAGAAACCTTAGGCAAAATGTAACGTAAGTTTGTTAAACAATATATTTAAAAGCTCATCAAAAGATAAATCACTTTCCTGGAATGTACTCACTTGCTCGTAAAAACCATCTTGGCAGAAATTTGATGAAGATGAGAAAACAATTCCCAAATGATTATAAATTCTTTCCATAAACATGGTTATTACCAGCTGAATATGGAGATTTCAAAAATTAATTTGTCAAAGGAAAAGTAAGAACATTCATAGTAAAACCAGAAGCTAGTTGTTAAGGAAGAGGAATATTTCTCACCAGAAATATCAATGACATCAATCCAACTGATCATTATGTGGCATAAAGATATATGCATAGACCTTTTTTGATAGATGGTCTGAAATTTGATTTGAGAGTCTATGTCTTATTGGCTGGAACAGATCCTATGAGAATATATGTATATTAAGACGGCTTAGTAAGATTTGCAACTGAACAATACGTTACTCCCACTACTAACAATTTGGAGGATGTTTGCATGCATTTAACAAATTATGCTATCAATAAGGAAAATCCCAATTTTGTATTTAATAATGATGCAACCAAAATGGATGTTGGACACAAAAGGTCTATTAAATCAGTATTTGGTAAGTTATAAGAAGAAGGACATAATATATAGAAGTTATGGCAGGATATGTATAAATTATTCATCAAAACCTTCTGCACAGTCTAACCAATTCTCAATCATCATTACAAATCATGTTAACCTGATAACTATGCAAATAATATGTGTTTTGAAATTCTAGGAATGGATATCTTCATTAATGATAAATTAAGGCCATCTTTATTAGAAGTTAATCACACTCCCAGTTTTACTACAGACACACCTTTGGATTCATTGATAAAAAAGAATCTCATAAGAGATACGTTAAAATTGATGAATGTAAGTCTAAAAGCTAAAGAAGAAATAATAGCATCAAGAAGAGAGTAATTATAATAAAGAGTTTTGACAGGCAAGAAGTAGAAATTAACTTAAGAAGAGAAATAAACACTAATGAAATAATGGTCAGAATAAAGAGATCAACATGAAAACAATAATTTAGGAGATTATATCAAAATATATCCTCTGGAAGATGCTCACGAATATGACAAATTCATTGAATTTTCTTCTCAATTATAAGACAATTGGACTGGAGCAAGTAAATAATAATATATTAAATTAAAGATATTAGAAGAAACTAAAAAAAAGAACCATCTGAAACTCAGCAATTTCAATTTAGTAAACCTCCAACCATTCCTGTTAAAAAACCAAATACTCCTTAAATGCTACCTAAAATTAGTGAAAGATAAAATAGAATTCATCAATCAATTGAACCAAATGCTGAAATGAAAAGTAAAACACAATCAAGCTTAGGAAAAAGTACTAAAGAATCTAAAAGATAAGTATCTGATCCACCCATACCAAAATAACATTAAAGCATGAGAAATGTGTAGTAACCACCTCAATAACAGTAGTAATTACAATTAAAATCATGTTTATAACCTAAATTGTTTGAATTAGACATATTAAGCTCACAAAATAGATCGAACTCTTAGAGTAAAAAATTAAACTAGTTCAAACTACAATGATAACTTAATATCAACATATTATATTTATTCACTATAAATTTTACAGTGATATTAAGTACATATTTATAATAGTAATTTCCAAATATATTAAATGAGTAGTGTTATACAATTAAACTCAATCTCTATTAAAAATGAAACTAATTGTGGATATTGCAATGGAGGTAAGTCAAATAAACTCTGGGTAACATCTGGATTTTATTGTTACAAAATGAAAGTCGATGAATATCAATAATTAATGGATAGAGGATGGAGAAGATGTGGAGTATATTACTATAGACCAGCCCTTGCTTAAAGTTGCTGTTAGGCTTATGCACTCAGAGTAGTAGCCTCTAAGTTTTAAATGAGAGTAACTCATGAAAAGGTTTTGAAACGGATAAAGAGGATTAAACCTGTTCTTCTAAACAATAACAATGTTCCTCTATAGCAATAATAGAAAGATTAAATAGAAAACAATACATTTATAGATTCGATAAAGTAGTAACTATAAACTGATCTTGATTTAAGTGACTTGATAATTTTACAAAAAGTTGGTTAACATTATACTTTTAAAAGCATACAATATAAAGAAGAAGACCACATTAAATATTTTAAATCCATCATCATAACCAGTTTATAAAAAATAACAAAATAGTAGCTAAATGAAATTTTTGCAATTGAAAAGGAGGAATATTCACACTTACTTTATTAAAATTTTATAAATTCAATTTCAGAACTCTAAATTTATGAAATTTTATTAATTAAAGGATATTTAAATAAAGTGGAAAGCGATTGGGCCTTTGGATGTAATCTAATGCCTTACTTGTACTCAAAAATTACAGCATTCTTAAAAAATTACAATTTACCTGTTTTGAAACTTGAAGAAAACCTTAAATACATGGAACTAATTCAAAATTATTTATAAAATCTAGGCTTTGAATTTAAAATATCAGAATTAGATCATTAATTATTAATCAAAACTCCTTAAACTTTAAAAGAAAAAATATTAAAATCCCATGTTTTATATTTTCTCTAGAAATATGATTTGTAATCCAATTAACCATAAGAGATAACTAAGAAGAAACGTCATCAAATATAAATTAAATGGGTCAAAGCACAATTCTAAGATGATAGTTTTGAAGTTTATAAAAAATATCAAAAGGCTGTTCATGAGAAAGAAAGAGTCAGTAAAATGAGTTATACTAATTTTGTTTGCGTTGATGCTCTTGATAGTCAAGAATTAGGATGTTGGCATATGAAATACTATCTAGAAAACTAATTGATTGCTGTTGGAGTAGTTGATCTCCTACCTGAATCTGTATCATCTGTGTATTTTTTTTATGATCCTGATTATAAAAAGTATTCATTAGGAGTCTATGGAGTCTTATCAGAAATAGAGTATATCTAGAAAAAACAAATTACAAATCCATAATTACAATACTATTATATGGGATTCTATATTATGGATAGTAAGAAGATGGCTTATAAAGCAGAGTACACTCCTTGCGAATTACTTTGTCCTCGAACTTATAGATGGATTTCTTTAACTAAACAAATAAAGGAGAAAATCGAAAAAATAACAATATATGTTTAGGATGTGGGTTTAGTAGATGAAAGAGATTAGGAACATGGTTATAGTATCAATCTTGATGGACGTACAATAGATGATATGAACTTTTTGGATGTTGACATTGAGAATTTTATTCAATAAAATGTAAAGATTTCATAAACTGGAAAATAATTTACAGTTTCATAACTTAAGAAAAACTATTAATAATATTTTATGAACCTATTTAAGGATTTTCTGAAGAAGATAGGGAAAGAATTAATGAAGGAGTTTTTATTTGCAGTCAATTGATATTATTTTGTTAACAATCAAGAATTTGTATTAAATCGTTAATAATATCAAATAACATATTAAAACTTTTTGCTTTATTATAGTTAATAAGTAAATACTTATAAAGAGGATGTTTTTATTTGGTCTAGGTGTTTAAATATTCTTAAATCCATTATTTTTCAAATTAATCTAATTTCATACTCTAAAGATCATAAAAATGTTTAAAAGGATAAGATAAATAAGTAGATTTGAAATGTATATTTTTAATGAATTGAATTATAATAAATACTCAATTGCAATAGTGTCTTCTTAAATCTTAGACTTTCTATAGTTCAGCAACTCTTTCAATAATTTCATCTTTGATTCTTTGCTTTAATTTTGGTTCGTTTAGATGTTCTATTTCTTAAAGAAATTCCTGTCTTTCTTCAATTTCTTTCATAATTGATGAGAATAGAATTTCTAATTCAATTTACGGATCTCCTTACAAAGTAGTTGCATCTGATTAATTGTCAGGTTTTAGTCCTGTAAAATATAAGTCTTTTTTATGCATTTTTTTTATTGCATTAGAAGTGGTTTCAGAGTCTTTTAAGAAGGCATCTTCACTTTTAATATTGATTTCAGGTAATTCTGCACCTTTAGGCAATGCTCCTCTTTTATATTTAAATACTCGTTATAATTGTTCGATTAATTTTTTTCTGTCTTATCCTTAAACAGCAGGTCTGAAGAATTTTCTGCCTTCATAATATTTTTCAATTTCCTTTCTGATTTCAGCCTCTGGTTTTCGTTTTTGAATGAAATCAATTGGATAATATTATTATCTTTGTTTAATTTCTTCCTTTGGATACTCTATAACAGTTTTTTATGGACAAGTTTTCTAGGTTTTCACCTTTTCAGAATCTAACTACTCTTGTGTTTTTTATTTGGGTTTAGGATAATTGATTTTAGGTTTTTCATGAGCATTGTATAATCCAAAGAGCTCTTTACCCAAAGTTGTTTCTTTTCCAAAAATTTTGTACAAGTTCTTCCTTTCTTCTTTGAGTTAAGGATCATCATCATCAGGTAAAAATTAATTATTCATTTATAATATTAATAAATGCAAGAAAGACAAATGAGTGAAGAAGTAAGGAATGACAATCCTTACAGTAGATTGATGGCATTAAAGAGAATGGGAATTGTTCAGAATTATCAATAGATTAAGGAGTTCACGGTATTAGTAGTTGGTGTTGGTGGAGTAGGATCAGTTTTATGCGAAATGTTAACACGTTGTGGAATAGGTAAATTGATTATGTATGATTATGACAAAGTGGAATTAGCAAATATGAATAGGTAATCAAATAACATTAATATTTAGATTATTTTTCACTCCACAATAGGTAGGATTATCAAAAGTTGAGGCTGCAAAATAAACACTATTGAATATTAATCCAGATGTTGTGATTGAAGCATACAACGAAAATATCACATCAGGAACAGGTTTTAATCAATTATTGGAGAGAATGCAAAACGGTGCTCTCAAAGGAGGACCTGTTAATCTAGTTTTAAGTTGTGTTGATAACTATGCTGCACGTATGACCATTAATAGTGCATGTAATGAACTTGATTAAGTTTGGATGGAGAGTGGAGTATCTGAAGATGCAATGTCTGCACATATCTAGTTGATGATTCCAGGAGAAACAGCATGTTTTGCATGTGCAGTTCCTGTAGCAGTAGTTGAAAATACTGAATAGCAAATTAAAAGAGAAGGCGTATGTGCAGCCTCATTGCCAACTACTATGGGTATTACTGCTGGATTCCTAGCCTAGAATACTCTCAAATATTTATTAGGTTTTGGTTAGACTACATTTCTCCTTGGATATAATGCTTTGGCTGACTTTTTCTAGAATTATGCTATTATGCCTAATCCTGAATGCAAGGATCAAAATTGCTTGAAAAGATAAAAACTGAATTCTGAAAACCTAAGATTGAATCAATTATAAAAGAGAAAAGAACAATCAGAATAGAAATAGGAAATTGTTCATGTTGAAAATGAATGGGGAATTGAAGTTGTGGCTGATGATACACCAATTAATGAAGCAGAAATTTAATAATAATTATTAAATTAATAATAATAATAATAGGACTAAAAGCCTAATGATACAACAAAAGAAAGTACCAATCTAGAAGATTTAATGAATCAATTAAAGAGTTTACAATGAATTAGATAAATAAGTAATATGATGTATTTTTAAATAAAGTCAAATTATTATTATTTACATTAATGATTTGTTAATTTTTCTTGGTAAAATAGACACAAAATTTAAAAATCTTTTCTGTTCCTGGATATCTAAATATTCAAATTCTAGATATTGAAAACATTCTCTAATATCAAGGTTATCACTTTCTATATAATTGATAAAATTGCTAAAGCACTCTTTAATTGCAAACTAATATTAATAAATTAGAATGGACTCCTTCTAATATGGTATCTTTGGTAATTAAAAACATTATATTAACAGTTCCCAATTTATTATAGTCATTTATATGGTGGTAGAAGCGCTGAATTATTTCAAATCATTGATGATAAATTACAAATACTTAAGATTTAATCATTGTGGCACTTGGTTCATCTCTAAATACTAAATTACTTTCTTATTCAAAAATATTGATGATTGTAGATTATTGATTTTAGTCATCTTGTTTTTTTGATGATCTAGTTATAAATATATGAAGAAGTTTAATAAAAGAAAATTACTTAAAAATACCACATCAAATTGGTATATTAATTAAGATAAATTTATAAAAGGCAGATTTTGTCAAAGGTCCAAAAGATAATGAAAAAACTCTTATTCCATAGCAACTAATGTGTTTAATTTAGAATCAAGATCTTCAACATGGATATATGTTGGCGAAAATTCTTTCACCATTAATTACGCAGGAATTATTTATTAATCAAATTAATAAATTAGATTTAAAAAAATACAATAATAATGCAGGCAAAGTCGTTTTTGATAGTCAAAGAGACATAATTGTTATTTAGACTATGATTTATATAACATACTTTATAAGATAGCATACTGAACTATTATTTTATATCGCTAAATTGATTCTTGATAAATAATTATTAATGAATTAAATATACTTAAAGCCACTTGATGAAACTTGTGATAATCCACAGTTACATGAGGCTACTAAATTATTTCTTACGATGAACAAGGAGAATCATACAAGAGAAGAATTGCACTACATTTTATAGAAGATGGAAGAACTGCCCTACTTTAAACAATTTGTTTTGGAGAAATTGTAGAAAGGAACACAGAGGAATGACATTTTGGAAGTACTCTTATGTGTAATAATCTTAGTTGTGTTCTCGTTTGAGGATGGAATACTTTAAAGGAGGGGAAGTGTTGTTCTAAGAGAATGATACATCAAATGATAAGCTTTATATGATATAATATGGAGAAGTTATGTTGATGAGGTAGAAAAAGATGGATTAGTTGATGACTTTGTAAAGATAGAATTCAGAACAAGTTCAATAACCATAACTAAAAATTGCTTAAATTCTAAATGCCAAGAAGTTTACAAGCAAAATTATAAGACATCATAACTTTCATAAGGAGACAACTATTTCAAAGGAGGAGAAACAATAAATGGAACACAAATATGGAGAATGTATAAGATTGTTGGGAGTGGGTACAGGATTTGGAGAGAAAGCTTTGGTTGAGAATATTCCTAGATCTTTAACAGTAGCATGTTATAGTCATGAGTTATTTGTGATAGTTTTGAAGAAGGATGATTTTATTACTTATTAAATGACATTTGAAAAAACAAAGAAGGAGAAATAGTAGTTAATGTTCAAAATATTCAAAAGTAAAGTGAATAATTAAGTATTATAGATGTGAATAATGAGTATTCATCTTAGAGATTGGAAAGCATGATATATAGTTGTTAGACAATCACATACGATAGAGGGACTCAGTTGGCTACTGAGGATGAGGAAGGTGATGCATTCTATTTGGTGATCAACGGAGATTTGACATTATAGAAAAAAATAGAAAATCGAAATGTCTCTCTATGTATAATATCCTCAGGACATTTGATGGGCGAAGAAATTATAATCAATAAGACTGGTATGTACGAATATAGTTGTACAGTGACATCCTTATTGGCTACGGTGATTGTGATAGATGCAAACGAATTTATTCATAAGTTTCCTGAAGAATGTAGATTGCAATTGATAGAGGATTATGGTCCAAAGACTGCTAATAGATAGAGATTGTTGTAATTATTGTTGTAGAAGAGGAGATCATAGAATACATCAAACAAATAATTGACAAATGAATAGGTAAGATTATTGACAGAAATAGATGATGTGGTAATTGATTAGAATAAAAATCATATCATTGAAAGTTTGAAGAAATAAAAAGATGTTTAATTGAATCAGCATTTCCTAACTACATATTCAAATCCAAGTGTTCAAAACTATTGCATTGCTAAAATAATCGACAGAGAAAAAACATTTCATAAATTAATAAAGAGTTGTGAATTTTAAGAGTTTGACTTTGGTAATGGCAACAATGACATTATTAAGAGAAGAAGATTTATGTTAGAAAATAAATTAAATTTGAAGAAACCAAATGAAAATTATTTGAAACCCCAATTCCATATTCTTCCTCTAACAGTTAAGAGAGATCTAATCAAAAACTTCAGAGTCAACAATAAGAAAAATGTTTGTTATTCTAATTTGAATATTAAGACACTCACAAAAGTGTAACCGAATAAGAAATAATCACCTTTGAAAATAAGGGAGTTGATGACTGCTAGACCTTCGCAATAGCAATGTGATAGTTATAGTACCCATATGTTTACTTAGATTGATGACAGACAATCACTTTGATTATAGTTTATGTGATGTATACTTATTACATATATTAATTTATTTTATGTCGAGATCATCATCCAGAAGAAATAGTTAAGCAATTGGTTCTCTCATTAATTACGCAAACTCTGATGATACTTATAATGTCAAAGCAATCCTTTATGAAAATCACAATCAAAATTTGTTAATCCTTAAAACCCAAAAACTATATACCTGTATAAGATTTGATAATAAAAGTAATTCATCTTTCTTGTTACAACAACAATGAACAATTAAGTGAATTGTATTTTTAATACATTTAAGCATAAATAGATAAAAACATTCATACAAAACAAGAAGTTGAACAATGGGTTAATTAACAAAATGATGAAGGGTTCACAGCATTACATCTGGCAGCTTATCGAGGATCATTAGTATTTTCATACATAATAATAGAAAACCATTAAATTGCTTGAATAATACGGAGCAGATTACCGAATTAAGAACGATAATAGTAATCATAACTTATTATTAAAGAGTTAACTGTCTTGCATACGGCATCATAAGGTGATTGTCCATTGACTGTATATTATTATCTCCAGAAAGGGATAGATATTAATATAGTGGATGACAAAGGCTCCTCTCCTCTTCATTGGGCTGCTTATTCAGGAGCGTATAATGCAGTAAATTTCTTGATTTCATTGAATGCTAATTTGGATCTTTAAGATACAGATACTAATGTTACTCCGTTACATCTTGCGACTATGCAAGCTAATTCTAGAATAGTCCGAAAACTTTTAATGAAAGGAGCTGATCGTTCAATTAAAGATTCCAATGGTAAAACAGCTCTGGATTTAGCAATAGAAAGTGATTTCAAAACAATTGAAACTATGATTGTAGATATTCTTATTAATTCTAGAGAGATAAAAATGATATACTAATTTTTTGCAATGTTCGATAACCATTTAGACCAGTGAAACAAAAAAGGAATAGTTAAATTGCTTTCCTTTCCATGTATATGACTTGCTTTATTTGTACTATAGTATTCACTTTTCCATGTAATTGATTAATTTCTATAATGTTTAGTTGTAACTAGCACAATTTGGATGTGGATATTCTTTACTTTAACTAGTATTACTGTTGTATTTTTCTTTATTTCATGTGCCAAAGATGCTGGAGTAGTGAAATTAGACTAAAAATTAAATATGCTCTAAATATTAGAAAGATATGATTGTTCAAATATTTGTGCAGATTGTAAGGTATATATACAAACACTAATAGTAGTTAGTCAGACCTAAGCGATCCAAGCATTGTGATGTTTGTTAATAATGTGTTATGGTATATGACCATCATTGTCCTTGGATAAATAATTGTGTTGGAGCAAAGTAATATATTACATTACATTAGGAATCATTTTGTGTTTTATTTTTTCATTATAAGTTTGTTCTCTGAATTCATTTTACAATTATTCATGCAATTTTCTCATTATCATTCAAATACTATCCAGAGATGGTTTACTTAGACCGAAGATTGGATGTTCATTGGAAAAAAGTTTACTTTTTATTATGTCATCATTTATTGTCTACTATTTATTGTACCTTTGGGGTAATTTAAATTTATAATTAAGAATTCTCATCTAAATTTAAACAATAAATCTATTGACAGGCCAAACAACATTTGAAAGACATAGTTTAGGAGCACAAGATGCAAAAAATGAAAAATCTAATGAAAAAAGTGCGATTAATAGAAGTGAAGATCAATCAATGGAGTCCACAGAATAAGGATAAGGCGGAACATAATAATCGAATCACGATCAATAATTAAAAATGGAGTAATCACATTTGAGTTTAGGAAACTGTTTTGAAATGTGCTTTGTAAATAAAAAGAAAAAAGAATATAGTAGTGAATTGGCAACAGAATTTATTGAACTCTGAATTATTATATAAATAAAATTAAAATGCAAAAATTCGAAGATTTAAAAATAGCCATTACTGGAGCAGCTGGTAATTTAGCATCTGCATTGTATTACTTACAATATTCAAATCTAGTTATCCACTTTTGGGGTCTGGCCAAGTGTTTGGGTCAACTCAAAAATTCTCATTATAGCTATTAGAATTACCTGAAAAACTACAAGAATTAGAAGGAATCAAAATGTAAATTTAAGACTGCGCATTCCCTCTTTTAAATAATGTTGTAGTCTCAAGTGATCCTGCGGTTGCTTTTAAAGAAGCTGATGTTGCAATATTTTTAGGAGCCATGCCTCGAAAACCAGGTATGGAAAGAAGTGATCTGTTATAAATGAACAGAGAAATATTTATACAATAGGTTCGATATTGAAATTATAAATACAGGGTTAAATCTTGAATGAATAAGCTAAAACTACTGTTAAAGTTTTAGTTGTGGCAAATCCAAGCAACACTAATTGTGCTACTCTAGCTCATTAGTGCACTAAAATTCCATAACAAAATTTTACATCTCTTATGTAATTAGATCATAATAGATGTGTCTCAACTGTATGCCAACTTTTATAATTTTAGCTCGCAAGAGAAGCAAATACAACCATTGACTAGATCAAAAGAGTGATCATTTGGGGAAATCACTCTCTTACCTAATACCCAGATATGACTCATTCAATTATTAATGGTAAATAAGCATCAGAAACATTTTCCAAGGATTTCTTGAGAAATGCTCTTATTCAGCAAGTCTAATAAAGAGGAGGATAGATATTATAGCTCTCCAGAGGAGCAAGTACTATTTCTGGAGCCATAGCTGTTAAAGATCATTTAAGGACATGGTTTCTCGGAACATCCTAAGACAATTGGACCTCATTTGGAGTATCTAAATTATAAAAATAGGTTATTTCTGATGGAAATCATTATGGAATTCCCAAAGGTATTTGTTTTTCATTGCCTGTGACTTGTAAAGACTTTGAATTTAAAGTTGTTGGAGATGTAGAATTAGATGACTTTGCTAAATAAAGAATTCAATTATCACTAGTCGAATTGCAAAAAGAGTAGTATTGATTAATAAAAAATGATAATTATTTATAAATGGATCAGAATTATGATAATGACAATATAATAATATTTGTTAAGTCTGCCAGCACGTTGATCTTATTCCTAATCATTTTGTTTACAGCCAATCTTCCCTTTAAATCAAAGACTTTTAGAGAGAACAAAGTATATATCTATATTATATTTTAGCCATTGGTTTCTATCTCTTAAGCCTTTTCAGGGGGATTGTTCTTATCAGTTGCTCTTTTGCATTTATTGCCTGAGTCATAAGATAAATATGAAACATCCCAAAGCAATGGAGAAATGCCAAAAAAAGAATTATTTCCTTTTCCATTTTTAATTACTATACTAAGCTTTGCATTGATTTTGTTTATAGAAAAAATAGTGACAAATCATAAACATTAGCATTAAGATGTAATCAAATAACTATTTTAATAAGCATGTTGATGTACAACCTACATAAAATATTGAATTACTTAGATCAGATGAGAGTATTTGTTGCAGTTAGATTGGAGCATGTTGTAATTAAGTTGAAAGTTAAGCATAAGAAGATGTATTAAGAAATGCCATCTCTTCATAAGTAAAGATGGCATAAAGGGTAGGATTTAATGAAATAAAAAATAAAACTAAAATTAAAAAAGCTAATAAATCTTCAAACATAACTCCTTATTTATTGCAATTAGCTGTAGGAATTCATGCTATCTTTGAAGGACTAGCAATAGGAATAGAATCAAATCTTAGTAGATGTATAGGTATTGCATTGGCAGTGTTTTGTCATAAATGGGTAAATATTATTTCAATTTAATAAGGCTGAGGGTCTCACTTTAGGATTGGCATTTAAAAAAGCAAAAATTAATCATTCTAAGGCTAAGAAACTTATATTTCTACAAGCTTTGATGAATCCATTAGGTATTTCAATAGGTTGGATTTTATCATCAAATAAACTTATAATAGTTAGTATCTTTTATGCAATATCAGCTGGAACATTTTTATACATTTCTACTATTGAAGTAATTGTAGAAGAGTTCAATGTTGCTAGATACAAACTATTCAAATTTTTAGCATTTTTAATCGCCATTGGATTTATAAGTTCAATTTGGTTGTTGGAATAGATTGATTTTTGAAAATACTAATTTTATGGTATAAATAAATCAATTCACGTCTAAACTTTTTCTTTGAATGGTTCTTTATTACATAGGCCCTATAGCTGCTTCTAAAAAGACCTAATGTTATTCTGATTTCGGTATGCATCTCATAGCTGACCACACTGATAGTATTCCCAAACAACTCAAAAGAGTACAGATTGAAATTAAATATATATACATAAAGAACATGCCATTTAGGAGAGTTGTACAGAATGTATTTTTGAATCTAATAGTTCCTTGTTTGATGTACGAGCAATTCAAAGTGTTTGTCAGATTCTGAGTTTTATGAAAAATTAAGTTAAGTTGACTACCATAATAAGTTAGATTAACTATTTGTTGTTTAATTTCATTGTCAAGACTAGTTAATAATTATTCATATTCAGTTAGATTAGCTAAAATTGGTTTAAAAGTCCTATTAACTGAATCAATATATAGTTTGATTTAGTCAAAATACTTTAAGACTATTTACGATATACTTTCCTTATTTTTAGTTTTGCATCTCTTATATTATTCCATATACCTTTATTTAGCAAAGTCTTCATCACAAGAATCAAATATTAAGCAAATGGCCATTCCGAATTCTCGATGAGGATTACTATAGAAACTGTTTCACCTATTAGATCTTGTTATCATTACTTTAATTTGAGTAGATCTGCCTTGTAATATTTGCAATCAGTGTCTTTCCATTCCCATTCATCTTAAGAAACTCTGCATCCTCCAAATAGTATTTACATTGATTTGTCAATATTATAGTCTGTCCAATTGTTCATATTTCTTAACACATTCTATGGATTATCATCACTATCTGTGTTTATCACTAAACTATAGTTAGTGAAGTATGAGGATATAACAGATTAATAGAAATTAATAACATTCCTGGAATGCGATAGTTTGTCAAATTCCTAAATTGATCTATCAAGATCGATGATGTTTTAGAAGGTTTAATTCAAATCAAAATATGATACGAAATCCCCATTTTGGTATAAACAGACTTCCACTTATTGAAAGAAGGATTTTGTTTTGATAAAATGTTTAGTAGGTTTCATAATTTTAATGATTCTTTTTAGCACATTTTTATCATGAATCACTCCATGAGCCAAATTACAAACCATATTATTGTTTATCAATGAAACATAATATACAAATATTAAAATAATAAATCCTATTATTAATAGTACTGCAAGAGCAATCCAAGATATATGCAAAAGAAATCCCATTTTCTAAAACCGAAACCAAGTCACTAATGAAAAGGAAAATAGTAAAATTACAGTCGTGGTACAGGTAATTATTAAGAATCTCTTATAAGCAGTTACTCCTGAATCGAATATCCAACTTTTGGTATTCAATGTCTATTCAAGTTTAGATAATAAATTAATAATGTTATATGAGAAGTCGTTTAGTTATGATTAACTTTGATTAAGATTGTCTATTATTTAACTAATGTTTATGTACTAAGATTTAGATTTAATTATTTTCATTAAAAATATTGCTTAATCTCTTGATGATAATTCTTCTAAAAGTAGATTTGTGACAGTTCCTAATTAATTACTTGGCCCAATTTATTCAATAAAATTACTGCTTATATGTTGTTAGTTACTGTAAGGATTTGGGTTGATTAGTTTAAGTTCAAAATTATATTCGTATAAATCAGATAAATATTGATTCTCAATTTTATATTGTTATTGTAATTGTTTAGTCTTAATTTAGCTTAATTAGTTAATAGCATCCTATCGAGATTAATCTGTTAGTTCCTAAGAGAGCGATTTGATCTATTTGTTTATATACAAAATGCCTTGCCAATCATTCTACCATCCCTAATCGTTTTGTTACTCAATTGTATTCTCAATCATCCACAAAGATATGCATTTGACTTATAGCAAACTACTTTAAATAGCTTTAGTACCTACTTTCAATTTACTTATCTGTATATGATAACCCGCAAACTGTACACAACATTAAGCTCAATAGGATTATACCAAAAAAGAGAAAGTATTTTTCAAAAGTGCTTTTGGTATCTGTTTCAACATTAATGTAACAACATCTCATGAAAACCTTATACTTTGGAATACAAAATATTTAACAGCAACATAATAAAATGATTACACCTATCACACTTAATATGATTGTAAATATCTCATCTAATTAGTATTTAATCCATTACAATCAATTGTGAATATAGCTCATATTAATATTCATCAGGAAGTAATGTTTTTTCATTTTGCCAATTTGAAATTATTGTCTCTAAATCCCATCCTAAGTTGAACACATTCTATGCTTCCTCTGCTCCATTTTTGGCACTGATTGGCCATAATGTGTGACTGTCTTTAATAAATGAGGAACATTATTCTTTATAAAGAAGTTGGTATTCTTTTAGCATTTCATGAAATTATGGCATATTAATAATTATCTAAATATATTTTCAATCCAATTAACTTATCTTATTTGATAATACAACAGTGCTTTCGATCATCTTTCTTATATCCTTTTACCAATCTAATATTAAATCTTGAATCGTTTAATTTTTGGATTTGAGTTTTGATTTAGATGAAATTTTATGCTTTTTTTATTACTTACTACGTCTTTTAGATATTGTCTTCTTCGATAGAGGAACTTAACTTGGTTTAGAACTACCTATTATAATAACATCATCATCGTTATCATCTTGTTTCTTTGATCTTGTTTATCTTACCTATGTAGCTGATGTTTATTGCCTTTTCTTAAACTTTGGCTTTTTCTATTTCAAAATAGTTTGTTTTGGATTATCTTTGATTGGAAACTATACTAAGTTGATCTCTAAATCACCCGAGCTCATATTTAATACTTATCTTTTGATCTGACTGAGATAAAAAACTTAACTAAAAAGCCTTCTAATTATTAGGAATATTAGTTTTGTGAACCAATAAAATTATGTAAATTAATAATTTTTATTAGAAATGCAAATCAAATTGCTGACACTCAACCTTAATTCAAAATAAATTAATATATAATAATGCAATTTTATGATTTTCTCCCTGCTCCAAATCCACTTATTTAAGCTACTGATCCTGAAATGAATACTAAAATGTATCCAAAATAAGTTAATTAGAACTCAGATTAAAAAAAGAGATGAATACAACGAAAGGGATTCAAGTAAGAATCTCTGGGATTATTTTACAGATAATAAATAAAATCTCGTTTATTAAAGATATGATAATTATCCTTGGTCGATGATTCCTTTGAATAATCATCGGTTTACAGCATCTTATTTCTTTGATTGCAAGAAACTGATTTCCTTGAACCGAGAAATCAAATTAACTGAATTTTAATCTGTCTTATACAAATATCTATTCCCTTCCACAATGAAACAAAAAGAATTTAAAACTTTATCATTAGAATAAGATAATAAGAACTATTCAGGATTGAAATTTGATTCACATTATGAAAGTGCAAACCTTTTTGCTTCATTCAGAATTAGTACTTATGAATATGATTTGATTATGCAAAATGATACTAATTCTAAAGGACATACCTAATGGTTTTATTTCTCTGTTGAAAATACTTAAAAAAATACGTTGGTTACATTTAACATTATTAACTTTGTAATTTACATAATATTATAAAGCCTCACAGATAAAAAATGAGTCACTATTTAATTTGGGTTAACGACCTGTGGTCTATTCTATTAAATCTAATAAAACTAAAGGAATTGGATGGATCAAGGCTGGTACTAATGTTGTTTATTTCAAAAACAAATATAAAAAAGAGAACAGTACCACTAAAACTTATTATACATTAAGTTTCTCATATAAGTTTGAGTACTCAAATGATAAAGTCTATTTCGCCTAGTGCTATCCATATACCTATTCCTAATTAAATTCTTTTATAGATAGAGTTATAAAAATTAACCAAGTAATTTAAAATACAATAATAGTTTTCAAATGTAAAAGAACTATGTAAGACAATGACTAGATCATAATGTCCTTTGATTACAATAGGAAAAGGTAGAAAAGCAATATTGCTAATGGCCAGATAACATCCTGGAGAAACCCCAAGTTCTTATGCAATAGAAGGAGCTATTGAATTTCTGATTAGAAATTGCATAGAAGCTGAGATGTTAAGGAATTATTTTACTTTCTACATTATTCCAATGTTAAATCCTGATGGAGTAATATTTGGAAATTATAGATGTAATTTATATGGAACAGATCTGAATAGAATCTGGATAAATCCACATAAGGAACTACATGATTCAGTTTGGTATATAAGAGATATGATCAAATAAATTAATTAATCAACTGAACTGAGCATGATAATTGATTTTCATGGGCATTCTAAAAAGTATGAGAAATGTTTATATAAATAGATTCAACAGCTTTTTTTATGCTAATAGTGGAGCTGACTCATTAAAATTATTTCCTTTGATTTGTTCAAAAATATCAAAAATGGTAAATTTGAAGGATTGTTCTTTCAGTATTCATGAAAGCAAAAAGAAAACTGCAAGAGCTGCTCTATAAGAGGAGGTTAAGAGCGGATATATTTATACTTTAGAATCATCTTTTCATGCATATAAACGATAATTTGCTCAGGACTTTAATGATATTCAATATAAGGAATTAGGTGTTGATATAATGCTTTCAATGTTTAAATTATTCTAATAAGACATGATTTAAACAACTTTTGAATAGAATATTAATTTTAAATTACCTACTACGATGAATTCTTAATAAAATAATGATTTGGATTTATTTATTAAAAATTATGATTTGAGTTAACTTTAATTAAACTAAGACGATTCTGGAAGTGATACCAATCCAGAAGAAGATGTATTGCAAGATTAAGAATAGTTATCAATCACAGATTCTAGAAAGTAAAGCAAAGCCTAATTAATAACTAAGAAGAAAATAATTAAAATAGATAAAGGTACTTAAACTGATATATCTCATTATTAAAATTTAATGTTAGATGAAAAAGTCCTTCTAAAAATTGAAGAATAAGTGAAAACATTGAGAAAGAACAATAATAATTTGGAGACCATTGGAATTTTGGGTAATGACGTTGAGTTCTAAGAAGGACAGAAATGTGAATTTTAGTAAACCGATATCTCTTTATAATAAATTTTAGGGAGAATGCAAGTGTTTCATGTAAGAGTTTCAAATAAGTAAAAATTAAATGATTTATTTTAGAAATTCTATGTTTTAGCATTAATTTACAACATAATCTAGTAAGCCTGTTGTGATTGTCTTGAAGAATCCATATTCTAAATAACAATTACAATAAAATTAATAAACCACTTATTAATAAGAGTAGTTATCGATAAAAAATAGAAGAAGAGTTGCATCAATTAACGGAAGAGCTTCAATAGACTCAAAGAGATTAGCAAATGAAAGAAAATATAGCATTTAGCATTACTAATAAGAAAAGTATCATGGATATAGTTATTAATACAACACACCTATAAATTTTATGTCGTAGGATACCACTTTCGATAAAATTGCAAACATTAGCAAGGCTAGATTCAATGAAAAATAAATAGTTAAAAATCAGTTTTGATTAATTTGAAAAGATTACATTTTCCATTTTATAGAAATATTTAATATTTTTTAACATTTAAATTTGAATCTTTAGATTATATGATATATGATGAATTGAATAACATTATTTGAATCCTACCAACAAAGGATATTTATTTTTGTATTTGGTTTAATAATTTCGTATAAAATAAAATGGGTTTGATATCGTATTACTGTTTGCTGGTGGTCGTTTTTATAGCTTTGATCATCTATGATCTTCTATTTTATACGACATATTAAAATGACGTTTGCCCACCAATAGAGTATACCGATGCTTCGGCTGATGAAACCACAACAGATGAGAATGCAGCTGGAAATCGAATATTAAATCTGATGGATTAGAATATTGATGAATTTATCAACTCTTAGCTTGCAACCTAAGACGAAACAACAACTGATGAAACAACTACAGATGAAACAGCAACTGATGAGGCAACAACTTCATCGTCAGCATTTGCAAATCAATTAGTATAATTTATTTTATTATAGGTAACATTACCTTTCATAATTATCTTACTTTATTGCGGAGTGATTGGTTTAATTATGTTAGCAATGTTGGGTATTTACTGTTTTGGCAAGATGCCTAGTGAGAAATTTGGGAATTTAAGTATTAATTTAATAGTCAATTATTCAATTAGATATGTGTTGGGCTTGCTTAGGCATCTATGTAAGAAATTTTGCCGTTTTGACTAGATTGTTATCTTGGGTTGGGATCTTGTTAATGGCTATTCATGCTATCATAACTATAACAAATGAGGAGTGTTAGGATGCAGTCCATGAATACAAATAAAATAGGAAGATATATCGTGTGGTATAATTATTGATTCAATAATCATGAAAGGAAGGAGCTATGTATGATTCATCAATTCTCTTAATAATTGTCAACTTATGTTTTTGGGGAGCAACCCATTGTCTTTTGCCATCTCTGAAACTATTCATAGATGCAGAATCCTTCTTATATGAACCATTTGATAGAACCAAAGGTTTAGCCTATTGGTTCTGTTGTATTATGCTTGGGCCTTGATAATTATTATCAATTATTATAATATAAACAATTCAAATGAATTTCGGTGATGATGAAATATGGGTTAATCACCCCAAATTTGTTTGTCTTATAGCTAAGTTAGACAATCAAGAGAATAAATTATTGATTACCAAATAAGGGATTCTCAATATTGATAAAGAAATAAGAGAAGAATATGTTGAAGAAAAATCAAACATCAAAGTGGATCCGTTGGCAAAGCAAGGAGTTAATGATTTATTAGTAAGAATAAAATTAAAGTAAGCTATTAAACGAACTGAATGAGTTTAATTGTCTTCATGGAATAAGAATGAGATATTCTAAGAAATCTATATATACATAAGTTGGAGCTCCAATACTTGTAGCCATAAATCCATATTAATATGTTCCTGAATTTTACGATTAAAAAATGATGTTATTTTTTAAAAAGGAAATGGGAAGGATGAATTAGTATTGATATTCTATAAGTTAGAATTTCTAAAGATCTACTTTAGTAAAAACTAAGAGATATCGATCCTCATCTGTACAAAGTTGCTCAAATGTCATTAGATCAACTTTTTGAAGAGACAACCAAAACTAAAACTAGAATATGCTCAATGATTATTTCTGGAGAAAGTGGATCAGGCAAAACAGAGTCAACAAAAATTATACTAAAATATTTAGCAGCTGAATCATTAGGTTAGAAGCTAAAATCTCCCTCTATAGAATAACAAGTCTTTGCTTCTAATCCACTTCTAGAGGCTTTTGGAAATGCAAAAACAGCTAGAAATGATAACTCTAGTAGATTTGGAAAATTCATTCACTTATATTTTAATCCTGTCACCAAAAGAATTACAAATGCAAAAATTGATAACTACTTACTAGAAAAAAGTAGAGTTGTTAAACTAAGTTCAGTAGAAAGAAATTATCACATTTTCTATCAATTAATTGCTGCTCAAATCCCAGAACTAAGTAAGAAATTACAAACTATTAGAACTTGGATAAGCAAAGTAGTACCATTATTTAAAATAAGGAGATTTGAAATACACAAAAAATGAACTTGAAGAATTCAAAGAAACTAGTGATTGTATGGATAAAATGAACTTTACTTCATAAGAGAAACAATTCATTTTTCAAGCTCTTGCAGGAATTTTACACTTAGGAAATCTATCTATTTAGGGAGATGCCAATAAATCATTTGTAATAGAAGACTTTTCTCTAAAAGCCTCCTGCTAATTATTAGGACTTGAATCTGAAGACTTGATTAGAGTCATTTGCAAAGTATAAACACTTATGGGCAAAGAAGTGATTATGAAAGAAAACAATATTGACTCAGCAAGTAGTGCAAGAGATACACTTGCTAAGCATATTTATGAGAAACTTTTTAATTGGTTAATCGAAAGGGTTAATTCGTAACTTTAAGCTTGCAGCTAAATTTAAAATAAATAACCAAGCACTTAATACATGATTGGTATTCTAGATATTTTTGGTTTTGAAATATTTACAGATGAATAAGGTATATAAACTAATAGTTTTGAATAATTAAACATTAATTTTACCAATGAAAAACTCCAATAGCATTTTAATTCCCATATGTTAGAAACTGAATAAAGTATCATATTTCATCTGATTATTTAGGTGAATACAATTAGGAAAAAATTTAATGGAATCACATTAAATTTCCAGACAACAAACAAATTATTGATGTAATTGAGAATTCAACTTTATCTATTTACAAATTACTGATTGATCAAACAATCGCCCCTAAAGGTAATGATAGAGAATTTAGTAATTCATTCAAGAAATTGCCAAGAGAATGTGTTTTCAATGTTCAAGACTTATTAGCATAGGATTCTGATATTAAAGTAGATAAAAAGCATAAAACTGCTAAATTTGATTGGTTTGGAATCAAGCATTTTGCTGGGTATGTAATTTATAATGTCTATGGATTTATTGATAAAAACAAAGACACAATCAATTAAGAGGTTCATCAAGTTTTGCCAACTAGTAAAAATCCCATTCTTCGAGAAATTTGGAAAAGTCATCAAATTACAAATACAAATATTAAATAGAATAATGTCATTACTAGATTTTAAAATTCTCTTTAAGAATTATTAGAAATTCTTAATAAATCCCTTCCTAAGTATATTAGATGTATTAAGCCTAATAATAACAAAACTGCATTTGAATTTGATGCATAAGAAGTAAGAAGATAAATGAGATGTGCTGGTTTATTGGAAGCAATCTAAATTAGAAAGGCTGGGTATGAAATTCGACTTAACCATCTTGATTTTATGAAGAAATACAGGTATCTTATTAAAGGAAAACCTTCAAATATAAATTAAATGATCATTCTATTGAACCAAAACTAAAAAATTAAAGAAAGATTACAGAAAGAATTAGAATCCAAAAATGTTTAAGTTGGAACAACTAAAATTTTTATGAAAGAAGGATTACGAGATTTCTTAGATTAAATGTTAATAGAATTCAGAATGTAATATATAATCAAAATTTAAAAATCCGGTAGAAAGTATATTTACCGAAAAACTATTTTTTTGAAATTGAAAATTCTTGTGAATAGGCACCATAAATTATAAAGGACATGTAAATGGTATCTATTTAAATTCGTATTGTAAAAACGAATTATAAATAGGTAAATATTAAGCACCTTCATTTTTAAAATTAACAAATTTGAAAGGAAAATAGTAGAATCATTTGCCTTTTAAAAATTTAAAGATTATGCTGCTTTTTTAATATAGAAAGATGCTGAAATAAAGAGATAATAATAAGAGTTAGAGAGAGAGTTGTAAATAGAAAGTTCTGGAGAAATAAATAAATCAGTCATAATTTCTTAAAAGTTAGTGGAGGATGATTTCAGTATTAGTTAATCCTAACCAATATAAACACTGAACGTCAAATAATTCACTAAACCTGAAACAGTTAGCAATTCCAATTCTATAGATATGTTTAAAAAGGCTCTTTAGGACACTCAATAAAAATTAAAAATGGAACAAGAGAAAAGAAGAGATTTGGAAAATTAGGTTGAAAAGTTATAAAATGATCTATTATAATTTGAATCCTCTGGTAGAGAAACGTTGAATCCTTCTGCCTTTGGATAATTGGAAGATATATTTACTTTGTAAAAATTAACATCAGAAAAGTAATTGTTGGAAGTGTAAGTTGAATAACTACAAATTGATAAAAAAAAAATAGAAAAATCTGTAATATTTTCATGTTATATTTTAGAGTTTTGATTAAATTTAAAATTTAGGGCTTTAATTAGCTCATGCTCAACAATTTATAAAAGAGTTAGAGCATAATAATGAGGTTCTTACACAAGATTACTTAAATGAAGTCAAAGCCAAGGAAGAAATTGAGGAAAAATTGAAAGATGAATGGAATTAAGAAAGAAGACTATTAGCTAGAGAATTAGAGGATTCTAAAAAGGCTCTATCAAATTAAAATAAGATTGCCTAAAAGGATATTTAAAGAGTCAAAATGGAATATGATAGAGAAAAATTAAAAGTAGCAGAATTAGAAAGTGAAGTTAAGAAGTTTTAATAACTCAGCGAACTTTATAAGTCTTAACTAGAATCAAATGATTTAAGCATAAAAGATCATAAAGGGAATGATCATGAAATATAATTGAAAGACTTGTAAATTAGAGATTTACAAGTTGAAATTCAAAAAAGGGATCAAATAATATCCTAGTTGAATAATTAAATCAAAGAATAGCAAACTAAATCTTTAATATAATCTAAAACTATCACTTAAGTTATTGATAATACTGAGATTACCTAAGAACTAAATGAAAAAATTATCGCATTATCAGCAACTTTAAAAAAAAGAGAGTTTGAGTAAAATAGAAACAAAAAACTAATCTCAGTCATGAATAATCTTATCAAACTGAAAATTATCGAAGTAAATGCTCTGCATAAGCATTTTAATATTGTGCATGAATAATAAAAACAAGTATTATATTCATAATAGTAAGGATGTATATAAGCCCATTGCTTAAATCATGGAAAAAGAAAAATTATTGATGAAATAATTTGAGGACTTAATTAAATAAAATAATTAGGAATAGACTGAACAAGCAGAAAACTAATAAAAAATAGGATGAATTTCTTTTATATTAATAGTTTAGGTTATTTAATACATTAATCAAATTTCAACATCTTAAATTTTAGACTGATGCAATTATTTGTTTATTCTTCCAATATCATTTATTTTAACTGTTCTTCTGCATACAGGACATAAATGTTTGTAATTCTTCCATTTACTAAAGCATTAAGAATGAAAGATGTGATTGCATGGCAGCTCCACATATTGTTCCATTTACTTTAATTCTTCCATACATATTGAACATTCAGCCCCCTCTTCACCAGAATACTCATAAAATTAATCGTTTTATTGGTTAGGTGTATTCCTTTTGATTAATTAAAAAAATAATTTTAGTTAGCATGTGCAAATAGTTATAAGTAAGAGCATTAAGATAGCAGGTATCATAGTAGCAAAATTTAACCAAGCAAGCGATTTATACATCATTTCATTAAAATGTTTAAACAAAATGTATAGATTTAAATCATTAGAGGTTTCTTTATTTATATTATTTTACTATGCATTTTCCAACTAAATAATGCATTATAGTATGAGAAATAAAATAGTATAAAGAGAAAATGTTTCTGAAATCACCCAACTAAAAACACCAATTCCATTTTCAACTCCAATTATTAAGAGTATTATATTTGAAATAATTATTCGATGATTTGATTCATCATAGCTCTCACTGTACGTCAAGTACAAAATTAAAAACATTATAGGTAAAACTAGTTTATAAATTACAATAATTTTCACCCATAATTAGTAATTAAACTCTCTGAGTTCTGGTAAAAAGCAATCAAAGTAAGACCTAAAAATAGTCATTATAATAATTAATCAATTTATAGAGAAAAAAGCATTTTGGAGAAATTTTCTACATATTAGGAACTGAAAATATAGAATTATATTAATATTGATTTTCTAATAGCAAATATCTTAATTAGTAACAATTTATTATTACAATAAAAATAAAAAAAAGTAGTGTTAAAGATAAATTCACCTAGTATTCCTTTTTATGAAGCACTCGCAAAAATTTGGATGCTGAAGTCATTGCTTTTATAAGTAATGTCAATTAACTATACTGAGACGTCAAATTTTGGAAAAATTGAGATAAATTAAAGTCAAAATCAATATTTATTTTTGACAAATTATAAACTGAGAATATAAATACACTTATTCTACCAAGTTTAAGATCAAAATACTTCAAAAATAGTGGAATATAGAGAGTATTTATTGATTTTGACTTAAGGAGGGAGTATCTTTATCTATTTTTTATAAAATATTTGAATGTTAATTACATATTTAAAATGGATCAAGATGAAAAATTAACAACGATATGGATGGGGTTTTGATAAATAAACTTAACTATAAATTATTAAGATTGTTTTATTGTTCTATGGAAAAAATAGCTACTTCTTAATTTTTAATATTTGCTAAATGAATGTATTTTTTATGAATAGTTAGTTGATCATTATAATTTTTCAAAGTGAATATATTGTTTATTATCAAACAAGTTAAATTTTAAATATTAGCATATGTATTTATTGTATATTTGTTAATATACGTTTAGTACAAAAATCAAAAAAAATAATTCAATTAATTTCATACAGACTAAATAATCACGAAGTTATAACAATGTAATATTCATTGTATGTATTTTCATGTTCATTCAGTGATAATCAAATTATTTAATAAAAATCGATAGTTCTATAAATTCAATTTATTCTTAATAACTATAAAGTTTAAATTCAATTTGATATTCATTGTATGTATTCTTAAAAGTCATAAAGTATTATTAAAAATTGATAGTTCTTAACTTCAAAATACAATGATATTTAAGAAAGAATTATAATGATTTTTTTAATCAAAATAAATTAAAATAATTTTGATCTTAATTAGTTTTAAATAAGATAACATTCAAATTTTTAGGATTATTGAAAAATACAAAATTCTACTAATGAAATCAAATATTAAATTTTGATTTCACTTATTTTATATTTAAAAATTCATTTTATAATTAAAATCTTTGTCTGAATAAAAAAAAAAAANAATTAGTAATTAAACTCTCTGAGTTCTGGTAAAAAGCAATCAAAGTAAGACCTAAAAATAGTCATTATAATAATTAATCAATTTATAGAGAAAAAAGCATTTTGGAGAAATTTTCTACATATTAGGAACTGAAAATATAGAATTATATTAATATTGATTTTCTAATAGCAAATATCTTAATTAGTAACAATTTATTATTACAATAAAAATAAAAAAAAGTAGTGTTAAAGATAAATTCACCTAGTATTCCTTTTTATGAAGCACTCGCAAAAATTTGGATGCTGAAGTCATTGCTTTTATAAGTAATGTCAATTAACTATACTGAGACGTCAAATTTTGGAAAAATTGAGATAAATTAAAGTCAAAATCAATATTTATTTTTGACAAATTATAAACTGAGAATATAAATACACTTATTCTACCAAGTTTAAGATCAAAATACTTCAAAAATAGTGGAATATAGAGAGTATTTATTGATTTTGACTTAAGGAGGGAGTATCTTTATCTATTTTTTATAAAATATTTGAATGTTAATTACATATTTAAAATGGATCAAGATGAAAAATTAACAACGATATGGATGGGGTTTTGATAAATAAACTTAACTATAAATTATTAAGATTGTTTTATTGTTCTATGGAAAAAATAGCTACTTCTTAATTTTTAATATTTGCTAAATGAATGTATTTTTTATGAATAGTTAGTTGATCATTATAATTTTTCAAAGTGAATATATTGTTTATTATCAAACAAGTTAAATTTTAAATATTAGCATATGTATTTATTGTATATTTGTTAATATACGTTTAGTACAAAAATCAAAAAAAATAATTCAATTAATTTCATACAGACTAAATAATCACGAAGTTATAACAATGTAATATTCATTGTATGTATTTTCATGTTCATTCAGTGATAATCAAATTATTTAATAAAAATCGATAGTTCTATAAATTCAATTTATTCTTAATAACTATAAAGTTTAAATTCAATTTGATATTCATTGTATGTATTCTTAAAAGTCATAAAGTATTATTAAAAATTGATAGTTCTTAACTTCAAAATACAATGATATTTAAGAAAGAATTATAATGATTTTTTTAATCAAAATAAATTAAAATAATTTTGATCTTAATTAGTTTTAAATAAGATAACATTCAAATTTTTAGGATTATTGAAAAATACAAAATTCTACTAATGAAATCAAATATTAAATTTTGATTTCACTTATTTTATATTTAAAAATTCATTTTATAATTAAAATCTTTGTCTGAATAAAAAAAAAAAATACTTTAACTGTTTTAAAGATTAAGAATACATTGAATCAATCGCAATTTAATTAGGATTTATTTTTCTGAATTACGATTTTGATCAAGTATTTGATACATAAAAAGAGTTAAATCATAATTTATTATTTTTTATTTTAGTTAATTTTAAATATTAATATGCGAAACCATAATTCATTCTTTATCATATTTTTAGGAGAAAGAGCTTTTATCCTTGAATTGCTTGGTGAGTTGATGATGCTGTTTAATAGAATTTGAGAAAATTGATTAAATAAAAGCCAAATAATTCTCAAAGTTATTGTCTAAATTTGGGTATTTATGTAAAATACATTCCCCAAGGAAGGATCACTTAAATTCAATTTCACATATTTCCTGCTATAAGAAGGAGTGATAATAAGAACAAAAATTGATGAAGCGAATTCAGAAAAAGATATAATAATTAAAGTTGCAAATTAATTTTTAAAAAGATATATAGAGTAATAATTATATTTTCTCTACTCCTAACCATCAATCATAATAATTATAATATTTAATCATTTAATATCTTAATTAATATGTCAAAAAGTTTCGAATGGTATACAAATGAGATACATTTTAATTTAGATTCTTCTAAAAGTATTGATGTTTAAAATGATTATTTTTATAGATTTACTCGATAAATAAATAAACTTTATTTAGAATATTAATATTAAATTAATATCCTAATAATTAATATAAGTATTTCAATCCTATAATATATTAATTAATGCTTATTGAAAATTTTGTTTCTTACTCTGTTTCAGGCTTATTCTCACCTTCAAGTTAGTTTTTCAAATCCTTAAAGTCCTTTTAGTTTGAATCAGTTATGTATTTTGAGCCCTCTAGAATGTTGATAAATCTAATCTTTAAAACAATGATCTTCTTGGATTATTTTGATCTTAAATAGATGAGCACTCATAAACAGAAGTTTTACCGTTAGAGTTTGAATTACTTACTTACTTATTTCTTTTAGTTTATTTTCCTTAAGTTTCTACTTGCTATTTGGTTACCTTTTGGTAACTAGAAGTTTAAGGTCTTGATTATTCTTATTAAGTTTTAGTGACTAATGCAAGCAGGTGCTTTAATGAATGTCTAGAAAGACTATTGTTAAGTTAATTAATGTTTAAGAAATACAATCTATAGTTTTTGTTAGAGAATTGCATTCTAAAACAAGTTATTTTTTACATCTCCATTATAAAAATTAAGATTATTAGTTTGCTATTTATATGTTTCTATTTCTTTTAGGATTTTTCTAGTTCTTCCTTTAGTCTCACGACTTCTTCTATTTTTTAACTTATATCTTCTTTAGAGGATGCCTATGGGTGGGATTCTATTAATTACTAAATTCACTTTGGGTATTTATAATTCTGCTTCAGTCATTAAATATAAAACATTTATCAAATATTTATTGATTAGTCATTTTTAATTCAACAAATATTCTATTTAAATATTGGTGTAATTTATAATGCAATAATGTCCTCAGTTAAATAATTTAATCCTTTTTCTTATGCTCCTGTTTCAATGTTATTAATTGAGGTATTAAAAGAACATAGCATATCAATGTAAAATAAACAGAGGATGATTATGAAAAGTAAATTCGTAGATGCTTCCTTGATGAATTTGGAGCTATGAGTAATCTTAGTATAATTTCCATTAATTATATTAAAATAGCATATTAATTATAATTGCTTAATTTATAATATAAGGCACTCCTTGACCATAGAATATGGTTACAATTAATTATCAAGAAATAAACGTCGTACAATGGAATATCAAATTATATTAAAAAGTAGAAATCAAAAAAAAATTAAATTGATTTACATTAAATATATTGTAAATATAATAACTAATGGTAAATTGTGAATCGATATAATTAGTAAAACGAATATCCAGAAAGAGCATAGCCATTAGCAAATGAAGAAGTTGAACCTTAAATTTTAGAACTTGCCTAGTAGGCAGCAGCTCTAAAATAAGTATAAATTAACAAAAATCATTAGTTAAAAAAAGGAGCAAATGAAACCACAAAAACTTTAAATAGAGGTATAGCTGAGTTGGTCATTATTGCAGCTGATACAACACCATTAGAAATAGTACTTCATTTACCTTTGCTTTGTGAAGATAAGGTAAGCTTCTTTAAATAAAATCAACTAGAATGTTCCCTATGTATTTGTAAAGAGCAAGGTTGATTTAGGTAGAATGTGTGGCACAAGCAGAAATGTGGTTGCTTGCTCAGTGATTAAGGATAAAAACTCAAGAATTAATTAAAATATCACATACTTAAAAGATTTATGTGAAAGACTATAAATCAACTAGGAAGCATGATCAATATTAAATATTTGATGAACATAAATAATTTATACTTTTATAGTAAGTATCTTAAACAGATAATATATATCTGATGAATTATTTAACCATAATTATATCTATAAATTAAATACATTCGCATTAAAGAAATTACAATAATAAAATAACTCTTCAACAATAAAATAATCTTTTGATCTCTTCGAAATCAATAAAGTTCCAAAAATACTATTCTTAGTGAATATCACAATCCCTACTGATAAATAAAATAATTCAAATTACTTTATATCTCTAAATTTCATAAATAATTAAAATTTTTCCATTAAGTAAAAAATGTTGACGGCGAGGTTCGAACTCGCGCCCTTTCGGAATGGAGCCTTAATCCACCGCCTTAGACCACTCGGCCACGTCAACTTGTATTGACAATTAGTTTCAGAATAGCATAAAAAGGGGACTGTTTTCAGTACCAAATTACCTGAAAAACAATTGATGCAATATAAAACTAAAATACACATTAGAATTGTTCAATTATTATTAAAATATTTTCAAAATATATTCTTAATTTTATAGTTGTACATCATATTTATTAAATGTATTAATAATATTAATAATGTTATTTCTTTTTATAATTGTTAGGTAATGAGCTTAAAACATAATAGTTTAACGTACGCAGCTACTTTAATAAAGCCGGTGACCATCATAAATGTAATTAAATAATATCTAGCTGTAGTCATTCGATTCTTCGTGCAGTAGTGCTGGAGAATGTTGTGCATGTTCAAAAACAGGGTATTGTTCGTAAAATCAAACATGTACATGTACTGCATCTTCAGGTAGTCAAATGTCAGGTTAAACTTGTTTGTTGAACTCAACAGAAAATGCAGCTGTTGAAAAATAGTTATAAAGTGGAGCAGATGAATCATTGATAGCAAGGTTAATATTATGAACTATATTAGTTTCTCCGTCATCTAAGTATATGATTTGTTGAATAGAAATTCAACTTTGACATATAAACAATTATTTGCTATCTATGAATTAGGAATTTCTACAGCACAGAGTAGTGTTTAGTAAAGTGAAATATATTGGTTTTTAAAAAGCGTCGAATTCATTACTAAGAAATTGAAAGCAATCCAAACATTAGAAGCAAGTGCCCTTTAAACATTTTAAATACAAATAATGGATTTAATTAGATCTTTGATGTTTAAATATATTGACTTAGATTCCAAAAAAAATCCGATCTTCTTTGAACAAGGCTATTTCAGTGCAATAATAGCTAAATGGAAGGATACAAGTAAAAAATTTTCTTATATTTCTTATAGTAAATTATACAACCATGAAACTAGATTCAAAATCAATTAAATCAGCTCAATGTGAATACAAATATAAATCTGTGTTAATTAAAGTATGATAATGTGATGACTTATTCATAGTATAAATTGGTGCTAGCAGTTTCTAATGACATGATTAGCGCATTCACTAATTCAACATTTACTTATAATTCCACAGTTACATATTGTTAATTTATGGATAAATATGGTGATATTTATTACCCTCCTTCCTCTGAATTTCATTATTGGCATTACGTACCAAATTTTGACTATGAGCCTCTATTGGATTTGTCAGATGTGATAGGATTGGGGTGCTTTTAAGTACTCTAAAATATAAATATAGATCAAACAATCCAATTCAGTCTATGGTTTGGCATACAATAATTAAGATTGTTAATACAAAGAAATAACATCATCTAGGCCAGTTCCATTCTGTTAATGCAACGAACCTGGAATAACTTTTGTTTAGGTCTTATGGAGTGATTAGAAGATAGCTTAACTTGCTTTGGCGGCAGGAACATCAAATTCCACCAATTCAACCGAAGCGTATGGAAATTTATTGATCATTACATATTTAGCCATATAAATATTATTTTGATAATATTATTATATTCAAATATTCTATCTGTTTACTTTGCTATAAGAAAAATCAAACGTTGTGTTTTATTTTTGAATTTAATGAGTATTATGAATTTAAAAAGTTCGATTGTTGGATGTGCCTGTTCTCTTATAGGAAGATCTTCTCTAAATATCTCTTTCTTAATCACTAAATCGATATTCAACATCTTTCAACCCTTTTTATTTTGAAAAATACATTTGTGGTCTTTTGGTTGATTTTTAGCTATATCCTCTAGCTTAATCTAAAGGACTTGATTAAATAATTTATAGAATCTATTCCCACTTAAATTGATCCAATGTTTCAATATTGTTCTTTAATATTTATAATCTCTATTTTCTATTCATGCTATCTTTATATAATCTTTGGAATATATCCTATTGTTGGTCTACAGAATGCTCTTTATTGTTTGATGATAAATAAGATATCTTCTCTATCTAATCCTTTACTCTTAAAGATGCCTGAAGTGGTGTTTATGGAGTTTTAATTTGCAATCTATTTTAATCGTATAATAATTGAGATTCATAATCTTTTTTAGTGAAGTCTTCTTTTGTGAATTTCAAAGAGTTTCTTTAAAAAATGAGATAAGTGTTTTCTTAATTTAGAATATTCTAATTCTAATTATCAATAATTTTGATTTCATTTTAATTTTAGAATTATTATGTATCAACTTATTATTCAGATATTTCTTCTAATAAACATAGTTAAGATGGAGTTTAAACTGACCTTAATTAATCATTATGAATTAAATTGCTTTTACAATGAGAATTAGATTATTATTATTGAATTGTTGAAATTGATTCTAAAATACATTGTACTTCTGCATCTTTTGTTACAATATCTTGTTTAATTTAATATTCAAATTCTGTATTTGTTTGTTTATGAGAAATTTCATTAACATTTAATTTTAACTTCATAATCTTTTCAATAATATCGTAATTTAAACTATTATTTTGAATTGGTGTGTTAACATTCAAAACAATAGTTTGACAATATTTGGACCTATTTTGGATATTTGAAAATAAAAACTCTTGCTTCGTTAATTACTGATATTACTAAAGAGCAAGCTATTAGGATAAATGTTCTTTGTTTTGATCAGATTATTTTAATTTATATTCGACCATCTTTATTAAGCTTTTATCTAATTTCTCGAAATTGATTTATTTTGAGTCGAAAAGTCGATATAATTATTAATAATGCAAACAAACAACCTAATATTTTAACTACAATATTTTTTAATTCTCTTTGGATTAATTATATTATTGCTATAATTAAGATATTTCTTAATTTAAAATTTATTCAACCTTTTGTTAAGTTAAATATTTATATTCCCAATAAATTTGATTATACTTATCATTTTCATATATTTGCTTTAACTCTTCATATTAAGTTTTAAGAATATTTCTCTTTTTCTTTTTTTTAATTTTATATTCTTTCAATTTTTCTTCAAAATCTTTTCTTCCAAGAATAATTTCCTTAATTTCTTGTCTTAGTAGAAATTGATCTCTAACGGTTTTCACGCATCTCAACATTCGATTAATTAATATCCATTTATTGAACATCACTTTAACCTTATATTGATCAAAATTGGTTTTTATTTCATTTAATTCATTAAATTACCCAAATAATTGCTACAACACTATTATAAGAAATAATTTACTTTCGTTTTTTCGATGCTATAATGCTAATTCCATTTAGTCACGGCTCTACTTTAAACAATCTTAAACAATTTCCTTATGATGGTGTTTTTGCTTTTCAATTTATTCATTTTTTTCATCTAATTCTCCTTGCAAGTCCTTGATATAATTAATTTATCTATCTACAAATTAGGATAATTAATCATCTAATTATTATCTATAATGTTAGACTTCTCTTTGCTAAGACTTACATTGGATTATTAACTTATCTATTTCTCTATAATTAATTCCATATGTATGCTTCTAATTTTCAAATACTTAAAAGAAATATGAATTTCCTTTGAGATCTTATATATTCTTCCAAGTAATGTAAGGATCATTATTATCCATTTGTATTACTTTAGCTAGTAAGCCAATGCTAGTATCATGAATTTTGAGTTTATCTTTGAACTTATCAATTTATGCAACATATTGTTTATTTTCAGTAGAAATATGCTAGATTGTCTATGTTAATTCAAGGTATTTGTGTTCAAATTGTTATTATATGCCTTTAATTTTTTAGTTCAATAGATTTGTTTATTCTTCAGTAAATCCTTCCTTAGAATCAAAATATTAAACTTCAAATATATTCAACTGCTAATCGTTTTTTCTAAATAATAATTCTTTCATGTGTTGAACATCTTTTAAATATCCTTGGGTCATATCCTTTATGATGTTATCCTTACAATCTAATTTAATTTATAATTCTTTCAGTTTCTAATTTCTTAATTCAAGTTCTCTTTATTATTCTTCGTTTTGATCACAAGACTATTATGTTTTCACTTCAGCATGAGGGTGATATGTCGATTTCATGGTATTGAAACGATGTATGTTGAATTCTTATTATAAATTTTCCTCCTCTTAATCCTAATCGACTTATAATTTTTGTAATTTTATTAAAAGACTATTTAGTGTTTCGTTTGAGTTTTGTTAAAAATACTTTCTTAACCTTTAATAAAAATATATGCATTAATGCTTTATGATTTTACTTTTATCTAATTAGATTGCAACAGTGCTTCTGTTAAAAATACTCCAACCGACATTTAGTAATATTTGATAGAATATATTAATGATATGTTAGGATGATAAGCTTTGTTATTAGATTAATAGGACGAACTAATCTATTAACTGCTCAAATAGATTTTAAGTATTAACTATTTATTATTTTTCGTTCGATATTGGAGGGGAATTAGATTCTTCCTTTAATGTAACCTATCTAACCAAGTTTTTAGGTCTATATATTGGGACATCTTTCAGTTAAATGCATTCGTCATCCATTCCAATAATTTAATTTATTTTTTATTTTAAAATCACATATACTTATATATGATAACAAATTTAATAGTTTGAATTTTAAATTAAACCTTCAATCTCTTGTAATAAAATTAATAATGAATTATTAACAGGGTATAGATATCAGGCATTAAAATACTAAAATTATCTCACGTAAATGAACTATTCGCTTAAAAGTTAAAATAAATAGAATACTTAAATAACTAATGGTAAATATCTGGTTGTATTGATAGAATCCAATTGCTAACATTCGAATTAGAGAGGCAGGTATTCTATTGGTGATTTGCGACATTTTTGGAGAAGCCCTAGAAGAAACATAAAATAGTAAGTAAATATATATTGATATATAGAAAACTTCTCAGATATTCAGTTTTTGAATATTTATTGAATCGCATATTTATTACAGGACAATTGGAAAATATATTTGAAGAATAAACAATTGTCTAGTTCAAGGAAAGCTTTTTTCAAAATTGAAGAGCTTAATGAAATTTCATTGCCTACAATGGATATTTGTTCTATATGTTATGAAGACTATCAAGCCAAATATTTAGTTGCTGAACATCAATGTCAAGGGAGGCATACTTTTCATTAACATTGTGTTTTTAAAATGGCTAAAAATGCCAATGAACAAAGCCAAGGTTTGCCCATCTTGTAAATAATTACCAGATTCTATTCATAAATATGTTTGTTAATATAGTATTTGACATGTTTGATATATAATATAACTTTATTATTTTATAGTATTAAATAAATTCGATACTATTCAAAATTGTTTAGATAAATGGTAAGCGAACAAAAGAATAGTTGCAACCACAACTTAGAATAGTTGAATCTATAAAAAATTGATGTTCGCAAGTAATAGTCCTAATACCAAAAACCCGAAGTTGAGTTTATAATTTGAGAATTATCTAAAATATTAACTTTCTTTACATCAAAAATGACTTAATTGCTAAAGAAAACAAAAGTCTGACAATTAAAATGGAAAAGAATTCTACTTAACTTTAAAATTAGCAATGTATTGATTAAAAACTAGGCAAAGAACTTAAAAAATTGATTAATCCAAAAGTCATCAATAATTTTCTTAACAGTTGTTCATTGTACAATTCGCTAATACAATAATTACCAATAAAGTATCCTAACAATTCAAATATCGATAATATCAAGGCTAGGGTCTCAATTGTCCATTGAAACTGATTAACAAATGCATTTAGCTTAAACAAATGTCCAAAATACAATAAGCTTAATGCAAACATTATGAAATTAACAATACATCTTGGCTCTTATTTATTGCTTGGTTTGATTTAAAATTTATTAAGCAATAATGCAACTTACTCTTCTGTAAAATACACCTTATTTGGAAAATTCACTGAATAGATGGAGTTCATATTTTAATGAAATTCTGTTAATAAAGATTCAATCTTATTTAAAGCAACTTATTATTTTTTTAGTAGTTATGAATTTTATCTAGAGATTTATTCATAATATGAAAGGCGATTTAAAATACACAGAGGTGAATCTTATAATGTGAAGTAAGTATATAGGGTAATCAAGGAAAATGGAATCCACATTATGATAAGATTAAAAATATATTGCTCTTTAAAAATCATATGTAAAACTGATGAGACAACAATAAATTCTACAATCACTAATAGAAAATCATTGTAGAAGATTAATCTTTGATTTTTCTTCAACATAAACTAAACCTGTTCCATTAATAAATAAAAAATGCTGGCAGATGAAATTCCTTGTACAAAAAAGCAGCCAAAGAAGATCAAATTATCCAAATAGATTTTTGTTTTATTAATTTTTCCTATATCTTCAAAATGTAAAGATCCATAATTTGGATAAAGATTACATTGAGTTCCTTGAATAAAATAAGTGCCAGATATAAGCAAAAGAAAGAATAACAATAACTTAAATAGATAAATTATATACATTTTTATTTGAATAATGTAAACATAGAGGCCTAATACTATACACAATAATGTAGGAAATGACTACGTAAACAAATCTAATTGCAATCACTAGTATGAGTTAATTTATTTATTCTTCCAAATATAAATGACTTCTGAAGGTGTTCTTATTCTTTATATGTTCTTGGGGTCGTAAGCTAAATTTGAAATATCAATACATTAATTTTGAATGATTGTCATCATGACCTTCAGTAATTTAATCTTATGTGAACAAATATAGAAGTTAATAAAACTGAAGGGTTAAGAATCCAACTATTAATAAAATGAGTTTTCTCAACGTTTAAAAGTACTTCCCTTTTGGGTTTAATGTTAACAAAAAAAATTGCTTATCAATTACAACAGAGTCAACCACTATTTTGAATTAATCAATTGGAAGGTTTGTTTAGTTATTAAGAATTTAAATTAGTTGGTTTAAGGTATTATTGTTGTTTTGTTGGATCTAATTGATTTGAATTTCCTATTAAGAAATATCTTAAGAATTCTGTTATGAATTTGGTCTATTTTCTCCACCTCTTTGACTATTGTTCATATTTATTAATAAAATATTTTAGTATTAAGTTAAATTCATTTGCATAGAGAATTCAATTATTTCTGAGTCTCAGTTTCAGAATGTAATTAAATTTTAATACATTTCGTTCTCAAAATAGTTTTAACAATATCATAGACTTCTACATTATAAAGATTAAATTTAGATTAATCATTTTTGACATTTTAATTAAACAATTGACATACATCCTATCAGGTTGCTACTTTAGTATAGGTAAAATATATATACCAAATAATCGATTAAGAATGTTATAAAAAGTGTTTAATTATTAGACTCACATTTAATTTTGTGAATTGCAATTCAAATTATCTTTTGATGAAAATTGGACAATTTTTACTATATTGGAAGAGAGAGCACCAGAATTTTCTATTTATTAATTTATAAATATTTAAGCATACTTTCATCAATCACTAATTGTCCTTATTAATCATAATCATAAAAAATAAGAAGTGTATAATAATAAATTGAATTCATTTTATGTTTCCTTAGTTTTGTATTTAAGAACTTGAAAAAATCATTAATTAAATATGAATATCAAAAAGCCTACTACCAAGAGTAAGGAAGATTAAAATAGATTAAGAATGGTATTAGATTATCGTTGGGATCCTAAATATCAACCACAAGGAAAGCCCGCCATTCCTGAATCATTTAAAATAGTGCGGGAATCCAATCCTATAGAAACTAAATAAGGCAATGACTTACAAGCAATATTTATTAATCTTAAGTGGGGATATCATTTGAAGATTGAGCAATTTGTAATATAATGTTTTTAACATTTAGAAATAATTCAACTTGACAGACTCATAAATGCATAATGGGATGTTGTTCATTTGGTGTGAAAAGGATAATATTATGGAAATTATTGATCAACTGGAAAAGCTTGGATTTAATTATGTTGAAAATTTCACAACAGTTCTATTATCATTAGATAAGATATTAACAATAATGCCTTCAGAGCCTTAAGTTAGAAAAATTACAGAATTCTTCAGCAAGAAGAATGTAAAAGAGCAGAAGGAAATAAAAAAGATAGATGGGTTGAGAAATCAAGAATAATTGCCAGATTTAGATCCCACTTAGGTATTTTGGAACGAAGATTACACATATTTTAGAAAAACCAAAAGAACATTGTTAATGTTTAGAAAGCAGTCCAAACAACAATTAGAATTAAGACATCAAAGAACTGGAGATATATTCTTTGATGTTATTGAAAAGGATGGTTAAAATATTTCTGCAATAGGAATGGAATATATTTATAAGATGATTGAAACTTTATTACCAAAAGCATAATACAAGGCAGGAGAGAGTTTAAAAATGATGGAATTGTTTGCCGATCCAAATACCTAAGGAAGGTCAGGTTGGATTTAGGTAATTTAAGAGTGATGAATTTAGTCAAATTTAAAATTAACAATATTTAAAAAAATTAAGGTCTTACCAGGACTCGAACCTGGGTTAAAGGAGTCAGAATCCTTTGTGATAACCGCTACACTACAAGACCCAATCTGGTTTATGAGAATAAGCATTAGTTATATAATAAGTTGAACATATTATTACTTTTCAAAATTAAAAAGATAACTAGTTAACCACTTACTTATCTAACTATTAAAAGAAATCTATATTATAATAAATAATAATACTTTTAAGTTCATTGTTTGGATTGAACAATGAGAAAGTGCTTGATGCAGATGATTTATTAGCCGATTCTTACTTATTAAATAGTCTTTATTTAATCTAGCTTTTGAGGAAAGGAGAATTTAAAAATGATGAAGCAATCTCATCAATATTAAATAATTTTCTTTCTGTTATAGCATTTGATTCCTAAGGGTGACTTTATTGTTGCTATGCGCTGCCTACTTACACACTACCAAAATGAGTAGATTGACAAGGTTAGAACAATTTATTTTACGGAGTGTTATTAAGTGGATTCAAAGAATTATTTATATTAATGCATTGGTCATCTACTTTTTGAACATGATTTGATCTATATTATTCTTTATCTTATAGTATTTGTTGCTTAATTTTTGATTGCACTTATCTAAGATGTTTTGGTACAGCACTTCCTTGAGGAGTCTTATTCTCCTTATGTATTTTCATATTCTCATCTTTAAATTAAGGCGAGTTTCGACTATGAAGACTATGTAGACTGCGTAAACTTTCGACCTGACTAGAATGATATGAAGATCGCTATGTTTATTCTCGAGCACTATTTTCTCTTTATGATAATGGTTAAATTTCATTCTATGAATCATTTCTAGGTAGATATTAAGGAATAATTGGTTGTGAATCAAATGTTTGTTTTCTTTTAGGATAATGTTATGAATCTTTTTTTTCTTAAATTGGATCATCATTGCTATTGTATTAATTCCATAATATTGATTTACTAACAATTACTATATTGAATATTACATTTCTGAATCATCCAAGTGATGTTTGAATGGTATGGCTTTTTTGACATTCTATTAGATTGGTATTTGTTCTGTAATTTTAGGAGTTATTTTCGTAGGTAATTTAGGTTGACTATGATATTTGATTTATTGTTCTGGTTAAAAATGCTTTTCCAATGATAGTACTTTCTTGCGTAAGCTTTTAATTTCTTATTGGATAGACTTTTCTTTATATGCATCTAATTTAACAATTAAATATACTAGCTAATAATTTGATTCCATCTTAAGTGATATCATTTAGTTATTGTTTGGCAACACTTATACCCAAAATAATAAGATATTTAATAAGTTTATCAGTCTTTTCTAATTTATATTCTTCGGTAAACTTATTTATTTGTTTCAATTCCATTTATTTTTCTAACAGTTAATTTATTTAATGTTAATCACTAGAACTAACACACAAATTACACAAAATTACTTCAAAATTTAATATTTCTCTCATAAATGTAACATTCCTCTAAATTTATAATGGTTCAACATAATACTATTTGGTATAATCATATCATCAAAATATTTATTATAAATAAGAATTAACAAAAATATGAAACTAATATAAATGAAATTTCGATCTCTAAGACAATAACTACATTATTTTTGATCCATTTATAAAATAGGAACTCTTTTTTTTCTTTAAATTATTGTTATTTAAGGAAGTATGATTTTAAGAGGTGTTTTATATTAAGGTATTGATAAATATGCAATTTCATCAATAAACAATCTTCCTATATATTTGAATGATAAATTATATTAAAATGTTTTAGTTTAGTTTGATTCATTATATTATTAATTAACGAATGAATAAATCAAAAAGCCCTAATTAGAGAGACATCCCAAATGATAATAGCAAAGTTAGAATAGCCGTTCGTGTCAGACCCACTTTAAATAGTGAAAGTGAAGAGGATTTTGTTCAGTTGATTGATGATAATACAATAAAAGTGACTAGAATTGGAAATAGTCTTCGAATGAAGTTCAGCGACATACTTCCAAAAACAGCCAATCAACATGATGTTCAACGATTAGTTTCTGAATCTATCAAGTCATTCATACAAGGAATAAATAACACTATTTTTGCTTATGGATAAACTGGAGCTGGTAAAACTTATACAATAATGGGTGGATTACCTGAAAATGTAGCCAACGTTTCCACTGAGAAGTTTCATTAAGTTATAAGGTCCAATGAGAGAGGAATTCTACCTAGAGCAGTTCAATCAATCATTTCTCAATTATAAACCTAAATAGAAGAAGACTAATGTCGACTTTATTTATCATTCTATGAAATTTACAATGAAAAAGTATATAGAACTAATAAACTTATAGATTTTTGATCTTTTCAATCTAAAATCTCAAGGATTGGACATTCGTGAAAACAAAAATGGTGATGTGAATATTCCAGATCTATCTCAAATAAGGATTATGGACATAGATACTGCCTATGAATATTTAATTCTAGGATTAAGAAATAGAGTTGTCGGATGCAGTCATGCCAATTCAAAGAGTTCAAGATCTCACTGTTGTTTTTAGATGACTCTTTAATAAGTTACAGTTATAAATGGAGAACCTGTGTTATAAGAGTCCTCACTTAAAATTGTTGACTTAGCTGGATCAGAGAAATTCAAAATTCCAACTGAACTGACTCCTGAAGAAAAGGAACTACACATCTAAGAATTAACATCAATCAATGGTAGTTTATCTTGTTTAGGACATTGTATTTCTGCTTTGATTGATAGAAATAGAACACACATACCATTCAGAAATTCTAAATTGACAAGAGTTCTAAGTGATTCTTTAAGTGGCAGTGGTAAAATCTTATTCATTGTATGTGTATCTCCTTCCATATCTTCCAGTGCTGAGACCTTTTCTACCTTATAGTTTGCTAACAGAGCAAAGAGAGCTGTGTTGGATGGCAGAAATATTTAATAACCTAAAACAAATAAGCCTAAAGGTGTGTCTTTGGAGGAGTATTAAGAATTATTAAAATAATATCAAAAGGAAAAGTAATTAAGGGAAGAACTTGAAGTTATAGTTTAAAAGAGAAATTAAGGGGAACTATTATAATAGATTTCAAAACTCAAATAATAAAATCAAGAACTTTAGGAACAACTTTACTAAGTACAATAATAACAACAATAGTAATAGTAACATATAAACGTCAATTATTAATAATAATAACAATAATAATCTTTCTAATAATAGCATTAGCAATAATAATATTCCCCTTTGTTTTCAGATAATAAAAAGTCTCTTGCTGTTAATTCTAACGACAAAAAGGTTAGATTTGCTGATGATTTCCTAACTGCTCATATCAATAATATGGACAGAGAGGATAGTTAAGTTTTTGAAAATCTAGCGATATTTTAGGAATTAAAGCAATTAGAAAACAAAGACAAAAAAAAAATTATTGTAATTGAATATAAATTTATTCTAGAATTTTGAGGAAAAATTTAAGAGCTACTTTGGATAATCTGAATATTAAACTAATGATTTAGCTTAATTTAATACTGGAAAATAGTTTGGTAATTTATTCCTCGATAATATTAGATTCCATCATCAGAAAAGTTAATGATAAATAAAATAATATATCAAATATTGTATAAGATCTTAAAAAAGAAATGTCCAAAGCAGTGAATTAATTAGAATAGTTATAAAGTATTTATTTTCTTATTAAAATAGAGGAAGACAGGGACCTGAAGAGTGCTGACTCATGTAAAGAAAAGTAAGTATTTTAGTGTTATTTTTAGTTTTATCTAATACTGAATATTATAAATTATTTATTAAAATAAATTTAATTATAAATGCAGTTGTCTTTTATTCTAGTAGTCCTCAAGTTAATTTACACAATTTTAATTGTCAATAAGATTGTAATCTCAATTTATCATTATTATTTAAATTTATTACAATTATCTAATAATATTATGGTAAAATAGCATAAAGAAAGATAGAAAAATTTATAAATAATATAAAAGTGTAAGAAATAACAACTGTAAAGTAATTAAGTATGTAATTTAAATTCAAAATCTTAATAAAAATAATTTGATCATTTCTCTTTCCTATTTTCATCACTAAATATCTAACTATTATATTAATGATTATTTCTTACTCTGCCTCTACTGAAGCTAAATAGTTAAGATTACTTTCAGTGGTATTAACAGATATAAACCATCCTAAAACAGTAAGAACAGTAATTGCTATCTATGTATAAGTCCAAAAATTATATAATGCAGATCCATCAATTACGGATTAGACTTAATCATTTGTGTCATCCTGAGTTATTCCACTTGATAATTCCACTATATTTTTATGTCCTATCACCCATAACAAATAAGCAATATTATAAACTAAATTACAATTAATCTATTACAAAGAGCACTAATTATTGATTAGATATAGAACTTTTTATCTTAATTGTTTTTTGTCTTTTCTTGCTAATCCTTTAATTAAACACAAACAAATAAGCTACCAAATGCGCTGATTAATATAATGATATGAAAGACTTAATCCACTCTTAAACAGTATTTAGCATATAATTTAAAGAATGTTGTTAAGCCTTCTTAATCTGTACTTTAACCAAGAAAAATGATGAAAACATGCATCAATGTCATTCCCTTGTTAATTTTAAAGGTTACCTGCCAATAATCCTTAGAAAAAGAAGATAAATCTGTCTATTAATTTAACAGCTTCATGAATTAATTTGTTCAAGACTAATAATACATTTTCAGTTTGAATTTGTTATTTTCTGCTTTCTTCCATCATTTGAATTTTCCTTCTTAATGCTTGTTCATTCAATTCAATGAAACTACCATTTGTTAGATCTATCGAATCAAAGTGTTAAAATACTTTCAATGAATATTTTAGTGATCTCTGGTTGCAAATCTAAAACCTTTAATAGATTGCTTTCGTAATCTTATGAAGCATCTTCATTAATTTTATCAGCCTCATCAATTTAATTCAAATGAATTTCTCCTCCTGTTATATTTCTCTTATTTTTCCTTGATGATTAATATCTAATTATTACTTTGCTTATAAATTATGTTTCATTAATGCAATTATTAAATTATTATATTTACATGGTTTATATATATAAATATATTAATTATACTCACTTTCTTTTAACTCTATAATTCTTTTTGTTTTTTTAGCTTTCCAAATATGCTTCATCTAGACCATTCTCACAATTTTCACATTCACAATCAATTGTGCATTTTGATTTTCTCAAAAAGCATTCGCAATAACCGGTTTAACACCTCGACTTTTTACAGCTGCAACCAAAGCAATCCTTAAGTTTAAATAGGGCATCTTTAGGAATATTCTTGTTTCTATGACATTTTTCATTAACATGTTTTATTGCCATATTACGTTCTTCTAGATGATCTTCATTATTCAAACAGCCTTCAACACATTAACATTCTTTTAAACATATTCTTCCACTATGAAAACATCTACAATATCTTTTTAAACAGCCACTATTTCTACAAAAACAAGGTTATTATTCTAATTCATTCTTTTTTTTTTTTATTTGTTTTTGTATTTAGTTTGTTTTATTACCTTATTGTGACTTTTTTATTTTATTGTTATCTTTATCATCATCTAAATTAGCTTGTTCTTTTTATTCTTATTCAATTTCTTTAGATAATTCTTCTTTCACTCTAATATCATTAATCTAGGAAATCTATGATTACTATTTCTAAAATGGAAGAGGATAGCTCTCCTTTGTTATCGATCTCCTTGATCCCAAACTGTTCATTGGATCATACAATATGAAATTAGATGCTTGTCTACTTAGAGGTAAAGGCCTGTATTCATATTCATTAGCTATATCTTCCAATTATGATCTAATTAGGATATCAATCTTTACGCAAATTTTTATAATTACGGAGACTTATAAGGCTCATCTATCTGGGAAACAATACTTGATACTCTTAGAAAGGAGGGTTATTTGAATTAATAATCTCTTGCCATTATATAATTTTATGTTTTGTTCCCAGAATTAATTAATAGTGTTTTAAAGTTAAAATAAATTGACATGGATTGTCTCAGAAAAGAGAATGAAAATTTTAAAATTCAAAAAGTCCCAAGTCGAAAGAAATTTAACATTTATATATTATTTTTTGTATTAAACATAACCTTTTATATCATTTTTGATTTTAACTTAAGTACATATCAAGTTATGCTCTAGCTTAATTATCATTTATAGATCCTCTGATATCTTATATCAATTAAGACTTCTTATTGTTAATGGCTACTTGAACAGCATGTCGCTATTATCCAATTTTTAATAACATATAGCAAGATTCCTATTCTATATAAATTCTATATACCTCTGGATCTGGCATTTTCATTATCATTTGTAAA